AAATAATAGCTTTGCTTATAAATAATCTTTTCTTAATAAATATTATATGCTTTTTTTTTTATATATTAAAGAAACTTTAAGTAATTTTAAATTAATATTTAATAATATATTAATTATAAATATTAATAAGTAAATAAAGGATTAACTTATTTTATTATTTTAAAGTAATTAAATTATGCTTATTATTTTAAAATATCTTCTTTTTTTATAATTACCTTAATAAAATAAGGGTAATTAAAATTTATAAATATAAGGTAATATTTTTAAAATGTAAAATTAAGGTTTTAGCTTGCATAAGTATTATTTTATATGTTATAATTAATAGTTATTAATCTCCTAATTATATATAGTTATTATAAATTGCTAGCTATAAATTCATTAATCGCTTATTAATATTTATAATTAATATTATATTAATAAAGTTTAATATTATTAAGTGCTTTAAAGAGTATTCTTTTATAATATTTATAATAAAAGCTCCCCTAACCTTTATATTAGCAATATAATATCCTAATAATTAATCTTTAATTTCTTATATCAGCTTTTTTTTTATAAATCTTAAAGTTTTAAATTTTAATTTAAATTTTAAGCCTTAAATAATGCAAACTTAAGCTTAAAGATTAGCATTATTTTTAAGAGCATTATGCACCTTTTCTTTCATTTTTTAGCTTTTTTTAAATTATAAGAGTGTTTTCTTTAAAAATATATAAAAGCAATTAATAAGGGCATAGTTCTTATTATAAGCTGCATATATTTCTTTAAGGTTTTATACCTAAGATTAATAACGTTTATTGCAATATTAGCTAAATCTATATAATAAATTAAGTTTAGTTAAGCCTTTTTAATATAAGCTTGTTTTCCTAATAATATAAGCGTTTTTTTTATTATTATAATTATTTTTTTTATTATAAATAGTTGCCTATGCTTCTTTAGTAATCTTAGCAAGTTTATGCTGCATACCTAAAGCTTGCAATTCCTTATAAAGGAAGTTCCTAACTTCCCAAAATTTAAGGTTCCCATTTACTACTTCTTATTTTCTTATTTATTAAAAAATAATTATTTATATTAACATTACGCCTTATATAGCTTATAATAAATTAAGAATTTATATAATGATTTATCTTACCTTAGCAATCCCTTATTAAGTAGCTTTAAATATAGCAAATTCCCATTTATTAATTTAAATTAAGATTTCTTTTAAATTCCTTAGTAATTTTAAAACATTCTTATATAAAGCTTTTATTTATAGCTAATTATTTATTTATAATAATTTATATCTTTATTATAAATTTAAGTATTACTATTAAAGCGGAATTTTAAATAAATAATAATTTAACTTATAGTTTAGGGCAACTATTTAAAGCACTTATTTATGCAGCTTTTAAATAACGGTTTATTCCTTAATATATTTTAATTCTTTTAATTTATATCCCTAAAGGTTAAAATTATATATTTTAAGATTAGCATTAATAAGATTAAAAAGCAGCCATTAGCCTTATTATTTCTCTTAAATAATTTTAAAATCATTTAGTTTAATATTAAATCCGCTAATTATTTAAAAAACCGCACCTTAAGCGGCCATAATAATCTTAATATACTTTTAAAGGCATATATTAAGTTTTTGCGGCTTTAAAAGGAATTTAAATTAATTATAAATATAGTATTTAAGTCTATAAATCTTAACTTAAAGGTTAAATTTATAATCTTAATTATGCCACTTTTTTAACTTAGTTAGGAAGGCGTTTTAGGTTTTATAATTATTTTTATTAGCCATTTTGCATAGCTTAAGGCAATAAAACTCTTAATTATTAAATTTTATACCTCCTTTATAATAAAATCCTTATATATATAATTAATTTTAATAGTTAATATAATAATATTTTAATTTTTATTTCTTTAAAGCTAGCTAATGGCAAGGGCTGGTTTTTTAACTTATAAATATTAATGCCTAAGGCATTTACTATTATATTACTTATGCATATACGGTAAATTTACGGTTTTATAATAAATCTGCCGTCTTTATAATAAATTTATAGTAAATTCACTAATTTATGGTGAATTCACAGTAAATCTACCGTGCAACCATCCAGCCACGGTATATTCACCGTTGGTTGGATCTGACAATTATATACCTTTTAGCTTAATTAGTTGCTGCTTTTGCAGCTTATAAAAGAAGGCGTTAATTAGCTTGCAGTTCTTTTAGGGCTAGCCCATAATAAATAATTTAAGCTTTAGGGTTAAGAGTTTAAGTTATGGTTTTACTTAACTATAAAGAAGATCTTTAGCTTGAAAAGGCAATATCGCGGGTAAGCCTTAGGGGTAGTTATATCATTATATAAGGAGGGAGCTTTAAAAAAAGGGGTTATGTGATGGGCTTGGGCTGGAAGCCTAAGCCTTATATAATGTGGCTAGGTAATTTAAGGGAGCTTGAATTATTACATACCTTTTGGCTTAATTAGTTGCTGCTTTTGCAGCTTATGGAAGAAGGCGCTAGCCAGCTTGCAGCCCTTTTAAGGCCAGCCCATAACATATTTTAAGAGTAGTAATGTTAATTTTACTTTTTAGCGCTTAATAATTCTTTAAATATTAAGCTTAATAAGGCTTTACATTTCTTAATATATTGCTTTAAGTTATTTATTTTAAAAAAGGCTTTTTTAAGCCTTTCTTTATATAATTAATTTTAAAGGAAGATTTTTATAATATTACTATATTAAGTAAGGCTTAAACTTAATCTTAAGGGCTTAAATAACAGCTATTATTATATTATTTAAGGTTAAAAAATATAAGTCCTTAAGTATTCTTTATTTTTATCTTTTAAGCTAATTAAATAAGAAAGTAATTATAAAGTTACTTTAAAAAGTTATATTAAGGTAAAATGTAATTATATTTATTAAATATAATAATTAATTAAAGGATTTTTAAGAGCGTTTATCTTAATTATATATTTAAAATAATCTTTTTATAAATTTAAATTCCTAAATTTATTCTTATATCCTCCTTATTTATATTAATTAAGAGGATTCCTAATTTCATATAGCTTTAAGTATATACAATTTTTAAAAGGAAGGTTTAAATTTATTAGCCCTTACTTTACTAATAAAAGTATATTTTTCTTTATAAAAGCTTTATTTTAATATATTTAGGATTTTCTTAAGGGTTAAAAGTTCTTATTTTTAATTTCTTAAGCTTTTTAAAAAGGTAATGTATGGCAAACTTTACCTTTTAAATTTAAAAATCCTTATTCCTAAATTTTAATTAAAAGTATTAGTTTTATTTTCTTTTAATATAAATTAAGTATTAAATTTATTATTTAAATTAATTAAGTTATTTTTTATATAAGGTATTAAGGGTATAATATAAATGTAATTTTAAATCTTTTTAATATTAATAATCTTAATATTTAATAATTTTGCTTTAAGAGTTAAAAGGCCGTTTTTTACTTTATTTATTACTAATTTATAAAATATATCTTCATTAAATTATATATTCCTTATAAAAATTATTTACTTAAGTAAAAGAATTTAAATTTAAAAGATATTAAATATTATATAATTAATTAAATACTTAATATAAGCTCTTAATTCCCTCTTTATAAGGCATTTCTTTATATTATTTTTACGTTCCTTTTTAAGCATATATACTTTATACTTATAAGCATAAATATTTCTTTAATAAAGTAATAAATAAGCTATAAAATAATAAATTTATATTAATTTAAACCATTAAAAATGGTAGGAAAATTATATATATAAAAGAGTGTTTAAGGCGCGCTTCTTTTTCTTTAAAGCAAGCAATATATTATGTAATTAAGTTATAGCTTATATTACCTTTAGCTAAAGATTAAAAGGTAAATTAACCCTTAATAATATAGCTAAAGCATATTTAATTATTACTTTATTAGCTCTTTTCATAGCATTATTTGCTTTCAAGGTTTAAAGGGAAGTAAGTTTTAAATTAATACCCTTTTATTTTACTTATTTAATATATTTAATATTTATAAATTAGCTAATTATTATGGTCTTAACATTTTATTTAATTTTATAAATATTTAAACTATATTACCATTTTACCCAGCTTTTATAAGCTTAAAAAGTATTAAATACTTATTTTTAAGTTTTTAATATAAAAGGAAAGATATAAATAAATTTTAAGAACTTATTTATTATTATAAGCTTATAGTTTAACCTATTTAATACTTATAAATAATAAAAAAGGTTTTATAAGATTTAAAAAAAAAGAGTTTTAAGCTCTTGCCTTTTAATAACCTGCATTAAATTACCTTTTTAATAAAGGCTTTAAAGCAATTCTTATAATTAATTTATTTAATTCCCTTAAATTTTATACCTTAAGCGTATTAAATTAATAATTTAAAAGCATTAGCCTTTAAGTATTTAAACTAAAGATGCCAAAGGATTATTAAGTCCTCTTAATCCTTGTCTAAGTGCTAAGAGGGCCTGAAAGGTTTTATTAAGTTTGTTCTTAAGGTTTTAACCGCTAGGCTAGCAAACCGGTCTCATAACTATAAAATAAAAGCAATGCCGCAATTGCACGGCAATTATAATACCTATATACTTTAACACACCCCCTATTTTAAGCAAAATCCAACTAGCTAAAATATATCCCAAAATGCAATTAATATTATATATAAAGGTTAAACTTAAAACCTTTTTATAAATTAATATTATTAAAGTAAGAAAATATAAGGTTAATATAGTTATTAATAAAAGATATTTTAAAGTTTTAATTACTAAGCTAGTAAATTAAGCTTATAATTATAAAATAAAAGCAATATTACAATTATATAGCAATTATAATATTTATACATTTTAATATACCCCTTATTTTAAGCAAAATCCAATTAGCTAAAATATATTTTAAAATGCAATTAATATTATATATAAGGGTTAAACTTAAAACCTTTTTATAAATTAATATTATTAAAATGGGAGAATATAAGGCTAGCGTGGTTATTAATGAAAGATATCTTAGGGTTTTAACCGCTAGGCTAGCAAACCAAGCTTATAACTATGGAACAAAAGCGACGCCGCAATTATACGGCAATTGTGGTACCTATATACTTCAACAAATGGTGCCTGGTAGAAGTTGTTGCTGTAGCCAGGGTGAAAGCTTCGTTCGAGTACGTCTCTGTGCTTTTGAAACACGTCCGACGCAATTTGGAATGCTTTCCACGGCAGCGTGGCCGGTCCACAGTGGACGTTGATCGTTTGCGCGTTGAACACTTCTTGCACGACCCAGAGCCGATGCCAGTAATCCCTGTCAAACAGGGCCACTACAGCGGCGAAATGCTGTTCGCTGAACGGCGCAAATGTACTTCTCGTTATCTCCCGTGGAATCTTGGCCCCATTTGATACCTTTTCAATGAGTTCCATACCGAGGTCGCTGTCGTCAGACCGTGGGCCGAGCCAGACTGCCACTGATTTGGCTCTCTGGTAGATTTGCGTCATTAGTCGGACTTGATCGGCCTTCTCGGACGTGTTCTTTTGATCGATACAAAGGGCATCTGCCCAGACCAGGACCGCACTTCTTGGGTCCCTGAGTGCCCTCAGGGCCGATTCCAGGCTAGCAGATACGCTCGTATTTATGTTCGCCCGCCCTATAAGTATCTTGCGCGTGTCGCCCACGTCTCCCCAGGCATAGGAAAGCGCAATGTATTCTGGTGATTCACTCAACCTGTAGGTGAACATCTCGCATCTGACGACATCCTCGGTATCGTCTTGCCGTTGAGGACATACCATGATGAGCCTGAACTCCCCCCTATCGAGACAGTCATAGTTGTATACCGTGGTATTCGCTGATGCTATAGATGGGGACACACGCCGGAACGTGCTCAATGTGGTCACAGAAGGCGAACTCCGGGATCGAAAGCTTTTTGGGTTAGAGGAATCAAAACCATCCCCGCCGCTCGTCAAATTTGGGACCACCAGAGTTTGAGAAATAATGTGAGAAGGACCTCTGTTTCCTAGAGGCACATTATTTCGAGACCCAAGGACATTGGGTCGACGAACAGGGTTGATGGATCGATGATCGGTGGGTGAAAGGAAGGATTCTTGTCGACCAGTCCTATTAGTGTTCCAGGAGACAGGGCGCTGCCTTGTGGATTGAGATCCGGTGGCAGGATCTCGAGATAGCGGTTGTGATGGAATTTGATGGACGCGAGATTCGGTATCATCGAACAGCTGTCGGTCCCGTCGCGGCATACCATGATGGTCGCCGCCGCCGTCACTCAGGGACATGATCGCTTGGCAAGACAACTTCAAGTTGTGCCTGATGCCTGTTGCCAATGTGTAGGTGATTCGGTTTACTTTGCTTTGGAAATCCTACCCCGCCTTCAAAACTTTCATGCAGTAGAAGACTGGTGTCAGCATGCGAGTTTATCATGCAGACGGAACTTACTGCCTGAGTAGGTCAAGGTTAATTTGGACATGCGTCTGCATTGTACCACCATACATAACGAGGCAGGCCGGGAAAATACCACAACTAGGATGTTACTTCAGGACTACAGAGGAGGAGGTATTTGTGGGCAAGAGATGCAATCATTGGTGCATGAGAAGTTCGGTGGTGTGCCGTACCACCATACAACACAAAGTTCGTTCTCAAGCCTTCCAATTGCCCGTGGTGTCTGTTCGTTTCTACTAACCGATGGCATATGCCTATGGCCTTGAACCAATTTCCACCAGAGGTTGCGAAGGCTATTTGAAGAATTACTGTGCCAGTCAAAAATCTTTTCAAGTGCATATATAATAGTGGTCCTGCGCTTTCAAGCACACAACAGGACTTCATTGTAACAGATTCAAGTCGTCATACAACCGTCTAGGACAGAAAACCACGAGACTAACTACGACCACACTAACACATGTGCCTGATACAACCTGAAAGACTGCACTCAAAAAGTACTTAGCTGTAGGATTATGAGTGGCAGGTTTCCGATGGTATGAATCCCTCGGAAAAGTGGATAGAATTTGAGAGATTTTACTCTTCAAACATTTCAACGTAGTATACGCGGCTCTTCACAACCTCGTTACCAAGATCACATCTGAAGACGCATGGTGATATGCCATTTGCAGGCCACGCAATGCTGAGCCATACGGTTGTATTTCGCATGCTCTTCTTTAGAAGACGGAAAATTCGCACCCGCAAAAAAGGAGAATACACCGTTATGTCACTCAAGCCATAGCTACAGCAAATTAAAGTACATCACCCAGGCCTAATTCGCACACCCACACCCACACCCAACACCCACACATCTAATGCTTACACACCCAACACCTATACAACCAGTTCACAAACTTAATCTACATGGCTAATTGGATATACTAATTGGGTATGTAAATTAGTCGGTGGGTTTATGAATTCTCATGTTGTTTAGTACTGGCGATGTACTGGTGTACCCTCCGGTTTTGCAGGTGCGAATCTCTGATTTTGTTGGCAAGTACGACCCTCGCACTTGAAAGGCTACTTTAGTTATCCCCTCCAGAGCACATAGCCTCTTAGAACTTAAACAGAATAACACTAATATATAATTGCTTCCCATATAATTATTATATATATAAGAAACTTATTAATACTAATTAATAGTTATAAGTATTATAAATTAATAAGGTAAAAAAGGTAATTTTATAAGGATTTCCCTAACTTAAAAATTATATCCTCCTTATTAATAAGCATTATATAGTAATAACTACTTCTTTAAGCCTCCCTATATTATTAAACTTCTTAAGTAAATATTATAAAAATTAAATAAATTAAATAGCATTCCTTATAATATATATATATATATTTATTATTATTTAAGAAATATATATTTATTATATATAAAACTTTATTAAAAATAAATTTATTTTTAAATCCTTTTTAAAACTTAGCAAAACTTAATAAAGCTTTATTTTATTAAATAAATAAAGCTTATAATTATTATAATTATTAAATAAATAAAGCTTATAATTATTGCAATTATTAAAGTTAATATAATGCTATATTATAAGTAAATATAAGTTATATATTATATTTTTAACTAATATAAAAAAACTTAATAATAAGAAAAAGCCTTAGCTTTTAAGGCTTAAAGGAATTAATAACTTTTTCCTTTTAATAATTATAACTTACTTTTTATTAAACTACTATTATTAACTTACTTTTAAATATTACCTATTTTATTAATATTTCTTTATTTTATTAATTTTACTCCTTATAATATTTATTATAAAAACCTATAAGCATAGCTAATAATATTAAAAAGCTATTAGCTTTTATTAAAGAATATATAATTAATAAAATGCTTACTTAAACTTTAATTAACTTAGCCTATTATAAATATATTAACTTAAAACTATAATTTATAACCTTTATATAAAAAGCATTAATAAAATACTTAATTACCTACTTAATAAGTATTTTAATAAGCTATATATAATAAAATCTTTATAATAATAACCTTTTTATTATTTATTATAAGAATTATATAGTGTAAATATAAGCAATATTTAAAGTATTATTAAATTCTTATTAATAATATTTAAAAGTTTTTTTTTTAAATATAAGGCATTTATATAAAACGCAATAACTAACTTATAATATTATAATTAATTATTATAGCTTAAGCTAAGGAAAGATTAAAATAAATTAATAATAAGCTTTATAATGCTTTATTAACCTTAAAATTAAATATAAATAAATATTATATATAACTTTAAAGATAATAATTATAAACATAGCCCTTATAAGCATTATAAATAAGCTTTAAATAATAATAATTATTAAAAGAATAATCCTTAAAATAACTTTTATTATTATTGCTAGCTTTAAGTATATAATTATAAAACTTAAACTTAATAATATAATTTATTAAAAACTAATATAGCTAATAAGGCTTACTATTATTAATAAAAAGATAAAAACAAAGCTTATATTAAAAATATACTTTATACTTAGCATAATCTTAAGCTATTTTAAAAATATCTTTATTAAATAAAAAATATAACTTATATAAAATTCTTTCCTTATAATATATTCTTAATAAATGCTTAAATTTAGCAAAGTTAACATAATTTATAAAAACCTTTAATAACTTTTATAAATATATTAATAACCTATATAATTTATTAAATAATAAAATAAAAATATTTTTTAATATTTATTATTATATTAAAATTTAATTAAGTTAATTCCATATAGTTTTTTTTTAAATACTTAAAGATTAAGCCAAGGCATATTATCTTTATTTTATAAATTAAACTAATATATTTATAATAACATACCTTAAAATTAAAATATATTTTAATATAAACCTTAATTATTAATATTATTATATAAATTAAATAATAATAATATTTATAAAGATAAAAATATAAAATTTAAATAAAAACTTATATAAGGTTTTATATTTAATATTTAATAAGCTATAACTTTATTAATAAGTATTAAGTTAAAATTATGCTAAAAAGAATAATTTAAAAATAATAGTAATTAAAGCTTATAAAAAAGTTTTTAAGTTAAAAATAGCTTTTTTTAAGCTAGCTTAATTATATAAAGAGTTATTTTTAAACTTAAGATTTATAATAAAAACATAGCTTAGCTATATAATTATAATTTATATTATAAATAAAGTTTTAAATTAATATTATATTAACTATAAATATAATAGCTAAAAGCTAAGGGAAGGATAATAATTATAATCTTAAGCATTTTAAGGAAATTAAAGATTTAGCTAATTAAACCTAAGCTATTTAAGCTTTAAGCAGTTAAAATCCTATAATATTAATTATAAAGCTTAAAGTAATAATGCTTATAAAGAAAAAAAAATAACCTTAAAAAAATATTATATTTATAAAAAAAAGAAATGCTAATTAATTAAACATTTAACTAATAAGTAATATTTAATAAGAAAAAGCTACTTAATATAATATAAATATAAAGGTTATAATAATAATTTTAATACTTTTTTAAGTAAATTTAAAAAATATAAAATAAATAATAAAGATAAATTTTATAAATATAAAAATAAATAAGATTAAGATAATAATTATAATAATAATACTTATATTATAAAGATAAAACTTAATAAGAAAGTTTATTATATAAATATTAATTTCTTAACTAATAAAATATTTATATATTAAATTATTAAAAATAATATCTTTTAAATAAAAATAATTATTATAGCTAATTAATTTATCTTAAAAAATAAATATAATTAAACTTATTTTTAAGAAATCTTGCTAAACATAAAAATATTATTAATATTTATAGCTAAATATAAGCAATTTCTTACATTATAATAAGAAAACTTAAAGTATTAAATTAATATAACTGCTATAAAAAAAGCTAAAGTTAAATTTAATAATAAAATAACTATTAATTTACTTAATATAATAAAAGTTTCCATTTTAATTAATTATATTAACTTTTATATTATTTAAGCATAAACCCCATTCCTACTTTACTTAGCAAATATAAATAGGCTTTAAGTATATTATAATAATATTATAAATAAAATAATTTCCTTTAATAATGCAATTATTATACTAATACTTAAAAAATAAAGTTACCTATAGTTTTTCTTAAATTAAATTATTAATACTATATATTTCCTTTTAAAGATAAAAATAAAAAAACTTTATTATTACTTTAAATACTTATTAATAAATTAATTATATTAAATACTTAAAAAAGCTAGCAATTTAAATATTAATAAATAAGCAATAGCAAAGATTAAAAAAATATATTATTATTATTAAATAAATAAACTTATACTTAAGCATTTTAAGTTTATATTATATAATAATTATAAATTTAATTATAAAATCTTAATTAATATAATATATTTAAGTAAATGCTTAATCCTTTATATTATAAATTAAGCTATAGCTTTTTAAAAAGCAAAATTCTTAAAATTTATATTTATAAAAACTACATAGCAAATATTATAAATGCTTTAAATTAATATATATTAAAAATCATTAAATATTATTAAATATAACATAAAAATAAACTTTGCATTCTTAGAATTTTATTTAAAGGCATAAATAATAAAAATTAAATGCAAATAAGTCCTTATAAAAGCATATTAATTTATTAAAAAAGTTAAAAAATATTATTAAGCCCTTAAATAAGTATATAAAATCTTATATATTAAACTATATAATAATATAAATAATAATACTATTTTATAAATAACTATAAAAGTTATTAATAATACTGCTAAATTAAATAAATTAATTTTTACGCTTTTAATTTTTAATGCTTATTTATAAGTATTATATAAATTATTATTATTATTATTAATATAAAAGCAAATAAAAGCTATTTTAAAGGCTATAAAGATATTATAAAAAATTATAGTTAAATAATAAATGCAAAATATATTAAATATTAAAGTTAAACTTATCTTTAATATAAAATATTTATTATAATGCAAAGTTTGCATATAAAGAAAAAGAAAAAAATAAAAAAATTTATATAAAGTTATTATTATAAATAGCCATAATATAACCTTAAATATATTAAATAAAGTTATAATATTTAAGTTAATAATTATTTAATTATATTATTAAGATAATAATAAGGAAATGCAACCCTTATAAATAAAAAACTTAGCTATAAAACCTTAAATATAACTTATTATATAATTATTATTATTAAAAATAAAAAACTATATTATTATATTATATATCTTAAAAAAAGAAAATAAAAATTATAACTTAGCAATTAAATTAAGATAAGATAAAGTTATTATAATATTAAGCTTATTATTTAAAGAATTTAATAAAATAAAAATTAATAACCTTATTATTAAAAATATCTTTTAAATTAAGAAATAATTAATAAAGTAATATAATAAATATTATCTTTTTAAGTTTTGCATAATATAAAAGGTAAAAAGTAAAATTATAAAACTTTATAAAAAATCTTAATTTATTATTTAAGGTTATAATAATAATAAAAAGGAATTAATCTTAATATAAAGCTTAATTATTTAAAAAATAAGTTAATAAATAATCCTTATACTTACCTTTTTATTAATTTAAGAAAAAGGCATAATTCTTATACTTTAAGATATTACTTAAACTTACCTTTAAATAAAGTTAAAATTATATAAAATAATCTTTGCAAAGCTATTAAAGAAACTAAAAAATAAATACTCTTTAAGTATAATTATTTATATTATTTAATTCTTATATAGCATAGCAAAATTTAATATTTATTAATTTAATATATATTAAAGATATTATTAATAAAAGCTTAAAATAAATTGCTTTATATATAATTCTTACTTAATAATTATAAAGCTTATATAACTTTTTAAGATAATAAATATATAAATAAATAATATATTAATTTTATTTATATTAAAATATTAAGATAAGAAAGAAATTAAAATAAAAATTATAAAATTATAAGGAAAATTAAAATAAAAGCTAATGCTTAAAAACTTAATAAATTATAATAAAGCTTATATAATTATAAATATTATTAGCTTAATTATTATTTAATAAAAGGAATAAGTTAATAAACTTGCCCTTATTAATATAATAATTAAAGATACTCCTTAAAAATACCTTAATTAAAAAGCTTATAAAGTATATATAACTTTAATTTATTAATTAAAAGCTTTATATAATCTTTTAATAGCTATATAAGTATAAAATTTAAAGGCAGGAAATTATAAAAGCCTAAATATATAATTATTATAATAAATAAATAACATTATATAAAGAATTAAATATATATTCTTTAATTTTAAAATAGCAAAACTTTTTATATTTATAAATAAATTATTTATAAATAATTAAAATTTAATATCTTAACTTAAATATATTATTATTCTTATAAATAAAATTTATAAAGAAATTAAAAGATTTATAATAATAAGTAATATTCTTTATTAATTATTAATAAAGTATAAATATATTACTTAAAGTATATTAATAAGTAAAATTTATAATATAATAAATAAAGTAAATATTAAAATTTCCTTAGCTATAATAATTAAGATAGTTATAAAATAATTTTTATTATTAAATATACCTTTAATTATTTATATAAACTTATATAGCTTATATAAATACCTTATAAAGCTAGGAATAATAAAGAAAAAGCACTTTATAATTAATATTATATTATTATAAAAGTTATATAAGATAAAAAAAATTGCTAAAGTAAGGTAAATAAATAAAAAAAATAACTTTATTAATATAATAATAAAATTAATTTTAAATATTATATTATAAAAGTTTATTAATAATAATAAGCTTTATATATAAGTAAATAAATTAATTAAGAAACTTAAAATAGCCTTTTTTTATTAAAAAAGGAGTAACTTGCTGCTAATACTTTTTTCTTTTAACCTTACCGTTATTAATTATAAAACCTTATACCTCTTAAACTTAAATCCTTAATATAAACTTTAATCTTTTATACTTTAATTAAAACCTTTTTAATACTTTATTATATATAAGGATAACCTTATAATTATTAATATTATTAATAATTATTATTTTAAAATTAACCTTATTATTATTATTATTTTTTACTGCTATTTATTAATAATAATATTAAAATTAATTTTTATTAAATTTATTTATAATTTATTAACTTTTTTTATAATTAAAAAATAAATTAATAATTATTATATAATAATTATAAAGTTTTATATTATAAATATTTATTTTAATTATTAAATTCTTATAAAATCTTTTTCTTTTTATTATAATGAAAAATATTAATAATAATTTATAAAAGTTATTTAATACTTTTATTAATATGCTTTATAAGGATAATAATAATAAGTAAAATTATTTAATAAATATTGAATTTATTATTTATGCTAAAGATATACTTAATATAATTATTATTATAATTATTATTAATATAATTAATATTAAAAATAAACTTATTATAATCCTTAATTAAAATTAAGATTTCCTTATAAATATTATAATTATAACTTTAATTAATAAAATAAATATTATAATTATAACCTTAATTAATAAAATAAATATTATAATTATAATTTTAATTAATAAAATAAATATTATAATTATATTTTTATTAAGTAATAAAATAAAGATTAAAATTATTATTAAGGTTATAAAAAGGGCTAAAATTATCTTAATTAATAAGAATAAAGATAAGCTTATTAATTTTATTAATTTTTATAATAAGGTTATTATTAATAACGCTTATTTAATAAATATTAATAAGGATATTAATAATAATAACGCTTATTTAATAAATATTAATAAGAATATTAATAATAATAATTCTTATTTACTTAATATTAATAGTAATTTAATTATTATTAATAATAAAGATAATTAAAATTAAGTTAATAAAATCTTAATAAAAATTATAAAAACTACTTTTAATTTTACTTTTATATTAAGCATTAAAAAAAGTAAGCTACTTATTAAGGTTAATTTTTATAAAATTATTAAAATTAATAAGCTAAAGGTTATAATTATAGCTTAAGTTAAAATACTTTTTTTAAATAATGCCATTATAATAGCTATTATTTAAATTATTAATAACTTTTAATATTAAAAAATAAATATTTTTTTTAATAATATAATTAAAAAGTTATGCATTTACATTAAAAGTATTAAAACTTTTAATATAAAATTATATAATATCTTTAATAATAAAAATTATTAAAGTAATTATTATTTTAAATATTAAATTATTATAATTTTTATAATAAATAACTTAATAAGAATTTTAATTTTAAGTATTTTTTATATATATTAAATTAAAAAGATTTAATTATTAAAGAATTAAATTGCTATATTAACTTAACTTTAAAACTTTTTATATTAAATTATTAATAAGTATATATAAAGCTTATATATAAAAAGATTTATTAAAAAATATATATTATTATTTAAGTAACTTAAATAAAAAATAATTATTAAGGAAATTAAAAAGAATAATAAAAAGCAAAAAAAGAAAATAATAAATAATTAAGCTATTTATAATATTTAATTTTAAGAAAATAAAAAGTAATTAAAAGAAATTAATTTAAAATAATATTAAATATATTTTAATAATAAAAATAAAAATAAAAATAATAATATTTATATTATAAAAATATATAATAAAAATAAATATAAGTTAAAGGGTTTAGCATTAACTTTATAAATATTAACTTCCCTTATAAAAAAAAAATTTAAAATTAAGGTTATTATATAAAAGTTAATAATTTTTATAAAAAAGCAATTTTAAAAGCTAAGTATTAAAAATAATAAATATAAGATTTAAGAAATAATATAATAATAATAATTATAAGTTTAAAAAGTAATATAATAATAAAAGTTATTAAAACTTATTTTAAAATTTATAAGTTATAATTTTAAGCTTTTTTAGTAATACTTTCTTATAATAAAGATTATATATATTTATTAAAAAAAGAGAAAAACTATAAGTATTAATAAGTATAACCCTTACACTTAAAAGGCTACTTTAATTATCCTCTTTAGGGCACATAGCCTCTTAAAACTTAAACAAAATAATACCAATACACGATTGCTTCCCATACGATTATCATACGTACGAGAGACCTACCAACAGATTTCCTTCTTTAACCATGAGGTTCAAGACTAACACTCTGGCCCAACACTTAAGCACCTTTCACATCCGGCCCCGGCGCAGCACTCCCAGGCTCTGCAGGCTTGATCCCAGCGGTGCCAACATCATTTGTGGTCGTCAGATTCCCTGTGCCGGCCGCTGCTTCCTCGTAGGTGTTTCCCTTGCCTGGCAGGCCGCTGTCCGAGGCGACAGGCGCCTCACCTGGTGCGTGGCCTTCTTTGTGTGCGGACGCATTCTCCGCGCCGAGACCCTGAGCTGTAATCGGATCAGTCACTGTCAATTTCAGACAGATGTGGGATGCGTGATTAACAAACCTTGTGCCTGTTGCTTCAGAAACTTGTCGCTGGGCTCCTGGCCTCCGGCTGTCTTGGTTGGTGCCATGGCTACGTTCATGTCGAGTATGCTGTCAAGTGCGAAGTGTGTGAAGGATTAAGTTTTCTATGTGGTAGTCGATTGTTGTCAAATACGAGATGAAGATGTTGTGTAGAATACAAATGCCCAAGTGCCATCTTTTGCAGATGGCCCTTATTTGCGGCCTGAGATGACGGAACCCATGGCCAGACTGTCAACGTCACAATACATCACCGTCCATGATCAACAGCCTGACGTCACTTATCACACTCGGCGTATCCAAGAGCGATTTGCGAGTCTGGAAAACTTCACCGGCATGGTGTGACCGGAAGATTTCCAGCTTTTCAATTTCTGCAATCTCAGCTTTGGGCCATCATCCCTTGGCTGTCTTCTAGGTCACGAGATCATGTTCAGGAGCTATGGGTCTCAGTGAATGGGGTCTGGAAGAAAGGGTCCAGCCCGAAGAAACAACCTCAGACCCCTGTCTGCGTCAATCAACCCCAGCAGAGCCACGGCTCCGACAAGCCGCCCTTGGAAAGCATCGTTATCCGACATGCCAAAAACACCAAGGCAACCACCACCACCCAACCCACCAAAAACCAAGCAGCGCACCCAAAACCCGACCTCGATACTGCCACACGACCCCAACCCCCAGAGTCGCCGTCTAGACGGCGACACCTCGACGCCCGCCCACGATGCAAGGCTTCAACATGGGGCGGTACGTCCCGCCCGAGCTAGAGGGCGTCGCGAGCGCCAACCAGGCGTCGGGCAAGGGGCACGCCCTGGGCGCCAGGGCGTCCAAGCTCCGGAGCGAGGGCATCCTCACTGTGCGCTTCGAGATGCCGTTCGCCGTGTGGTGCGGGACGTGCACCCCTCCCGTGGTGATCGGGCAGGGCGTGCGGTTCAACGCCGAGAAGAAGAAGGTCGGCAACTACTACAGCAGCCCCGTGTACAGCTTCCGGATGCGGCACCCGGCGTGCGGCGGGTGGATCGAGGTGCGGACCGACCCCAAGAACACGGCGTATGTGGTCGTCGAGGGCGGGAAGAAGCGGGACACGGGCGAGGGGAAGGGGGCGGAGGACTCGCTTGTCGGTGACAGCGGCATGGCGCCCATCAAGACGCTGCGCGAGCAGGCTGAGGAGCGCGAGGTGGCGTTCTCGAACCTTGAGAAGACGATTGAGGACCGCGCCGCGCTCGCTGCTGCGAGGGAGAGGCTCGACGAGATCGAGGACGCCAACGCGAAGCAGTGGGACGACCCGTACACGAGGAACCAGATGCTGAGGAAGTCATTCCGCGTGGGCCGGAAGCAGCGGGAGAAAGATAGCGCGGCTGCTGAGGACCTGAAGGACAGGATGAGCCTGGGGATCGACCTGTTGCCTGAGAGCGAGGAGGATGCGCGGTGGGCCAAGCTGGTGGATTTTGGGACGGCGCCAGAGGACCTGGGCGAGAAGGCACTCTCAAAACCACTGTTTGGGGGGCCTAAGTCTACGGCACAGGAGAAGAAGACGAGAGACCACAAGGCTTCCACAAAGAAGCTACTCAAATCAGAGATTGCGGCAACGAAGATGAGGGAATCCCTGGTTTCTGAGATCGTTGGCAATACTCGCGTGGCCAGCGATCCTTTCCTTGAGCCACGGAGCAGAGGCGCGACAAGAAGCACGGCTAATATCCTACCGGGACTGAAGAGGAAGAGGCAGGCTGAGGTTGAACCCAGCCCACCTCCAGAAGACAAGCCACCTGAGAAGGCGGCCGCCACGTCTGCGGCTCTAGTGGATTACGACTCGGACTGACCAAGAGTCAACAACTCACATTACCTTTTTTTTATCACATTATGATACCCCATAGAGTTCGCATTCGAAATATATCACTTGATCATGCAGCTCTTGCAGACTTGTTGAGTAGTCTTATCTCCATTGACCAGTTATCTGAGATTAGGTGTTGTTCCTTTGTGCAGGGGCCGATACGAATGTTGCTGTCAACTATTTCCTCCCAGCAGAATAGTCCAAGCCTTTGCTCTCATTGCCCTCTCCCCGGAAAAACGACACATACTCACCTCGGGAGAAAAGCAGCGGAGGGTTGAGGACCAATCGCTCGTTCCACTCCAATGGAAATCGAAAAGACAAAAAAAAAAAGCATGCCATCTTATAGAATCCAGAACTTCCAATGCAAACCGACCCGGGGGTGTGAGACCGATGACGCCGAAAAAGTAGATGATCAAGAGGAAGGCTCCTTCGCCTTAGGAGACGTTGTCTACACGTCGTCCATCTGGCCTGCAGGCTCGTCGTCGTCGTCATCGCCGAAGCTCCCCACCGAGCTCATGTCGTCGTCGTCCTCGCTCTCGGCGCCGGCCTCCTCAGCGGCATCCTTGCTCGCGTATCGTTGGACATACTCTACCCCGGATGTCAGTAATCTGACATGACATGCCACGCAACGGCAAATCAAGAGCTCCAACGTTTGGGATATCGTGACCTACCCCGTACTTTGGACTCGTATCCCTTGGGATCCCTGAGCATCAACGCTGCGGCCTCTCCGTTGAGCGGGTCGGAAGGGTTTGGGTATCGCAGGAGATGTGGCAAGAACGCCTCAAAGATGTTTATCATGTCGTACATTGGTGACCAGGTCTGGTTGATGACGTCCAGACAGACGGAGCCGGACCTAGACAATTCCCGGTGTTAGCCTGCTCTCACTTTCCAGTCTCTTCTTCCCTTGTTTGTGTATTTTCACATTGCCGTCCTCCTCTGCTGGTGTGCGGAAGGTCTCACTCACAACTCGTCGATATTTGGGTGGAATATACGGTTCGTGAAGCCGATGCTCGGAGACTTGTAGGGGTACTGGTCGGGTAGCTCGACGTGGACCTTCCAAACGCCGCCTTCAAATGGAGCTATGCATTCCCGTGTGAGCCATGATCTTCATCCAGTGCTCATCTTTCTCTCTAGTCACTAACTTTCTGTGGGTCCCTTGAACTTGATGTAGAATTCCTGCCTGTTCGAAGCTGTAAGCCGGAAGATCGGGGGGAATGGTCTCGTTCGCTTCGGATCTCTTACACTGCAACCGGTCAGTCAGACAAGGGGCCAGCACGGGCCTGGAGCAGTTGGACTCACTGTTGTCGTTGACCAGTGTCACCTCGTAGTCACTCATCAGCCTACCGGGGTTAGTCTCTAGCGCAAGGAACCGTATATCGTTGGGCCATACATCCTAGAGGCAAGTTAGCAAGCTGACCAGGCACCACGAGGTCGTATGGGCGACTGCGGGGACGTACTTCATGACCTATATCAAGACGACAGACGGTCAGCAACTCGAGGACATTCTGTGGCCGGGAGGGGCGGACAGTGGGTGACTCACATCAGTCTCGATCCTGCGGCGCGGGCTCGCCATTTTGGCAGTTGTGATCGCGGTCGATCGTCCTGATGTTGGGGTCTCGGGCTCGTGACAAGTTGAGAGAGGGGATGCACGGACGCCGTTGGATCACTGGGGACCTTGACGGCTTGTCGCTGAGGCGGTGGGAAGGCGGTCACAGAAAGGGTTGAATATGACACGACCAGGCGCTGGACGTCCTTATGTGCTGTGGGAGACGAGAAGATGGGAAGCGGTGGGTCGCGGTGGTTGAGTCGGAAGCACAGTCAGTTGACGTGTAGTTGGGTTAGGTCAGAGGTCGTGCAACTGACGTTACAGTACAGGCCGGGGGACGGAGAGCGGATAACGGCGAGCCTGCCATGACGAAGGCGGAGCAGGGGTCGGGTGCACCTCGGATAAGAGATAACAAGGACCCTTGATCTGACCGCCCCACTCAGGCGCCTTCCCAAGCTCGGAAAGGGAAAGGCGCTTTATTTCGCAACGACGCGCAGACAACGCCAGCCATCCGAGGTCAGTCACGAGGAACTGTGAGTAATGGCGTTGTTGCTTAGGAAAGGCAAGTGAAAAGCAGTGCAGCTACCAGAACTTCCACGAAGTACACTCGCTATTTGGCAGCTATGTCAAGTAATTCCTGAGAGACAAATTCAGCCAATATCCAAATCATTGCCTCACACCACATCCCCCCCTTTCTGCTGCAACAAGCTGATTCCCCGCTTCCTGCTGCAACACTGTCAACACTGTAGGCGGATTGCAATTACTGCCAGTGCAGGACTAAGATGCAGGTTACAGAGCGCGCATTCGTGTCAGTCGTGAGTGGCGCTCAGCCTGCAGTTGTGACTGGGATCCATGTGTAAGTACCTAGGGTAGGCAGCAGGGCTCTGCTTTCGAAATTTCTGCAGCTGCCATCCTCCCCCTCATTCTCCTTGTCGACATTCGTGTCCGGCGACGGGCAAGTATCATCAGCTGCAGATGTATACAGCTGAGTTCATCCGTCAAGACCTCGACAATGAAGCATACCATTTGGGGGTCCAGTGATGTTCCTATATTGCTTCCACACCAATATGAGCCGCTCATCGCTGGAGATGCAGTGCGGATCTTACACTTAGAGCCAGCCAACGACTTTCACTCACCTCTTCGTGGTTTCATGACCCAGCAGCAACTAACATTCGAATCAATCGAGCCGGATGGCTGCTTGTACTCCGCCGTCTCGTATACTTGGGGTGACCCAAAGCTCTCCCATAAGTTATTTCTCAGGCGGAAGACCAAGTGGAGCTTACTCCCAATTACCAAAAACGCTGATTCGTTACTTCGCCACATTCGGGATGCCCGCAAGGAAACAGCCCTTTGGATCGACGGAGTTTGCCTGAATCAAGGGGATCATAGAGAAAAGGCTCAACAAGTCCCTTTGATGGGTCAGATTTACGCTCATGCAAACAAAGTCCATATCTGGCTGGGCGACGAGGAAATTGAAGACGCTCAACAAGCATTCTCTCTCATACGGAGGATTGAGATTAAAGGGAGCGGGATGCTATATCCTGGGACCGACGATTTCCTCTGCCTCGAGAGATTTTTCAACAGACCCTGGTTCACTAGACGCTGGATCATTCAAGAGACATTTTTCGCACATGACGCCGTTTTCCACTGTGGACATCACACGATCAGCCTTTCTCGTGTAATGGCTGTACTGGCCAAGGCCCAAGTCGTGACGAGCGAGCTGCCGGGATGGGGTTCACGAATGCTGAAAACGAGCATCGGGGTTGGTCAGACACACAGGCAGGGGCTGCTTTCCTTGCTATGGGACCTTCATGAGTCTGAATGTTCCGACGAGCGGGACCGGATCGCAGCGGTCTATAATTTAGCTGATAATCAAGCCCGCCCGCCACTTTATTACGACACCGGAAACTGGAAAATGATGTATACAAAGATAGCATCATGGTATCTTAACAACGACACGGACACAGCACAGGCCTTATTACTCCATCTCTGCGACTTTGGCTCAATTCAGTGGAGCAAGAATAATGAGGTTCCATCTTGGGTTCCGAATTGGTCTACAAACCGCCAGGAAGTGATACCATTTCAAGTGTTGGAAAGGTTGCTTGAATACTCTACCAAAAACAACCGGAGGAATATCTCAGGCAGCTGGGTTGGGATGACGAGTCAGTGGAATCCGTTGTCCATCTTGCAGCTTGGTTTTTCAGACAGCAAACGATGGAAGCAGAAGCTAGCACAATGCCAGTGGAAAGAAGACCCAGGCCAGGCTGTGAACAGCAACCCAGCCCCAATGCAATTTGAGGTGTCAGGATCCAGACTGCGGGTCAACTACGACTTCTTTACATTCACCTACGGATGTGGAACTGTGGATCACGTCGTCTGCCCCGCTCTATCAGAGGACTTCTGGGAGGAGATCATGGGACTGGTCAGGCGGCGCGAGAAAACACTTGGCATAGTCAAAGACCGCCTCAAGACGAATAGTGTGGTGTTTCAGGCAAGTAAACGTCACCAAATGGAGATTGATTCTCTCAGCTCGCTATTGGTGAGTGTTCTTGCGGGAAGAGACTCGTCTCCGGGCTATGTTTTACCTGGCTTGAGGAAGCCCGTCAGGAAACTCTGCGCAGGCCTGCGTCCTGGACGTGGCCACGAGAACAACTTTCAAGCTCCGACTGGCGATCAAAAGCGACTCCTCCAAAGGATACGGTCTGCTGTGAAGAACATGGCGATAATGAGGATCCAGGCAACTATGGGATATTATTGGGCGATCGGGCCGCCGAATTTGGTGAAGGGTGACTGGTCGATACCCATCATTGCACAAGGGGAAAGAGTGCCGCGCAGGCCGGAAATAGGAATCACCCGTTTCATGTTTCTCAGACCGATCAACCCGAAGGCTCAAAGAGAAACATGGTACCCATCTCCAACGTCTGGCCCAGAAGGCCGGTTGCGCGGCTTGCTTGGGTTTAAGATGGCGGAAGTTGATGCCGTGAATGTAACCGCAAAGTTTGTTGGTTCTGGGGGAAGCTGTCTTCATTCGTTTGATTACAGTTTAAGGCATGATACAATAATGTGGAGAGTCTTACGGCAGGCGACTGAGGCGGCCAAAAAAAGGGGCTTACCAGGTCCGATCATCTTTGATGTTGTCTGAGCTGGGGAAGGTAGCAGCGTCGCGAGCTGCTATTTCTTCAACATGCCTGAAAAAGTGTATCTCTGAATGAAGTGGTAAATTTGAACGTGGGTACACTTAGAGTCAAGTTGCAGTAGATCGAGAGACATACGCTTTTGCCAAAAGTTTGCGACGCAGCTGCGACAAATGCGTATATCCTGCCTTCGGCTTTGTAGAATATGATAAAAGTTTTCCTCGGTGGCGATGGGATACTCAGATATTGCAAGAGAGCTATACCGATATCTGCCGGATGATTCAGGGGGCATGAGATGACTGCTCCTGAAGCCCATGAGCATACCCAAACAGTGACTTCCATTTCGCCTCAACACTTTCCGAACTCGATACAATCAACGAGAGCAGATCAGTAGTCAATCGCATTTCACTGAAGATGCACTCGAATGAGATTATCCAAGTCGTCACTCTAGAACCAGGCGCAGTGCCGCCCAGCAGAGGTCCATCAAGTCAGAACTCAAGAGTTCTGTTCTCTTGGAGTTGCTCTTACACATTTCACCTGAGTAGGTGTATACTAACATTTAATATCGATGTGATTGTAAGCAACGGCCTTGGCTGGCTGGCTGACCGAACGCCCGACCGACCTTCGTTGTGTGCCTTCTTGAAGTTGAAGACCAAGATTCTTCTCAGGAGACCGTCCGTCTCACAGAATGACCTTTTTTGAAACAGAGGGCAAGCGCTAATAGCGAGATTACTCCAAGAAAGAAAGTCTCTGGTCTGACAGAGCCGCCTACTCTGGCCCAAAGGTCTGTGTTTTGACAAATATCCCTCAAGAAAATATTAGTAGAACCATCCTAGATCGTAGTACCTGTTGGAATGTTGACAGACTCGCAGACTCCGTGTCCCTTGACCGCCAGACCTGCTACGGTAGTTGGTGATGAGAGCGGATCGTCACATTAGCCAGGCGAGGCAGCACCGCCGCATTCAAGGTTCTGCGCATATAGGCTCAATGGGCTCATAAATTTCAGGCTACCGGGTGTCTTCAAGCTGTTACCAACAAGATATTACGAACCTCACCAACTGCTGTGATTCCGCATCTGAATCCGCATCCAAATCCGACTCACTAGATAGCGAGCAGCTGGAATCTTCGTCCTCGTCCCCACTCTCGTCAGTCTCCCCCTTGCTTTCCGGTTCCACTGGAACTTGTTCCTCTTCAAACTCGGGGCCTTTTTGCTCCCACTCGGTACTCTCGCAAAGTGGCTCGTGGATGAGATCTCTATGCCAATGGCATTTGTTACAGAGATGCATGCTGCACTTGGGGCAGATGTAATCGGACCCGCGGAGGTCCTAGCCAGCAGAAAAATGTCAGTATTCATGCTGTGTGTGACAAAGAGACTGGCTTTGGTAGACGGAATAAGGTTGGTGAATTCGAGGCCAAAATCACTTACATAGTAGCATCCATGGCATATGTATTTCATCAAAGCACCAGTGCGTCCTTTCTTTGAATTCATGGTTTCTGGTAGCACTACAGGCTGTACTGTGATAGAAACGAGAGCGTCTTCCACCAGTTGGAGGCAGCACCTGTTAATTTTGTTGAATATGGCAACGTCACGGAGTGACCAGACAGAGTCTCCAATCCTGCCAGTGATGTCGGGCCTGGCGCCATTTTCAAGTAGGATGCGGCAAATGATACTGCGATTATAAACAGTTGTGAAACTCATGTCTGCCCCGTGCGACAGCAGCGCTTCCATAGTAGCAGTATGACCGTGGCCCGTCGCCTGGAACAATGGCGACACGCGAGGCTTGCCGGCCATGGGGCCGCCTGGGTCGGGAGAGCATCCATCCTCGAGTAATGCCCTCGCAAACTTGTCCATCCCCAACCACACCGCTCGAAAAAGCAGGCACGGTGGCCATTTGAATGTCTCTGACCCGGCACTTTTTGTGTTCTTTATGCGGCCGAAAATGTGCAACACCAGCTCTTCTTGCCCACTCGAGGCAGCAGCGATGAGAGCGTCCATAAGCGTTGAGTTGGACTGTTCGCAACGATATAGGAGCGTCTCGACCATTTCACGCTGACCTTGAGCTGCTGCTCTCTCGGTGGCAAAGCTAATGCTGCGTGAATCCCACGTTCCTATATCTGAATGGGACAACCCCAAGCCAGCAAGCAGAGTATCCACAGACTCCGCAGGCTGCTTGGTCCTCGTGGCTGGGTTTTCCAGACACCAGTATGACTTCAGCCACACGGCACTCATCGCCGTCTGCTCGAATTCATCCATGAGAGAAGACAGCCCCATCTCGGCCGGAACGAAGGCGGCGTGCCGAGGCCAGGAGTAGGCTGCGTATGAGCAGAAGTTCGTGCACCCCGAAACGGGCCCATACTTGTGTTCTTCCAGAGCGGCTTGCTCAAATATGGACTCAAGCTCCTGCTGGACATTGGGTCGGCTAAGGAACTGGAGGCAGGCTTTGGTTATGTCGTGGGCGGCTTGGGTGGCATCAATATCATTCCACAAGTATGCAGAAGATACAGACGGCGTTCTCGTCAGCAGCGCTCTCAACCTAGGGTCGCGAAGTCGAACCGTCGTATCCCGGATTTCAATAACGCCCCGGAAGCGGCTCTCGCAGAGGTGCACAAATTCCTGGACGCTCTCTGGGTCAGGGCTCGCATGACTATTGTCCAGGCTTTCCGGGTACATGACCGAGGTGAACTCCCACACCGACAATGGCCTCGCGCTGTACAAGAGCCATTTCGGCATGGTTTGTACCGGGAAACGGTCTGCGAGCTTCCGAAAGATACTGTCCAGAATCTTTATGACGAGCTCATCGCCGGAGTCTTCCTTTTCCACGAAATTAAACGCCTCTTCCACGGAAAGCTTGCGAGGCCATTCTGGTATTGACATTAAATGCTCTAGAATGATGCTTTGTGTTAGAATATCGCCGCTGGAGATTTGATTGATCGACTGAACCCAAGCATCATCGTTCAGCAATTCCGGTCGGTTCCTTGACAGAATCTTCTTCAACTTCGTAGTATTCATAACCTGGATGTCTGTATCCAGACATTCGTCTGAGGCCATGACGACGGCCAGGTCGATGTGCCTCCACCCTTGCAGTCCCTGGGGAAGGTTGACCGCCGTGCGACTAGTAACTGCCACCTTCCAGGCTGTTTCCTCAGAAGCTGTTCTCCGATGGAGAAACTCCACAAAGGAGTCACGACCAGCCTTTGGGCACTCGTCGAAGCGGTCAATGACCAGGAAAGCAGACATAGTGAAAAGAATGCTGCTATAATCGCTGAACCATTGCAGCAAGTCTTGATCTGTCCAACTGTGCTCCTCATTCATCTGCGCGAAAAGGAGTGGGACCCAGGACCTGAAGATACCGGCCTTATGGCAGATCATCTGACCGAGAAATGTAGCCAGCATGTCTTTGAGGGTGTTTCGTGTTGTGTCGTGCTTATCAAAGGAGAAGTATAGGACTGGCTCGTGTCCTCTTCCATGTATCGCTTGCTGATCGAGGAGGTAAAAGAGCTGCTTGCTGGTCTCAGTCATATTGATGCCCCCATGGACATATAGAAAGTCTGAATAGGTCGCACCACGCCATTGTCTCAAGACTTCTGAGTTTCGGAGTAAAGGCCACTGTTCGAGCGGTGGTGTTGTGAATGTGGCGATTGACGAAGAGAGGTTAACGAGTGTTCGTTCGCATCGGCGTACCAGCCACTCAGCCTCTTCGTCGACAGCGGCGACATCGTCTGAGGGAGGGGATTAATACTGAGAAAGGTATGAGAAGTTCTTTCAGGTTCATACGTACTCATATATGTGGAACTCAAGGATTCAAGGTGCCGTAGAACCGGAGACGGCTGCTCGCTATTTGCCGTTGTAGTATCAATCCTGCGCTCAAAAGGAAGGCCAAATGTCCCAATAAACTCGTCAAAGGCCTTGTCGCTGTCAGCGGCCGATTCACTCCAAGCACTGGACGAGAGAGCTGAGAGTTCACTTACGCCACTAGACCCCCCAGCAACATGTCGACCGCCATGGTGCACGCTGATTAGACTACATTTTATGTTGATCTTGGCCAGGATGAATCGCCCGTTTATATGGATCACTTCTTCGGCTAATCCTGGCATGGCAGCCATTGTTGGACGAACAACAGGGGAAACAGCATTCGCCCCGGCCACCAACACGAACTGGGCTATTTTGTCCACCATATCTTGTTGATCAACACTTCGATGTGGGCATCCACGAAATACCTAAGTCAAAAGCAAGAATTAGTATGGATTTGACCAGTAACAGGCTGCATGGACTTCTGGATTACCAAGGCTCTGGTCCTGTCCACGATATCCAGCCAAGACCTGTCTTTACTTAGAAGCAATAGCCGTCACTAGGGCCTGTACGTTGGCACATCAGCTTTAAAGTGTTCTCAACCTGTGGCTTTCTGCGTCTTGAATTTGAGCCACGACCGAGTAATTGACACTTACGTCTTTCAGTATCAAAGATCCAAGATCATCAGCCACAAACATGACGGATCGCCTCTGAAACACACTTCTGTGAGTTCTAATACCAAAACGGGGGATTTTGAGACACACGCCATGGACTTTTTCCTTCCGAAGTTTGCAAGGCCCTGGAGGAGGCATCGAGATAGAGCTCCAACAGAAGAGCCGGTCTCAACCCCAGCAAAGATGTTATGACTTTTCCATTCGAATAGCATCAGCCTGGAGCCGGCGTCAAATGACTTCAAGTATTGGTGGGTCCAGCTGTCGCTTGCTTCTTCGGCCAACTCTTTCCCGTTGCCGTACAACCCATGAATTACCACGATGCTGTGCCCAGTTTCAGCCGTGATCCCGTCGGAACCCGTGTATACGACTTACTCGAGCAGGGAAGAACAGGTTGAGCCGCTCTCGGCTCCATCTAGCAACGTCCATTTCACTTCAATGCTCCCTTCCGCAGTTTGTGAGTCTCCTTCCGATGGTGACAGTATCGGTTGCTCGAGGCTTTCAGTTGGGACTGCAGCCAGAGTTACTCGGCTCTTTCGGTGGCTCAAAAGACTCGTGGCTTGAAGAGCTGGCAGAGCTCGATGGCCGTGAGTCAGTGGATGCCATCATCCACCTAGGTATAATGTTGACCGGCTTGGGGCCGATGAGGTGGGAAATGGTACTGAGGACGGCACTCGGGGCAGATCACAACTGAAACGAATGCCACAAAACTAAGATAAAAGTTGTACTCGCAGTGAAATGCCAGGCCTAGATCTTGTGAAACACCTAGGTGCCCAATGCAGCGCTAAAGGGTCAGACGTTATTGGCAAAAGCCTTATCCTCATCTGTGGGACCAGCCGTAGTGGGTGCTCGTATATGGAAGGTGACAGTCGGCTGTGTTACAGGCGTGGCAAGCCCTAGGCTGGGTCTCCATGGGTGTCCCATTTCTATCCGTCCTAGAATCAACACCAATCCTACCACCGGGCACAGCAACGTGTAGCGACGCTGCCAGCCCGATCAAAGTGTTCGAAAATCGGGTTCTTTAAGACAGGCTCTGCTTCACTGGGGCCCCAATCATGGCATCGATGGAGAACGACCGAGTTTCGGAGACTGAAAAGGGCATGGAAGGAGCAGAGTCAGACGATGACAGCCCCTCTGATGAGTCGGAGCCAGAGGAGGAGGTGAAGCCGCAGCAGTCCATGCCGCAGAAGACCGTTGAGCAACGACTGGAAGAAGTAGTGGAGCTATTGAGAGTCGACAGCAAAAACTGGAACACCACCAGCGACGCCGACAAGAGGTGTCTGTTCGGAAGGACAACACACTCTTCCGGACCCACAGCGTTGCACATCCTAGCTGACAAGAAACTTCTTGAGAAAGACGACTTCAAGGACCTGGTGAAGTACCTGGTGAGATCTGATCGAAATTTGCTGCTGGAAGTCGACGATAACACTGGTTACACGCCTTTACACTTGGCGATTTACCGGAGAATCAGGTCGATGATCAAGTGGATTTGTGCTGCTTGCGACGAGATTGATGCGGCGCGGGAAGCAAAGGGCAAGGGGTACATTGATGCGGTGCTGAGAAAGAAAGGGACGCTGTTGAAGAGAAACTGCATCCACCTCGCCATCGACTACGCGAAGTCTGGCAAGGACAAGACAGCGAGTCTGGTTGACATGGCATCGGCAAAGACTCTGGCTGACAAAGATGAGAATGGCAACACGCCACTTGCCCTGGCCGTCGAGTACAAAAGATGCAATGAGGGCCAGATCAAGCTCGTCGAAGCCACTGTAGAAAGGTCAGACCACTTCATTCGGAGCGATCCATCACACGACTTCAATGAGAAGTATCAGTCGCCCTACATGTACCATATCGCCACAGCACCTGCCGAGAGGTCCAAGGTTGCACCAGCAGAGCCTGTGGCGATGGTAGACCAACAGCAAAGACGACCAGAGCCAGGCCCGCGATCGCACATGCCGAAAGCCAATATTGCTGCTTCCATGGCGAACGCTCACCCGAGCAGGCCCGATGCAATGGGAAAGGCTGGGATGGTTCCGCAGGGCAAAGATGGGCCGGAGAGGGTTCAGCCTCCAGATACGGGGGCAATCTCAAAAACGGCTAGTGATGCCAACGACAGGCACACCAACGAAGTCAGGGAATTCTTGAAGAATCATTATCTACGTTCGAGGGACCAGGACGTTGCACTGGAGATATTGTACGGCAAGAACCCAAAATCTGGTTAGCCGTGCCCACGACCCAAACATTCCTTGTGAACATACAACTAACATTTGGACTGGTAGAAAAAGCCATATCCTTCGAACTGAGTGGATATGAAACGCTGACGAAGAACGAAATCAAACAGCACATCTCAATCCTTGATTTCGAGAACATTCTACAATACGTGGACGTTCCCATGATCTCCTCGACCGAGCAAGTTGCACAGCAAAGATCTAAAGCCCACCGAGCCCGTATTACGGATCAGCAGGACGGAGAAGGTCGCTCAGATGTCCAGACCGTTTTTGAGTTGTTGAGACACATCGCAGTTCACGTCCAGCAAGGGTGTCTTGAACTCCATCAACGAGTCGAGGAAAGCATCAAGGCATTCCGTGATAGGCTCATCAATCACACCGCACGTGCCAAAGCCTCGGAAATCCTCGGAGAGCTCCAAGAGGAGATGGACAAGCAATTCAACAACCAATCCAGCAGCAGGAAGCTAAAAGAGGGTGTAAAGGAGCGCTTGGCTGAGACGGGCAAGGACTTCAGAGACGCGCTCCAGATTGAGTTAGCCAAGGCAATTGCCCAAGTCTGCCGTGCAAAGACTGAGACACCAAAGGACCATGGAAAGCAGGAGAAGAAGGTGGCGGTGGACAAGGCCAAGCAAAGCATCAAGACGTTTGTGTCAAGCGAGAAAAAGAAAGAGTCAGATGACGACATCTACACCACCTTAAAGCAGGCGAAGCAGAGGGCCAAGATGCAGGCCAAAGAAATCGCACTGGCTATGGCGCCTCCATACTTTGACCTCGACATCGAAGTAAACTACCCAGGAGGCTCGCGCCGCACGTACAACAACACCGCACAGTCCGCAGACGGTTATCTGGAACAGCCACAGAAGCACGAGTGGATCCAGTGCATGACCGAATTTCGACAATTGCTATACAATGCCGAGAAGAGCTTTTGTACGACCAACGAGAACAAAGAGCTCTTGAAAAAGGCTGTGGATGAAACAGGCGGTCGGATCACAGTCGCACTCATCGACGACGGCATCGAAGTCACCGAGATTCGATTCGACAAGTCAATTGTGATAACGGTCAGGAGTTTCTATCCGAAGCCGCAGGAGAGAACCTCGGACAAGAGCACATACCTACCTTGGTACCTTTCGAGCAAGGGTCACAGCACTATCATGGCCAGTCAGATTCATCGCATAGCGCCCAAGGCAAACCTTTGCTTTTTGAAGTTGCAGGACTCTTACCACCCGCAATCTAACAAGAGACAGATCACCATCAAGAGCGCAGCCCAGGCCATTCGCGAAGCCACGCGGCGCAAAGTCCACATCATTTCCATGAGCTGGACCATCACCCCCCCCCCCCCGGTCCAACGAGACCGAGCGCGAGCAGCAGGATCTGAAGGAACTCGAGGCAGCCATCGCGGAGTCGTCAGCGGTAGCTCGGTTTCCACTGCGCTCGCCGCCGGACTGGCAGCCTTGATATTATACTGTGCACGTACGCCTGGTTGTTTTTCGCGCTCTCCCCATTGCAAGGTGTCATCGAGGCTGACTATTCGTATTTTGATGTGCTCAGAGATTCGCGTTGCTCGATCGAAGACGGACGCAGATAGAGATACTGCAAAGAGGCACTTCAAGCTGCTGCGTCAACATGGCAAGATGAAGGAAGCCTTCGGCGCTATTACTTCCGTGGGAAGCACGGGCAAATATCCCGCGGTGTGGACCATCTTTGGAAATAAGGTCATGGAAAGCAGGAACATTAAGAATTCACGACAGTCCGAGCCAATCGACCTTGTTGCAGGCGTGGCGAGCGCGTTGTGTTATCGATTCTAATCAATCTAAGGAGAAGAGGGCACTTGCTAGCAGCACGGGTCCTGCCATGGTCCCTCTTGAATACATGAACTAGGCTCAAGTCTGTAGTGTAAGCTTACGGGAGGCGGCTCAGTCAACGGACAATATTTATATACAGCTAGAGGCCACAGGGTTCAAGTAATCCAAGCACGTGATTCTTCCTGTGATGAGATATTTGACATAACACAGGCTCGATTTATCTGTGACTTCAGTGCGCCAGGACCTGAAAACCATCGAGTCTCTCGCCACAACACCCGTATACTTTCTCACAATCACCTACACCAACTTCTTCAAATTCCAAAGAACCTAGCCACAGTGGGCGCCTGGACCCAGACACTTATTCCCGCAGATGCTCAAGACCTCGACCTCACTGCTAGTAGAGCAGTAGTATAAGGTGTCGCTGTTGATCACAGCGGTGGGCCAACCTGGATTTACAAACATCGTCAGGCTTGTATTATTGTTCTGCTGCTGGTAAACTTACCTAGAGTCCCAGTGAGATAATGACCGCAATACAGAGTAGCAGGGCTGCATGACGCAGCAGATACTGCGGTCACGAGTGAGAAAACCGCAACGAAAGTTCCAAGAAGCATCTTGCAGGATGTGAGTTGCTCGCCTGACAATCCTCTGCTCGTAAGTGTGTAAAGTTTAGGCGGATGTGATGCGGGAGTGTGGTGAAGCGAACAGACGATGACGGGTGAGATAATTAGATATCTTGTTATCTTTAACGTCGTGGGAATAGCACTTATTTGTATGTTGACCTTCTGATATAATTTATCTCACCTGTGTACATCTCGAGCACCGCAGCAGCTTCTCCAGGTCATCCACCTGAGTATTGCCAAGAATCATGAATTTCTTGCTGGAGCCAAACTGAGAAGACTGAGACAGAACATCAGCCACGCCGACTATTGCAGGCCAGCAGTCATTTCTGCCAAAAAACTAAGGCAGTCCACGTCTTAGACATGATCAAGCAGGAGGGTTATCCCGACAGCTTACATGAGGGCCAGTCTCAAAGTGGTCACGTCTCTCTTGTTTATCACGAAGTGGGTGCAACACCATCAGTGTAAGTTCGTGGGAGACGGCTTATTCGAAGAGATCTGGAATGAAATCGAATTCCTTGCATGCGGCTGGTGGTTGTTGGAATATACATATATTGTTCTTCCCTGCAGTTGGAAGGATGCGAAACTGTGCCAGCCACAGTTCTTCAATTTCTGCGCACTATTTCTCTGGGTTCTTTACTTTTCATCAGATTTTCACCGCCTGGTGTGGTTGAAAATGAATTAGTATTCTGCATTGGGCCTCCCTTATCAGATGTTGAATGAAACCACCAACGGTCAGACTAAGAATACAATGTTCAGCCTACTGAATGCCGACAACCAGACCAAAGGGGGCACGTGCCCACAGCAGTGTGAATTGCCGCGGCTCCCAGTTCCCATCGGACAAGCCGAGCAGCCGCTGTCTGTCTCAAACGAAGTAATGCCCCCCCCCTGTCGTTTTGGTTAGCTGTCCCCCTCCGCATTAAAATTTAGCTATAAACGCGAAATATGCATTAAGATTCTTATAAATACCCTTATTAACGTTACTTAACGTACTTAATTTAATAAAAAAAAGGTTGTTATAATAAATAACTACTGCTTATTAAGCATAAAATTGCAAATATTGCAATTTTATTTATGCTTAAACTATTACTGCTAAATAAGTAGCTGCAAGCTAAATTTTAATATAGCAGGGTGATAATTTAGCGGTATTAAAGGAAAGTTATAATTATAAATATTATAGCGTTAAGCATACCCTTATTATTATTATTAAATGCTATTAAATTAAAGTAATAAGCTTTAAAAGTATGTAATGTTTTTTAATATAGCAAGCCCTTTAAGCATCGTTAATACCCTTTTATTACCATATAAAAGCTTAAAAATCTTCTTCTTAATAAACTAAATATATACCTTAATAAAATATAATACTTTCTTATTAAAATATACTAAATTAATTACTTAATAAAAACCATTGCGAAAGCCCTTAAGGCATATAATTAAACCAATAAGCAAATATATATATTAGCTTAATAGCGTAATAAGGACCTTTAAAGCTATTACCTTTTTAAAATCTTTAAGCCATAGCATACCATTAAAATATTTATTTTTTGCAATAAATCGGGATTTAATAAGCATAATAACGTAAAAAAAATAAACTAAGCACCATTAAGGTATACTTCTTAAATTAAAAGTCTTTTTAAGCAAAGCGCTTGCTTTTATTTGCTATTAGTAATTATAATTAATAATCTTTTTAACATTATAATGTATAAGAGGCATATAATAAAAAAGTTCTTCTTAATATAACTTCTTAAAAAGGTTTTCCTTTAAATAAATGCCTATTTAAGCCCTTAATTAATCTTTATAATAAATAATGCCTTATGGCATTATAATTACGCTATTTATATAGCTATTAAAACAAGGGGTATTTAGCTAATATATTTATTGCCGTATTTCCCTGATTTTAACCTAATTAAGGCATATTTTAAAAATTTAAAAAAGTATATTTATTATTAATATTAATATAAAATAAATAACTATAATAGCAATAAGAAATTTATAGGTTTTTTATACTTAAGCGCTTTAAAGATTAGCTAATGTATAAAGGCAATTAAGGGATATTTTTATTATGCATATATGTTAAAAAAGAAATTTAAGGGTAGTAATAGCGATAAAGGGTAATAGAAATGCCATATGGTTAAAAGAAGGGCAAAAGAAGTAGCATTAATAAAAAGGAAAGAGTATTATAATAAGGTTATTTATAGCGAGTTTTTTAATAATAAGGAAGTTAGCAAAAAAAAAGTATTATTAAAGTAATTAAAGAGAAATAGCTAATAATTTATTATAAGAAATATACTTAATTTTCTTAATTAACTCTTTAAATATTTAAATAAATATTCTTTTTTTATATATAATTACTTTATTAACTTTTTTATTAATTATGCTATTCTTTCTTTCGCAAATAACGTTAATTAAACGCTTAAAATTTATTAAAAAACGCTTTAAATTTACTCTTTAATATTAATATATTATTAGCTAATATTAAAAGGCTTTTTGCTTGTTAAAAATTATAATTTTTATCTTATATTAGCGTTAATAATAATAGCAAGCCTTTTTTCTCTTTATTACTTTTAAAAAGCCTAGAAAAGTTCTTTCTTTCCTTTAAATATAGCTTTATAAGCCTTTTAATTAATTTAATATTATTTAAGCCCTTTTCATTAAACTAAATATCCTCCTTTAAGTATAGGGCTTAAAGATTAACGCCCTTATGCTTTATAACCTTTTGCAACTTTATTAATTACCTTCTTTTTATTAATATATAGAAATGCTTTTATAAGGCCTTAAATATAAAGTTTTTGCTAAGAGCCTTTTAATTACTAAGTACTTATAGCGGCGATAATGAAAATATAAGTAGTTAATAATGGTATATAGGGTTGCTTAAGCGAAAAGCTGCTAGCGCTAATAGTATTAGCAGCCCTTTAAAGCTTCCTAATAAGTATATTAATAAAGGCATTAATAGCGCTAGTGGCGGCATTGCTAAGTACCTATATTTAAAGCTAAGGGCATAAAGATTAATTAATAAATTAATTATTATATTAATGCTACTTTCCCTTTACTTATTACCCTTTTTAAGCTTTTTTTACTTATATATAAGGCTATTATTATTATTATTTAAGTTTCTTATTACTCTTATTAGCTTTAATAACATTTATTTACTTAATAATGTTATGGGCTGGCCCCAAAGGGGCTGCAGGCTGGCTAGCGCCTTTTCTTATAAGCTGCAAAGCAGCAACTAATTAATCATTTAAGCCAAAAGGTATAATAATTTAAGCTCCCTTGAATTACTTAGCCATACTATATAAGGCTTAGGCTTCCAGCCTAAGCTTATTATATAGCCCCTTCCTTTAGCTTATATAATGGTATAATTATCCCTAAGGCTTACCCATAATATTGCCTTTTTAAGCTAAGGTTCTTCTTTATAAAAGGGGTATTTATATATTGCAATAAACATAACTTAAACCTTTAATCCTAAAGCTTGGATTATTTATTATAGGCTGGCCCTAAAAAAGCTGCAGGCTGGTTAGCGCCTTCTCTCATAAGCTGCAAAGCAGCAATTAATTAACCATTTAAGCCAAAAGATACGTAATAATCCAAGCTCCCTTAAATTATCTAGCCACACTATATAAGGCTTGGGCTTCCAGCTCAAGCCCATTACAAATAAAAAGCTTTTTTAAAGGCCCTTAAACAGCAATCTCGCCATTAATTATTACTTATACCCATATATTTAAATTAATATTAATAATATTTATATACATACCATCCTTTTTAATATAACATTATTATTATAAAAAGTCCCCCTTATTATAATAATAATAATTAGCCTTATAATAAAAACCTTTAAAGCATTATTATATTTATATTAGCTTTTTATAAGCCTTAAAGATAAGCAATTAATTATTATTTATTATAATTATTATATAAATAGTAATTAACCCTTTTTAAAAGCCTTAAAGCAATAATAACTTTCTTGCTAAAGGAATACTTTTTAAGCGCTTAACTACTAGCAAATTATTTGCTAAGCTAAGCACTAACCTTATTAATAAAAAAGGCTTAAAGATCTTAATACTTAATTACCTTAGCATTATAATGCTATAAAGCGTTATTTATATTATTAAAAGTATTACTTTATAAGTATATATAATTATAAGATAATAAGAACCCTTGCTTAATAAAAGCATTTTTATAATCTCATTACTAAAAAGTTTTCCCTTAAAATACCTTTTAATCTTCTTTATTATACTTAATTAAATTAAGAATATTCTTATTTATAACTAACAACCTGCTTTAAATAAAACTTATAATAACTTAATTATTATATTCCCTATATTAATAAGCTTAATCTTAACTTAATCCTTTATTTTAAAGAAAAGCTTGCTAAGCAATAAATTAATATTAAAAGCCTTATATTTATTATTATTAAACTTAAAGCTTTATTACTTTATTAACGGCATTAAAAAAGCCTTTACATTAATAACTTTTATATATAATATTAAAAATGCTTTCTTTAATAACTTTCTTAATAGGAAACGGCTTTTTAACTTCTTAATATCGCTACCCTTAGCATTATTAGCTAATAGCAGTAATTTAAATATACTTAATATTTCTTAATTAATATAAGCACCCTTAGCTTTATTTAAGTTGCTTAAAGCATTATTTTTATTAAGGATAGCTTTAAGGGTAACCTTTTTAGCATTTTTAGCAGCACGCTAAATAACACGCTAAATAGCCATTTACTTATCTTAAAAAAGCTTTAATTAAGCTATTAGCTTTTATTTTATAATAATAATAATCTTTGCCTTTACCATTAGCTTCTTTATGCATAATAACGCTATTAATTAATTAATATATGCTTTATTAATAAAGTGGATAACTTAGCATTGCAAACAAGTATATAGTTATAATAGCTAAGCTTTTGCTTTTTAAGAGCTATTAAAATAAGTTATTTACTAATTTAAGTAAGCTATAATTACCTTAAGCTAAAGCTAATAAAACATATACTTCTTAATATAATGGGCTTAAGTTAATTTTATTACTCCTAATCATTCTAAAGATATATATAAAATAAGGTTATAATAACCTTTCTTTTACTAAATTAAGTGCATTAAGTAACGTTAATAAGGGTATTCATAAGAATCTTAATGCATATTCTGCGTTCACAGCCAAATTTTAATGCAGGGGGGAACAGCTAACTAAAACGACAGGGGGGGGGGCATCACTTCATTTAAGACAGACAGCGACTCGGAGTTTTTTGTCTGTCCAGTCAGCCAGCCCCAGTAGGCTTGGCCCGACCGCGACAGGGGTTTAGACCGCGGCCCCAAATTTTACATAAGGCACGGGCCCCGGTCGGGGACGTACAAGGACTGAAAACACCACACCGGCCGGGCTTGAAAATACACGGCAGTAATCATCATGCCCGCCTCAAATAAAACAACTCGCAATTCTCACCCGCGCCAGAGGGCCGCCGCTGCTGGAACTTGGTCCTCTTCTCTTTCGCAGCTGACGGGCAATTTCGACCGATCCACCAAAAAAAATTGCGCGCAATTGACTCCAGGGTTCCACGATCAATCGTCCTCAACCTGAGCCTTGGACTTCCTTGGGCCTGCATCACCAATATCCGTTTTGGGACATATTAGTGCAGCCCACTTCAACTTCTCACATATCACATACTTCTTCTGCCCGCCGCAAGCCACCACCGCCACCATCACCACATACAATGCACTACCTCCCCACAGCCCTGCGCACCTGCGCATCCTCACTGGCGACAAGGCGGCCGTCCTCCCTTGCCGCCGCCGCCGCCGCCGCAGTAAGGACACCCCTGCTGCCCCTCCACCAGGCATCGCAGAGCAGATACAGCTCGCACTCGCCGCTTGGGGCGCAGGGCCCCAGCAGCAATCGAAAGAAGGTCACGCTCGGCACGCTGCGAGCGATGCACCGGCGGAATGAACCCATCGCCGTCATGACGGCGCACGACTTCCCGTCGGCGCACGTGGCCGACGCGGCGGGCATGGACATCGTGCTCGTCGGCGACAGCCTTGCCATGGTCGCCCTGGGTATGGAGGACACGAGTGAGGTCATGGTCGAGGAGATGCTGTTGCATTGCCGGTCTGTTGCGAGGGCCACGAAGGCTGCTTTCACCGTTAGTCTATTCTTCTATTTCGTCTTGTCTCATCTCTCACCCGCGTTTCCTCTCTTCCAATCTTATCCTTCCTCACGAGCATCTCGTTCCTCTTCATCAACAACTCGTCCCTCATCAATCTCTCACCCTTCTTTACCGACATCTCGTCTTTTCTCATCAATCTCTCAACTACCACCTCTTCCTAACAACATAAACACAGGTTGGTGACCTTCCCATGGGCTCCTACGAGATATCGCCAGAGCAGGCCCTGGAGACCGCCATCCACTTCATCAAGACCGGCCGTGTGCAGGGCATCAAGCTTGAGGGCGGCAGCGAGATGGCGCCCTCGATCCGGCGCATAACCTCCGCGGGGATCCCGGTCTTGGCACATATAGGGCTGACGCCGCAGCGCCAGAACGCACTGGGTGGGTTCAGGGTGCAGGGCAAGACGGCTGCCGGCGCGGCGAAAGTGCTCGAGGACGCGCTGGCGGTGCAGGAGGCGGGCGCCTTCGCGGCCGTCGTCGAGGCCGTTCCCGCTGAGGTCGCCGCCATCGTCACCTCGAAACTGTCCATCCCCACCATCGGCATCGGCGCCGGCAACGGGTGCTCCGGCCAGGTGCTTGTGCAGATCGACATGCTGGGCAACTTCCCGCCCGGCAGGTTCCTGCCCAAGTTCGTCAAGAAGTACGGCGATGTGTGGTCTGAGAGCCTCAGGGCCATCGAGGCCTACCGGGACGAGGTCAAGAGCCGCGCGTACCCAGCGCCAGAGCACACCTACCCGATATCGAAGGAGGAGCTGGAGGCGTTCGAGAAATCCTTGTAGGGCTTGTCGCGATGACACGTCGGTTTAATGCATGGCGTTGCGGTTGTTCGATAAACTTTTGGCAGACATCTCGGCAGCGTGTCTGGTTTCGGCGTGCTGGCTAAGCAATGTAGCCACCCCAATAGAGTAGACTTATTCAGAAGCCATACATTGTCTTGTGGCATCATCTCAAGCATAATCGTCGTCTCGTCACGTCTCGTGTTCCGTTTTCGTGTTCATCCAAACGCCGGCGTCATCGAGTATCCAACGTTGAGCTGGTCATTCGAGTCCTTGAAGCACTACCCAGCGAGCAAGAGTCAGCATAAGCCCACATCACAGCCCACGTACACCCACAGAAGTACGGACATCCCAAATGCATGGAAGGGATCAAAGACTCACCCGCCACAGGTTCCCAACAACCTCATCCAGCGCCGGCGCAAACGTAGAGTTGACATAAAGAAACAAACTATCCGACTCAGCGACCTTGAGCGTGCGCCGCAGGTACGCAACAACAGCCTCGAACCTGCTCGTCGCGCTGATGGTGCTGCGCTCGCGCCGCGGCGGCATCGGCGGCGCCGACCCGCCCACGGGCTTGAACCGCACGATGACCTTCTCCTGCGCGAAAGTCGTGCCCACCTCGGCCAGCGCCGCCGCCGCGTCGCGCGGGAGGTTCGTCAGCACCAGGGAGGCCGTCATCGTCAAGGGCAGGTCGGGCGAGGGGGACCGGTCCCGGTCCGGCTCGGGGATGTCGGGGGTTGCTGGGCCGGGCCCTGCTGCTGCTGCGGCGCCTTGGGCTGGCGCCGGGGCCGGGGACGAGGTGGACAGGGTTCGTGGTGGGGATGACATCGTCGCTCGGGGTGCGTGCGCTGTGATCTTGGGTATTCGTATTGGTCAGGGTAGGGAGGAACGCTCGGTGTCATGACACGAGGTCAACCTGGGAAGAAGGCGTTTGGAAGCAGAGGCATGGGGAGGGTGGAGGAGCTTGAAGTTGGGCGAGGCTGAGAAACCGCGGGGTAGCTCCGAGGAGCTCATCGGCCACACTTATCGATAAGCCTCGAGGAGGTGCCTGTAAGCCGCGCCGTCTTCCTAGGTTTTTATGTGTAGTTCTGTTTGGATGGCAGTGGGTAGACTAACTACCGATGCCATGAGCAAATCGCATGGATCAGCCATATCACACGTGATGAGACTTAACCACAGTAAGGCTAGCAGGTGGACTGCTATTCGTTTCCTCAACGTCTGTGACTGGGTCATTTTGAAGATGCTTGATTTATGTTCATATCCTCGACACAGTATATGGATGCGGCTTAATATACATAGGCCCTCGTACTGTGCACGAAACCGAGAGCCACCGCGTCTTGTTGAACATCTCATCCGCTGTGCATATAGGGCGACCTTTACCTGACCGTCGCCGGTTAGGATGAGAACCAGCCCGTGGTCAAGAACCAGGCGTCTCACCCCCAGGTCGACCCATGCCAATCCGTCCTATACTCTTCATGTCATTGTTCGAGTCCAAGCAAGTATTTGCTGAGAAGAAACTCCATTAACACCTCCTCGCGCGCTCCCCCGTCGCGCTACTCCAACCTGTCAAAATTCCACTGATGCTCCGCACGAAGTATGCTTCACAAGAAAAGTGCGCGAAAGCGAGCCAAAAAGGCGACAAAATGTGTTGCTGAAACGTTTCTCATGATGAGGAATCATCGCGTTCCCATCTCCGTAAATGCTTCGAAGGAGCGTTGGATTGTAAATGCCAACACAGGAATCAAATAAAACAAATGAACTTGGTTCGACGTTTTGCATGACTGCGATCTTGGAAATGCAGTTGTGGCGGTACACGCCCGCAATGCGCAGGATGCTTTTGGTGCCGGAGCGATGTGTTAGAGCAAGTGGAGCAATGGTCATGTGGACACCGAGTGGTGCAGTTAGGGAGCGGTGTTGAGCTGGACACAGATTTTAAGCCGTCACCAGTCCGAGTGTTCTTCACCGAGTTCGTCTGAGTATTTGGGGACGCGCTCGAGTTGACCCAGAAGTGCGTCCAGTTTGGCCCAGTTGACATCATTTTCGGCAAATTTGCGATGCTTCCTCGAGAGAATGTGCTAATACTTTGGTCAGTACTGATGCTGGAAGGGAGCATCCGGGCTGAACTCACCTCGTCAAAGTCGGCAAACTTGTCCTGACAGTTCTCACAATACCCAGGCTTCAGATCGCGCTTCTTGGGCTTAGGAGCGGGAGCAGAGACCGGCACACTCTGGGTTCTCTTGTGCTCCTTTGAACGATCCTCCTCGATCTGGGCGAGCTTGCGGGAGCTCACCCCAAGACTTGCCGAACGTTGGTTGGCGTTCGTGTCAAGGCTCATCTCGGCAAGGCGGCGTGAACTCATGTCCTGTGAGGTAGGGTTGGCAGATGGCGCATTGCTCTTCTCGAGAACCTGGCGCTGGAGACCGTAGAGCTCCTTGCTGGTCCCTGCCTTGGCACCGCGGATACCACTCGCGGACGAGATCATCTGAGATCGAATGGCAGATGTGATGTTAGACTTCTGCACACCAGATGCGACTGGCTCACCGGCGAGTAGACGAGCTGAGCGTGCTCGACTGGTAAAGGCGTTCTGAGGCCGGGAGGAGAAATCGATGGTGGTGGGGGGGTTGGCGGCTTTGGCGAGGTCAAACACGTCGGGAACTCGCGAGGAAGTGGAGCGGATGTTGTGACCATCCTCCATCTCTGTCAGTGTGCGTTTTGGCACCACAGACTTTGCACTCGGGGCAGGAGGCGGCTTCAGCGTAGTAGCAGCATCGTTGGCAGCTCTCTCCTGGCGTTCCTTGTCCCTCGCGGCCTTTTCGGCCTGACGCTTCCGTTCACCACTCAACTCGTCGTCCTCCACGAAGGGGCATCGGCCGTGTTGAGTTGACCGGAACTGTGGCCAATCCCCATCCTTCTTATCGGCAACCTTGGCGTACTCTCTGACCATGATAGGCTTCTGCTTCTCCTCAATATCGTAGACGTAGATATAAGGCCCCTTGAAAAAGACGAGCTCTTTTGTTGCCACTGTTGGATCTCTGTCCGAGGGACCACTGGTCCGTTCCTTGTTAAGAAGCTGGGCCAAGTTGGCTTCCTCGGCTGCCTTGGGAGCAGCGGCGGTTCCAAAAGGGTCTGGGTCATTCAGCATCTCCAGGATCTTGACCAGCTTGCTGAATGCCCAAATCTTCTTGTCCATCTCCCGAGCTCGCACCAATATGTCAGTTTTCCGAGCCGTAGTTGGCTGGCGAAGAAGGTTGTCCTCGACGGGGGCGGGTGCTGGAAGCTTCCGGCCGGTGCTCTCTAGCAGTCTCCTCCTAACATCCTTGGTACCTGTATCGCGGCTGAGCAGAGACGGATCAATAGTCCTCGGCATATCATACTGGCCCCGTCGATCATTGTTTTGGTCGGTGGCGTGGTCTGTGGCGTCTGGGCCAGAAGCCTTTTTGGCTGGAGGTATAGGACGCGTGGTGATGACATGAGTGATGTCTTTGGAGAAGAACTTCTCCTCTCGCTGTTAATGCAGTGTTAGCATATGGCCTAGGGTTTTGGTTGGACGCGTGTTGCACTCACAGCACCATAGTGGGCCAACTGCTTCACGATCTTGGACCTCTGGTCGTTGGGGACGCTCTCGAAGTAAAAGACGAAGCCTGGGAAGTTGCGGCGCTGAGCCTCCTTCCACTGGTGGACGCGAGCCCTCTCCTCCTCCCGCTGGGACTTGGAGCCCCTCTCGTGGGAAGCCTTCTCATCCTTGTGTGGCCTGGTAGGGTCCCGGCGGACGACCTTAACCTGTCTGACGGGGGATCTTGCAGGCTTCTCGGAGCCGTCGTTGAGCATCTGTTTCTTGGTCGGAGGTGGCTGTCCATAGGGCTCCTCCCTCTGCACGCTGGCATATGCTCTCTTCTGCTGTCTCTGCTTGCTCAGGGCGGCAGCAAGGGCCGAGTTCCGGATAGGCGAGTTGGCGACATTCGGGTTGGAAGACAGAGGGGCCCGTCTGGTGGAGGTGGACATGATGGAGGGATAGGAGGGGATGGGCGAGGGTGATATGGATACAGCTGCCATGTAAGGATGGTGTTCTATGTCAACATGCTATTTGGGGGCGTCGTGCAGTCGCGTCGTAGAGTGCTCCTGTGAGAAGAAGGCTTGCCTGCTGGTGGGACGGTCGGGGTCTGGCCGCGGCGGAAGGGCGGCGGGTGCAGTTGCAGGTGCAGTTGAGGTGCAGCGTGAAGCCTGACCTCGACGGCACGCGTCTCAATACGCTTTGTTTGGTGGGATGGAGCTTGAAGACGCGGGCAGAAAGGAAAGAGGAGCAGTCAATTGGGGCCGGCAAGACGGTCAGACGGCGGCTCTGACAAGGCACCAAGATGTGTATGTCTTGCACGGCTTGAAAAGGAGGGGGGAATGGCGCGGGCGTGTCGTCGTGCAGGCTGTTGATGGTGGTGCACAGCTTCCCAAGGTTGAGCTTCAGGTTGCTCTCAGACAGGCTCGGATTGATTGACTCTCTCCTCACGCATGCTCAACGCAGCGAAACACACGCCTGGGAAAATCGCGGTGCTGGGACTGGGGGCAGGGATCCCGGGTTGTCTTGCCAAGGAAGGCGCTCGAGCTGACAACAAATACATGCACAGGCCTTGGGCCCCACTAAATGCAGTAGGAGCAGCAACGGGCAACCCTACCTGGTTTGGTCCTGGTGGCACAGCAGATACAGCCCAGCCGGCCTGGGCTTGGCACCCTCTGCAAGCTCTTGCACCCGTCATTTCAACGTCGCTCATCGCCAATCTCGGCCACATTTGCAACAAATACATCCGGGACGACGATGAATTCCTCTGCTGCCTGGACATATAACCGTGCCCTCGCAGGCCTGGGCAACATGAGGAAAACATAGGGAAAACATATTTTCATTCTCTTCCAACTCCAAGGGGCAACGCAATAGCGCCCACGCCTAGACGACTAACTGGTCTGAGGAACCAACAACAGCATTGATGCCGGCTCCCTTCCTCGAGTCCACCTTCAGACCAACAACGATTTCTGCATGCATAACTAAGGACGACCTCGGTTCTTCTGAATATCGTCCCAATACTTTCTGTTCTATTCCGGAGTCGGGTCACGTTTGCTGCAATACGGCTGATCTAATGCAGATTCTCGCTTCGAGCAGCTCAGATGCACTCGGGTATCGATCTCCCTGTTTGCATGCTGCATGCATGCATAACATTGTGACAATGCAACGAGTGTGCCGGATATGTATGTCTCGCATACGGTTATCCAGTCCTAAGTATTATTGTCTTGATAGGCAAACGCACGGCTCAAGTCCGTCGCCAGACCCTCGTCGTCACTAAGCACAAAATTGTATTCGTGGATCACTTAGCAAACCAGGAACTCCTGAACCTCTTATTCCGGCCACCTTGGAAGCAGCATGACCGCAGCACGGCCGCGGCCGATAAGAAGGCTCCAGATCACTGTCGAAACCGGCGGAGCCATGTAGAGCTCAAAACCACCTGCTCGCAACAAGGCAGCTAGACAAGAAAGAGAACTTACGGAAATGTCAAACTAGCAACAACAGCCTATATATAATAGCCCCCATGTGTTGGACATATTGACGATTAATTGATCTGTGCTAGGGAAGGCTGTCCCCGCTGTGAGACATGGTCTCAACGAAAATAGTCAAGGGTCGAGGGTGTTCGGGGAAAAGTTGAGACAACGCCAGCCACGGCGCCATGTCCAGGAGTATTGTGTGGCTGCCTGTGACTGCTATGACTGTTGAAATCTATGAGCATGGTTCTTTGCACCAGCTGCCTAAGCTTGCCAATTGCAGAGCTGGAACGGTATCGTATATCCATAGTTCAAACAGCATACATCGGTGGTGTGTTATGTGGAGAATTGCCAGGACCAACTACCGCATTTTCGATATCTGCGAGTTCGAAACGCGCCACAGGAACGTATACTCTCCCTCGTCAAGAGCTCTGCCGTTGAATGTTATGTTGCGTGGAAATGAGTGGCGGGCCGGTGTTTCGACCTGGTAATATGTAGGGAAAGGAAGGCTTAACGAGGGTGTGGTCTTTCCTAAGTCGAGCCGTCTTCGACAAAGTTTTGGCCTGCACGAGTCAAAGGCATTATGGCGAGGGTGAGCTTCATGTACAGACGGCTCGTTGGCTGGGTCGTGGTCACACATTGAGCTGGACGACGGGCGTGTTCGTCAGGAGGACCTGCACCACTCCCGGAGACTCTTCTGCATACCAATCCATCCCATTATGTGCATGCCCACCCCAGGTTGAGTAGAGGTCATTGCGATTAATACCTGACCTAGTCGGCTACCCGGTCTTCACTTATACAGCAAACTACAGCTAAGTCGATACTTGGTGTGGCTGTTGCCGCTTGTGGCAGGCGGGACCAGGGTCCTACCCTTTGCGGAAACGGCCGATTCCCCCCCTCCCCCTGCACGCCAATGACGCTCCTCGCATTTCCCAGCTCTGCCCTTCCGCGACGACGATCGAACCACAACTTTTCTGCCGTGGTCGAGATGCCAGCCTACGGCCAAGATACCCGGGCCAGTCATCAACTATCATGAGGATACGAATACCGCCGGCCAGCTCGCTGGCTGGGCCGTGCCTTGTGCGCAGCTGCCGGCCCAGGACTCTGCCCTCCTTGGTGTCGAGGCACGCAGGCGACCGTCTTGAGGCCTGCACGGCGAGAGCGTCGAGGAATTACGCCTCCGTCTCGGCAGCGCAACTCCAATTCGGGCAGCCAGTGCACGAGACACACCCGCACATCCTCAAGCCCGGCGAATGTAAGCAATCTGGTCCACCCCGAACCTACAATCCCCCGCGTCCAGGCCTTCAGCTCAAGCCAAGCCCCACAGTAGCAGACGCAGCAGACGCAGCAGCATCAGAACCAGCATAGTAACCCGCCTTCCTCCAGTAACACCCGGCATCACGGCCCAAGAGTACTTCGACCGCCGCGCCCGCCTCGCACAGAAGCTCCCCAGGGATGGCATTGCGGTCCTCCGCGCCGCCGACATCAAGTGGCGCTCGGGCGCCGTCTTCTACCCCTTCCGACAAGAGTCGAACTTTCTCTACTTCACGGGATTCAACGAGCCCGAGGCCGCGGCCGTGATACAAAAGACGGGCGAGAACCTCGGTGACTACGTCTTCCACCTATTCGCGCGGCCCAAAGACCCAGCGGCGGAGCAGTGGTCAGGGCCCTGGAGCGGCCTGCAAGCGGCCGAGGACGTCTTCAACGCCGACCAGACGGGCGACATCAAGAAGCTGGACAAGCACCTAGGCCCGCTCCTGGCGGGCGCGTCCCGTGTCTACACGGACATTGACGTGCGCACATCGGACGGGCGCCTCACCTCCTTCGGCGACGCCGTCTTCCAAGCGACGGACCACAAGGTCGGCATCGACAGGCTACAGCCTCTGGCCAACCAGCTGCGCGTGGTCAAGTCGCCCGCCGAGGTGGCCAACATGCGGCACGCGGGGCGGGTGTCCGGGCGCGCCATCACCGCCGCCATGCGCCGGCCCTGGGCCCGCGAGCGCGACCTGCAGGCCTTCCTGGAGCACGGCTTCGCGGCCGACGGGTGCGACGGGCCGGCCTACGTGCCCGTCGTGGCCGGGGGCAGCCGCGCCAACATGATCCACTACGTGCTCAACAATGCGCGCCTCGACGACGACCCGGCGCAGATGGTGCTCGTGGACGCGGGCGGCGAGTACGGCACCTACATCGCCGACATCACGCGCACATGGCCAGTGAGCGGCAAGTTCACGGCGGCGCAGCGCGACCTGTACGAGGCGGTACTGCGCGTGCAGCGGGCGGGCGTGGCTCTGTGCCGGGCGGACAGCGGGCTGACGCTGGACGGAGTGCACCGGGCGACTGAAAAGGCGCTGCGCACGGAGCTGACGGCGCTCGGGTTTGACGTCGGCGCCAACGGCTCCGGGCGCCTCGAGACGCTGTTCCCGCACCACGTGGGCCACTACGTCGGGCTCGACGTGCACGACTGCCCCGGTTACGGCCGCAACGTGCCCCTGCGCGCCGGCCACTGCGTCACTGTCGAGCCGGGCGTCTACGTTCCCGCCGACGACGACCGGTGGCCGGCTCACTTCCGAGGACTGGGAGTACGCATCGAGGACAGTGTCTGCGTCGACGATACTAGCCCTATAGTCCTCACAACGGAGGCGGTCAAGGAGGTGGTCGACATCGAGGCTTTGAGGGATTGAGGTCGGCTCGGTGTCTATAGTCCGTTTTGTACATACATACATGCACACGCTGAGAGCATATCTCTCCGCAGCAGCGAGCTGCCTCTGTGGGGGGGGGGGGGGGGGCAGGCATAGGGCGGGATGCATGAGCGTCTCATTTCATCTTCCTCAACTGAGCGGGATCATGAACAAAAACAGATCCCAGTTATATTGAGACGCACTTTCTCCCTGGAATGCGTTGAAATGCCATGACGTTGGGGCACCCCCCGCACTGCCATTCTCCGTGATCACCACCTATTTACCCACTTTCCCCCAATGTGATTCACGAACGTCGATGCCGATTCTATGATGATGCCGCCGGCCGCCCGACCACGGGCAGGCTTGTAACGATGTTAAAAAAGGAATATAGATATATGTACAGACAGGCAGAACATGACTTCGTCCCGTCAGATGCCGTCGTCCCGGTTGTTTGCAGGCATGCTTCGCTTTTTGCTTGCTTGCTTGCTTGCTTGCTTGCTTTAGTGAAAAAAAAAGAGGAGAGTCTATGAGCGAGAGTTTGGTCGTTCTGCGCTTTCTTTCGCGATGCCGGTTTGGGGTGGAAGAAAACCCACCCCCAAGAAAGAAAAACAAAAAAGCAAGAGATTATTTCATATCATTCAAAAGAGCCGGCCGGCCGCAAAATCAGTCAGCCCAACCCCGCTGTCCACCCCATTTGTCCCCTTTCCTCATACCCCGGCCGCGCGCGAACCAAACAGATGTGTGAACGCCGGTGGCTATGTGTTTTCTGTATCAGCAGAGATAGAGTAGATAGCCGCATGCAAATTTTCTTTCGTCCTTTCGTCCCCCTCTTCTCGGCCATTCTTGTCCCGGGAGACGACAACGTGGCTTCGATCCGGTAACCTCGGCCCCGTCTAACAGAAAGCCCGCGGGTCGAAAAGCGTCCTGCTGTAGTTGGGCATTTGGAAGGACGGACGCGCTGTCTGGCTGAGGAGCTGCTCGAAGGCTGCGAGCCGGCGTGACAGCTGCTGGTGCTGCGCCATGATGGCCCTGTTCTTCTTCTCCAGGTAGCTGATGTACTCTGTCGCTTTGGTAAGGACCGTGCCCTATTGTTGTCGTGACCTGTCAGTCTCTTTACACGTTCTCCATTCTCCGCGGTCCATTGTCTTGGATTCCTGGAATTGCACAACTTACCTTGCTCACTTTCGGCCTCGCAGGCCCGTTGGCCTCGTCGCCCTCGTCGACAACGCCCTCCTGGATCGTCCGCAGTGCGGGCACTGCGTCACGAAGCTCCGAGATCCTGTCCTTCAGGTTCGTCCGGTACTTGCGCTCGATGTCATTGTGCGCGGTCCGGTCGCCGGCCTTGCCTTTGCCCTTGGGGTCCACGGAACCTTCCTTCTCCTTCCCCTTGCCTTTCTCATCGCCGCCGCCGCTCTTCTCCGTGTTCTCCCGCGAAAATTGTTTTTGCGGGGGTTTCGCGACAGCGGGCGTCTCGGGCCGCAGCAGCGGCGCATCGTCGGTGATCTGCCCGAACCCTAGGCTCCCCATCCCATTGCCTAACGCTCCTATTCCGCCCATGCCGCCCATGCCGCCGAGGCTAAGGCCCGAGCCCAGTGTCGCGTGTAGCCCGCTGCCCGAGACGTAGCCCCTGTTTCCTCCTCCCATCCCAAATTGGCCAGAACCTAGCCCACCCATGACCGGGCCCGTATTCATGGCTATGGCTATCAGTCGCCTCTGCTCGTCCTCGTTGAGCTGCTGCGGATTTTGCGTGCTTATCAAAGAGTCTAGTCGCAGGCCCGGCTGTGGCTTCTCCCAGCTTAGCGGCGTCGAATACAACCCCTCACGGGGTGGCACTTCGGAAGGGGGCATCGTATCAATATTAGACATCTGGTCGGCCAGGTTCATCGTCGAGAAGTCCTCGGTCGTCATGTCGCCCTCCTCTGATAATGCATAGTCCAGGGCGCTGTCATCGAACATGTCCTCTGGCCGCAGCTGTCTCCGCCGAGGGTTGCTGGGCCCTGGCTGCCCAGATCCCATGCTCGATTGTTGACGGTGCCGCGACTGTTGTTGCTGTTGCTGCTGCTGTTGTTGCTGCTGCTCGACGGTTCGGAGAGTTGGTATGGACGACGGCTCGGTCTGCGCGTGTTGCATCTTGGGTCTTTATATCAACACGTGTCAGTCACGCCACACCACGACGGCTCTGCCCGGTGGGCGCCGGGGGAGAGCGGCTATGTGTCTCACACATCGGCGGGAAGGTCGGTCACCTTGATGCTTGTCCATTCCCACCGGAGGCTCGAGGAAGAGCTTACCGCTGCTGCTGCTGTTGCTGCTGCTGTTGCGCCTCCTTTCCTTTCTGGTGGCTCAGATCCGACCCGCCAGGCTCCCCGGCGCCCTCCTCATTGTCGAACTGTATCCAGTAGTCGACATTGTCGAAGGGGGTCGACTCGGTGCTCAGTTTCGTTCTTTTGCGTTCATGGCCGGACTTCGGCTTTGGTGCTCGGGGCGGCAGAATTACTCTGGAGCCCTGACCAAGCATCTGTTGACGCTGCTGTGTTCTGTTAGGCTGGTTCGAGGCCTGCCCGAAGGCGTCGAAGTTCAAGTTGCCAGGAGCACTCGACGGCGAGCCGAGGCCCGAGTCGGACGGCAGGCCGGCGATGTCCCAGAAATTTTGCGCCGAGTTGGCGGTGGCGTTCTGGTTGAAGCGACGCTGCTGTTGGCTTTCCAAATCGTCTGTCTGCGCTTGGTCAGCAACAGTGACATGCGGCCGGATAGGCATGTGTCCCCCGAGAGCGGCGATCATGGTCTAGGAGAGGGTGAAGGGGACGGTTGGTTGACCTTACTTGGCCGTTTGGCTCGAGGAAGTACTCGATGTGTCTGAGGAGGTTGGGGTCCATGACTATTTCCCGGGCATGGCACGCAGGTCAGGGACCTGGGGGCTGATCGTATGATTTTTGGATTTGATGAGACGCTGAGACAATAGTTCGTGCGGGCGCGGGCGCAAAGACAGCAAGTCCTAGAAGACTCGGATGCCGGCGCTGCTGAAGTGAGCGGGGGCGCGGATAAGTACTTTCTTTTGTCCAGTCAGTCGGTGCGATGTCAGTGGAAAGACAGTATGTGTATGCGAGCAAAGGCCTGAAGAGCAGAGATGCTCGTCTCTATGTCATGACTGGGGGTCTCAGATGGGTTCAGTAGGGGCGATAGGATTGTTGATGGTTGACCCTGGGCAGGGCCGCGCGGTTATCAGATGGGAAAAGAGCCCGCCACTGCTGAGCAGGTTTTCGTCAGACAGTGCCAGGCGCCAGTGTGAGCCTCCGTTGAGGGTATACCGCACAGCAGAAGCACAGGGCAGGACAGCGCTGTGACGAGGGCAACAGGTGAGATGGGGCCAGAAGTGAGCAGTCAGGAGACTGATAGGGCGCGTAGTGGTAGTCCTGGTAGTGTGGTGAAGAAGGGCGAGCGTGTGTAGGACAGCTGAGGCAGTGATCTGCGTGGGATGCTAAAGTCAATCAACCAGCAATCGTATAGGGTTTGGTATGCTGCTGCAGGCAGATGGAGACAGGTGTACTGTAGGTGTGGTACTGGACTGGACCGGAGTGGGCTGGGCTGGTCTCGGTTGGGGCTGTACATACGCGGGTGTCAAGCACGGGTAGCAAGCAGCGTGTATGAGTGTGAGTGTGCGTATGAGTATGCCAATGTCAATGCCAGTGTCCGTGGTCGGCTGCTGTGCGCATGCGTTGACAGACGAGGTTGGCAGGTAGATCCGAGGCGGCTGGAGGGCGGCAGAGGCAGAGACAGCGAGAGGAGGGGGCGTGCAGGAGTTCCGGGGCCGCTGACGATGCAGTGAGTGAGTGGGCGAGTGAGTGAGTCTAGTGAGTCTGTCTGAGTCTTGTGTGAGGGTGTGAGAGGTTGGTGAGTGAGTGCCTGCGTGGGGCTCCGATTGGACTGGATTAGATGATTGATGGTTTGTGGTTGGGGAGGGACGGCACGTCAACAGGACGACGCATGGGCGGATGGACGCTGTTAGAAGCTGTCAAGAATGGGCTGATTCGATGATTGAGTCCTGTGGTACAAGCACAGGGAGACGGGCGGACGGGCAGGGAAACGGCGAGACAGTGTGTGCATGTGGCTACTACCTAGGCAGGAGAAGTGAGAGTGGGCAAGAGCAACTGCGAGCCAGCTGCTTGCTCCTGCCGCTGCTGCTGCTCAACAGACAGCCAGCGCCGCCGAAAAAAGCCAGACAGACCAGACAGACATGTCACGAAATGCGTGCAAAAAACCGGGCGATTTTACCATCAGAATCAGACCACTTTTCCGACAGCCTTGCCCCAAAGAGGGGCAACCCGCCTTAGCGAGGGCCACCCAACTGTCGGAGCGGGCCGTCGCCCTATTGGCGAGCCTCGCTGTTTTGCAGTGCTGCTGTCTGACATGGGCCCAGAGACCTTCCCTGCCCTGACAGCTCTTAGGGGGGTCTGGTCCAGTGGTTGTGGGAGTATGAGGGGGGAGGCCAAGCCAGGCGGGCAGGCGGGCCAGACGGGCAGACAGGGTGCTCCTGAGTCCTGACAGCTCCTTAGCCTCTGGGTTTTCCGTCCTTTTGGTATAGGTGCAAGTCCATTGGCCGAGTGCCGACGATCCCGACTGCCCCCATTGCCACTGTCACTGCCACTGTCACAATCCATCCTGCTCCTCCAATTCACCCAACCACAGCCAGGCAGACCATCCTAACAATCCTGACCGTACCATACGGTAGATCGCATAGTGTTTAATGTTCAAGCGATCAAACGCAACAAGCTCTGTCTCTCTATTGCACTTCCCTTCTGCCGCAGCCCTCAAGAGGCAAGGATCGTCACCGCCAGCTCGCAACACAACAGCACGACAACCCAAACACCATGATCAATCCTGCTTCACATTCATAGCCATCTCACATCTCATGATGTATGTGTCGCGTGCTCTCCAGCCAGAACCATGGGCCACGGTTCAACGACCTGCGTGGCAGATACGCACATACGGACTCACGCGCACGCAGTGCAACGTCGCAGTAATGCACACAGGGAAACGAAAAGGACAGCAAAACGGTCTTCCGTGGCAGCTGTCGTGCTCCATCGAGCAGGCACTGCCATGAGTCGTGGCTGCCGCTGCTCGGGGCTTCCTGCACCGCTCCTGCTGCTTTTTGCCCGGGGGGCGAGGGTGCTACGGAATCGTGACGGTTTTCTTCCCTCTGGCCGGCGACAATTGCGATTCGGCCCGGATCTCGTCAGAGATCTTGCCAGTTTGTCCAGATCGATGATCAGAGTTACCGGCGCAATAGGTCGTCGTGCGTTGTGATGTGCATGCCCTGCATTTTCGTTGATCGCCGACACCCCCACGGCAAAAATGCGGGTTTTCGCGACAGCCTACTATCCTGCGGGTGCGCTACTCCTACCCCAGACGCATGTTTTCTTGACTTGAATTTTGCTAGGTCGTTCTCCAGATGTCCTTCCTTCACTTGGCCTACTTCTACCACGCGCCTCGACCGCCGTAACCCGATGGCAGGCAAGTGCAGGCGTCTACTGTTTCCGAACGTTACAGTGCTCCCGTCCCAAAGTCGTCGTCTCGTCGCAGGAATCCGCTGTGCAGAAGGCCCTCTTCTGTGTGCCGTCGGGTTTCCCGTCCTGCGCCAACACCTCGGCTCAGAACATGCAATTCACTGCAGGTGCAGGAATAGGACAACTGCATCACAGTCCGCTGAGCTGCCGCTTTCATGCAAGGGTGGATAGACGTTGTTTGTACTCCGTTGCTCGGCACGAACACCGTCCCCTCGGGCCTCAATCGCCTGGGCCTGGACCGGGTCCATTACTTGGCCCTGGGAACCATCGACGGTGCCTCGCCACCATCACGAGGTTCGGATCCTACGCTGTGCGCCACAGCATACACCGTCAAGTGAGGACCTATGTCATCGATTGCTACAGTGGAGCACCAGGTTTCCTTCAGCCCATGTGCCCTAACGTCGTCGAAACCAGCACGCTGGAAGTTGCTCTTCCAGAACTTGGTCGGCGGTTCATCAAGGTTGACGTTGACTTCGGCCCTGTGAGGACGGTAGGGGTCGTCATTGTGGCCGAGGCACCATGGCCCAACAGACCCAATCGCGGTGCTTCCTGGGGACTAGTAGCAACCTTTTGCCCGGCCAATCCATCGGGTCCCGCGCCAAGATGACGTCCAACCTTGATTCTCCCGGTATGTGGACTCGGTAATAACTTATCTTAGCAGCGGGCACGGCTGAGGGTGTGACCACCACGGGCTGCGTGGTGGCTGTTTGACCTCGCGAGGCCGGGTGATCTAGGCAAGGATCTCGGGAGCTAGTCGCCCTGACAGGATCATGCCTGTGCGCATGCATGGTGCAGATCCAATAGCGCCCCTCCATCTCACCCCTCCTAGCGCCGGCAGTACTCAGGCCCGACAGGCCGAGTCAGCGTACGCCCACCCAGCTTCTACAGTACGCCCACCCAGCTTCCAGCGTTGGCCCACCCAGTACAAGGAAATTAATTGCATGCGCTATAAAATATTAATACTACGGGGTTATTAATAAAGCATAGCTATAGCTATCCTAAAGGGGTCTTATAGCTACCCTAAAGGGGTCCCATAGCTACCCCTTTATTTGCAACTTAAAAGTTACTTTTACCCTTTACCGCCCTTTACCGCCCTTTACGGCCCTCTGCGCCCTTTACGCCCTTTAAGCGCTCTACAGCCCTTTGGGCGCTTTGCAGCCCTCTGGGGGCTCTAGGCGCTCTAGGGGCTTTGGGCGCTCTACAGCCCTCTAAGCGCTCTAGGGGCTCTAAGCGCTCTGCAGCCCTTTAGGCGCTCTGGGGGCTCTGGGCGCTCTAGGGCCCTCTGGGCGCTCTGGGGCCCTCTGGGGGCTCTGGGGGCTCTGGGGGCTCTGGGGGCTCTGGGGGCTCTGGGGGCTCTGGGGCCCTCTGGGCGCTCTAGGGCCCTCTGGGCTTTTTAGGCTTGTATTTTTAAAGTATTGCTTAAATTAGAAAATAGCTACCCTGGCTTATTGAAAACCCCGCAATACTTGCATTTTAGTGCGGATGCAGCTAATTTTCCTTATACTAGGTGGGCCAACGCTGGAAGCTAGGTGGGCGTACTGTAGAAGCTGGGTGGGCGTACGCTGACTCCGACAGGCCGACCACGACGTTGCAAGGTCTAGAGACATGTATTGCAGACTATTGTTATATACCTAAGGGCGAAAAAGTCAATGATGAGATCTACGGGAGGTCAATCTACCTGTACCACATAATGGCTAAGCTACTCCGATCTGTCGTTGCCCGTGTGCCGTCGGGTCCAGGCACATCCACCTTTCAAGCGCCTTACGACAGGCAGAAGTTGTCACCACTGTGAAATCCAGCGACACATCCGAAATCTCCCATCAGCAAAGTCGTACACGGCCTCAGAGGAGCTGTCGGGCCAGTTCCACACTACAGCGCGATGCGCGCGTCATCACGGTGCGGACGTTCTTGAGCCACGATGACCCACTCACCAGCCATGTGCCTGGGACACCACACGGATCACATTCACATCCGGAGTCCCTACCTGCGACCCCTGCGGGTGAGCCTATCTGATCAGAAGAACTTGTCTTGCTTCTTAGCCCGCCCAGTCCAGATGTTCAATATATTGAAATTGTGAGCTCGAAAATGTCCAACTGGGGTTACACGCGCATCGACGCAGCTCAACAGGCGACAGATTCCTGAGTGATGAGATGGCAATGGCCTCCAGGTAACTTTCATCCATCCTTTGATCAAGTTTCATTGCTACTTAATCCAACGTCGCTCCCTTCATACTATGAATATCTGTTCGTTGTGCAACCTATACCTGGCAGCCCACGGCCTAATACCGAGTTCCGCCATGCACTTCTTCCACTTCATCCCTCCTGGCATAGCTGGATGACGGCATATAGAACTTGCATTTGTTTTTCACCGCCCGAGCACGGCTAGATGACAGCATAGAAAACATGCAGTTGTGTTTCACCGCCCAAGCAAGACTGAGATGCAGGGTGAGCTGTGTGACCAGCCCTCGTACCTAGGAGGCCGAGTCCTCTTCATGCTGACGCGAAGCTCGTCATCGTCTCAGTCCATGATTTCAAATCACTTCGGCAACGATCTTCCCAGGGCTGGCTCACCAGCTCTCGACGGGAGGGAACAATATGGATGGGGACAGGTGTGTGTTATCCAGGGATGTACGGGCCGACATGTTGATGCCAGGGACAAGGTTGATCGTGAAGAAATGTGGGCGACGGGAACGGGCACATCTATCTTTCAACTTCAAGTCCAATGAGGGGTTTAGGAAAAGCCTGTGCAGGGAATCGCTCAGACTGATCCTTTTGATGCACCAGCCCATTATTCGTCCGGCATCAGCAGAGAATCAACGTCGACTTCCGAGGCAGGAGTCTTGGCCTTCCCCCTCCATTTCAAAGACGGTGCTGATTCCAGATCATGAGGATCCTGCGGGATAGCGAAACAGCTCCAATCGCCCCCACTGGTATTCTCGGCATCAACATCACCCTCCATATCACTCTCGCCCTGCGACAGTGGCTTCTTCCCCCGAACAAGCCGTAGCTTGATCGCGGCAAGTCCTTTGCTTAATGGCTCAGCACCGCTGGTTTCAGCCGGAGGTACGAGTTTGTCCAGCTCTGGATTTCGTGTCGTCCTTATGATTGTGGAGAAAGATGTACCGAAAGCTTCTGACGAGGCTTTCGAGATGCAGACGAAGCCTACTAGCACGCATATCGCAGTAGCTGTCACCCCGCTGATATACGAGATCAGGAGGTTGCGAGGGCGGTAGACAAAAGCGTTCTGTGGAGTGAGCACTGCGACTGGCACAATCGCTGCGGCTGTCTCGTTTTCTCTGAGTACCGGATTCATTAGTTGATCTGCTCCATTATAATGAAAATAGTGAAACTAAGATATCTGTTCGATACGTACAGAAATGAGGTCTTGCTGAAGAGACTGAGAGTAGCATTGGAAAATACTTCTTCTAGTGCTTCGGCCATCCCCATAGCATCGACGGGCTGCGTGTCTGCATGCTTTCCGTTGTTCATATAGTATTGAGCTTCATACAGCTCGTTGGTGTCCATGAATACAGTCTTGGCGACTTGCGTTTGGAGAGACCAGATGTGTCCGTAGTGTGACTGTTCAAGATATCCCAGAAGCTGCTGACCGAAGGCGTTCAACAAGGCAATGTACGCTACCGCTTCCGGCGAGCACACGGATGCCTCATTGCGACTAGTTTCGGAATTGCACATGGCAAGCGCGGCGTCGCTGGCTACACCATTGAGACGTGTGGCGTTGACGATGTTTAGGTTCGGCTGCCCATTGCTGAACGCAAAATCCACGCCGTAGGACGTGTTATAGAGGCCACATTCGATGGTCTTATTGGCTGCCCACCCGAAATTGCCGCCTAACTTGTCGTTTATGACAATGTAGATTCTTCCATGATCGTTAGACACCGCGTCGTATGTCGAGCTTTGGGCCGCAGTTGACCCTCCCTGGAGGGTATACTGTAGGCCATGAAGTGCTGCATCCGTCTCGTTGTTATTGCCTCCGCTGAATGGCACGAAGCTGACGAATGGCCTTGGGTCTTCTTGGCCTTGAGGATTGATGATCTCGGCTATCCTCGTAGTGTTGGTAGATGTTGCGGAGCCGCAGGAGAGGGATGGCCCATAAAATTCAAGATGATAAGAGCAGTTGGCGTAGGGGGCTGGGGGGTTGAGCATAGAACCTTGGGCTGCTACTGTGGCCATCAGGCGTGAAATCCCGCTCGATGGGCCCATGAAACGGTAATCAGCGCCCATGCCAATTTGGCCGAATTGTCGAACTGCAGAGTAATTCAGGCTGGATATCGGACGCTGCACGATGGTACTATTGGCTCTTGTACTCAACTGAACAGTCAGTGTTCCGGGTGTGAAGATAGCGATGATGGGGATGGCCCTGAAAGAATGTCAATAAATTCCTGTGGCAGATAGCCTGATAGAACTACTGTAGCCTAGACTTACCAAACAATTATTGCCATGACGACTAGAGGCAAGCCATTTGACCACAATTCCCAGTTGAAGAAGCTCCACAGATCTTTGACAACAGAAAATGTTGCGTCCACTGCAGCCATGGTGAATGTTTTTGATCTCAAAATGTACCAAAGTAACTGCGTATAAGCAAGTCCAGCTGATGCTGTCAGGAAAGCCCTAGTCAGAAAGGCAAGCCCAGTGACAGTTGTAATATACCACTCCTGTTGCTCGGTGCTTTGGACGGCATGCCCGTTGACTTGAGTGGCGAAGACATGATGGCCCACGGCAGTGACTGTCCCAAGGGTTAGACCGCCGGCCATGAAGAAGTGGACAGATGTAAATAATTGACCGTGGGCTGGTTTAAGAGGCGACATCCTTGCTAGTTGTAAATGGTACCTTTGCAAACTCCGTAAATTCTACGAAACTTGTAAATCGTAAATGAGTCCAGCTGCTGGTGGGCGCATCACTGCCTTTTATTCCTCTTGATCGCTAAGGCTGTGATACTGTGTAACGTGGGGGCTCAACGTCATCTGTTATGGCAATGCAGGCTGAATTCTCATGTGCCACAGGTTTTAGGCACCGGGACATGTCTCATCGTTACAACTCATCAGCAAAACACCACAAAAGGTGGATCAAGGACAAGCGGCGGTGGAAATAGCAAAGTGCGAGACTAAGTCTTATAGTAAAGTGTCTAGTATTCTTCTGTCACATTATATTTGAAGTACGTCTATCTTTTCTAAGCAGGTCACATATTTACTTCGTGATTCCAGCTGTATTACATAGCTGACCGACCATGATAGCAACTGAGGTAGAGGTTTCAAATGGTCCACACGAGGCAAACGATAAGGAAGTGTATAGTGCTTAGTCAAAGCTAGGCATACAAGTGTAATGCAACCTAGCTGTACCTTGCAACGACATGAGTGTTTTCGGAGGGAAGGGGATGATCTTTTAATGTAAAACTAGCCCCGTCACCATGTCTCTGAGATTGCATGTATTTCCTAAAGACGAAGAGGACACAGCACTCAACAAAGCTGGTGCAAGCCTGGAGGCAAGAGCCTGAGCTCAATGGTCGTGAATAACATGATCCGTATGTAGCTGTATATCAACAAAAATTCCGAAATTCTCATCAGCTGGAGTTTTAGACCCTTCGGGAGCCCTAAAAGCGCCACGCGAAAATTAGCCGCTAATTGAAGATTCTTGGAATGCCCAAAAAGTTTCAGCTGGTCGATAATTCCTCGGGAAGCCCATGTCACAAGACTACTGCTTACTAACAGCCGCTGAACTACTCATCACAACAAGTTTTATGTGCATCCTGAGGCTTCCAGACGTAAGTAGACCGACTGTAACCTCGAAGGACTTACAAAATTATATCAAGAGACGCTCTCTTCCCCACTAAAACACACCAGCCTGAGCTACAGATGATTAACTTCAATCTCAGCTATCAATGGCTTCGGTGGACCAGGCCAGCTGGGCCACCACCTACGCTCCCCCAAGGGATTGAGCGCCTCTTTGTGCTCACCGCAGGAGGCCCGCTTGAGGTTCTCTACGCCGCACCTGGACCAGGAAATAAGAAAAGAGCCACTCCCCTTTTCTTCCTTCACGGAGGAATGGGCAGCGCATGGATCTGGCTTGAGTACATGCAGTTTCTATCGTCATACGGCATCCCTTGCTACGCTCTCTCCCTCCGAGGCCACGGCGAGAGCTGGCACCCGTCCTTTCTGCGCATGGTCTACGGCACCAGCAAGGGCGCCCTGGCCGATGACCTCGTGGCCGGCATCAGGTGGGCCGAGGAGCGGGAAGGGTCGCAGGTCGTCCTTTGCGGCCATAGTAGTGGGGGCGGGCTCAGCCAGTTTGTGCTGTCAGAGCGGGACGTTCGTGTAAAGGGCTTGGTTCTCATGGGGGCGGTGCCGGGCTTTGGATCGTGAGTTCTTCGCCGTGTCTTGTTAAAGATTCACCTGCATGTCACAGAGCAGCATCAACTGACAAGTACGTATCTTTCCAGGATGCGAGTCTATATTAACTGGTGGCTGCTGGACCCATGGTTCTCGGTAAGACTGCTGTTCCACGGGTGGCATCCCAACAGTCCACTGTCTCATCCGGCCCTCACACGGCGGGCGTTTTTCAGCGACGCCGTCTCGGACTCGTGTGTGGTGCAATTCCAGACACATATCAATGCCTATGAGTCCTTCCTCTGGCCACTTGGCATGATGGTGCCCTTCGCGAACGCGACTAGCGTCATCCAAAGAATTACGGGCTGGACCCAGGGTGGTGGCCAGCGGATCTTAGTGCTGGCAGGTGGACGAGACAGGCTCATGACGATGGACGTCATGGAGAAGCTGACAGAGTTTTACCGGCAGTCATTCAGACTGCTAAGGCGTAACAAAAGGCTGGATGCAGTCGATAGCTCTGTGGGGCAATTGGAGGAAGAGGAGAACATTGTGAAACGGGGCGTGGATACTTACGGTGACGGTGTCAGGCTTTGCCTAGTGCCATATGCAGGGCATCATATGCAAAACGATGTTGAGTGGGAGGTTGGGGTGGAGAAGCTGCTGACATTCTATCATCAGTTGTAAAGTAAGCGTGGGAACTGTTCAAAGTTTGAGAGGAAATCGTGTATTATGTTATGCGACTGATAATTATTTGCTGCGTTTAGACGGAACAAGCGACAAAAAAAAACTAAGGATACAATGTACTTCATCTATTGCATCATGCCCAGCATTGTTCCTACCTCTGCGTTTCTCTGCTCATCCCCCTTCGGCTCGAGGTCCCTGGGAATCATGACCTCGTACTCTTTCACCTGCTTAGACTGATCATGGCCCTACGGCTTTTATTTGGCTAAGATGGGATAATGGGATGTGCAGTCTGGAATTCACAAGACTGGATAGTCGAAGGCATGATTTTTGAAGCATTCAAGTTGCTGTCTAGACTCCTTTGAAATGCGGCTGTACCTCCTTTGTTCAGCACCCTGGCAGAGGAGGTATGTCCAGCGCAAGGTCTTTGATGGGAAGAGACAGCATGAACTTGTGTTGAGCTCCAGACACCACCAATTTTGAGCCTGTGAGGAGCAATCTTGTTAAGCCTCAGCCTTGGACATGAGCCTCGAGTTTGAGCCTTTGGCCTGAGGCTTGGGGCCGTGAAGCTCCAAGATGGAACAGATACCCCCACTCAAGCTTTGTGTGAGGTTACACGGGCCAATGATCTGATCTATCTTGAGTTAGAAACCCAAGAGCTCAAAGCGCTGTAGACTATACAGGGACATGGAACCCAATGTAAAGCAAGGATGAACTTTCTTCCATGTGCCATGATATGGTCGCAGCAGCGCATGCTCCGGATTCCGAGTCAGTCCACTTCTTTCGACATCCACATGGGCTGGGCATGACGGAGTTGTGGGTCATGGGATGGGTCGATTTGGAAGGTTCCGGACTCCGGAGATCGCGTTGAGCCGTGAGATCGGTTCATAGTGTAAAAAGTTTCTATGGATGTGGTCACTGACAAGTTCCGGCCTTACGTAGATGGAGGGACGGTGACACCGTCGAGGCGGAGCATATTCCGCCATATGGGATGATCATCGTGCGAGAGACCGATGTCGCACTTGATCACTTGCCATGAGACGCATGGCCTAGGAACAGCGTACGGTTAGACGCGGTCCTCGTATTTGCGCGTTCTTAAGCCTGCATGCAAACTTATCCTGTCTACTATGTAATATCAGACCTCACAAGGCTGAAGCCCGCTAAGCCCTAATCAGCATTTGACGAGGCTTTTCGACAAGAGGAAGGGAACCTCAACTTCGTATACACCAACGCCGGCATTCCTGAGCGGTGGGGTTTGTAAGGGGGAGAGAATGCTTACGTTGGATTTCCTAAGAAAAGGTCTCCCTGGGCTACTATTTAAGCCGCTCCCGGGTGGGAGCTTTCCCCAGTGCTTACCCGCGGCAATCAGGTATATTGTAGATATTTGGGTGGAGATTTTAGAGTGTCTGGAGACATCTTTCACTCCACTATCGTTGTTCAGGGGTCGTTTTGAGAGGGCAGATGCGTTCACTCCGAGATGCTTTTTCAAATAGTTTGACTCCACTCCTGAAGGGGACTCAAGGAGGTCCACCTCGAACAAAATGTTAACCTCAAAAAGACCATTCACCTCGCCTCTGCCGCGGAGATGAGCGTGGTTTACTAGTGGGGCTGTACAACCAAAGATCTGCCAACCACTGCCCCTTCGGCGCATCATCAAATCATTCGTTGTCAGCTTGCATCTCATCCTAGTACCAGACTCTGAGTGTCATACAAATTAGGCAATAGTAATCATGGAAGGCGGTCACGTTGGACCTGAAGCAAGCCAATCATCTCGTGCGAGTCTGAGATCTTTATAGGCCTCTGGCCCACTTTCTGATTTGTTGCTCAGGTGGTCCCCATTCAAAAACCAGGTCTCGTCTAAGACGGTGAGATTTTACTTGAATAATCGTCTAAAATCAGGTAAAATGATCCAACGCTGCCAATGCTCACCAAAGACCCATGCGGATTAAACACAGAGAATGTTTGCACAGGAAACATTATTATCTAGGTTCAGCGGCGCAACATATTTGATACTGGTGAGTAGTCGACGACGGGAGAAGTGTCTGCTTCCGTTACACTTATCCAAATCATGAGCCACGATCGGAAATCGTGTCTATGTCGGTAATTTACTAAACTAGTGATGAACATTTTCGTTAAAGTATCCATATATGTATGTAGTTCAGACACCACCAATCATGGCGGCGCAGTTACCTAAAGTGATTCGATAGTCGATATGGGCTTCAAATATGCGGGGAACATGCAAGACGGATTTCATAGTCATCCGGTCGCGCCGGGGAGGAGGCTGCCTCACAATTCGTTCTCCGAGTAATGCCGGCCTCACGTCTCACTTGTCAGCCCTGTGTCTCACTCAGCCCTATAGAGCTCGGCATTCCAGCAGCTGATTGATTCGATTTCCAGGAAGAGAAATAATTTTCAGTAGGAGGCTGAGCCAATCAGACAGGCTCAGCTGCGCACCGAGAATGCGCCGCAAGGATGCTCCATGGGGGCCTTTTTTGCGCTTTTTGGATGAGAGAGGATTGCTGTTCAGCGGTTGTGTTCTGGAGATCGTCAGAGAAATCAAAAAGAATGCCGGCATTACAGCCATCGCATTGGTACACGCTCTGTCTTGGCATTTTGAGCCATGATCTAAGCTGACTTGAGATTATACGGGCATTGTCGCGAAAGAGATTGATCCTTCGACCCTGCCAACTTGTGAGATGTTCTGAGTGTGAGGGGTAGAAATTGGAATTCGTGAGGTAGACGATGAAAAGAGCGGAAAGACGTTATGTATAAAAGGCTGGCACGACGCGCCTCGTTGAAAGATGAGATGGGAGAAGCATCAAGGCATTTCCAAGACGACAAGACGCACGAAATCAGAGGCTAAGATTCATCCAAATAAATTCTATTGCCATTTCACGGAAAGCCAGGCACCCTGCTTCTGCAACATGTTGTTCCGTTATCTTTTCGCATCGGCACTAGCGCTGGGGTTCGCATCCGCGGCTCCAGCAGAAACCCGTCAGGCCACAACTATCAACATCCAACTGAAGCACAGCATTCTCGACGTCATCAAGACAGTCGATAGTGTGCCCTTGACCAACGAGCGTGTGCCTGTGGATCCGTCCTTCACTGGCGACATCGTCAATGCCGAGTGTGATGGCGGATGCAAGATCGCATTTCACTGCACTCTGTACGGCGAGAACGAGAATCTCCCAATCCAGGTCGGCCCTGGTGAGACCAAGTTCATCTTCGATGCCTTCGCAAAAATCACTGCCGTTTCCTGCGCGGCTGGGCTCCCCGCTGAGGCCGAGACGAAGCGCCAGGCTGAGGGAGAGGGAGGACTCGTGGTCGAGTTCACGAACCACCCTCTGGAGGTCACTGAGACGATTCGACTCAGTGCTGATGGTCAGCCCCGGCCGGTCAATTTCGACTTCACGGTCAGTGTCGTCTCAACTCGCTGTGCGGAGATCTGCATCCCCGAACTCGCGTACCACTGCCAATTGTTCGACCGGGCCCTGAAGCCGGTTGGAAACCTGACCGGTCCCGGAGCCTTGACCTTCCCTCAGGGCCAGCAACCTTTCATCGGTCAAATCACTTGCTACGACGACTTTGGCAAGGGCAATGTTGTAGCCGAGCGCTCAGAGGAGAAGACCAAGGCTCGTCAAAGCGACGACGTGGTTCAGGGCACCGTGGTCTTCACCAACGAGGAGGGAGATAGGTACGAGCATGAGCTTGTGCTTGACGAGTTGGTCGCGCTTCCATTGAACGTCCTGCCCGTTTACTACACGGAGGCGACCGTGATCCTATCGCACGATCCGCGGAACAGGTTCTGGGCTTGCAAGGCTTTTGCACGGGGGCGCGCGACCTTCGACGACCTTGGGGTTTTCTACGCCAATGAGAAATTCATCAAGACATTTGAAGGAGGCGAGATCTATAAGTGGAAGTGCGAGTAGACAGCTATCTATGATCTCCAACGTCACGGGACCGCCTTACACACCTTGAACAAAGGAGAAGGAAGTTGGCCGATTTTCGTCATTTCAGTTTACTTGCACTCATTGCCTTTCTAGAAGAGAGAGACCGATATTTCAATTTTTGTCTCTGATTTTCCTCCACATGATTTCTTTTCTTTGAATTTCTTACCTGGCTCTTGAGTATCTAGACTCTCCTCAGCTGTGGCTGAACTCAGCCCAGCACCCTAATGATCAGTTTAGGAGCTTAGAACACTTAATTCAAGCATCGTTTCGTTCCCCGCAGCTATCCTGATATCGTAGTGGATAATGCCGTGTACCTGACACATAACCCTCCATGAGGGACAATTGCAGTTCCCACATGCAAGGGTTGATATTGGCTGAAGAGAGTTTTGGCGGCCGTCGTCTACAAAACTGATGGTAGAGAAAATCATAAACATTATAAATATTTAATTGGGTTTGTGACCTAAATCCAGACAGTCTCTTTGCTCCAGAACCAACAACAAAATCCTCACTTCCAGAATGTCCGATCTTGACAGTCGTATGTGGCCACTACTCCACAACTGAGTGGTCACCCGTACGCTGTCAGCAAGTCTACAGCCTAATCCTCGATTCGCATCACTCCCCCGGCGAGTTGGCTGGCAGTCACAACCGTAAAGAAACTGGAGACGAAGTTCAAGGTGTTGCCGAGATTCTCAGCCAAGGCACGATTACTCAACCTGGCATAGAAAACCGGCGCCGCCATCGCCGCACAGAACGTCGCGATGAAGGAGAAGATGAACACGACGGTAGGGGCAGGGAGCGGGACGCGAGAACGCCGCTTGGTGAGGTGGTTGTGCAGAACAGGGTGCACGGTGCACCAACTTGCGAGCAACGTGAGAAAGGTCTGGCTGAGGAGGTTGTAGAAACCACTGTCGAGACGTTTATCTTTGCCGGACTCGGCTTGCCACGATGCGGCGAAGGTGCCGGTGCCCGTGGCGACGAAGACTGCGAACAGGAACCAGAGAACGGAAACGTGGAGGAAGCGAGTGACTCGCTTACTTCGCAGATTGAACATCGCCATATTTGTAACAAGGCTTGGGTTGAACTTATTGAGGATGGCTAACCGTCTGGCTAGTGACTGACTGATGATAACCTCGGCATATGCTCGGTCGTGACTAGGATGGAGTGAAGTGAACACGAGAAAGCAATTGGAATCAACGTAAGTTTGTTATCAAACAAATGGCTGCCTTCGACGAGAAGCGGTAGAGGATTAATGCTTTAAGTACACTCGGTGCCATCTTCAACCGAACCTCCCGGTTTGAGACTGTAGTACAAGTCTCAATGTCTTGGGCTAATGGAGGCTGGATAACTTCTGGGTATCACAGCATTGCACTTAAGAGATGAAAGCATGTCGCTTACTCTTGGTGAGGCAGTCTCCGTGAGCACGGTTGAATCTCACGTCAGGACGGCACTGTACTCGTTGGGTTCACGTATACCATCATTGCATTTTACCAACTCAGGCACCCTAAGTCCAGTTGAACAGCCCCTGGGAAGATAAGTGGCCATGAATCCGAAATGTTGACCTTGACACCCTCCATCGGCGTCGCTCTCATTGCTAAGAATAGCACTCGAAGCATCTCAGAGTCATCTTTGGGAAGATTCTGTGCTCATAGCAGCGCCACCGCCATAAAGTCTCTAAACTGACAGTATCAACGGCGAAGCTGTGCACCGCCCAGACTCGATCTCGGTGTCAAACCTAGCTGGCTGCTCGTGCGACCTCTGGCAGCGCCTAAGCCCCAGGCTTTGCCGCGCTGCTGTTGAGATCTCCGGTGGCACAAATCCTCATGGAATTTTCAGCTGGGTCAGCCGTTGCTACTGGGCTAAAAGTAGCGCTTCATTGTCGAGGAGGTATTGCTTCGCCACTCAAACGGCGCCGTCTTAGGTGCAGGGTCCCAATCTGCCTTTCTCATGCTATTTACCAACGGGAGGCAATCTATACGTAGGTGACTCTCTGTGGAGGACTGCGATTGTGATATTTTCTGCCCTGACAGCTGCAGAAATGTGGAGTCCACAACTATTAGGACGCGTGATGCACCGGTCTAGAAGTGTCGATTTGCACAGCAGGTCTCATCACGCTCTGGGTCAAGCCACCAAAGTTGGCTCCCAATCCGCCCAGCTTGATCATTGGAGGTCACAGGTTTTGCTTCCTCTCACTTTGAGAACACTGCCTCTTGAAGCGCGGTCTGAAACATACGTGCATAAAGTCCTTCACAGAGATGTCGATGAACTTGAAGCCCACGGGGTGGGTTATCCACGGAAAGCTTCAGGCGGGACTGCATTTTTCTGAACAAATCACCCAAGTCGGAGCTTCACCCTTTCAACGACCAGTATTCGCATACCGCTGTTAAATGCCTGAGGGAACGGTATAACTTGGTATCATCTTCAACTTGGGGCTCTGCCGTGACTCCTTCAAGTGCCGTAACCCCCTGGCAGGCATGTCACGTTGATGATACTCTAGCACCTTAGCATCAGTGAATAGTAACTCATAAGGGAGATTTTCCTTGATGCTGACCGATTGCGCAAGCGTGGTCGGGGTGTTCACCTCCGCGAGAACGCCCACTATGTAGATCCGTACTGCCAAGGCCAATCAAGAGCCGGATTCTCTCCACTTGTGCTCCTGTCACCGTACGACGTGTACGCGCCAATGCTTATGGGGTGTGTGGGGCTGCCAAGGTTGCAGTTTAGGTTTGAAAGAGCTGTGCCCTCCTGCCACTTGTTCTACGTCGATTTCTCGAGCTATTCTATCGTGAACGCATTCCAAACCTCGACAATTTGGCATCAGCATGGCTGCCGTGTTCAAGGAACCTCCCCCTCCCCCGGCCGACTGCCTATACAAGGCCGGCTTGACGTCCCAAGTCCTTCTACCGTCGGACCCTGACTACGCGGGTCGCGAGGATTCATACTGGTGCAATGATGCCAAGCTTGGGCCAGCCTGTATTGTCAGACCACGCTCAGCAGAAGATGTCTCTACAGCGCTGAAGGCCCTGGTATCCGCGGGACAGAAACTCGCTATTCGAAGCGGCGGTCACACTAATTGGGCTGGATCAAACAACATCACAAACGGAGTCACCGTATTTAAGCCCGTCCTCCCTCCTTTGACCAAATAATGCGCTGACTCTGACGGCAATAGATCGATCTGGGGTTGATGAATCACGTAGTCGTTGATACTGCGTCTGAGACTGTGGATATCGGCCCCGGAGGTCGATGGAGAGATGCTTATTCCGAGTTGCACAAGCATAATTACACAGTCGCAGGTGGTCGGGAAGCGAATGTCGGTGTTGCTGGCTTTCTCCTTGGAGGAGGTATGGCGTTTTTGAACTCGCGAAGAGGGTTTGCATGCGACGACGTTATCTCGTACGAGATAGTGCTGGCGGACGGGAGCGTCGTCATAGCCGACAAGAACCATCATGCTCGCCTTTTCCGGGCCCTTAAAGGCGGCTCCAACAACTTTGGCATTGTCACAAACTTCAAGATGAACATGCTGAGTAACAACAAGATTTGGGGCGGGTTGACCATCTCCTCGAAGGAGTTCATTCCCAATTCCATTGAAGCGATGCACCAATTCACGACCAATATCAAGGACAGCCCTGATGAGACTGTGTGGACTCTGTTCATGCACTCACCCGAGCTTAAAGATACTGTCATTGCGACCGCCCGTGAGTAGCACCTCAGACTGCCTGCCAAGAACATCCTATTATGGGCATTTGAAACGTGCTAATTGTTCCTGACCGGAAGATGCGAGCATGGTGGGAACGGAAAAGGCGCCAGCCTTTGAGAAATTCTTGAGCATTCCAACGATTAGTAGCCAACTCGGCATTAAGACAGTCAGTGAGTTTACGGTGGAGTATACTCAGTCAAGTCATCATCAGTGAGTTCTCTCTCAGTCCTTTGTCGTCGGCATTCTACAAATGCCCCTCCGCTTCCGTAGACTAATTATCCCATCTACAGTGTCATCTGGCTTACTTCGGCTTTCAAAAACGACAAGCGCATCATGGCCAAAGCCTCTGAGCTACATGACAAGTTAGTCGAAGAGCTCAGGGCCGTGGTGCCCGACGAAAACTTCATTACACAATGCACCTTCCAGCCACTGCCAACACTGTTTGCCGAAAAGTCCATTGAAGCTGGTGGCAACTTTATTGGTCTCGAACGCTACAAACACGATGGTATACTCTTCCTGGCGACGGCTTTACTCCCAACAAGGGAACTGCGAGACTTCGCGTACCCTAAAGTCCAAGCCTGGGCTCAAGGGGTAGAGAAATTTGCGCAAACGATCCCTGACGGGCTCATTGATTTTGTGTACCTCAATTACGCTGACCCAAGCCAAGCGCCATTGGCTAGTTATGGCAAGGACAACATCAAGTTCATGAAGGAGGTTGCAGCTGAGTACGACCCTCAGGAGGTCTTCCAGAAGCTATGTCCTGGAGGATATAAGATATCGGACGTTCAGCTCTGAGTTCTATAATGGAGATTGAAACCTCAAGAAAACACTTCAAGTTCCAGGACGGATTTCACAAAAGAATATGAAAGTCAATCTCGGCCAGTTTGAGTCCAAATAGTGATTGGAAAATATGCGACGCTGACAGAAGCATTCGCTGGCAGGGTTTGGTTTCCTTCTGGGTTACCACTTAGATGTATGAATGAAACTCACTTCGACTTGTCTCCCATCGGCCCCTTCGATGGCCACAAGGACTTTGGCATTGGGTTCTAAAATGTACTGAACGGCCTCAAGACATTTTGCAATGTGGAAACATTGTTTGTGAACTAGAAACTGCCGTGATAATCCGCTTGACCAGTCTTGTCTTGTGTGGTAGGACCATAGAATCTGTGACCAAGTTTTCTGCCGCCAGCTGCTGCACGATTCCGCTCAATTTACTTGTTTGTGATGCGTACAAATGAATTCGGACCAAATTTAGCCTACACATGCAGCTTTCCTGAATTATACATGCATGCTGCCCGTTAACATGTATCACTTCGGCACACTATTTTTGGCTATTATGAAATTCACGTTATAGACAAAGTCAAAGCGTGGAGGCAAGTAGGCTACCTAGGTATGTTGCGATTGAAATCAGCACGGCGAAGAGCCGTCTTTACAGCTCTCTACACACTGACAGGCGAAATGGGCTTCACCTGGGCTTTTTGAGGTCGTGTCGGTTGAAGTGACTTTGCTACATGTGGAAAATGACATCCCTGATAATGCCCGTCACCCCCCCCCCTTTTTCCCTTGGGTCCCCACATTGGCTGAGTTTACATGATCTATCTGGAAGCTGTAGTACTCACCGTAACTATTTTCTACGAGTCCTTCCCCTGGGATGCTTCCTTGTGCATTGCGATCGTTTTCGTGTCATACAGCACCGCGGAAGCAAATGTTGTCGTACATTCATCACCACACCTGTTGAAGCCATTACACGGACACAACAGCCATGCAGTTTGCTCTATTGCATTACCGCTGTGAAGCAGTCATACAACCATCCAAATGCATTTCGCCAAAAGCAGAGGTGTTACTAGGAACTGATTTGGGCAGCCAAAGTAACCGAGACACGTTGTTGGCATTTGAAACCTATACTAGTAGCCATAAAGGTGGTCGGGGACCGAAGGATTTTCAACACTCCCATCATTCTAAGCCCTTTTTCTTATGCTGTCTGCGCTCCTTCGTTGTCAGTGTCGTCCAAAACTGCGATCGAAGTCTTGTCTTCTAGCTCGTCGAAACTCGAAGCAATTCGAATCAAGATCCCCAAGAGATCATCATCCTAGATGGCTCCTCTGAGCATGTCTGAGAACCGCACGGAGAATCTAATGACATCAGACTCCAGCCCAACGGCATCAACCATGACTAAATGGCGCTCGGTAAAGCTTGCTCTAGGATCAGTGGTCATGCTTGCTTCTTTGACGTGTGCTGCAATATCACTCGCGTGGGCGAAAATGCCGACAATCACCTGGGAGGGGCTGTATTCTTTCCCACTGTATGGGCTACCTTACGTGCGTGAGAAGCATTCCATAATAGCATTGAAAAACAAGATGGTAACTAATCGGTGCGTAGCCAATCCTCAGTCTCCTCTGGCAGTCAGCTGAGTTCTTCAAAGCCACTAGGAACAACAGGGATAGTGGTTTCTCTGCAGCAAGTCATTTGATTTGTGACCTGTTCCTCGGGGTGGTCGGCTTTGTGCTTGCAGTAGCTTTCACAGTTGTCTTTCAAAGCGCGAACATTGACTCTCAAGAGTACCTATGGGTTTATTATGATGGGGAAGCTACTATGATAGATTGGGAGGAACTCTATGCGACACTGAATTTTGATCGGTGGATGAGCACGGTATTCATGTGGTCTGGTATGGCCATGGTTGCAGCGTATGTGACACCCACCCTCGGTACCGATGGAATGCTTAACTAATTCGCTGCCAGATTATCCCACTTTCTCATTTCCATGTTTTCTTATTTCGAGATACGAAGACGGTACAAGAATCTCGAAAAGCAGCCTCACTCCGCATTAGATGCAGCACCGCCTTACCTCGAACCAAGCTCCAAGCCGCTCTTGATGGCTGGTCAGGCTGCATCAGCCCATCAAGTCCCATCTGAGGCACTCGCTCAAAACGCGCCCCAGGAGGTCGGAGACAGTACCAGGGCAGTGGAAATGCCTGGGGCCAATCCGGATGAGATGGGTATGTCTGTGGTATCTGTGGGCGGAACTAGAAGAAGCAATGAGCAGGACTCACTGCAACAGGATGCGTAGCTGAGGTTTCCGCGGCTGAAGTCAATTGAGATGATATATTGGAAAGTATTTATGTCAGGTTTCAATAGAGCTGATCGACTATAAAGGATTCGGCGGTGGGGCCGGGGCCGGGGCGGCTCGACATCAGAAGGCAATATTGGGTGATAATTAGTCGTGGGTTCGTTGGTCCGTAAGTAATTGAGGGGTAAATCATGCAGAGCTACAAGGAATTCCATAAGTATTTAGGGTGTACCCATCACGTATACTCTAGAAGACAGTGATATTCAAAGAATAATCTCTGAGTAGTCAAAATTAGTGCCTTGGACGTCTTTGGCTTGTGTTCTGTTGAGGTTGAGCAACACCGCATACATGTTTCATCTTGTGTCGCACTTGAAAACATCAGACTGTGTTAGAGTGTAAGTATTGCTAGAGAGATGCCAGTTCAAAAGTCGCTGCCTCTCCTCTAATCTTCGCAAAGATTCCGCAGTTGACAACTGAAAGTCACAGTCTCAGTGTATTCAGACCTGCGTTATCAACCTCTCTTCTGAGACTATAGGCTTGGCCTCGGGCCAAAACAGATTCTTTCTCGATGCAGAGCTCGCCTAAATCTCCCCTTAAGTATCTGGACGTCTGCTTCCAAAAGTCTCTTCAAGTGAATAAGAATCGCGAATTCCACCAGTTTCCTCCAAATCTTCTCAGGCCTAAAACTCGTCTTCAAGAGTCTCACCGTTCTCAATCGCAGGACCACCCAGATCGCTGGTGGAAATGCCGGACAACCTCTCGCCGAGTTCCTCACTCGGAGGGCTCAGAATGGGATTGGGCATGTCCTCGCCCCGGGCGTAATGTTCAGCGAAGTTCCCAAGACCATGCTTCACTCCAAATATTTCGCTGCCCCAGTCAGCCATTATGTCGCACTCCGCACCGGCTTGGTAGCCAAGGCTCACGCGGATCCGTCTGCTGCGCAACATGTCGAGGACGCCGGCCCACGTGCCGCGGCAGAGTCGCACGTAATTCATGATCAGAAGCCCCCCTTGGTGGCGCGCGATCGACGCGGTCAAGGTTTCGAGGTCGGAATCCGAGAGGGAGAGCCGCTTCAGCACCGCGTACTTCAATTTGGGCCACGGACGCGGGCTAATTAGGCTCACCTCCGGAGAAAAGGTAATTTTGGGGTCGATGATGAGACACTCAAGCTTTTCGGACTCCAAGCACGCGTCGAGAAAGCGTGACAACGATCGGAAACCTTGTTGGTCCCGCTCTGGGTTCGTAGGCAAGTGCTTGTAATGTTCGAATCTCAGGGATCGCAGGTTCCTTAGGCTGCATCTCATCAGGTGTTCTGGTAGACTGAGTAGTGAGAGCCGTTTATAGGAGTAAACAGGAGGTGAAACTTGAATGTTCAGTGAGGTGATGCCTGTCCCAGCTGATAAGAGACCTGGCATTAAGTATAAGAGGTTGCTGCCCTGGACCTCGCCGAACGTACTGCGCCATTGTGCTAAACTGTTTACCAGTGATGCTTCGCTTGAAATATCCAGGTATCGGTCTGAGTGCCGAGACTGAGGTCCCCAGCGAATTGTATCCCAGTCAGTCACTTCAAGGTGCTTGGCAGCTGGCAGTGTTGCCATTGAGGCTGTCATTCTGACAATAAAGTCAGCAGAGCCACTGGCCTGAAGCAAGTTCTTTTGCTCTTGCAAGCGATCTTTGTATTGATAGTATCCTTGCACCAAAGCCTGAATATAGACGATTTCTTCGCGGTCAAAGTTGTCCAGGAAGGTGTCGTCTCGAGTTACTCGGGCCTGCAAATACTTGGCCCAAGTGTTAGAAATGAAAGCAGCCTTGGACCTTGTCTCTTGTGAATTTCTACCAAGGCGAGGGAGGTTGTTCATGTGGTGGGTGGCAAATAGCTCGAGGTTCTTGGCGATGCCATCATCGTACTGCGCCAGGGAGATCTCAACGGCCTGCACACCATGGTAGATGTCTGGGTGCTTGCTGATACTCTCAAAATTGGCGAGGGAGGCCTCTGACAAGTCAATCGTGACATGTCGAATCAGGTGTCTTGAGGCATTTACGCTCAATTGACTGTGAGAGAGCCGGGCGTTTTTGATGTCCTGTTCCGAAGTGGACGAGAAGTCCCACATTGTCTTGTTGATATCGCGCCACTTGTTTCCACCGGAGATATAAGAAAAGACTTTGAACAGTATCTCGTTGGGGAGGTCTGTAATTGTCAATGGCCCGGCTCGAGGAATGGTAGTGGTTGCCTTGTCAGTGGTTTGCTGATGAGTGAGCGGAAACGGCATCTGAGACATCGTGTCATCTTGGTAATGAGAAATTGTGTGTCAGCATTTCTTATGAATTTACTGAGATTTGTCCGAACTAACCAATCGTGCCTTTGCCAGGGCTGATGAGGATGGAGTTCTCCACTGCGTGAATCTGTCTCAAATCATCGTCGAGCGAGGACAGTGGGTTTGTTGGCTGCACACTTCTGACTCCAGATATGGAAGTGATAGCGGTGCCAGCAGTGGCAGCCTCGCCGGTAATGATAGCCGGGTCTGTAGTGGTAGCCTCGTCTGTAATGATAGCCGGGCCTGTAGTGACAGCCGGGTGTGGTGACATTTGTACCAGTGCGAACAGGCGCGTCTTGGAGGCCAGCGTCACCAACAGGAAAGATCGCACCAAGAGAGCCAGCGTCGTTCTCGTTGTCGGGAGAGACCCTCTCGTCCTTGGTTGAGGGTGTTGAAGACATGGTGTCCTGGGGAAAAGCCTGGGTGAATTTGAAAGCTTTGTTAGCTGCGCATCTTCTTTGACAAAGAGACCCTCATGAGAAACCCCACAAGTAAGCAGTGATGGACTGCCTTGAAGTGTTTGAGTGCTATGGAGAGAAGTGTGGCATCATATCCCGAGGTCTGTTGAGTTTGGTGGGGCAGCAAAGCACAAAATGGTGCAATCGTGGGTAGCCCCCCAAAGACTCGCCTCTGATGCGTACGCAGTTTTCTGGAGACGTCGTAGCACTTTGGAGCTCTGCTCTTGGGCCTTTGCCTTGGTTTTGGAGTTGCGGGCGGTGATGGTAGTGTTCAGGTCTGGTGAAAAGAGGGTGGCACCACAACAGGCGCCTTCAAACAATATGCGGAGAGTGGACAGTTGGAGGAGAGATACCCACAGAGGATGGTCTATCTATAGCTGCCTTGGGGCCTTTCTGAACGTTGGTGGTGACAGGATACAGAGCTGGCGATAAGTGCGGATGTCTGCCTCTGTGGATGGCGATCAAGCAGAGGAAGAGGACGAGACACTGCTCACCGCCCTTAAGATAAGCGAGACCCGGGTGGGATTTGAGGAATCAGCAAGACCAGGGCTCAGTTTGGGGGCCCAGCTTTGAATGTAGTGGTAAGGACAGAAAGCAGGCCTCGTCGGGGATGGAAGGCAGGGTGGAGAGGTTTTATAGCAATGGGAAAGGCAGAGGGGTGTTTGAGCCACAATGTGCGGGCCTCAATTGTATTTTGGCTTGTTTGGAATGTTCTTAACGGCCCATTCAAGCCTTCATCCCATATGAGATAATGGAAAACATCAAGTTCAGTGAAATTCGCCAAACCACTGCAGCTTCAGATGTAGAAGTTGGAGTCAATGGCTACCAATTTCCATTGTACCACGACAACAGTGGTGGCTTGCGGTTTACAATTACCTACATGATATTAACCCGGCTTTCTCTTCCTGGAATGAGCAGATTGGATTTGTTTGACACAGACCATCTGTTCTAAATTCAGATTTGAGCCCTGGATGAGCCAGCGAGTTCAGCTCTTCTATTATGATGGCTCTCAATACGTCTAGGTGCGGAGATCTGTTTGTGTCATGCATGCTACATAATCTGTGTTATCACAAATGGCGTCTGGGACTACCAAACACATTCATAGCTATCATCAAAGGGCTGCTTGGTTATACCTCGTGATAGTGGGAAGACATGGATGTTGAGTACAGATCAAGAGGCCTTGAGGCGAATGGACATGGGACGGGAGCGTTCATTGTTGCGATGGGAAGCACACTCGATGGAAGCACTTAGGACGGCAGCACTTAGGACGGTATGACCTCGAGTATGGGAATTTGACCCCAATGCATTAGTTATGAGCACACGGAGATGCGAGTGTTCCAGAACAACAACTTGCTAACCCCACCGCTCGCTTACATGTTTGCTGCCATTTTGTTTGGGCCAGTAGCTTAAACGTTCCGCGCACACTACACAACCTCCTGAAGCTTTCTCAGCCCGTAGTCCTCCACAGGTACTGCATTCGCCGGTGGGCCAAGGCCGAGTGCGAATAGCAGGACATGGAGTTTGGAGATCGAAAACAGGTAGCCGATCCAAAGCAACACCGAGATGCCCCGCGCAGTTTCCGGGTTGGCGAGACGTGGCATACCCGGGGCCAATTTCTGGGCCCGGTCCACGAGGGGGCGCATGATGGTCTCATACTGGGCGAAGGCCGCGGTGAGGTCTCCCGGGTGCTGGAGGATGGCACCGGCAAGATTGTATGCGCCGTTGAGGGCGAGCGTTGTGCCCATACCGGACAAGGGTGACGCACAGTACCTAGCCGTTTGTAAGCCGAGTGACTCACGAAGGGGTTTGTTTGCTGCAAGGGTGCCCGAGGTGGTAGAACTCACCCAGCGTCGCCGACGAGGACGACCCTGCCCTTGCTCCACTTATCCATCTTGACCTGTCCGACCATGTCGTAGTAGAAGTCCTTGGTCGCCATCATCTCCTTGATTATCCTCTCGGATTCCCATCCAGCATCGAGGAAGTATTCCGCCATGATGTCCTTCTGCGCCTGGACCGCATCTCGCTTCCCCGCCAGGCTGGGCAGCCTCTCATCTTGGTTGTTGATAACATGCATAAACACGGTCGTCTTATCCCTCTGCTCGTCCGGCCGCACCATGATTCCTCTCCTCCCAGGGGCATGGAACCATCGACGCCACTGGGAGTCGGTCCTCCCCCTTGGCATGCTGAAGAATGCCGCATACATGCCCAGCTTTCTCACCCTGTCCTCCTCGCCGTCACTGCCCCAGACCGTACTCCGCGTCCGGCTCTGAAGCCCATCGGCCCCAATCACCAGGTCGAAACTCCGCCGCTGCCCGCTTTTAGCGAAGTGCACTTTGACCTTGTCCCCAATCTGCTCGATCTCGTCCAGGTAATCCCCAAACAGATGCTCGACTCCTTTCCCACCATCCCTCTCGATCTCGTCACTGACGTCCTTGCTCCTTTTCCAAAGCAGCTCAGACAGCCGTCCCCTCAGGATCTCAATATCGCTTGTAGGAGTCTGATACCTCCCAGTCTTGTCAGCCCCAAACTGCGACCAGACGGTGTTGTCGCTGTCGACGAGCTGCACGCCCTCCTCACCCGTGGTCGAGGCTCGCACGGCGCCCTCGAGCCCCAGATGCCGGATAAGTGTCACTCCAGATCCGCGTATGTCAATGTTTTGCCCATCTATGCGCAGGGCTGGAGAGCGCTCTACGATGGTGATGTGTGGTTTTTGGGATGCCGGTAGAGGGGAGAGGAGGAGGAAGGTGGCTAGTGCTGGGCCTGCTATGGAGCAGCCGACGATGAGGATTTCCAACGGCGCCATGGTTGAGCTGGGTAAAGTGCGGCCAATTAATCCTAACGGAACCAAGAGGACGATTTACTGTACAAGATGCCCCAACAAGCGTCCAACGTGCATGTGCAGACGCAGTGAGGAGATGAGGCGAAGGGATGACTTTATATTCTGGCAATCAGAACAGACTTGGAGAACTCCAACCATGGACTCAGTATAAGACGGGTGAATATCGACCAATGTCGTAGTAAGCAATTATTGCGATAGAATTGATGGGTAGATCGAGTACGGATTCCGGAGTTGAGTGGCTATCTTGACCCCGAACTTGGCTTGGCGGCTAGCCTCGTCAGACAGCAAGGGCAAGGGCAAGCTGAAAGACTGATGAGGTCATCTAGTGCGCCCCATTTGGCATTGAAATGCAGGAGGAGTGGATGATGTTCCGAATTCCTTGGCAAGGATTTGGTTAACGACGTCAGCTACCTGGGTGAGTCACGGAGGCCGCGATGCAAAGGCAAGATGCGCTGCTGTGTGCCACATCTCCCTCTACTTCAAGGCAAGCATGGGAGTGCAGAGCATACCGAAGATGGGAGAGGCCATCAGGAGTGGTGATGCAGCCGATGTGCATGCATGGCTCTCCTCGTGCACAGAAGAGACAGCAAACGTTTCTAATGTCACATGTGTTCCTGGTTAAGCTCATGTTTTATATAAGAGCCCACTCTACTGTTTCCTCCAGTTGCGGCCAAGTGGCATGGCAGCTTTCCAGAAACCGAAGACCATCTCCCACTCCGATTATGGAATCTCATCCTCATTCATGACCATAGCGTACAGGGCCCCGATAGACAGTAGCAACAATCTCGAGCAGACCGCAAACACCTTGGCGTAGGAATCACCATCGCCAGTGAAGTACAGGGAAACCACCACAAACACGTTCAGCGGCACCCTCAGGATGCCGTACAGCTGCGCGCGCACGCCGTCATCGATGAGCTGACCCTTGAGATACCCCATGCAGGGCCAGTACATGCCGACGCAGGCCTCAAAGAGGCAGAAGAGCCAGAAGGTGAGCTGCTCGGAGCGCGGCTGCTCGAGAAGGTAGAAGACGAGGTCGGCGACGGCCAAGATGCCGCCGAGGAGGTACGTGTACTTGAGGAGCTTGTTGTCCATGGCGATGTTGAAGAGGAGCGACGCTGCGAGCACGGACGCCATGAAGGTTGCGAAGATGATGCCGTACGGCAGGCCGGCGGCTGCCCCCGACGACGCGGCAGATGCCGACTCGTAGGCGTGCGCGGACTGCAGCGCGGGGCCCCACATGAAGACGAAGAGGTACATGGAGCCCTCGAACATGGTGGACGACAGCCCGAGGCAGACGATGCGCGGGTCCTTGAGCATCTCCCACAGCTTCGGCCGCGGGGCCGCCTCCTGCTTCCCATCATGCGTCTTGGGCTTCTTGTCCTTGGCAGAATCCCCATAGTTCTCCTCCCACCGCGTAGAGATGACCCAAAACGCCACCGCCAGCAGCGCGACAGCCGCAGCGAAGGGCGCCTTCCTCGTCCCCGACACCCCGACGACCCACTCGCTAAACACGCCGCTCGCGATGGCGACGACGCTGTTGAGGGTGCTCATCACGCCGAAGGTGCGCGAGAGGTCGCCGCCCTTGTCCCCCAGCCCGCGCGCGTGGAAGTCGGTGACCATCCAGCTCTCGAAGACGCTGAAGAGCAGGCTCGTGCCGACGCCGCCCAGGACGCGGCCGGCGAAGAGGAGCGGCAGCGAGGGGATGGTCAGGGCGCAGCTCAGGGCGTACGCGGCGCAGAACACCAGGCAGGCGAGCCGTCGGCCGCGCCGGTCCGCGAGGGTCCCCGTGGCGTAGGCCGAGACGGCGCCGGAGAGGAAGCCCGTGGTGAAGAGGGTTGATACCATCCCTGAGGAGACGCCGTGCTCCTCCTTGTAGAGGGAGTAGAGGAACGGGCCCTGCGTGGATGAGTTAGCTTTGGGTTTTCAGGTGCTTGGGAACGTGGGCTTGTGAGTCTTGCCTGGAGCCAGTCTGAGCCCATCACCAGGGCGAACACCACGAGGAAGGGCCACTGAGATGCTTCATTGCTGTCTGTCGTTTGCTTTGGCTTGGAGTCCTTCTTCGGTTCTGCCGACTTTGCGTCCTGCTTGGGCTGAGCTGGCTTCCTCCTCTGTGCGACGAACAGGGCGGCGCACAGGCCCAGCAGCCCAGTGAAGTTGAGCTGGTACGTGTCCATGATGAGTCGATCTGTTGAGGGACGCCACAGTTACACAGGAAGTGTGCGATGAAAATTAATGCGAGGAACAGTTTCTCGATTTAGGTGGAGATTTGGATCTGATCAGATGAACTCTACAGCAAGGTGTTCTTTGATGGTTTGTTGAGGGATGTTGTTACCTGCTCACTGCCATTTCGGCTGTAACGGTTGCTGTTTTGAACACGGCCCCTGAGCTGGCTCCGTGCGTAGCGCATTGGACTGGTGCGGTGCACCGATCCTCCAACCCGGAAATGGGCCGTGGAAGAAAGGAGCCCCTGTGTAGAAGTAGACTGTGCATTATGAACACATCGAAGTTTTCCCCCGTCATATTGAGGTGCAATCAAATCATGCCCATTGGGCATACTCGCAAGATGAATGGATGCAAGGCGGTGGCCTGCAGATCTGAGGAGTGAGGTTCGGTTCAGTCTTCACGGCACCATCTCCGCGCCAGCATTTCGGACCCCACCTCAGGCTCCGAGTGCCTGTGGCCACATCTCCTCAGGCCAGCCAGCACGGCGACCGACTCCGTCAGCCCGTAACACACACTCAAAGAGTTCCTTCGAATCCCCCTAGGACTCCGCGGCCTTCTCATCGCCATCTGCAGCATCGGTAACACCAGCAGCGCCCTTGACCTTGGCGTACAACGCCACCGTCACGGCCGTGAGCGACATCGGGTCAGCCCCCCGGATCCTCTCAACACCCCCGTCCACCATGACAACAGAAGGGCTCTGCTTCGCCAGCCTCGCCGGCACGGGCGTGGGCTTCGCGCCCTCGAAGAAAACAAAGGTCGGCATTGCCGAGACGCCGTAGCGGCCCGCGACGTCGTTGACGTGGTCGACGTTGACCTTGGCGAAGGCGAGGTGGCCCTTGAGCGCGTGCTTGTCGGCCAGCTTGGAGAAGATGGGCGCGATCGAGCGGCAGGGCGGGCACCAGTCCGCGTAGAAGTCGACGACCACGTTGCTGGTGGACTTCAGCAGCGCGTCGAGCTCGGCCGCCTTGGTGATCTTGTGCACGTTGCCCGACGTCTCCGGGATGGGCGAGTTGTCCCTGAAGAGGGCCTGCAGAGGTGTCAGCCTAGCCACCCGAAGAAACACGTCGGTTTGAATGATCGCCTGTCCGCATCTTTGTCAAGGCACCTTCGTTGGAGCTGCCATCTCCACGTCTTCGGCCCCGACATGATGTCGCACGAAGAACTAGATCCCCGGGTGCATCGGTGGCGGAGCGGGGTGCTAAGACTTACCGGGCCAAACAGGAAAATGGCCAGCAGTGCCAGGATTATGTAGGTAGACGTCTCCATCCTGTGATGAAACTGAACATCGGTGAAGTGTTGCAAAGTAGCAGACTGTGACCAAGGCAGAGCCATTTGAGATGCAGTGAGGTGAGGGCCTGAGGGGTGGACCGTCAGTCACAAGAGCATTTGTTCTCTGCCGGGGTGGTGGTGGCACCACCCTTTAGCCAGGGTCTAACCCTGGGCCTACACCCCGCATGATACTCGCTCTTGTAAAAGACAGCACACTGAAAGCACACGTTAGCATCCATCCATCAATTTCCATACAGACCACCTTGCTTTGCGATATAAACTTTGTTCCAAATGCAAAAAAATCCCTATGGCTGATGAGCTTGCAACACTTTGAGTCTTGCATTGGGAGATGCCACGGCGTTTGGTGAGAAAGCACCGGCAGCCACATGCCGCACTACAAACGTAGGACGTATGGTTCGAAAATGTATGGCTAATCAACATCCCAAGGTGCGTGTCGAGCGCACTTGGTGGCTTGAAACATCTTAATTCTCTCTCGAGTAGTAGGCATCTGGGCGAAGGCTGAATGAGACCCCATGATCAAGTCCAGCTACCATCCCTGGAGCCCTTGAAGACTTCATCTGTCCCCATAATTGCTTCCTAACAGGGGAACCCGTGAGAAGGAATCGCAAATGAGTAACTCGCCCAGTCTCCCACCTGGCATCCCGTCGCTCCCGTCGCCAAGTACTTCGTCTCCTGCCCGCACTCGCCGTCCGCGAACAGATACAAGCACCAGAAGTTGTTGCCCTCGAAGTCGGCGCTGTGAACCGTCTGTTCGAACGAATAGCAGGTGAAGTTGACGCCATCCGACCCATTCTCGTACACAGCAGTCGCACTGTCGCAGTTGTTCGAGCTGTAGCCTGTGAGGGACCAGTCTACTGCTGACACGGCAGGGAGCACAGAGGCGAGCAGGGTTATGGCCTTCATTTTGTGGTGGGTATCTCCGGAACTTTTGATGAATGGGGTTGGTTCTAGAAATCTCGTCAGTAAGCATTGTCCATCAGAGTTGTGGGTCGGTAAAGGGTGTACCTGTAGATCAAGACTAGTGTTGAACGTCGAAAAGATGATGATGGGGCTGGACGATGTGAAGAGGAAAAGTTGCCTGCACAGGAGACACCTATTTTATACCTCGATGCAGACCAGGTTCGTCCTTTGAGTAATAAATGGTAGCGAAACGGCATCGACCAAAAGAGTACTCAATAATGCTGCTCTCGAGCTGAAACAATGCAACGTAGGACTCGAGAGGTATAAGCTGACTTACAGTGCTCGTATTGTCGACTCACAGTCAGCGGAGCGGGAATCCATGGCGTATCTCACAACCTGGTAACGAGCCTATCACATTCAAATTTCGAGGGATTAGCGGACTGCATAGCGTGTTCAGCTTGATCATCTCGGCCTATAATTTAACCCTTTTCGGTTTCGGACCTCATGAACTACTTCATGTTGCACCTTGTCATAGCGCTGAGGGTTCTATCCTACAGCGTCATCTGTCAAGGCTATGGACATTCAAGGGTGAGTAGGTAGCTGGCAGGATTTAGCAATTTGCACTAGATGCAGATCATGCCTTGAACTGGGCGGACTTAATTCCATGTGCTTACTGGCTACTTGTCCACCGGTTGTCGAATTCGGATAGTCGAGACGCAAGCTAAGATGCTGTGCTACCGGGGCAAAAGCGAATGGGAGATAACAGAGCCGAAGATATATTAATTTCTTTCGGCGATGCGCCACGTCCCGCAACGGGTTCTCCGGTGGTTTTACATGGGTTTTACGTGCTTGAGTATGTGAATTCCCATGTGAAATGTCAATTGCTAGCTTATCTGCTTGTGTTTTTGTAGTGGATACCAACGGTGAGCTTCGCTCCACTGATGAACTGGAAACAGACTGTCTCGTTCAGACATTGATTTTATGCTTGTTGGCCTGAGTCAATTCATCCAGTCTTATCTGCCCTCGATAATTAGTGCCTGTCTTTTTCTTCTTGTGCAGAAAGATTACAGCGAGTGTTAGCCTCACTCAGTGTTGAACTGTGTCCATTTTCCTGACAAACCAGTACCGTGTAAGACCTGTCTCTAGCACATCACTTGCTCTTTCATAGCAGTACAATTTTAGGATACCAGGAGGATCATACCTCGCGAAACTTGGTCTCATTAGCCCGCCCATGTAGATCACTTCGAAATGAAAAAATTAACATGTATGCCAAAGGGGTTGTGAAAGAGAAACGATGCACAGAGCTCTGTATGTATTCTTGTTTTCACAAAGTCTCAGAATGCCCGTACTCACTCATCAAACACTAGGTCATATATCTAGCTGGTAAGATTTGAGAATTACTGTTGCTATGAGATGCTTACAAACTTAGTGAGTAACTCCATTTGAGTTGACCAAGTTTCACGTCGACAGCCGACCACTCGCCCCCTCCACCGGCTTACTGAGATCTATTCGCTGGCAACTTATAGCATCCCTCACTCGGAATCCTCTCGCCCTGGTCCCACTAGAGTCCCCAAGTTAGAGTCGTTGCACGCTCCGCCTGTGATGCAAGGAACTTACGTGTTCATGGACACAGCCATCGACCCAACGCCATCTGTCCGTGGTCGAGTATCGCGCGTATGACATGTTGGTAGCTGCAACAAAGCACCAGGCGGTGCTGGCCTCGTTGCCTAGTTTGTTGCCGTTGCAGAAAAGGGGCCAGATGTTTTGAGGACCACTCGCGTAGCCTGGGTGGTGTTGCTACCATGCGATCAAAGAGTCAATATTATAATACACATACATCATTTTATCTTTGCATATCCTGTCACGACACGCGTAGGTTAGAGTTAGACTGGCCGACATACCGTGTAGGTCGAATCGATGAGGGAAAACATGGTCCTGGGATCTCCGTCGACGACAAATGAGCGGTAGAAAGCATAAGCTCTCTTTGCAGTCTCTTCCACCGTCACGGAGGGGTCCGGCGTGCATAGAGCAGGGGGTGCTGGCAGACTGCAAAGATTCTCTCTCTTTGATAGGGCTTCATTCTGTGCGACTGGAGCCGCAAGGCCAATGGCAGGCGCCAAGACGCTGGTGTAGAACAGTAGTGGGAGTTGCATGTTGGCGGCAGCATGCAATGACAATGCTAGACCAGAGAACTTCTTTTCTTTGGTTTCATGGGAGCTCATAGTAATTATATAGGCCAAGGTAAAGTAGAGGAGCATTGCTATAATATACTATGACGCAAATGGCAGGTCAAGAATGACTCGTGGGGGTGCTTTCCTGATTTAGCCGCCTCTTTCCCCAATCTACACAGATCATCCGAGGGAAACCTGATTATGTCATTCAAGGAGAGTAGACTGGCTGTGGTAAATCCCTGGAACAATGCAACCGTGGGTAAAGTCCAGCTCCTGGGACGGTTCAATCAGAATTGCCACAGACGCCTTGGGTGCGCAGCGGGCCAAGATAGTTCAGACCTGCATCGATCTCAATCTGGAGTTCCTGGGTATCGGTTTTTGAACCCCCGCGATCTTGGCCTTGCCTTTTTGGTGTTTCTGCCGGCTGAGGCTCTAGATGGATGGTGTGACGAGTACACGAATCTGAACCAGCAACACGCAAGTGCCGAAAATTGAGGACCTCGAAAGATTGTGTACAGTAGACCATGCTGTGACCATGCGCCACTCGCATCCTTCTTTAGGAGCCCGATCACGATCTTCGGGACATAGCGCACCAGATATTCCACCAGAGAAACATAGTATAGTGCCCTCTGCACAGAGAGGACGTCAAAGTCAGCCAGCCAAGACCACAGCATCCAAATTCCATGTGTGGTACCTTGCAACCATCTGGTTGCAACTGATCACTTGGCTCATTCTGGGTCATGGAGGGATTAATTCTTCCGAACTAGCCTCACTCTTTGATCGATGTCCAGCTGAAAGCTCGAAATGTGGTTTGTTCGAGGAGGTGCAGATTCATCCCGTCGACACTGACAACCCCATCAAGTAATACAAACTCAAGCAGATTGTGGTCGAACTGATTGACAGGCTTCAGAGACAGGAAGGCTGTTCCATGCTCATTAAACGAGTTCTCAATCTCATCCGGGACTTCAGGATCGGATGCTCGTGACAGATCTTCATTTCCGCGCGTTGACCCTTGAGGTGATGGAAACGCTGGGGGAGATAGACGGGGAGGGCGTGGAGCTGCAGAAGACAAGGGGGACACCGGCTGCTTCGTGAAGTTGTAGTTACTGGTATCTCTGGCATAGGCTCACATGTTTGCAGCCTCTACACTCATACACCTTGGCATCGGTTCATTAAATTTCCCTCTGGCAATTATCACCAAGCAGGAACAAATGAGACATTGATCCTTACTCCGAATGTATTGCTCCGTCTGTGCAGTGTAAAAAAGGGATCTATTAATTTGAATGGTTGAGACGAATAGATTACAGTCACTGTAGATCCGACTGGTGGTCTACCCTTCACTTACGTCGGCCTTGTTCACAAATCCACTCCTCGTCACGATCATCACCGCCAACAATCTGATACTCGCAACCTCCATGAGATCAAACACGGCCACGTCAGCATTGAACTGCCGCAAAATCCATGTCCGCAGCTCAACCGCCACCAGCGAATCGACGCCCATCCCATGCAAGGGCTTGTTCGGGTCCACCTCTTCGGCCGAGATATTCAGCGCCTTGACAAGCTTGATCTTCAACCCATCATACACGATCTCCGCCGCCGCCTCGGGGCTCTCCGCCGCCGCCAGCAGCAAGCCGTAGTTCGCCGTCTGCGCCTCCGTCTCGACGGCCCCGGACCGCGTGCGGATCTGGTGCAGGTGCCGCACGAGCGGGTCGCTCATCCAGTCGCAGTACTCCTCGCCGGCCACGGCGCGGGTCTCGGGGAGCTGCAGGCCCAGGGAGATCTGGCTCTTGAGCAGGGAGGGCGGTGGCGACACGCCCGAGGGGGCGCACAGCTCGTTGAGGATGGCGTGCAGCTCCTCCTCGCGCATGCCCTCGGCGCCCATCTTGCGCAGGTGCGTGACGAGGTCTGCCTCGTTCTCGGCGACGTAGCCGACGCTGAGGATCATGCCCAGGTCTAGGACGGTGGCGGCTTGGCCGTTGAGGACGCGGTGGCGGGCGAGGGCGTCCTGGAAGGAGTTGCCGGCTGAGTAGTTGGACTGTCCCCTGTTGCCCCATATGGTTGCGATGGAGCTGAGCAGGACGAAGAAGTCGAGGTCTTTGGGCAGGGCGTGGTGGAGGTTCCAGGAGCCGGCTACCTTGGGGCGGATTGCGGTGTTCCAGTCCATGAGCGTCATGTTGGCGAATGTGCTGTCTTTGAGTACCATTGAGCCTTGGATGCAGCCCTTGATGGGTGGCATGTTGCACTCGTTCAGCGCGGCTTGGAGAGCAGAGAGGTCTGAAACGTCGCAAGCTGGTGTTGCAACTTTGACGCCTTGGGACTCAAGGTCCGATACCAGTTCTCGTGAGGTTTCGCTCGTATTTCCAGAGCGAGAGAGTAAGATCAGATTCCTTGCGCCGCGTTTGGCCATCCACCGCGCCATGCTGCGACCAAGGCCACCCAAGCCTCCAGCGATGACGAATGAAACGGAAGGATCGAAGTCATAGGACTCCTTTTGGCTAGGGACAACCTGGAAAGAAATTAGTATCAGCAATTGTCTTGGCGGAAGAATAAGACCATGGCTCTCAGCATGAGGAAAACAACTCACGGGGACTTCATCATCCTCTTCAGGCACCAAGACGATCTTGCCCGAGTGTGCACCACTCTGCATATACCTGAAGCTCTCCTGCATCTTCCCAAAAGTGAACTCTTGCGTCGGCTCCAGCGGCCCGATCTTGCCAGCTTCAACGAGTGACATCAGACTCTCAATAATGTTCGCAAACCGCGGTGGATCATTCGCATTAATGAAACTGATATCCACAAATTCAAAGCTGACGTTGTTCTTGAAGACGGCCATGTTCAGCCTCGCCGAACTGTAGATATCAATCTTACCGACCTCGACGAACCGGCCAAAAGGCGCCATGCACTCCCACGTGGCACGCAAGGCATCACCAGAAAGCGAGTTCACAGCGACGTCAACACCACGGCCTTTGGTAAGGCGCTTGATTCCTTGGGCGAAGGTGAGATCACGACTCGATAGGATGTGGTCTTGGGGTACGCCGTAGGTGTTCATCAGCAGGTCTCGCTTCTCGACGGACCCAACAGTCGCGAAGACTTCGGCGCCGCGCACCTTGGCGAGCTGGATACAGGCCTGTCCCACACCGCCGGCTGCAGCATGGATAAGCACTGTCTCTCCCGGCTGGATGTTTGCGATATCGACCAGTGCTGCGTACGCCGTGACGTAGACGACAGTAAAGCCCGCGGCACCGGACATTGACAGATTGGAGGGAATCTTTGCGAGAGAGGTCTGCTTCGTGCGCGCGAACGTGTTGAACGTGCCCGGCGCGAGACCGCAAACCCGGTCGCCGACTGCAAACCGGCTCGTGTTGGGGCCTACGCGGGTCACGACACCGGCTCCCTCGCAGCCCAGGTTCTCGCCGATGACCTGGCCGAGGGCAATCATCACGTCGAGGAAGTTGAGGCCCGCGGCGGCCACCTTAAACTCGACCTCCCCGTCTTGCAGGGGGGAGTCGTACCTCGGGTCGTCGATGAACTGCAGCGTGTCCAACAGGCCGGGGGACCCAACCACAAGCTTCAGGGCTTTCTCGTCGCCGAATCTTCCGGGGTGGGCAGTCTGCTCGGTTGTCTTGCGCGCCACGGCATTGTTCATGTCGTTTGCCTCCACCAGACGCGGGACGTGCATCACACCCTCGCTCTCCCAGAAGCTGTTGTCGGGGGTCTTTCCAGTCCTCATCTTCTTCCCCAACACCGAATCGATCGTGTTGATTGTTGTTGCAGCAGCAGCTTCCGCGGACCCAATTTCATCGATGGCGAGTGTGATGAACTTCAATGTTGGGTTCTCCTGGCGGATCACCCGAGCGAATCCGGTGACCATCTCGCTGTCCGGGTTACTTGGTGATGCGCCCCCGCCTTGGGTCACCCACAAGAGTGAGTCCAGGCTTGTCGTCATGCGCTGGAGGGCTTCGAAGGTGGCTTCGTCGAGGCGGTCGAGCAGCGGGCTATCTAGTTCAGCGAGGAAGATCACAAGCTTGTCGGCAAACTCGGCGCGAGGGAGATCCTCAAGTGAAAGACCCTGGGCGGTAGGCGTCTTCTTGAGGATTTCGGACAAGACATCTTTCTGGGGTTGCGAGGTCTCATTGTAAACCACCAGCGTCTCTGGGAGCGCCTTTGAGGCATTCCTGGCCTCGTCGTCCAGCTTCGTGGCGACCAGTACGCCGTTCAGATGATCCGCTTTGCCAGCGTAGTCGGTAAACTCCAAGTCTACACCACTGAACCCGACGCGTTTCAGATGCATGTCCCATTGTGCCGCGCTCATCAAAGGCCCCCATTGGCGATGTGGCTCTTCGGATAGCCACCAGCCATAGAGTAGGCCAAACCCGAACCCCGTGCGGATGGCATCAGGGTTGGTGAGCTCGTTGAGGATCAGCTTACCACCTGGCTTGAGCATCTTGAAGCAGTTTGTCAGGGTGTGATCGATGTTGGTAGTTGCGTGGATGACATTGGCCGCAATGATCACATCGTATGTGTCGGATTTGAAACCCTGCTCGATGGGGTCGTTCTCAATGTTAAGCGTCTTGAATATCACTGATTTGTGTATTAGCATCTGTCAGTGAAAAGCTTGGACTGCAATGGGCAGCTTCTGTTGACATGGGCAGAACTTACTTCTATCGGCAGTCCTCGCAAACTTCTTCTCCGCCTTCTCAAAGAACGCTGGCGAGAGATCGGTGAAATCGTATCTCTCAAACCGTGGCGCACCTTGACCTTCGCCATGCCTGCACAACGCTTCCAGCATCGGCACAGTCGCACCTCCTGTTCCAGCACCCACCTCGAGGATAGTGATGTCGGAGTTCTTGTGAGCAATATGGTCGATATAAGTAACGACATATGAGTATCCAAGCTCGGCACCCGTGCCATGCGAGTACACCTTGTCCATGAGGGCATCCTTGAAGAAAACCTCCAGCGGATCGATTTTGCCGTGCAGACACTCGGCAAGTACTTTACCAACTGCAACGGTCATGATGGCCTCGGGCGTGGAGTCGGCTAGCTTTGCCTCAAGCGCGTAGAAATAGTCGTCATCTTCCGCCAGCTCGTCCCAGTTTTCGTTGGCAGTGACAGCGTGGATCAGCTTCCCCTGAGCAAAGTTTTCGATCTGGTGGCGCATCCAGTTGAGGTAGATCTGATACCAGGGTTTGCTGGCGTCGATCTTACTCTCGTCGTGGGTCTTCATGTACCGCTTCAAGTAGAGGTAACACAGCCGCTCTGTGTCGGCGATGACCTCGGTGGGATTGAATTGCGTCAGCTCCTCGGGTGGAACGAAGAGCCTGACGGCGCCGTCTTGGGTCAGGAGGTCAATGTCGGGCTTCCAGGCCGTGTTGAAGCACAAGTGATGATGGGCTGCATCTTCTGAACTGCTTTGTTTGTCGCCACCAGAGATGGCTGTCGACACAAATCCGTCAATGGTAATGAGTGGTTTGTTCGTGGCAGGATCAATTCCTGTCGCAGTTGCTGTGGCTTGACGCAGACCGAGTGTCTTCGCGTTGGCTACGACGCGGAGTTGCTGGTGTGACGCTTCAGCATCAGCTGATATCCAGAGCTCTTTGATGGATGTGGGCACCATGGCGTCAGCCGTGTCTCTTCCACCCTTCGTCAAGGCCACAATAGCACTCTGAAGAACACCGTCTAAGGTGGTGGGGTGGATCAGGTGCGGCTGGACGTAACCGAGCGGCATTTTGCTTCTGATGTCAGGGGCAGAGACTGTTGCGATGGCACTGCGCTCATCCGCATTCAACCCAACATCCGTGAGAGTCTGGAAGGTCTCGCCAAAGTCGAAGCCGACTGTGTGCAACAGCTCGTACAGCTGAATAGGCGCTACACGTGTGCGACAGGTCTTTTCGCCCTGAGCAACTGCTTCCGCAGTCGTCTCGAGGAACAGCCGTTGCTCTAGCCCATTGTCGATGGGGTTTAGAGGCACCTCATAGTCAGCTTGGACCAGGCCCCGGCAGTGGTCACGCCACTCATCGCCATCGATACTCGAGAGCCGGAACTCGCTCCAGTTGGACGACGTGCTGGAAGTGCTGTCAAAGTATGGGCGAACATGCAGGTGTGTCTCAATGCCATCAGTGCCGGTTGGTATCCTCAGGGCAACTTGGAACACTACTTCCTTGAAACGGAATCCCCTGAGAACCTTTTTCGGGTTGGCGAGCTGCCGCATCGCCTCGATGGCCATCACGAGCATGCCGGCACCTGGGTACAGAAGACTCCCTGTGATGCGGTGGTCTTTGATCCAAGGGTTCTCATTCAAGCGGATATAGTTGCGCCAGATAGCATTGTTCTTGTTCCAGTCAGGCACTGGGGCACCGAGGAGCTCATGACGTGGTGCTTGGCGGAAACGGTAGCCCTTGCTAAGGCGCGACTCTTTCCAGTATGTTTTGGTGTGGTTGAACGGATATGGCGGAAGGTCGACAAGCATCCGCGGCGGGACTTGGCTGCCATCGGTGTTGCGATTGACGGCATCCACGTCAATGGCTTGGCCACGAGAGGAAAGAAACGCGGCAGTCAACAGTGCAGTATCAACGGCCCCCGTGTTCCTTCGCAGCAAAGAGATGTAATTCGTTCCCTTGGAGCTGGGGATCTTGTCCATGATTTCGCGTAGAGGCCCTTGTAGTGCTGAGTGAGGTCCGACTTCAATGATCTCGGTGACACGGTCAAGATTCAGCTGGACATTGGACTTTGCAGAAGCAGCCGAGCGATCTGTCAGGAGGCTAGATACGGCTTCAGAGAACCTGACGGGTGAGACCAAGTTACCGACCCAGTAGTCGGCTGTTTGCAGCTCCTGTACTCGCAGGCGATCACCTGTTAGACTGGAATAAAACAATGGAGGCCCATGTTCGCCGTACAAGGCTTGGGCAGGGTGTTTCTCGATTTCTCCAATCAGTTGCCTGTACTCTTCTGCTATAGGCTGCATGAACTTGGAGTGATACGCATTTTCCACGCGCAGCTTGCGGTTGAAGACGGAGTCACCCAGCCTTGCCTGCAAAGCCGCGATGCTCGAACTGCTCCCGCTGACGGTCACATTCTTGGGGCTGTTGAAGCAAGCAATGACCAGATTGCCGCTGTCGCCATCCACTGCACGAATGTGCTCAAGAGCGGTCTCGGCGTCAAGAGCGACCGAGACCATGCCCATGTCGGCATCGTCACCGGCAGTAGCAGACGCGAGTTTGGGAGTGAGAAGACCGCGATAGTACGCGATTCTCCATGCATCCTCGCGAGACAAGGCGCCTGCAGCATGTGCGGCAGCCATCTCGCCAGATGAGTGCCCAACGACAGCGCCTGGCTGGACAGACCAGCTGCGAAGCAAAGCAATCAAAGCCACTTGCAGCACGGTACAAATAGGTTGGCTGTACTCGGCCTTGCTGATGAGCTTGGCATCCTGCAGGATATCAAACACCGACCAAGAGCTTCCCAGGCTTTGGAGGTAGGCATCTGCATCCTCCAGACTCTTCGAGAAGACAGGATAGCCAGCGATGAGCTCGCGGCCCATTCCCGCCCACTGGGCTCCCTGACCAGTGAAAACCAGCGCAAGACGGCCGTTGTCAGTGCCAATGCGCACAGCAGCGGGCGCGGTTGAGAGGACTTGCTTAAGCTGCTCAAGGCTCTCGGCCTTCACAGTTGTGCGCCAGGGAAAGTTTGTGCGCTTGGAAGCAAGCGTGTGGCTCAGATCTGTGAGGTATTTCTCCTCTTCTTTGATCTTAGGGATCTGACGATCAAGATATTCGGAAAGAGACCTTGACAAACGCTCGACACCCGCTTGATCGTACGCCGAGAGGGGGAAGATACGCTGCTTGGGCTTTGTGGATGCATCACCGTTCAGGTGGCCATTGCCATTCAGGTGCCCGTTTCCGTTGAGGTGTCCATTGCCGTGGTGTTGTCCATTTCCATTCAGATGGTGGCCATTACCATTGGCATGCCCGTTGCCGTTTGTGATGCTGTTACCATTGATAATCGGCAACGTAGACTTGGGTCCAATGATGGTTCTGTGAACTGCCACCAGCCCGCGTTCAGCGAGATAATGGTATGCATCGTCCAGGATGACATGTGCATTACTGCCTCCAAAACCAAAGGAGTTGACACTCGCGCGCCTCAGTCCTGAAACAGGCCAGGCCGTTGGCTGCAGCGGGAATTTGAGTTTCCACGGCCCTGCCAGCACCTTGGGATTTATCTCCTCGAAGTGCAGGTTGGGAGGGATCACACCACTCTCAACGACATGGATGGCTTTGATCAAACCAGCCACGCCCGCAGCGCCCTCCAGATGACCAACGTTACTCTTCAGGGCACCAACGTACATGGGGTCATCCGCCGAGCGATGGGGCGCGAACACATCCCCGATCGCGCCCGCCTCAATCGGGTCTCCGATCGGCGTGCCCGTGCCATGGGCCTCAAAGAAGCGCGTCTGGTCGAGCGAGAGGCCTGCGCGCCGGTACGCAGTGCGGATGAGGTCTTCCTGCCCGGCACGCGTGGGCTGTGTGATGCCGGGTGACTTGCCGTCCTGGTTGGACGAGGAGCCGCGGATCACTGCGCGGATGGTGTCGCCGTCGCGGATCGCGTCTGAGACGCGCTTTAGGATGACGACTCCGAAGCCTTCGCCGCGGGAGTAGCCGTTGGCGCGTGAGTCGAAGGAGTGGCATTTCCCGTCTGGTGATAGGAAGCCGAGGTTGGACAGGGGAAGGGTTGTGTCCGGGTTGTCTGGTCCTGGTTAGCCCTTGTCCTCATGGGAGAAGCCAGGATCAGGGGTTCAGGGAGGCTCATGATGCCGACTGCTCGAGCATAGTTGCCAACTTACAGAACAGGTTGCATCCACCAACAACGGCCATATTAACCTCACCGGACCTCAGACTGGCGCTCCCAAGATGCACGGCGTTGAGGCTGCTCGAGCATGCCGTGTCGAGTGTCAGACTGGGGCCTTTGAAATCGTAGAACCAGCTCATGCGGTTCGACAACAGACAAGCGCTGACACCCGTTGCAGAATAAGTCAGGTCTGCATCGGGGTCTCGCGTCAAGACCGTGCTGTAGTCGTTGGTGAAGCATCCCATATGCACTGAAGTATTGGATCCGACTGCGGCTGACATGGGAATACCCGCTGCATCAGGTCAGATGACGGACGAGTACCAACGATTGCTTCCAAGACGGGACACCTCGGCAGGAAGGAGACACAAACCATTCTCGAGTGCATGGTAGACAGTTTCGAGGAGACCACGCTGTTGTGGGTCCAAGAAGACAGCCTCATTGGGTGTGATGGAGAAGAAAGGAGCGTCGAAGGCCGCAATGTCTTCTTTCAAATAGTGAGCATGCCTGACGTTGACCTGGATCGTTGATCAGACGCATGATTCCAAATTGTGTCACAGTGAGGGTAACTTACAGCCCCAAATCTCTCATGGTCAGGATGATAGAATGCATCGATGTTGTACCGGTTTTGTGGGGTCTCCTGGAGAGCTGACCGTCCCTCCAGGAGCAGGTCGTAGAAGGCTTCTGGAGTGCTGGCATCACCAGGAAACTTCAGGCCCAGCCCGATGACGGCAATGTCCTCCTGTGCGTCTACTGGATTAGCCATGATGAGATTTATGACACGGAGATTATCTGGAAATTGATCTATGTTGAATGTAGTTCCCGAAAATGGCAGAGTGTAACTTTTGAACATGAGAAAAACCCGACACAACAGTGATGTTTTTGGGTGATTTATATCTGTGTCCCCTTAGAGTCTTAACCCTTACGACGTGCCAGATCAAAGTATCAAACCTTATTGTAGTCGATAGGAACCTAAAGCCGCACAGATAACGGCTTGCTGGACGCTGACTTTGTCGCCATCGTCAAGCCGCCGATCTCTTGGTGAGTCAAGGCAGAGTTGTGATGGCACTCACAGCCTCGCGCAGTCCCGACTCTACATCCATGGTACTCTATAGTACTTGTCGTTTTGATCTTTGTAGGTTTCTTTTACGCACTCGATACTGAAAAATGCACTACTCTGCTATAATTCAAGTAGTGGGATGTAAGTGTACGGTAGAAATCAAGTCCTCTTCCATAATCCTTCAATCCTTCAACACAACGTCATGGCATTCCCCGGCTCTTACAACATCCTTAAGCGCTCTAGTGATGTTGACTTCCAAGGACGATGCCCACAATCTCGATTATGTATGGGCCTTTCGGTCAATCGATAGTCTCAGCCAAGCCTGCATATCTTGCCACATGTTCAGGTTGTGATGCGGCCCTCCCGGTTTGGCGCGGTATCATACGTCGATCCTGCCACCTTTCCACGCGCCTTGAAATCAAGTCAGACAGGTCGTGCTGTTCAGACACTCTGAAAATTCCCAGATAGATAAGAAGGTTCCGCCAATGTACACCAACTTCAAGCCATAGCCTGATTTTCTGCGGGTGGTGTCTTGGGCTGGGAAAACTACTGCAATATCGATCAATGCGTCAAACAAAGCCCGAAATATTAATATGCGGCTTATGTGAGAATCATGCATCACAGGCAGGGCGTACACGCTTATACGGATTAGACGTGACATTCTGGAGAGAGCTGGATGCATCTTGTGATTATCTCCTGCTTAGTGCTGGCGCGTAATTCCAAGCCAGCCGCACATTCTGCTCTCGGTCTATGTAGTGTATGTATCGTTGTGGGTTTGTGCCAAAATAGTTTGCTGAGACTACGATCTGAGCAGTTAGTTATGTCGACGAGTCACAAACTGTAGTAAAAGAAGCGCGAAAGTGTCTCTGACTTGAGACACTTAGACGCACGCGGCCTACACAGTTACAACATGCGAGTGTACTCGTTGCATTTCTGTGGGAATGCATCATCCAGCTGACACGATTGTATGTATCATCGGTACATGAACGTGTTCTGAGTGAATGAAAGTAATTTTGTTACGCGATTGGATGCTAGTAGCGAACAATGCACCTGATGCAGTGTAACTCTGACAGCACCATGTCCTATGGCCGAAGACAGGTGGCTGTCTCGTCCAAGGCCGAGCATAACGGTTCATCCGACTGGGTCTCAAATGATTTAAAACGTAGCCGATGTGTCACAAAACCTTACTTTGTATAAATGAGCCGCTTAGATCCCGCCGGTAAGAACTATTCCAAGAACAGTGGTGCCGAAACCCCGTAGAGGGTGTCAGTGAAGATGACTGCCTTATCAAGGACAGACTTGGCGTGACACGCACTCCAATTGGGTCGCTCGGACCGCATTGCACAGCCTCGAGACAGTCAATACCGAATAGAAATAAGGCAAGCTCCAAATCGAGTAATAATCGTCCCGAAAGGCCCGGGCATTGACACCATCCATTTAGGCAATCAAGAGATCTAGTTGCATGTCTGGCGACTGAGTGAGCGATACAGATCCAGAACGCTCCATAACACAATCCCCCACGTTGTCTCGCCGGCACGGCACGTATTACGTGTTTCTCGGCTGCAAAACCCGGGGTTCACTGTCAGAAACATCCAAGGAAAAGAGATCCGAGCGGGCCGGACTTAGCACAAGCCACCGATTCGCTCCTGTCCGTTCGGCGCCTGGCAGCCAGAGATGGTGGGAGGCTTCCTGCACTTGAATCTTACCTACATGAATAGGATGATCATGAGCAAACCTTGAATCGCTGGGCTTTGATTCTCATCAACATCAACAGTAGCTATGTCGTGTCAGGGTCAAACACACACCCCGCCGGTTTCTGTAATCTGGTCCTTATTGAGAATGTTGGGCGAGTATTGACGATGATTTGGACAAACTCCTTATATCAACTGGTATGATCGCCAACGACATGTTTGCACAAGACATGCGCCAGATTCTCACAGCCTACTCCCACACAGCTCTCCCTTCAACAAAAGCATCCCTTCACCATGGCAGCCTTCTACACTCTCGCCTCTGCCTTGTTCATCGTACTATCCATCCTCTTCTATCGTTGGGGCTACCCACGGCCTTACCCTGGCATTCCTCACAACAAATCCTCAGCAAAGCGCTTATGGGGCGACTTACCCGACGTGCTCGCCGCAGTTTCCAAAACACAAGACCCGGCCAAATATGTCTTCGCACAATGCCGCAATCTCAAATCTCCAGTCATTCAGCTCTTTCTCCGGCCCTTCCACCCTCCCATCATCTTCGTCGATGATGTGCGAGAAGTGAAAGACATTCTCGGAATGCGCACGAAGGAATTCGATCGCGCACCGAGCACCCAGGCAGTCTTCGCGCCTTTTCTCGCCCAGTCGAGCATCACGAAGCGCACCACGGTTGAGTGGCGTGCCCAGCGCCGTCTTTGGGAAGGCGTTATGGGTAAAGACTTCTTGAGACGCGTTGCTGCGCCTAGGATGTATACTTGTGCTTCGGAGCTGGTTGAACTGTTAAAAGAAAAATCGATTCTGGCTGATGGCCGTCCATTCTCGTGCTTTGAGGATTTTGATCTTGCTGCTTTCGATGTAATCTGGACTGTCATTTTCGGCGAGAAATTGCAGGCTGTCGACGGTGAGCGACGAGGAGTAATTGAGTGTGCGGGGAACATTGCCCAGCCCGATTCCAAAGATGAGCTGGCAATTTTGCCAGTGTTGCACAAGCCTGAGATTTACGAAGCTGTTTCTTTTTTTGTCAAAAGTGTCGAGAAGACACTCAAGTCGTTCAATCAACCCCTTCATCATTGGGCGCTGAGGCAAATGCCGGCCTTTAGGAGGTATTGGGCTCTCAAGCAGAGACTCGTTTCAGGACTTATCAAGGACACCCGCGCTCAACTCGCCGCTTTGCCAGAAGATCAATTGGACGAATTCGAAGACAAGTGTGCGATGGGATTGGCTCTCCGTCGCGAACGTCTGGCTTACAATGGAAAGTTTGAAGCTTGTCCTCCAACGACTCAAGAGATTCATGATGAGCTATTTATGTTCCTCGTTGCTGTAAGTGTCGTCCTTCCCTGCTTTCATCCTCCCATTCCTTCCCGATAAATGATACTGACCAAGAGCAGGGCCACGAGACAAAAGCCGTAACTCTTTCCTGGACGGTCAAATTCCTCACCAACAACCCATCCAAGCAGGCCAAATTACGGACAATTCTCAAGGAGGCACTATCAAATGGCGCGCAATCTTCTGTAGAAGACATCTTGAACACGCCCATCCACTACCTCGAAGCCACCATGGAAGAAGCAATTCGCCTTGGCAACATCCACCCGCGTCTTGTCCGCATTGCCACCGTCGACACATCGATCCTCGGCTACCCGATCCCAAAAGGTGCTCAAGTGGTCTCTAGTTCATACGTGGGCGAGAAGCCGCTCGAAATTCCAGAGGCAGAACGCAGTAAACGAAGCCAGCAAAGCAAGGTCAACTTCCGCAAGTATCACGAAGATGGGATGGACAAATTTATGCCAGAGCGGTGGCTTGGCGAAAACGGGGAGTTTGACTCCCATCAGTATCCTACACTGGCATTTTCGGCTGGCCCGAGAGTCTGCTATGGTTCGTGCCCTTGTGATCCGTTTCATGTACATGCATCAAATACTGATTGAATTAGGGAGAGCTTTGGCCCGCCAAGAACTACGTATCACACTTGTTTTGCTGATTTTGAACTTCGAATTTGAGCCCCTACCTGAGAAGTACAACAGCATGGGGGCGCACCAGAGGATCCTCAGAGTACCTCAGCAGTGTTATGTCAGATTGAAGCCTTGCCAAAACACTTGATTGTGGGTCTTGGCCGCTGCATGGAGGAGAATGCCACCCAAACTTTTATACAAATATTTCAAGGGCAGGAAATGAAACACTGAGGATGGCTTGAAATAAATATCAATTCAAATCCAAACCAATGGCTATCACAAATATTCTGCCTTCAATTCTCAGTACCTAGGCAACTTTTCAAGCGGCCCTCCCGTACGGCAGTCCAACATCAGCCCCCTTGGCAACAATCGCCGTGAAGCTAGACATGCCCACATAGACAATCAGATTCAGAGTCTGCTCCTTTCCAATGAGCGCCACAGCCTTTTCGAACATCTCGTCAGTAAGCTTCTCAAATCCGTGCAACTCTTTGACTACGTCCCACGCCACGGCTTCCTCCGGCTTCAAGTCCCCGGGCCGCTCACCACGACCCAGCACTTCCAGCTGCTCAGGTGTAAGCGTTGAGCCGTTGTGCTTGGCGGTGGTACCATGCACGAAAGCCTGATACGGCGAGTGGAAGTGCGCGCAGACGGCAAACAGCGCCACCTCGCGCACGTTGGGTGGGATGGAGAGGGCGTAGACACTAGCAATCGTGCCGAACAGGGGCTTGACCAGCCCGGGAAGGTAGCTGAAAGTGTTGAAGTGGCCAAGGACTCGGCCTTGCGGCGAGATAAGCTGAGTGAGGTCAGTCAAAGAGATCGGCATGCATGATGGTGGCTCTTCGGCTTACGTGGTCGTGAGGCGGGGGATGGCGGCTCAGGACTACCTTCAGGAATTCGTAGCTTTCCTTTTCCACCGGGGACAGTTCGCTATCCGAGCGGACGGGGTAACGGTTTCCTGCGGACATGATGGGCCAATTAGAAAGTGAATGGCAAAGAAGTCGATGTTGATTATTCCTGCTAGTGGATGAGGACAGCTGCAAGCTGATGCTACTTTATAGAAGGGCATATTAGTCTAACTCGAAAAGGTTGTGCGTACTTTCCGTTGTCTCAAAGCAGTCACTGCGGCTTCCACACATGAAGTACAAGAGAAACACATCAATATGTTCTGGTGGTGGAAGAGCCCGAGGACTGCTAAGGAACTAGTGTTTGTTCATCACAGTTGCACTGCAGGTGAGTCAGACTTGTGCTTACTAGGCGTGCACACCAGAACTTAAAGTCAAACAAACACGACTCAACTATAGGACAAAATTCCCGCAGAACAGTCGTTGATCCGAATCTGGATTTCCTAGGTACATACCGTCTACATTCACCTTTAGCCGGGACAGGTAAAGATTGGTTGCTGACGTCGGAATACTCTTCTGACCCCACACATTGCTTATCTTGCTCAGCAATTCAACGACTAGGTTCATACGTAAGTGCTGTGCATGCAAGGCGTATTTAACAGCCTCAACATATCTATGTCGCCATTCAGACGTATCCACAGCACAATACGGTCCAACAACCATTGGCCTCATTCCCCAATAATTTTGGTTACGCGTGCCAATAATTCTTGCATTGATGGCCTCGTTTCTGTCTGATCCTTTCACCGGCCTGGCTCTTCGGACCAAGGTCCTCGGAGTCGGACGTCTATTCCGACCAATCCAGAACATACACGGCACCCAAGACCTGCAGCTACTTCCAGGAACAGGGCTCACGGAAGATCTGCATTATCATGCCGCATCGGGTCAGCTTGTCGGTGCGTCAGAAGGAGATGGTACACTCAGAAAGTCCTGGTTTCCTCCGTGAGTCTTCCTTGTTCTTATCTGCCAAAAGCCTAGTGCCACGCTAACATTTGCAACCGTACAAACAGGCTGTTGATCTGGAAGGATCACAAGGCCATTGGCTCTGGAACCATTGTAGCCATCGACGTCAAGGTACGCCAATTAAGTTTGCCCTTTACGGTCAGTGAGGCTGATAGTGTACGTAGACCCTGTCGGTCACTCGCCTGAGCCTCCGCAATTTCACCGGCCCCTTCAACACCCATGGTATCGACATCATCTCGGACCCGAAGGACTCAAACTCTATCTACATAGTTGCAGTAAATCATTTGCCGAATCCGGAGTACTACCGCAGTCCCACACCACCCAGGGACTCCACTATTCCCAAAGCCCGCTCGCGCCTAGAGATCTTCCACCACAGGATCAACTCGCAGGAGGCAACGCACCTGCGTTCAATCTGGCATCCTCTGCTTCGGACTCCGAACGACGTCTTCCTGAAGTCTGTGACCGAAATATACGTGACCAATGACCATCGTCACCGCGAAGGGCCTTCGCGGCTTCTAGAAGAGGTTGCGTACGGGTCGATGGGGCAGCCAACGGATCTAGTCCACATACAACTGAATACGCAGCCACACTTGACAACCCTGATCACAAAGGACCATGCCGATGACACTGCAGGGGTAACTGCAAAGGTTGCAAACACAATCGACATGAACAATGGAATCGGACATGGTAAGACGCCATCGGAGATAATGATCGTCCGCGCCTCAAGTGGTCAGCTCCTTCTGGGCCACGTGGATAACAAGGAACCTCCCAAGGTTGACATTGACGAGATCATTCAGCTAGACTCGGCCTTGGATACCCCATCATACTTCTCTGATCCATATGCAGTAGAGACCGGCAGGGATGCTAGCGGCTACGTTGTTGCGGGCTTGGCTCGGGCGATTACGTTCCCGGTCGCTGGCAAAGCCATTCCAGTCACTGTATGGCTGGTACAGCCGAATCAGGAAGTAGAGCCAACAAAAAGGGGAGATCATGTCGACAAGTGGACAAGGAAGGTGATTTTTCAGGATGATGGGCAGACTATACGAACGGCGTCCACCGCTGTCATGGTCGCTATTGACCCGAGGGTGAATGATGGAAAGAAGCAAGCGCAATTGTTCATTACCGGGCCTTTAAGCGAGGGCATTGTGGTGGCAAAAGTTGATATCTGAGGCATGGAACACATTTGACCTAGTCAAAATACAGGCCATACGATGCGATTAACGCCGAAGCGAATGATCGATTGATTTCAAAGCATTTCCAATGCTACCTCGGAATCTCACCAACTGGTCTTAGACCTCAAGTGCTAGAAACGTTGTAGCACTGGAACTCGGCTCTTCCCGGCGTGGAGTATGGCCTGTTTGGGAATTTGCTCCAGAATTGCCGACCATAGTCTTAGCCCGATTATCTCGGGCTCCCACGCTCTTTCTGACTGCAGAAGTTGGTGTTGTATTCGGCCGAAAGGAGCTGTGGGTGGTCAGCACCGAATACGCCTCTGCCGCCCGTGCAGATAGATGTCTGTTGCCTGCAGGTCTCGCGACGTGGCAGTGCGCAGCCGCGCATGAGTGCTTGATTGGTAACCATGAGATCCAGCAATTAACTGCTTCCCGGAGCTCTTGTCTTTTGAGTGATTTTTCTGCCAGGGAGTGTGGGTCGTGTTGCTTTGGTTCGCATTCACTTCATCATTATTGTGGCTTTTTCTGCGGTCAGCACATGGTAAGTGCATTGCTCGGATGAATTGTGTGTGACGTCGGACTTCGGCAGGAAAAAGCATGCTACGAACTGAGACGCATCGCGATCAGCACGATGATCGGCAGCGTGAAATGGGTGTTTAACTGGTTGGCAGGACAGAGTCTTCGGAGGAATCCAGTTGGACGAGGCTGTCATACTTTCTCGAAATACCCCAATTTTGCTTTCTGATGAATGACAAGAGCCGTGGAACACAAATGCTCACATCTACGAGATTCTGCTCAATTGCGCCCAAGTCCAGCAACCACTTTGTATGCATCTATGGCGCCAATCTTTGAAGCAGCGCAGCTGTTGGGCTTGCACCCGGCTCTAGCGATACTGAGTCTTCTGGGAATATTGGTATAGTACATGAATTGCCACTTTTTTATCATTCGTGAATGCATTCGAGGCTAATTGAATGACCTTGGTAGCTAATGAGCTATGTTGTCTCATCCGTTATCCACAATCTCTTCATTTCGCCCCTTCGATCAATTCCAGGACCGAAGATATGGGCTGTTTCGGAAATATTCTTCTCACGTCTTCTGATGTCCGGAACCGGTCACAAGCAACTCGCTGAACTCCACAAAAAGTATGGCGAGATAGTTCGTGTCAGTCCCATCCAGGTCTCCTTCAACACTCCGAAGATCTGGAAAGAACTCTACGGTCACCGCAAGGCTGGTGAGGTGGAAAATCCCAAAGACCAGGCCTTCTACAAGCTTGCTAGCCCAAGCGTTATTGAGGCCGAGACCTCAGAAGACCATGGCCGCCAACGTCGCATCATGTCGCATGCCTTCTCGGCGCAGAGCCTGTTGGAGCAGCAGCCTCTGATAAGCGGATACGTTGATCTGCTCGTCAAAAGGCTCAGAGAACAGGCCCAAGAAGAAGGCACAGTGGTAAACATTGTGAAATGGTATGATTTTACCACATTCGATTTGGTTGCAGACTTGTCGTTCGGCGAACCATTTGGCTGTTTGGAGCAGTCAGATTATCACCCTTGGGTCTCGTTGATCTTCGCAGGCGTCAAGCAGGCCGTATTCCTCATACAAGTCAGACGGTTCATCCCTAGCATAGACCTCCTGCTGCAGAAATTTGGGAAGGCTCTCTTGGCAAAGTTAGAACAGCACCATGAGCTCACCAATGCGAAGGTTGCCAAGAGGATGGCAACAAACACAGATCGCCCAGATTTTATGCAGTCCATACTGGTGAAGAACACGGATGGAAAGGAGGTAAGCAAACTAGATCAACAATCCTGGCCCACTTCCGATGCGAGACCAGTTCCTGACAGACTGCGTTGAAAGAAAATGCCATTGGCGGAAATCCGTCAAAATGCTAGCTTGCTCATCATCGCAGGCTCAGAAACAACAGCAACGGCGTTGGCTGGAGCAACATATCTCCTATGTACCAATGCTGAGGCCATGAGCAAGCTAGCCACAGAAGTGCGATCAGCGTTTGCGTCTGAGAATGATATCAACCTACTCAGCGTCCAAAAACTCAGATACATGTCTGCAGTATTGGACGAAGCACTCAGGATGTTCTCTCCCATCCCCGGTCCAGCCCCTCGCAAGGTCCACGCGGGAGGAGACGTCTTTTGTGGCCACTTCCTTCCTGAAGGTGTAAGTCGAACTTGCTTTATTCCTTTCTCTTCCCATGATGACTATCAAAAACCTCGCTGTCATCGAATCTTTCCTGAATTGCTAGTATAGACCATCGTCAACAATTGGCAATGGATTCAGAACTACAATCCAGAAAATTTCAACATGCCCAACTTGTTCATTCCGGAGCGGTGGCTAGGCGATACACGCTTCGCCAGCGACAAAAGGGACGCATTCCAACCATTTTCTTGGGGGCCTAGAAATTGCATAGGGAAGAAGTAAGTCTCTAAATGGACTGATCGGTGCTAGGAGATGACAATTGCTTATTGTATTGAAGTCTAGCATATGCGGAAATGAGATCAATTTTGACACGGGTTATTTGGAACTTTGATATCTCGCTGGTGAAGCCAGAGGAAGATTGGATTGATGGCAACGGCATGTATGGACTATGGGACAAGAAACCACTGAACGTGTATTTGAAACCTAGACAAGTAGCTTAAAACAATGGGACAGAACCCTTGATTCATCTTGGGGAAGTATCAATCCCGGAATGGGCAATGAAATTTTGATCTAGAAGGAAGTTTTCCTTGATTTGAACATCAAATGATTTGGGGGACTATTTCGTTTCAATCCCATCATCAGTCTCAAACATACCTTCGCACTCCTGTGGCCACGGCTATGAACAACAACTTTTTTTCAGGCAAGTGATCTGGATTTGGAGAAATTAAAGCAAGTCAATAATTCAAAAGATAGTACAGAAGGCGGAGTTGGCGATTCGAATGGTACAGCCTAGAAACTTTTTGTGTGCTTGCTTGAGCATCGGAGGATTGGCTTGTCACCCACATCCCACGCAACGTGCAGTTGACTTAGGATCGACCACCAGTGGGAGATCCCGCTTCCTGAATAGCACTCACTGGGTACACAAAGTTCCGAACTAGTCTTTGGGTGTCCGAGCTGACTGCAGATCATATTATGATCACGTTAGCGGGGAGAGGTGGACTGGGCCAGGAAGTACATCAATCTACTTCATCATTTAACTTCCCTCATGTGCATGGCATGCGAGACATTACCATACAATCTAGGCTTGAGGTGCATAAGAAAGTGGTACATTCATATGCACTATGACTCGGCATAAACTAGTTTTTGGATGGAGGACCATGGGTGTATGCTGCGCGCATTCGTGTCACACAAATACTGCGCTGTGCTGACAGCCACACCTCGCGACTCGTGGTTTCAAGTCCGAGATTGGACCATCATCGACGATGCAACACAGCTCACTGTTTCCAAGACAGAAGACGGTAGAACTAACAGTCCGAGACTCCGTGTTGTCATTCATGAAGTAAATTTTGCCTAATTTAGACTATCCCTTATCTCCGTAGTCTCGCGTTTCGTCCATGGCCTATTACCTGGCTGTTCGGCGTTGACAACCTCAAACTTCGACATCACGTCTCTCCATTAACGAGACGACAAATTTGGCAATTGAATGTTTTCGGACTTTACACAGGAGTCTGCAAATCAATACCGGTGCAAAAATGGTCGAGGCATTCTTGCGCCCTATGGTCTTTGGTCTTCTGTTCATCCTGATTAGTCTCGTCATTTACAATGTCCGCTCAAGATCGAAACTGCACACCCTCCCACTTTTGAACTCAAGAAAGGGAGAGTGGTTTCCATATTACCGCACAAGGTTCAGAAATACCACTGCGCTCAAGGATGCTCTAAAGTTGGCGAGTGAAAAACACAAGAACGAGACAGTGCTCCTGGCAGTAGGCGGCCATACAGATCTGGCGCTGCTGCCGAATAATGAAACGACAGTGAGTGCCGAACAAGGCTCTTTTGTTGGTTCCTCTGAAAACTGATTATCAGTGCTATAGTGGGTCATCAAGCAGCCAGAGAACATTTTGAGCAGACATGCTCAGACTAGGGAAGAGCTCGCCATCGACTATGGCACCTACTTTGATGAGAAGACCTTCCATGCGTCGACCCCAAACCAAATCATTAACGGCAAGCTGAACGGCCAGACCGGCAACCTTATCCCCATTGTCCTGGAGGAACTGAACCACCACATCATTCGTGTCTTGGGGAGTGATACGACCGACTTTCACGATGTTTGCGTGTACGAGGCACAGCAAGCGGTTGAGTGCCAAGTCTCGGCGCGCGTCTTTTCAGGCGATCCTGTATGCCGCAATCCTGAGCTCCAAAAAACAGCCTTGGTTCGTGTCCTCCTCTCCGAGTCTTCGTCTCCCTAGGACATAGCTTGTATCACTGCTGGTGCTTTCTGATGCGAGCCCCTGACTTTGCAATTGGGTCCTCGAAATACTGATGACTCAAGTAGGGCTTCATAATGTCATTTCTGGGCTCTGGGGTCTTTCTGGGCTTCTTGCCCAAGCCATTTAAGATTCTTGCGGCACCTTTTGCCACATTTCCGACTCGAAGATACGAGAAAGCCTTCACTCGCCTTGTTCGGCCTGGTATAGAGAAGAGGCTGAAGCAGCACGAGCAAAGGCTAGCCAGTGGCCCCGAGAAAACTGCTATGGACCCTGAGCCCAACGACTTTCTGCAGTGGACCATCAACCACGCTATGAAGACGGGTGATCCGCACTTCTACAAGGTGGAGACACTTGCTGGTCTACAGCTCCTGCTGAATTTTGCTTCCATTCACACGTCGACATTCGCCATCACCCACGCCATACTAGACTTGGCCTCATCCAAGCAAGAGTATATTGATGAGCTACGCGAGGAGATCACCACCGTCCTGGCAGAGCACGGCGGCACATGGAGCAAGCAAGCCCTCTCGAAAATGGACAAGCTCGACTCGACCATGCGCGAGAGCCAGCGCCTCAACATGCCCTCTCCCATCGGCGTGCTACGCAGAGTCGTGGCCCAAGACGGGGTCACAACGCCCTCTGGCATCCACTTACCCCAGCACTCGGTGATCGCAGTTAATGCATGGGCCATTCACGATGATGAGAAGATCTACGGCGCCCACACGGACCAGTTTAAGCCGTTTCGCTTCGCCGAGAAGCGCGCTGACGAAAACAGCGACTATCTCGAGCGGGCGCGCCAGAATTGGGCTACTACTAGTGCTGAGTATCTTTCTTTTGGCGCAGGCAGGAGTGCTTGTCCGGGCAGGTTCTTTGGTGCGGCGAAGGTCAAGTTGATGCTGGCCTATATTCTGATGCATTATGATTTCGAGATACAGGAGAAGCGCCCAAATAATGTCATCTTTGGATTGAATGTTCTCCCCCCGATGAAGGCTACTATAAGAATTAAGAGAAGGGAGAAGGTGCCTGTATTTTGATGACCTGCCCAGGCTCCTGCACCCATTATGCCTGATATGATATTTGGCGGGTTTGATTCAACACGGCTTTATCTCGTACGGAGAATGTGGACAGCGAAACCATGGTCAATTCATAGCTTCACATGAATAAACTGGCAATGTTGAAGTACTAACAAAAAGTGGCAGTGACAAGCCGTGCCGTAGTTGTGCTGTTAGCCGCTTCTAAGCGGCTGTCGGCGAGCACCGTGGGGCCAAGACCGTCCGAGGCAACGGCACTGCCGAAATAGGTTAGAGAGGCCAGGATCATGGGACAGTATCGCAGGCACCTCCCTCTTACGACTCATCGACTCATGCGAGGGGAATTTCAAATCCTCGGGCTTCACATTAAATATTCTGTTAATACAGTGACAAAAAGATCCACCGAGGAGTTGTCGAAGAAGAGGACAGCAAGCCAAACAGGCATCACGGCTCTAGTACCGAGGTATTGCAAGATTCAAGAAAGCCGCCAAGATGGCAACCCACGAAGTGTCAATGGACCTCCCGATAATCGACCTGGACGTCTTCCTCAACTCGCCGCACGACTCGCCCGCGGCGGTGGCCGAGTGCCGCAAGGCGGCCGAGGCGCTCATCACGTACGGGGCGCTGGTGCTGCACGACAGCCGGGTGTCGCCCAGCGACAACGAGGGCTTCCTGGACCTGCTGGAGGACTACTTCGCGCAGCCGGCGGAGCAGCTGCAGAAGGACGAGCGCCCCGAGCTCAGCTACCAGATCGGCGCGACGCTCGAGAACACCGAGAAGCCCAAGTGCGCCGTCGACGAGCCGTGCCTGGACGTCATCAGGCGGCTCGCGCCCGACCAGAGGCCCCTGGACATCATGGGCCACAACCCCGACCCCAAGTGCCGCTTCTTCTGGAACATGAGGGAGGACCCGCCGTATGAGACCAAGTTCCCCGGGCTCAACGCCGCGAATGTTGTGCCTGAGGCGCCGCAGATCAGGGAGAGGTGGACGCCGACGATGAACCTGTGGGGCAACTCGATGAAGAACGCGTAAGTTGAGGTTCCTTTTCTACGTGGTCATGGACACTGAGAACTGACGAGACCACACACACAGCGTATCAGGCCTCGCAGAGATGGCAGCAGCCGGCCTAGGCATCCCAGAGGCGACCTTCAAGGACGCAGGGCGGTACGGCCCCCACATCCTGGCGCCGACGGCGTCGGACCTCGTCAAGTACGGCGACAAGGACACCATCCTGGCCGGGTTCCACACGGACCTGAACTTCCTGACCATCCACGGGCGGTCGCGCTACCCGGGGCTGCACATCTGGGCGCGCAACACGGGCAAGCGCATCGCGGTCAAGATCCCGCCGGGCAACTACCTCCTCGTCCAGGCGGGCAAGCAGCTCGAGCACATCACGGGCGGGCTCGTCAAGGCCGGGTACCACGAGGTCGTCGTCAACGAGAAGACGATCGAGACGATCGAGAGGAGGAGGCGCGAGCTCCCCGACAGGCCGCTCGTCAGGATATCGAGCACCTTCTTCTGGCACCTGGCGAGCGACTTCGACCTCAACCCCATCCCGGAGCTGGCTGAGAAGGCCAAGGCCCTGAGGCTGGAGCAGCTGAACCTCGGCAGGGACGAGGGCGGCGAGGTGCAGTACCCTGCGATGAAGGTTGGGGAGCAGGTTCAGAGGTAAGTTGAATTCCTCCACATAAGCACTTGTGGACCCCGTTGTGCTGACACTTTTACAGTGAGCTTAAACATATTGCGCTGATGGCATAAAAGCTACCAATCCTGCTTAAAGATATCGCATAAAATAGGACCATACAAAAACGGAGGCTTAGATTGAATTTACGCAAGGATATCCGCGCTTGTCATTCTAGAAGCAACATATGTGGACTTCATTGTTCAGCTTGTCATTGTTCTTAGCCGTTGCCGAACTGTTTCGACAATGCGAAGAGACTGTACCACATTCCGCCGCATTCCTTAGTCTCCCGTCTCAGTCCAAAAACGGCTCCTAGTAGCACCATCGGGGCGTTCCCCTGACAGCGCCCACGCCGTCGCACAACCAACCGCCACTACTTGACTCGCTCAGAGCTAGACACAGATTTGGCTACGGCTCAGATATTCCGTCTGGCCCCTTTCTCTGTTTCTCTTTTTGGCTGTGGCCCCGATCTTTGCAGGCAGGCATATCAGGTCCAGTGGCCTTCATGCGCTCCAGAACTCGGGTCCCAAGGATAAAAGTGGCCTGGCCCACCAGAGGTGGAGGATTGCCGTGGGAGACGGGTGCGACCGTGGGACGTGCCAACCCATCATCCGATGTCTCGATAACCTAATCGGGCCCCTCGCCTGGGGGGTTCATCAGGGTTGTTAGCAGCAAGTCCCCCAACCCACTCCACACACGTGCTGATGCCGATCACTTGAGCGACTTCACATGTGCTCCAAGTCAGCCGCTGCACGCCAACTCAGTCTCACAGCAATTGCTATCTATATGCCCATGTGACACCTCGCTTCTCCCGTGTCACACGCAAATTGTCTCCGTGGTACGGTGATAGCACATAGAAAGGTGGAACCAAATTCTTGACGATTTAATTTGGAATTGTCGCTTGTACAAATGTGAAGGTATTAATGTAGATATTTAAACAAGTGTCCAAAAAAAAAAAAAAAAAAAAAAAAAAAAAAAAAAAACAATACGCTGTTGTATGTTGCGGCCGTGAAAATGTGTCTTGCCCTGCTCCACGAGGGGTATCAACTCCTGAACTCCATCTAACCTTGCTCGCACAAAATTCAATCAACCAGCCCATCCATCACCTGCCGATGCTGAAGCCCTCGTCCAGACTGACCCACACACACCCCGCCGTGAGGAAGCTCACCAGGATGACGGTCAGGATCGCCGCGCCGGCCTTGTCCCCCGTCGTGATCGGCTCGTAGATGTCATCCCACGGCCTCTCGTCGCCGTACCCGGCCGCCGAGTCACCAGCGCTCGTGCCGCCGGTCGCGTTGGTGATGGGCGCCCCGCCGGAACCCCCGGCCGCGTCGCCCGTGATCTCGTTGTCCGTCATCAGCAGGCTGGTCATGGCGGCGAGGACGTTCATCTGGTGGCCCGCGCCCGTGGTGCCGTCCCACTCGTTCTGGTGCCACTTGAAGCCGCACATGCGGCCGTTGTCGCCGCCCGTGCACGTCCGCACGGCGGCCTCGGCGCTGGACCGCAGCGCGGGCATGATCGTGTCGCGCGTGAAGGGCGCCAGCTGCGCCGTCACGGCCATCCACCGCGCCACGTAGCCCTTGAAGCTCAGCATGTCGCTCGTGCACGTCCCGACGTCCTCGCACGCCGGCTCGTGCGCGATCCCGTCCGGGAAGAAGACCCGCAGCGTGCCGTTCATCAGCCCCCGCACCTCCGACTCCCAGTACGCCGCCTCCTGCTCGCTCAGCGTCGTGTTGTCCGTCTGCGAGGACGTCCAGTTGTACATGAACGCCGCGCCCTGGAGCAGCATGCCCGAGTTGTACGAGAACTGGGCCCTGTTGATGTCGGTGCAGTTGTGGTACACGTGTGCGCCGTCGTAGACGTTGTACTCGGGGTCGATGTATGACACCCGTTTCATCCAGTCGTAGGTGTCGAATGCCCAAGAATAGTAGGTCGTGTTGGAGGTGTAGCGAGCGAGGCGGGCGCCGATGTTGAAGAAGCAAGCATTGGCGATGGCTGAAGCGCGTGTTAGTGCTGGGTTACATCAAATAGAGTGGAGTGGACCCACTGTTCTTGTAGTTATAACCGTTGTTACTGGGAGGGATCTGCCATCTTAATCCGCCATTACATGAGTCGTCGTGCCGGTCTGGATGTGCTTGGGTGTTGAAGACGGCCTGCGTGAGGGCCAGCCACTGCCGGACGTCGTCTTCCGGCGGGTCTGGGAACCGTACCTCGGCGGCAGCCATCGTACTAAGAGCCCAGAAGGCCTGGTCGTCGTTTCCTAGGGATGCGGTCCAGTTCGGCGGCATATAATTATTGCGAGGACCCGTCTGGAACAGCAGCGACTCGGTGGTCGTGTTCACGTACGACATGTCGCCCGTGTAATGCCAGTAGTCGATCAGCGCCCCCCACATCGCACCACCTTGCCACCAGTAGTAGTCGCCATCAGGCGGAGGACCTGGCAGGATTCCAGGAATCTGGCCAGACTGGTTGCCTTTGTAGAAGGTTAAGAGGTCGTATGCTACCAGAGCTGCGTTATCTCTGATAGACTCTGTGCATCACTGTCAGTTGAGAGGCCGGGGTGAGCAGTCACGAGACATCCTTACGGGCATCGGTGAGGTCCACATCCAGTGCAGCCGACACAACCCCAACCATGGAGAGACATTTTAGGAGGAAGAACGAGCGTGGTGACATGTTTACGGCAACTGCTGTGGGTAGCGAAGCCGGTGGCAGCGCTACAGATCGTGAAAGAGCGGCGAGCAGTAGCAACGACGGAAGGGGAAGGAGTACGAGTGTGCGCGGCGGAAGAAGAATGAAAAAGACACGGCAGATGGGAAGAGAAAGTATCAGCATGCACTGTGCCTTGCAGCGGCGGACGGTGAAAGGGACTGATGGCCGTCATCAGCCAAGTGCCCAAGACATGGACGCAAAACCCGTGGCAACCAGGCCTGAAGCCCGTCTTGCCGCGCAGACTCAGGGGTGGTTCCTGGGCAATCGTATTTGGCAGCCGTTAGGCGACTTGTGTGCCGGTCCATGGGACCAGAAGGGCCAACAACAAAGCAGAGACGGGCGCCCAGTGGTGGCAGTGACAGCGTGCTATGCACTTGGCCCGCTTGGCCGCGTCTTGGCCGAGCACCTTGGCTCGACCAGCCGTCAAAGGGATGATTTCTTTTAGGTTCGGGCTGTGTCAGGTCCAATGCTCTGTCTGCCTGTCCTGCCTTTCCTTTTGCCGTGCGCGATCTCGCCAAGATGCCAGTTGCGGTGGCCCAGATCTCGCAGGAACCCTTCTCCATCTTTTCCAGTCCTCCATTGCTCCACAGCCTCGGGCACGGTCGAACAGGCCAGAGGACTGGCTGTTAGGCGCCGCGAGGACGGGTGGCACAAGAGAAGGGCGAGCGAGAAATGAGCCGGATCGATGGGCAGGGTGCCAAGTGCTGGGCGCCAAGTGGTCGGGGCGGTTGGCCAGCCCGCCGGATTGCCGAGTGAATCCAGTGCGTCACTTGCACGACCTCCCGACGGCCCCTGAAGATCTGGGAGATCTAGGCCGTAGTAACGAGGCCGTGGGAATAGAATAGCCTCAAGTGACTTGCATACTGGACTTCATGCAGTCGTGGTGAAGGCGTGGGAAGTATAATTGACCGCTTTGGCCGCCGGGTGTCTGAGAAATGGGGGCATGGGGGTTGTGTTCCCGTCAGAGAATGGTCCAGGTGGAACGAGGAGCCAAGAAGTGGGGGAGCCGGCGGCACGGGATCGCTCAGATTCGACAGCTGGCACCAGCTGGTGGCATCTGGTATCCTTTCAAAACAATTCTAGCAGCTGCTTCACTTGTATAAACCAAAATTCAGTCTGTGAGACTGCGGAGGCCTCTCTATATGAAATAGATCGTGCAACTATCAAGGCCCCGGCTGAGAATCCATTACACATAAGGCTTCAAATAGCATGAATTTTGCAAGCTCACCATGTCAGGATCGTTTGCAGGCTGCAGTCAAAACTCAACATCAGCCTGAGCTGCGCACACACCATTACGTATCTGTTTACCCCCGCACGTAAATCTTTTAACTTGTTCTCCAGATGAAGTTCAGCCTCGTTGGAGTTTCTGCTGAAATCAAGGGAAACTAATGTCACTGTCTACTACTCCCCCTCCGCACATACTGATAAAAATCACGAGTCACCAACATTGTCATTGCACAGATTGTTAAAGTTGACAGCATTGCATCAAAAGAAACGCTAACGATTGTGTCTTTTTGTGTCAGATATGAATCAGCTTACGGTCGGTGTGTATTGGGCTCGTCTCTCTTTGACATTGCTAGATTTGCAGCCGTTTTGAGAGTTGGCACCAGATTAATCCAGCTAGTTTTCCACTATAGCTCACAATACTGATATGATCAGTAATTATTTCCGGGTAATCAAAGTCGTGCGCCGATGGAAATGTACAGGCATATAGACCAAGAGTCCCTACACCGAAAAGTAGAACAGCGGTGTGTCTACAAACGTATGTTTACTATACAGCCTATTGTTCTATCTGTCTCGTTTCCGTAATTCAAGGGAAATTGTTGCCAGTTCAGCAGAACGTAACCGCACCTAGCTTGCAAAGTTCAAATCGCCCCGAGTCAATGTCTATGAACCGTCATGACTATAATCTTGCCTTGTCACGCCCTCATCTATTTTCGACGGGTTCACCTAGCTCCTACAACTCGTCCAAAACTTGTTGTTCAGAATCGGCGCCCGACGGCTGCCCGACGCTCTCATCGGCCTCCTCAACGACGAACCAATCCTTGACCTTGACTGCACCAGCAATGACCTTTTCCCACACATCCGGAAGGCAAGTCAATGGACTCAAGATGTAACACTCTGGCTTGGGTGCAATGGGCGGCACGCCCTTGATGAACCAAATGTCGTTGGGGCCGATCGTTGCAAAGTTATCGTCCGTCTGGATCAACCCAGTTGGGATGTCCAAGCCAAAGGTGGCGCGCTTGAATATCTCGTACGCGGCCACAGGCTGGTATGACGGTACCTCATGACCCTGTAAGACCAGCCATTAGCATTGACGAAAAAAAGAGGGGATTCAATCTTTGAGAGGACTTGCCGCCTGGAACACCCTCGTGAAACTGAAGTTGCCAAATTGCCGCGTCATCCCCTTCACACCCTCATGCGTGACGAGAGGAGCGTATCCCGCACCCGCAAACTCCTCTGCCTTCGAGTAGGGCACGTCAAGACTGGCCGCCTCGCCCCCGACCCAGTTGCACGGGTAGTCACGATCCCCATACATCATGTGCACCTTCACGCCGGAGTCGAGAAGGTACCCAATGGACTCCAGGAAGCCTCCATGGATGATATCAAGGGTGCCTTGGAAGGTCTGCGCCACAGCGCCCGAGGACTCTGAGAAATTGACTGGCACGCCCAGCGCGGCGAGTACGGACTCTTGCGTGAGGTAGCCAAACATGTAGGGCGGTGGGAAGGGGTCGTTCTTGGGGTGTGTGACATCGTACCAACCGGCACCTGGTAGTATATCCTGATAGATCTGAGTAGCTGGCATGCCTTCACAACCTGGGTTGATCTCGGTGCAGATCTGGCTCAGGTTCTTGTCTTCGAGGCTGAGGAAGATAGGCCCGCGGCCTTCCATTTCATCTTGGCAGGCCTTGACCTGATCTCTGCAGCCGTTGGGCCGCGTCCAGTTGTACAAGAGCTCATCGTGCAGAGACTTGTTGAAGATTTCCACTCCATAGCTCTGCCAGGAGTTCTACGTTAGATGTTGCACGCCCACACTGCCGTCAGCTGACACTGGAAACTCACATTATTGAAGGGATACGTAATCAGAGCCTCTCCTTGGACTGCGACATCAATCAGGCCGTTGACAATACCCAGAGTATCTAGATGAAGATAATGTGCGTCTTTGTCGTTGATACTGCCATTGGCGATTTTATCGTTCTGTTGCTGGAAGAAGCCGAAGAAACCAGGCCCGTAATGACTGCGAGAGTTTAGTAACATTCCTGCGCCGGGAAATTAGGGTTGCTCACCCGCCGTAGCTCTCAGCCCAAAGGCTGATCCGGTTGTCATGGGGCTTGTAGTATGGGAACTCGAAGAACCAGGTCTGGGCGAAATGCCAAAGCGCATGTGCCGCCAGGGCCGTCGTGTTGGCAGTGTTGAGGGGCTTCTGGCTCGCAAAGGTTCCATGATAGGCGGTGAGGTTGGTCTCTGGTATTTTGTCCGTTGAGTCCCATGGTATGGTCTCGTATCCACTCCAGGAATCATCGCTGCCTGCGACCATAGTCCCGTTGGTGGCGACATCATATGAAAATCCCACCTGGTTCGGCTGGTCAATGTACAGGATGTTGACTTCGTTGTTCCAGCTCCAAGGGTTCAGATACGTCGACCTCGAGTCGGCACTGATGAAGCATGGGCCATTCTCTTCGAGCAGCCCCATTAATGACGAGCCCCCTGGACCGCCATTGAGCCAAATCGCCAATGGTGCATTGATTGGGTCTTTCCGGGACTCGAAGAACCAGAAGAATCTGGTAGACGCAGTTAGTAAAAGTCGATCACTGCGTCTCTGATTTAGTGAGCTCACGTGTTGATTGGATAGTCTTGCTTCTCCCCACCACTGCCGTCGTTCAGAAACCCCTCCGGCAAATGCACATATCCTGAATATGACTTGACGCCTGGAGTAGTCTCGCAGATTCCAGGCTAGTAAGAATTTCATTGTCAGTCCATTGGCAGCATCAGCAGCATGTGCAGAGAACGTCACCAACCTCCTTGAAGGAGAGCGTCACATTCTCATGGAGCTTGGACTTCAATGTTGTAACTCCTTCTGGCTTCGGAGGGAACTGAGCCACGCCAAGCCCACTGAGGCTTGCCAGTAGAAGACAAATCCATGCCATGGTGGAAAGTAATTACTAGTCTTCGGCTGCAGGCTGTACAAGTGGAGGAGAAACAGAATGCAAAAAGCGCGCGGAATAGATGGCGATGCCAAGAATTGAGGAGCAACAGGCTCCTTGACGGGACCTAGCTACTAACAAGGTAAGCTCGGACGAACTATGGCCCGAAACGCTATTCAACCCCGGGGCTACGCTAGAAACAGCTTAAATCATCTACAAGTATTGAGCGCATGTTGTCTTCAAAAGCCTTGCATTTAAATTCCAAATTAAGAACGTATTAGGAAGTGCATTTGGAGCAGCTGGTAACTGGAAGGATTTCATTAAACCAAGACAGCTGAAGTTATTACGCATTCCTAGTGTGTTGTTACGCTTCAGGCTCAATGGATAAATAAATTGCGCCTGCGGGGAGCTGGTGTGTGCGCCCAAGGCACTTCCAGCCCGTTTACTCGGGTAAGAAAATACCCAGGCATACCTACATAGTAGTGTTCCCGGGTACGGTGTCAATGTTGTGGTCCGAAAACCTCCATCACTGCAGTCCATCTCCATTCGGTCGGTACTCATTCATTAACTCTCCTCGATAATTTTCTGAAGAATGACGATGAAGTGACATCAGTCACCGACTTCAAGTACCGAGATCATGCACTCGGAAATGTTCCTGTCGGTAATGGCTAAGCGAATTGCTTGTACAGCGTGTAAGAATCCCAAAACTTTCCCTGTAGATACATATTGCCCTTTCCTTTTTAGGAGGAGGTCACTCACCCATCCAATTTGGCTGCAATGGATACAGATCTTCAATAACTCTGGATAATTCCACTGTTCCTCAACATGTTCTTCCAGTAAGAGATCTTGGTCAGAAAGACTTCGCCACCAAAGGGCCAACCATGAACTGCTTGACAAATGAACATTTGGGATCCTCACACGCTGTAACTTCGAATGCTGTACCCAAATCTTCCCTGTTGGGTTTCGAGGTGCTCAGTTACACTATTGGCTTTGACATCGAGTCGTTCGAGGACTTCTCCGCCGTATCTCGACTTGAGGAGGTGCCTTGCCAATTTTGCAACGAAAGAGACCAAGACGCCGATCTTGTCTTCTAGACCAGCCTCCAGCTCGAAAATAGTAATCATTGAAAAGATATTTGGGGGGTAATCTCTCGAGTCTAATCGATCATCCTCAACAGACAACAGTGTACATGAAGAAAGCCACGGAGGGAGAATACGGAAGGTGCAGCCGAACTGCATTATCTCCGAGGCCCGAGGGCAGCCCGCAGCGAGAACCGAACCGAACGTTGCGCAGAGCGGGAGAGAGTGAGACAAATAAGAAGGCAGGGGAGAACAGCAAACATGACGGCGGAAACGAATACGCAGCAGGTACCTAGGTAGAGGCCAGGTCGATGCTGCGTTGGCGCGCGAACGGGTCGAGTAAGGATTGCGAACGCAGTGTAGCACTTCTCTGGTACCTAGCCGATCACTCTCGACGACAGCGAATTATGTTGAGGTTTAGGAACGCGGAAAGGATTACCGAAGGGAACGCCAAATCCCAGCAAATAGGCGACCAGATTCGATCCAGCTCGGCAAGCCAAGCAGCAGGGAATCAAGGCGGCCAGACCTCCCCGCATCGCAGGACCCGATGAAGGGCTCCACTTGGACAGAGGAAGTTAATGACAATATGTATGAGCCGCATGCCAGAAATTGAACACTGAGCCCCAGCAGGTGGCTTGCATAGGTGCATGCGCGTCCAGGTGGGCCAGTCGCATCTGTTCTATGACATACTTTAGGCGACCCATTCGGCAAGAGGATTATCTTAGCCTCTGCATTTAGTTTCTCTTAGGGTGCGCTGTGTGGACTGTTCACCAGGGAATTTCCCGAAGCAGACTCCCTGGGAGCTCATTTCAAGCGTGCATGCCCCAGCACGGAAGGCCCGGAAGCCAGGCCCTGCATTGGCCTCGATGGGCCTGCTGATGCCACTTGTTCATGGTGGAGTAGTGATTGGGACAGGCTCGCACTTCCCTGCGGCCTGGGCGGCCTGCAATCAGTCTACGCTGGCGCAACTCAAGATGAGGTGTTTGCCCCGGACGGCCGGCACAGACCCAATCGTGGTTGAGGAGGAGACGGGTGCGGTGGGTCCAGCTGTGGGCTGACAAGGAACATGCGGAGAAAATGGAAGATCCCTTGTCGGGTGATGGAGCGGGCCGCATTTAGGTTTCGGGTCATGTATTGACGTACCGCGAGATAGTAGTTATTCTGCTGGAGAAGCCCGACTGTCAGCATCGCTACCAGGAATTCTATGTTACCAGAGCTTCCTGCCTGTGTCATGCAAAAGGACTCTGAGAATGTAATGTAGGTTCAGTCACCCTACCTGCGTTGCATGCCGTGTAATGAGATCTTCCCCATACTAACCAGATATGAATACTATATGTGCAGATGGAGGCGGCCGACACGCGGGAGACTATCTCAGAGCCCACCATCCGATGGCCCGCCGTTGCAGGCGCGAGGCAATGGCGACATGACCCGATGTAACATCGCACATTCAACGGGGCTGGATGGGCAAATAGTGGCCTGGAATTTTCTTTAGACTCCTGCTCGACGGCCTGCCTTCACGGGACAGCCCCCAAGATGTATTTAATAAAAGATTCATGCTCGTTGTCGTCACTAGCTTACACACAATCAACAAAAAGCCAGTCTGAGAAGAGTGTAGACCGCCTAATCTCTCGCTACCATGCAGGCCCTGCGGAATAACCTCATTTGGAATATATAGGGTAGAGAAGAACCTCAAGTCACCGCCCTTCGCATCGCAAGCCACCTCGTCAGAGACATTCTGAAGCGGACCTCCTTGCCCGTCTTCGTGGAGGACGACGACATTGTCTATCAAGTTTTCTGGCCCTCTAGACCTCCCAAGGCCTCGCGCTACATGTCGCATGAGAGAACCGAACCCCCATGCCGCCGCAAGCCATTGGCGCGTTTAGATCTGCGCACTTCCGTCGCGTATCACCACCATCTGCATCTGCAACCCTTGGACCACACCGCAATAGCTTGGGGCGCGCAACCGGCGCCACGCATCGGACGCGGCGCGGCAGAGGAGACCGGTCAACCAGATACTTCAGCCTGATATATTATTAACACTCCAACAAAGCCTGGCGGAAGGCCCTTGACTTCGGCTCAACTGCCACCAATCACATTTTGCGAGTGCTTGTCCTCTCGACTGCCGCGTGTACTATCCTAAACAACTCTAGCCGTACTAGAAAGTCCGATGCCAACCTCATGTTGTGGTGCTGACGCTGTGGCTGCAGAAAAGCCGAGCCCCGATTGATTGGGGTGGACATGTGCAGATGTCAAAATCCTGTATTTAGATCGACTTTTCATGTTGTGTATTGCTTACTGTGCAACGACCAAGTAGTCCGCCGATGGCACCGTGTCGAGGGTGAATGTCGTCGAGATGGCCACTTTGCCATAAGGAATATCATTACTCGGTCAGAATAGCTGAACTTTGACCGGTCATGCAGCCCACAATTTTGAAATTCTGGTGGAGAAGCCCAACGAATCTTCCCTTGGGAATATCAACAATCAAAAGCTTTGGTTTTTTGTCGGGTGATAGTCAGGCACAGCCCCCGGCCACAACCGTGGACCGGGGATCCACTGTCGATCTCAGTCTGACATGCCTCAGCGCCCACACACCCGCCCCTCGGGAGTCTGCGTTGGGGGCCCAGAGCTGATGGGATGACTGCAAGGGCCACGGGGCTTGTGGGCGGCATGCAGCGGGTAATTACATAGTGCTGCAGCAGGGTTTGTACCAAATCACGAGGCTGCGTTTGCAGCGGCTGCGCGCCGCTAAGGCAACAACAATCTTGACAGCTTGGGCCCCCCCCCCAGGGCCGGATCCGTCTTCCAACCACATGCTAGTGCGGCTGCAGTCATCAGCTGTTGGCACTGTTCCAACCTGGGCAGTCCCCCGAGCGGAGATGCGATCGCGCGTACCCAGAATTTTACATAGGACTCTGCAACTCGGCTCGGATGTCGCTGCGCCGGGGCAATCAGATTGGCGAGGGACAATCTTGTGAGATGTGAAATCCAGGGCGACGTCAACACCGTAGCATCCGGATAACCGAGCGCTGAATGGCTGATTACTGATTATGTGACAAGGTCGCCCTATACGGATCCGCTGTGTAGGAATCAGCTGTGGCGTGGAGAAGCATTGCTTCGGATAAGCAACACCAGTTCTCAACGTAGCTGAGATTGTCGAGGCTGGCCGCCTCCGAATGACGTTGCAGAATCGGGCAAGAGCCCTTCGGTTTGGCGTCTACATACAACTGCCTTGGCGCCAGTTCCGACGGCAACCACTCGATTGTGGGCCTTGGTGGCGCGAACTCCCCCTGCGCCGGCCATCTCGCCTAGTCCTCGTGGATGGTCGCCTGCGCAATCCCGGCATGAGCAGTGGGGGGCTTCAGACTGCTAACCGAGGCCAGCTGTACAACCATGAAAGCTTGAAAGACAGCATGCTTTCCGTGCTTGGCATGCCTCTAAGTCTCGAGACCGACTCCCTGCGCTGCCGATGATGTACGGCAGATACGATCCGTGGGTTCACCATGCGAATGTGACGATAGTTTGGAGGGCAGTCGGCGCCAGCCCTCCACTTGGATTGATTCTGATGACGATCGTTTCCTATTTCCAAGAAGCTTCATGAATCCTTCGGCTAGGTGGCAGCATCCGTTGGACCGCGATGCATTCGGAGTCGGCGAGGTCGACCGTGACCTTCGACTTGTCTTGGCCGATGGATAGATGGTCTGGCCATGGTCGATGACGATCTTGATCTTTCTGAGTGATCCCAACTGAAGATGACGGCCAGACTTCGAATATAAAAGAAGGCTCATCTCCACTGTCTGTCGTCTCTTCTCCTTCTCATCATCATCATCAGCATCTATCAGCAGTCTTCAGTCTTTAGCCAACCACTCACTCCATTACTATTCAATCTTTGGGTCTTCTTCCCACCTCCAACATGCAGTTGTCCACTCTTCTCATCTCCCTCATGGCCTCGCTCGCCATTGCTGTCCCCACTAACACTGGAGGCGGAGGCGGCGGCGGCGGTGATGGCGGTGGAGGAGGTGGTGGTGGCGGTGGCGGCACCTACTCCGCTTGCACGTCTGCTGTGTACTCCCAGGCTCAGTGCTGCTCCGCAGACGTCGGTAACATTGCCGACCTGACCTGCGCGTCGGGTAAGACTACTCCACAAGACTTGAGACAAGCCTGATATGTCTTGAATGATGTTCGCAATATTGACAATATCTCGTCCCACAGTCGCTCCGGCCCCGTCCTCCGCCGAGGACTTCAGGGATATTTGCGCCACGACTGGCCAGACCGCCATGTGCTGCACTCTCAGCGTCGTAAGTACACTTCCCAGCTGGCGACTTGGGCTCGCTGGTCAACTGACAATCGTGGCAGATCGGAGTCTCCCTCCTCTGCGAGACCCCGGTTGGCCTCTAAGAGGCCCGTCGAGGAAGACCGCTACAGGAAACTGTGGAGTGACGGAGTGCCAGGGATATCGTGTGACTTGGTCTGCAACCGGTACAATGAACGAGGACACATGGCATGACGATGCCCTGTTTCATCCACTCTTTTGGCTTCTGCTGGAGACTAGTTGGCAAAGAATAACTGGTAGTTTGCTAGTGACATCTTCATTTCTTTAATTAATACATTGAGCTCTTTGACAATTGTCTTCCGTGCGCTGTGAAAGTGAATCGCGTCCCAAAAAGATGATAAATGATGCTGCGTTCCAAATCACATCGGTTGAGAGCCTCCAGCTCAGTATTGGAACATGAAATCATGTGCAACTCAGCTGCGTATGTCCAGACAAGTGAAGCATAAAGTCAGCTGAACGCATATGGGAATTTATTTGCAGAAATTTAATGGCTTTGAAAACTAGATGGCCTGATCCCTTGATTCCTCCCCAAGATATCAGGCTCGTGTACACAGCATGATCATGTGACACTAAGCTAAGCTGACTAGTATTACATCTGCAGTCATTGATTGTTTGTGCTACCATGATCTATGGTCTCTCGAATACAGAAGAACTCCAGAGAGAGAAAAAATGAAAAAGAAAAAGTAAATGCCTCATTCACTTGCATTTAGTAGGGAGATAGTAGATAAATGATGCAATGTGAAGACTTGAGGATGAAAGTCTGGGTTTGGAATCTGGGACCATGTTGGGAACATGATAAATCAGGACAGGAAGAAGAACCCGTATTTTCAAATGCAATTATCTGTAGCAAGAAAATTGTATTTCGTTACTGCCTTCAAAATTGAATTACTAGATCCTAGAGAAGTAATATTTTCTTGCTACAAATAAAGGCATTTTAGCTGTTTACTCTCCGAACTACAACGTAAAACAATTTTATCCCAATTGAGAACAGCTTTATACTGTGAATCTCATATAGCAACATGTATCAATAATTCTACAATAATATGGGGTCATCACGGAGAGCATCCATTCACCTGATATGATGGCAACGTGTTGCAGGTCTTGATTCCCCCGGGGTGGACTTCCTGTGGTTATATCCGTGTCGATTACGACTTTGAGATAGATTGCTGTGCTGTCTCTTAGTTATCCGAGGAATTTCTCGCCAATCGAAATTGCAATCATTTTGTCACCCTGGATGATCACCTCTGGACATGATGTTTGTCAGTCTAGTCAAACAGAATTCCCTGCTAAAGTTTACTCACCGTCACCCACCTCGTCCATCCAAAAAGACTGATATTTGCCACTATCGTAAGTCGTACAAAGCAAATCAGTTGTAAGCTCTCGGTTCCGCACAATGCGAGATTCGTTTGTGTCACTCAAGTCGCGGATCCGGGGCATGAACCCGACCTCGCCTGCATCCAGACCAACCCTAACCCGGCAGGGATTCTGTAATCAGATTAATAGCCAGAGGAAAGCATGCGTGAGATAGTTTTAATCCCATTCAAAACTTTCACACATTACATTCCTTTTTTGAGCCTATCCATGTCCGTGTCAACAGATCTTGCAGCCTTGAGAACGGGATGTCGTTGCACTGCTGACATAAGCTTGGTTGCTGTCTGGGCTACCCCTGCTTAGACGCTCGACGTCATAGCCTGGTCACTGCAAGGCAACCCTTGACCAACTCAGGAGCGACCCGTCAACATAGCTGAGGTCATGGTCCTACAACAACATCCAACAACGACGACACGACGACAGTGCAGCACGTTTGGGCTGCACACAAAGCTGCTATTCATTTTCGGCCGCCCAAATTTCGTTTATTTTGTGACCCCAAAAATTGATCCGGGTTAGGTCTGGTCCCGAAGCCTCGGCACCGACGCCGTCAGTCATGGCGTCACTCACAGAGGTCCTGGGCGTCTTCTGCTGGTGCCTCCCGTGCTTCTCGCTCCCGGAAGACTATGAAGATCGCGACCCTCTTCTCCCCCAGTATCGCGATGACACTGTTCTTCAGAGAGAGCTGCACCAGAAGCTCCATACCTATCAGATGTTCCGCGCGCTGTCACAGGGTTTCATGCCATCCAACGAGCAGGTCATCGTTAACCTCAGGACGATCCTTGCTTCTGACGTCCTAAACCCAGAAAATGAGGATCTCAGCGATTCCGGGCGAGCATTGGTGCACTACGTCAAGGTCTGGCTTAGACAATTCATGGATCTGCTCATACACAAGAATGGGCATGATCAGATTGAGGACTTCATTTGGTATTTGACCAAAGCCAGAGTCTCAGTTGACATGGGGGATATCGCAAACAGAACCGCCAAAGCTACTTCCAAGGCCCAGACTGCTGCTGGTATGTGACGGATGCAAGCCCATAGGGTGACCCTCAGTAACTGACACCCTCACAGCATACCAGAGCCTCCAAACAGTCGGCACACTGCTGCTTACAAACTCTGACTTCCGAATCTTTCTGTCCGACTTGAATACTATCGGGCGTGAGGTCTTCCGTGACACAGCTTTCACTCTTTCAGATGTATCCCAAAAAGCAGCACAACGCATCGAGCCGTCTAAAGAAGAACAAGAAGCCATCAAGAAGCCCGGTGCAGATGCGGGTCCTGCCCCTACAGATAAGGAGCTGCAGAAAGACGTGACTGAAGTCGCCAATGTGGTGGCGGAGAGTGCTGCAGAAGTGGCTCAGGAGGCCGAACACAGCTTCGTCGACAAGATCAAAGGCGATGAGAAGAGCACCCTACTGTATCGACTAAAGCAGGCAGTTACGAAGCTGAGAGGACGCACGGATTACTCCGAGTCGGTCTCCATGTTGGCCAAGATTTTGCAGCGTTATGCCTTGGTCTACTCGCATGTCTTCGAGGAAACGGCGGCAACGGCTGAAAGAGATGTGGAGACGAATCGTGAAACCCAGAAGGCGGTCGAGAACTTTTGGACGTTTGTGAAGTCCTTTGGTGATGCAAAAGAGTGGAGTGAACTGGAGCGCAGGTTCAAGCAAGTCGTGGAGCAAGGAAAGAGTGACCCTCAGTTCGACCAACTGGTCCGACAAGCCGGAAACGCCCTCCAAGAGATGCTGACCGACCCTGGCTTCTTCGATCATGCTGAGGAGAGGTTCCAGGATTTACGGAGCAAATCACGACAGCTGACCTCGGATTCTTCTTTACGGGATGAGGTCGACGGCCTCCTTGCCAAGCTGCAGTCCACTTTCCAATCCGTCCTCAGAGATACCGATATTGTGAAGCTGATCCGTACGTCCACATACATCGCCAAGATACTTTCGCCTGCGCACCAGTACACCAACACGGAGCTGGTGACTGATGCCACTAATGTCTTCGTCCCGATGTTCGTGCAAGCAATTCAGTATGTCCCGATACCAAGGGTCGAGGTCTCGACTCCCGAGGTCGATCTCTTGCTCGAGAACCTCATCATCGAGCCTGGCATCACCGTCAACGACACTTCCTTCCTTCCTTATAGGCTCCGAATCGAGACCCGGAACGATCTGGAGATACGGAAGGCTCGCACCAGAACAACCTCAAACGTCCAGTCACTCATGACCATCAAGATCGACGGCCTGTCTATTCGTGCTGAAGAGGTAGGCTTTTGGCTGCGAGCGCATTCAGGTTTTTTTCAGGTCGCCGACGAGGGCATCGCATCGTTTGAGCTAGACGAAAAGGGAATCGACATTGAGATCGACGTCGAAATCGCCAAGGAGCGTCTTGAGAGTATATTGTCCCTTCGAGATGTCCGTGTACGCATCCATAAGCTCGACTACAGCCTCCGCAAGTCCAAGTTTGCGTTTGCCGCATTCGCCTTCAAGCCCGTCCTCATTCCCATCATCCGCAAAGCCATCGAAGTGCAAATGTCTACGGCCATCGGGGACCTAATCCACGCGGCAAATCGGGAACTGCTGTATGCTCGTGAGAGGCTGCGGGCTACTCGCATTGCCGACCCGGCCGATATGTGGACCTTCATCAAGGCGGTGGCTGCGAGACTGGTTCCAGAGGAGGACCCAGATCTCTATACCAGAGTCGGTGTCGTCGAGCCTGGTACTGGCGTCTTCAAGGGGGTGTATGCTCCTGGAAGCATTGTCAAGGTCTGGAATGAGGAGGCTGCTCAAGCCAAGCAGAGGATTCGGGAGGGTGAAAGTGACGAGGGTTGGAGGAACGGCATCTTTGACGTGCTCACAACCAATGTCTGAAGCCAAGGTGTTTGGTGACTACTCCTTAAAGCAAACGGCTGAGTTTTCTTTTCCTGCATACTTTTACGGTTTCTTGTCGCCGGAGGATCGGTTGGGTGTTCAGCATAATCAGCATACGGAGTCCAGAGAACACTAATCCAAAATTGCAGTGCGAAATGAAGTGGCTTTAATCCTGGTGCCTTCGATGTGAGACCCAGTCCAGGTGGCAACAGGTCGCGGGCCCCACCTCCCTTGTGTACCACAGCACTGATGCAAACCAGGGCAGCAAGCTATTGAGATGAATCTGGTGAAGCTCATTTGCCTGCGCAAGTCTGCCCCCGCAAACCTCTTGTCCACCTTCAGGAAACATTTTTGCTTGCCTTTTCTTCTGTCATGTTACTGAGCGCTAAACACGCTCTATCACATCTTCTTCTGGTATAAGTACTGGCCTGACCAGCAGCCCGTCTCATCAAATGCCACCCTTTGAGCTGTTCCAACAGTGCTCCACGAGAATCAGCAAAGTACCCTCACGAGTAATTTCCCGCCAAAGAGACGATTGGAAGACCCAAAAAGAATGAAGCAATTCAAGGACGCCGTCTCAAAGATTTCTTCGCATAGTGCGGACAAAACCAAGACAGTGGCCGAGGAGAATGACGCTCTTTGCAACGGCGAGGAGGACATCAGCCCTGTCTGGACCACGGGACAAGAGTTCCAGTTCTACGTCCCTTGGCTGTGGGACAAAACCCCAGAGCCACCACCAGACAAACTGCACCCGAACAGACGGGTGGTCCGAATACGTCGACCTACAGACCTTCCTGGGTTTACGGAAGAGTTCTGCGAGGACTGGATCCAGGAGAGCGTCACTTCTGCAGTGAAAGAACTGGTCGACGATAAGGAGCACTACTTCACTTGCACCGAGCGTCAACTGAAGCAGTGGCGCTATGACCAGACAAAGGCATGGAAGCACTTCAACATAGTGCAGAGCAAGTGTGACCTCCCAGAAGTTACCGTTTCAGGCTTCGACGGCGTTCTTGCAGTCGAAATGACCATAGTCATTAAAGAGGTGTCCATCCACAGGGACCGGGACTCCTCCTGCCTCGAATGGCTCACCCTACCGTCTCCGGGGAAGTGCATCGAGAGGATCAAGAACCAAGTTCGCATACACCTGACCCCGGAGTGCAGTATGCACATCCACATCCGGCCGCAGACCATGCTCGAGTTCGACCTGCCGGCGTTCAAGAAGATGGCTTCACTTCTCTGGCTCGCCGAGGAGCGACTTGACAAGCTCTACCATCCGGCGCGCAATAACCCGCACAGCCCTTTCCACCGCTCTCTCCGATGTCACTCAAACTTGGCCCGGGACAGGAACCCTCACGTCACAGGTCTTCTGGACGATCATGCTGCCGTCTTGGGCAGTTTGAACTTTGAAAATGCCGACAGAACCAAGTTAGCCACGATATGGCAGGCGTCTGACCACCACCAGCTGCGCGAGTTGCTCCGGGCCCATGCAGCCGTCGGAAAACACGACTACCCTGCGTACAACTTCTTCAACTTGTTCATGGCCTCCGAGAAGCAGACGATTGAGTTCCGCAAGACGGAATCAACGATAGACGCACAGGTGATTGACGCCTGGATCGAGGTCTTCCTTCTCCTCACGGACTTCTGCATGACCTGCTCGATCACGGACTTCCAGCACATAATGGAGAACCTGGGAAGGTCCGACAAAGTTTACACCACCTGGCACTTGCTTCGAGATATCGGATGCAAGAATGCCACCGTTGAGGCACTGAAGCGGAAGTTCATGCAACAGTGGCTTCCCGAGGAGCCGGTCTCTCGCAATTCCTCGAGGGCCGCTACCAGCACGACCACCAGCAGCAGCAGATCCACAACCAGGGCCCGCCTCCGGGATGCTATTCGTGATGGCACCGAGAGGGTTGGGGGAAAGATTGCTGGAGGGTACAGCTATGGCCGCTGAGAAGTAAATCTCGACCTCCCCCTTCTCCCGAGTGGTCAAGCTGACATTGAGTAACACAGGACTACGTTGAAGGACACCCTTCCTCCAGACGGGACGCAAAAGTACTCACATAATTATCCTCTTCTGGATTGGAACAATCGTCTGTAACCTAACAACGTGCTATTTCAGCTTGAGCTGGCTGCTGATACACCGGAACATGTTCACAGCTTGGGCACAATGACGGCCTTCCCCGACTTCTCACTCCGCACCTTCTGCGCCTCCTCTTCATCATTCTCCTCCAAGATGCTGAAAGTCCTGCGCACCGTAATGTGCTCCTGCCCGGGAGCCTCATCGTCAAGACGGTCCCACTGCCCAGATTTGGTCATGGGCAGCCTGGAGGTACTCCGCAGCGGCTTGAGCTCGAACGCCCCGTGGGGCTGGCTTAGGGGCGTTCCGCCAATGGTCTCGAAGGCGCCTGCGCCGGCTGGTGTGCTCTCCCCAACCGACGAGTCGTCATAAAACTTGAAGAGCTTGTGGATGGGCGGTAGGGATGCTGCTATAATGCCAACACCGTTCTCGAAGACTGACCGGATTACTATGTTGGCCATGTGGTCTTGTTTTTGTATCAGCCATGGTTTCTGCATTGACGATTTCGGGACTCATGACTGCCATAGGTGAACTTTACTTACATAGTTGGTCTTCGGGAATGGTGTAGTATTTCAGGATTACGCATGCTTTTCCTTGTTTCCTAATTCGCACTTTACTTGGGTCATTTCTATACGAAAGAATCAAAAGGTTTCAGTGACCCCCCTTTGCCATCAGTATGGATCTCCTGATCAGTGCGGCGCCCACGGCTGTCGAGCTGTTCGCCGTCGACAGACTTTGGCCCGAAGGATTGAGACAGCACTCGCTCCCTGTCTTGCATACCGCTCTTATCACGTTCTTGGCACAGTACTTGACGTTAAAGTTCTATCGTATTTTCTTGTATCATAGATACTTCTCCCCCCTGCGTCATGTACCCGGCCCTACGGTAAGTCGCCTCGGTTCTTGCCGCGGATATTGATCCGCATGTGGTCTGACTGTATGCAAGAACAACAATCCCATCTTCGGTCAGGGTCATAATCTCATCCGAGCTGAGACCCCTACCGCGCTGTACGTCGAGTGGATGAAGGAGCACCCTGACGCTCCATTCATCCGCTATCTCGGCTTTCTGAACACAGAGGTCCTGGTGCCGAACAGCCTCGCGGTGCACGAGAATGTCCTGTACGACAACTGCTACACGTTCGTCAAGCCACAGTGGTTTCTTCGAATAGTGAAGGAGGTTGCAGGCCATGGGCTCATCCTCATGGAGGGGGCGGAACACCGCGCTCATCGGAAAATGCTCACGAACTCTTTCTCGCTCAAGAGCATTCGCAAGCTCGAGCCGGTTTTCAAGGAGAAAGCCCAGGATATCTGCCGCTTCTTTGACCAAAGCATAGCGAACCATGACGGCAAGACCGGGACGTTCGACTGCATAGACACCTTCATGAGAGCCATCCTGGACATCATGGGGACCGTCATCCTGGGAGTCGATCTCGACTACGTCAAGCCCGGGACTGAGGGCGAAACCAGCCAAAGCCTCGACACAGGGAAATCCGGCAAGGCGAAACAAGAATGCAGCTTCCACGAGGCCTACGACGTCTTCTTCGCCCCCGACACCATGGGGAAGCTACTCCTCTTCGCAAACGCCCACGTGCCCCTGCGCTGGCTGCCCCTCGAAGCCAACCGCGAGTTCCTGTTTGCTATGACCTGGCTGAACGACGTCCTCCGGACTATCATCCGCACCAGGCACCGCGAGGTCGCCGCCGCCAAGGCCGCGGGGACCCACGAGATGAGCAGCTCGCGCGACCTGGTCACCTTCATCGTCGAGGAGGGCGGGCCCGGCGGCGCGACCAAGGGCATGGGCGAGGACGAGTTCCTGGGCCACCTGTTGGAGATCATGGCGGCTGGCCACGACACGTTCGCGAACATGCTTTCCTGGAGCTGTTATATCCTGGCGACGAGGCAGGATATCCAGGACCGGCTCCGCGCGGAGCTAGACACTGTTTCACCCGACGCCTCGTTCGCGGAGCTGGATAAGCTACCCTACCTCGAGTGCTTCGCCAAGGAGAGCATGAGAGTTTACTCCCCATGTATGTTCAAGCTGGGTCATTATCTTCCTCTTCTGACGGCCGCTAACCGGTCACAGCAACCACCTACCACCGCGCAGCAGGCGAGGATGTCGTCGTCGAGGGGGTAGCCATCCCAAAGGGCACCCTTGTCGACATCTGCCCATCCGTGACCCTGTTCAACCCTCAGATCTGGGGGGACGATGTCGATGAGATCGACCCGACACGCTGGGAGCGTCTGAAGGGCGACCAGCAGAATCCCTATGCCTTCTCGGTATTTTCAAACGGTCCTCGGATCTGCATAGGTCGCCTGTTCGCCATGTTCGAGATCAAGATCATACTGGCTGCGATGGTGCGACGTTACCGCTTCCTGAGCGTTGAAAAGCCGTTCAAGGTCGAGAACCCCAGCTTCACTTTGCGGCCGGCGGGTATGGAGGTGCGGATGGAGAAGGTTTGAAGAAGCACTCTTCATAGCCTGCCACGGGAGAAGCCCTTTCGCGCCCGTGTACGATTCTGTGGGACCATAGATAGCACAAATCGTTTCCAAGTAGGAAATTGCCAAGAATTTAATCCCTCGTGCTTCATTCGCTTTCAGGGTGGAAATGCAATGCATTGTGCCATGACGAATCCTGCCCTCGGACATTCCAGTAGCCTAGAGCTGCGACGCCCTGCCCAGTCTCCCATTTCACCATTCATTGGGTCGAGGATTCCCCCGTTCTCGGGAAGACAGCGCAGCTATTACACACGACGTTCAGCCTCTCAGGCACAGGATAGGTTCTACACAAGGCTCGGTCAGCTTCTGGCTCCGAGCATCGGGTAGTACTATTGGCTTGCCCCCACGCGCTCGCCGGGTCGAGCATTCGCCCTCTGGCCACTCTCTGGAAGCTCCCCTTGCCCTCTTCAGAGAGAAGCTCCTTGAGACGGTTCGCGACCGTGTGGCCCTGGAGGTCGTCACTGCTCCATTTGAGGGCCTCGTGTAAGGCCGGATCGGAGAGCATGCACGCAGCCTGGTCAGCCTATACCACCAGGTGTATCAGCTCATGTTAGTCGACCATACGTGATTTTATAGGCTTTCGTAGGGACGACTGCCTACCACTATGGATGCCGAGAAGGTTGTCCCGCTTTGTAACGTGTATTGCTCCATGACCCAGTGACCGCGCCTACAATGACGAGAGGGGAGCCTTCGTGCCTGGCCAATATGTTTGGCATGAAATCTCCAGTCTCCCCGGGCGGGTTATGCTTCCCCTCGTTTCCAGCTGCGACCGAGACCATGACACCCCCAAGCCTGTCGATCTCGTCGAGGGCTTGCTCCACATGGCTGCACCATTCTCTATATCTCTGCTCCGATCCAGGGTCGTCCGTCGAGAGGTCATCGATCTCCCAGACTGCATGTTGGGAATAGGGTTGTCAGCATGCCGATCTCTGCGGTACGTAGGCAACATAAACCTGCAATCCAAGGCTGTGTTGTTCACCAGACAACTCACGAGTATCGATCACAACCACCGTCTTCCCAGGCGGCAGACTCCCATCGTTCAACTTTTCCACGATGTGGTTCAACGAGATGACCAAGGACTGCGCCCAGACTTCTTCCTCGACCACGTTGTCGTCTTTGTCAAGGACAGCCCCGCCTTGATCAGGTACAAGCCAGCCCTGCGCGCAACTCCGGTCTGCATCCCGCCGGCAATCATGGCAGTCTGTTTGCCGTGGCCCTCGGGAACGCCCTCGGAGGGCTCGCCGTGGTCGGTGCTGTCGTCCGGCGGCCAGTGCAGGCCGGCCCGCGACCTCGTCTTCTTCGAGCTCCCAGTTCCTGGCGTGCTCCGGGACGTTCCAAACCACGAGTGGCCGGGGGTCGTCAGGCCTGCCGAATTCCTAGTCTCGCCCGCGTCAGTCCTGCTCATGCGGCAACTTTGGAAGACCACGGCCCACCCCCTGCTCCGTCCGATGACCTCGAAACATAGCCAAGGAGGCCAGCTCGGGACCAACGGACCCCCAAGCCCAATTTTTGACTCACTTCCGGGAACTGCTCCCCAATTGCAGCCAGTGTTATTATCACGATCCAGCTGCCCTCGCCCTGGGCCTCTTCGCGGTAAGAGTAGACTCCGGTATTGGGATTGTGGTTGCATCCATCACTCGTTGAGTTAGTCACCTTCCAGGTTGTTCACCGTCTCGCGCCCTTCACCGGGAAGTCCCCCAAGTTTCTCACAACAAGCACAGCTTTGAACAAATAAAACTCCAGAGCAATGGATCGAGATGCGTATCAGTGGTGCACATTCTGAGACCCATAAATTGGGCGCATGCTGGCACATGACCAAAGTTCCCCCTGGTAGTGTGCGTACCAAAGCTGCTGTGTACCGTGCCACCCAGACGTGCATCACGAGTTGTCGTTTTCGACGGCTATCCAGGATCACCATTCGACAGGATTCAGGATTGGTATATTGTTCGGCATAAGGATATTTTCTGCCTCTCGCTAGGGTTGGACACAGGGAAGCATTGTCCCGGAAACCGGCTTCAACTGCCGTCGGCCCAGCGATTTTGCGTCGACGAAATGCATCCCCATCCCAAATCAGTCTGACGCCCTGCAAATCGGCTCCATGGAAGCCCCCTCCCTGGAGCTCGCTTGTGTGTCTGTGTGACCCGCAGTTGTTTTTTGTAGCACACATCATCAAAATGTAGTGTGCCATGTTTTAAGGAACGTAGATGATTTTAGTCATCTGGGTACTGGTCCCTAATGTTGCTCACAAACTTGTTTTCGGTGTCATCCCAGCGCTTGAAGTAACGCCCAGCAACCTGCAGCAGCTCCTCTACCGGCCGCTCTTTAAGGATCTGTATGTTCTCCTCGGCAACGTACCGTTGACTTTTATCGTCAGCAACGATGTTGTAGAAGGGTTGCCATCGGCCACGACGCAAATTATTAACCTGCATCCTCTCGATCCATGCTGGTCCTGCTTCGCACTGTGCATCCCAGCCGACTATGAAGCCCTTGTAGCTGTAGTGGCGGTGCTCGAAATAGTGCCCGATCCGATACTGGATTTCGCAAGTTTCTGCTGCTCGGAGCTTCGGTTCTTTCTGTTCGGAGTCATCCTCTATGATCTCATCGATGAAGTCCTCCATCTGCCCATACCCCGGGGAGCCCTCGAGCATTGGTAGAACCCAAGTTTGGATCAAGGCAAAGTCTTCTGGGAACTGGTTGTGGAATTGCTGCAGAAGGACCTGGAGGAACTCCCTGCGTTGCGGCGCTAGGGCATCGTTGTTATCGACGAGCAAAGACATTGCCCAGAAGGCTGCGTACTGAGCAGCTGCAGGATCTGGGGCGAAGGGACGCTCATTGGAAGGTGTATCACCCCCTTCGCGGTGCAAGCGCGCGTTGTTGACAGAAACCAAGATGTTGCGAGAGGCACGGATCAATGTATCTCTGCCGTCGGCAGGCCCGAGTTGCCGGTCATGATCATGTGCAGGTATGCCTGTCTGCAAGAGGCGCAGGCGCAGTTGATCCTCGTAGAGCTGATGAGGCTCCTGCCACGTGTCGACGTGCAGCAGCTCTGGCCCAGTGTCTGTCGTCTTCGGTTGCCCGTCGAGTGTCTGATCAGGTGGGGCCTGAACGACGGCGTGAACGTGTCTGGGAAAGTTGGAAGGGGTCGCCACGACACCGCACCGCCGGGCAACAGCGCAGTAGATTGCCACTGACTGCAGTGGCAGTGAGGCATGAGCAGGTGAAAGCAGCGCCATTGTCATGAAGTTGTTCCTCAATGCGTGATAGTTGGCTTCATCAGGCAGCAGGGCAGGCATCCCGACGAGGCCCTCTGACCACAAGAACGCTGCGATCAGGAGTGCCTTCTGCCGGACTGTCTTGTCATCGAAGTCGGTGTTTCTGTCTCGAATGGACTGGGCAATGCTGTCGAACCGTCTCTCGACAGCCGAGAAGTCGCCCAAATCGTTTGCGAGCACAAACATATCGAAAGCGCACAAGGCCTCCTCCGTGCTGACGTCGTCGCCCATCCGAAACCGCCTCCATACCTCAATCGCCCTCGATCGATGCATCATCCTGAGTATTGCATCTGCATGCCACCTCCTGGCCAAGACGTCCTCGGCTTGATCGGGTGTACGATCCCTCAGGTTGAGCAGAAGATCGTGAACGTCGTGCCCCTTCTCCGCTATTTCATGCATCCTGTGCAACCTCTTTTGCTGTGTTGAGATCAGGTCTTTGAAGACTAACGCCGCCTCAAGGTCCTGGTCCACTCGCTGGAGGAAGAGCTGTCGCCAGTCGGTCTGGAGCGGCGGTTGGGCGAGCTTGGCTGAAAGCCTATGCCGGAGGTCCCAGTGTTGCCATGTTGTAATGCAGTGTTGTTTCCAGACCGGCGACGTGCAGACGATCTTGTGAACGCGTCGACAGGTCAGGCCGAATGCTGCAGTATCGGCTGCCGTTGGGATATGGCAGATCACGACGCCTAGAAGCTCGTCTGGAAGCTGCAGCAGTTGCGGCGGACCGTCCATGCTGACGGTAGACAGTTGAGATCCTGCCCTGTGGCAATTCTGGTGAAAGCTGCCTCAGAATGGATCCTACAGAGTTGCCGTCGCAGCAGAACGGATGTGATGACTTTTGATGACGTTTGGGTTTCGGCAGGAGTAGCAACGTCGGGTGAGAGGTGGGGGTGGGGTGAGGTGAGGGAGAGTCAGCATTGACTAACCTGTTTAGGCAGTAATCCTCCGGTAAATTCTTCCTGCACTATTCGGGCAACTGTGCATGTAGCCAGAACTGTCTAACACGTAGGGCAGATTCACTCTCAATGGTGAGTCTCTGCTTGTAGTATATCACATATCAACCCACATGTCGCAACTTCCCGAAGAGCAAGTCACATACGCTTGATGGCGGTCAATTCCGACCGTTGGTGGCGTAGATAAGTCGGACTACAGCAAGTGACCCATGGCTCCGATACTGACGCTCGCGGATCATGAGACAGCATCGCGGACCAGATCAAGCTGATATCACATCCCTCGAGTAAAGAACCGGAAATGGAAGTTTGGGCTCTAAATACATTGCTGGAATTTCTCATTGACCTCTCGTTTCATTCTAGTCACTCTCTCCTCACTCTTTTACTCTCTCCCTCTCTCATCATTTTCCCGATCTCCTGAAAGCGCCAAGCAATGAGCACGGCCGATGACTTTCCAGAAATCCTTGGTATAGGTGTGCCCTGCACGAACATAAAGGACGCCTGGCTTTCGTCTGTAGGCTATACCACATCTTTCTTGGCCAAAATTCCTGCCTTGCCTACTCACCCTCACAGCCCCTTCCCACACTGGAGATTCATACAGTTTCGGGTGGCAGCACTCCCCCTTCCAGTGTTTTGTGGGCATCGGCAAACTTGGAACCCGAGGTCTCTCATACCCAATGTGGAAGCCATCGAGGACGGCTCCAGCAAGTGCTTCGATACAACGGACGCTGCACGCTGCAACAGCCCCTGGGGCTTGTCCGCAGCAGCGTCCCTGAAGACCATGGCGACGACTGCGAGGAGCTGCTTCTGGTTGGCGGACTCGGATGCAATCTTTAGGACGGTCTGCTCGTCTATTGTCTTGCGGATCTCTTCCAGGATTTTGAGGCAGTCCATGTGCAGCAGAAAAAGGTTGAACCCCATCTGGTGAGCTTCGGACCGGATAGCCATGGTAACGCAGATGATGAGGTGGGTTGCTGGGATATTTGAGGAAGGTGCCCGTTCCGTAGCTGACCCTGACTTGGGCTTCTCCAAATCCCATGAGCCATCCTCTTGGTTGACAAAGCGAAACCCGTTCGACTCGATTATCTTCTGGAGGTATTCGGCCGTCATCTCGCGGCGGGAGCTCTTTTGGAAGCGCTTCTTGAAGAGCATCGACAATGCACCCAGTTCCTTCAACTGTCCCCGCTCAGAATTCGGAGGCAACATCCTCTTGCCCTTCTTACCCTTGCCCTGGGCCCGATCAGTTGCGGGCGATTTGAGGCGTAGGTTCCCGAGGTATCCTTGGGTTGTGGTTGGGGCATTACCAACGAAGAATGTGTCATATCCTTGCTGTGGATTCAAAATCAGCAAACGAAGGAGTTTAAAATGGAAGAAGAGCGAAGCAGGTCACCTGCCCTACACAACCCTCTCAACATGGTCTCATGGGTGTTGTCTCACCGTCTCGAAAAGAGTCATCATATCCATCCAATACGCAAATCTACCCAGCAATCTCTCTTGTTGCAACGCATGGTAGAGCTGGTAGGTCTGGTGGACGTAGCCAAAGGCGCTGGCGAAATTGACCCCAGCCTCATGGAACCTGGTCCGCATTTCGTGCACCCATACGCCGCAGTAGAGTGGGTGGCGTCGCAGAAATTGATTCGGTTTCGCGGAAACGCCGCGCTCGGTCTTGTAGCGAGCTATGGGATCAGTCTCCCACTCCGATGCGGCTAGCTTGAGCTCCATCAGAGAATCCTCTATATCGCGCCAGTTCTCGACGGAACGAAAATCGCCTGGCTCCTCGAGAGCGCTTGCGAGGCTGGACTTGATGACTGCGCTCGTGCCAGCCATCTCGCTCCAGGCCAGATCGAGGTTTCCGTGGAGCTCGTGAAGTATGTCAAGGTAGATCTGGGCAGCGAAGCACTGCCAGAGGGTTATCTCATTGGTGTCGAAGAGGGTGTGGACGCCACGTGTGAACTCGTCCTCGATGGTCCTCTTGTCTGAGACTATGCCAAACACCCTGATGTCCGAAAGTATTTCGTTGAGAGCCTTCTCGTCCTGGGAATACTTCTGTTTATTTGTGGAGGAGGCCCTGTCCATGCCTTCGTCGTACCCTCGCCGGCAGCCACTGTAGACCCTGAGGATGTCACGACGGTTTTGCAACACGGATTGTTCAAGAATTCGGCCCACATTCCACATCGTGAGGCTCGAAATGTCGTAGGTGTCGAAGTTGCGGCCTTTTCCACGTCCTGGCACTTTGAGGTCTTGGCCTTCTAATTGGCACATGATTGTGAACACCACCCTCAACAGGTGTACAACGCTTGTCCCCTCGTTGATCACGGGCGACACATCATCTTCCATTCGTCGGCAAATCTCGATGGCTTCATTGGTGCCGATCGCAGCCGGGCCAAGGAAGACGTTGCCAACCCTGTAGTTGTACCACAGCTCTCGCACCTTCTTGCGCTGGTGTAGGACATCCTTCAAGAGGGACATGAATGCCAGACATGCCTCGTCATACTTGTCCCGGGACTCAGGTTCATACTCGACGATCATGTCAGACGGTGAGGCAGCCTCAACGGAGTCGGGAATTTGTTCGGTTGTCTCGTACAAATTGAGAATATGGAATGGGTTTCGGGAGGCGCTCTTCTCGTCATTTCCTTCAGTCGGACTAGAGCCTGCTTTGGAGCCAGTGTCGGTAGGGCCGAGTTGAAGTGATGAGATATCGAGTGCATCGATTTGCTGCTTGAGAATATCGCGGACTTGCTCCAGGACACCGACAAAGTGAAGGTGGCTGGCGTCGGACTCCTCGTCGGTATTGTCGTCCTTCGTTCCCATGATACGGGAAACTGTCCTTCGAACCTCGATGACACGGTCGATGGTGACAGACATGAAAAGAGGGATATGAACCTGAGGTTTCAATGTCGCGATGAACGTGGCGAGAGGAACGAAGTCCCGGAGGGGCAGCAAGTACGCCTGTTTCTTCTCACCAGAGCCGACCTCCTCATTGGCCAATGTGGCTGCTGTGGCTTCTTTCCTTGCCTTGCCCTTGAGTCGTCCTCTTGGCTCCTTGCCGTTTGTGTGGACTGGGTAGCCATTGTTGTTTGCAGTGTTGGCCAACCACGTTGCGATGGCATTGGTATCGCGCTTATACAGCTGAAAAGCGCTCTTGAGAGACTCCGGCAACATATTGACGACGGCGTTGTAGAAATGGTTGGGGCAGTTGCTCAAAAGTTTAGAACAGATTATTGTGCTTCGGTTGAGGTGCGACGTTAAATAGTGGGAAAGGTTGAGGTCTACAGTGGGAATGGGTACACTGTGGAATTGAGCCCATTCACTTCTACGATTCACTTTATTGCAGTCCGTTGGACAGGGGATCAGTACGTTGCATCAGACAAAAGTGAATCCCATCCGTGTCACGCGAAGCCAAGTACCCAGGAAAATTCATTACATGTGGTTTGGGCATCAACTACCAACATATGGGCAGGTACTATACGCCTCACTGATTTCCTAGCATAAATTGCGTCGAGGGTCCATTTTCAGCAGACTATTCACAATGCAAATAAGAAAGGTTCTACAACTGCTTGGCGTTTGAGAAGCCTAGGATCTTCCCTACATGGTGGTTCGATTTACCATGACCTGGTATTGCTGCCAAAAACTCTATATTCTACTCCATGCTGACGTTAGGATGTCTGAAAACGACTTAGTGGTTCCCATAGTGCCTCAAAACATATCACATAGTAATTAGAAATCGTTCTGCATATGTCATGTTTATGAGGTGCTACAGAGTTCCGCCTGTCAATAAGCCACGGCAGAATTGGGTCAAGCAATGTTGCCCTCGATTCGAAATAAATAGTCTACCTACAAAAGAATTATCTCTGACTGCAACAAAGGAATCTTACAATAGGTGCGCGATTAGCTCCACTGTGGTTCGGACCGAGGACTCCGCCAAAAGCATTGTCTCCAAATAATGGTATCATACCCGAGTGACGGCATTAATAATAGCATTCTATGTGACTGGGACCATTTAATGACTAAGTCCTTATCCTACTCGTACGAGTGACATTGCCGTCCTTGCTTGCAACTTGAACAAAGACATCATGGACAACTCTCCATATTTAAACACGACGCGCGCGAGCAATCTTGAGTCTCTCTCTATACTCTCATCCATCCGGACATCACCACACCAAAGTGAAAGAAGATATCCATAATTGGACTGAACGAGATTCATCAGGCAAATTCACACAGTTATCCCACTCCTACAAACCGCATCATGTATTCAGGGACAGAAGTCCAGATGGACGAAGCCAAGCAAGACCAAGTGGGCGGCGCCGGCCTCTACACTCTGGGACTGGCCTGCTGTATAGGTATCAGTGTCTGCGGCACGTACGCCCAGGAGGCTGAACCGGGCGAGATTCGCTACGATGCATTCCTTGCCCATCTAGCGGACGGCCCGCTCATGGAGAAAACCTGGCAATCCCTTAAGAGAAACGTTGATCTGGCCAAATCGAATGGCTTGACTAATCTGAAGATACAGGTTTGCATAGTAGATCCTTCGACACTCAAAGAGGACAATGGCATGAAGTGGTCCCAGGCCTTGATTGCTGAGCAGCAGAAGATCAATGATGATTATATCATCAAGGCTACCAGCCTCCTTACCACTGGTTCGCAGAAGGTTGATGTCCATAGCCACCATATCAACAAGGAAGTCGACATGCGCATTACAAGTGATCGAAGGATGTTGATTCTTGACGCTTGAGCCCACGCCCGAGTTGTTTAGTACACTGTCCCTCTCGGCAGCAGCAAGCCGTATGGTCCCCCACGGTAAGTTAGGGAAGAGATTCCATGAACTGATTTGTCATTTAGGCAAAAAAAATCAACAGTTCAATCATTTCTGATAGAAAGCCTAGCTGGCGCATAACCCGCTGTTCCCCACATTTCCTTGTTTACTCGTTGTTCAACAATCCCTAAATCTAATTCTAGGCATTTCTGTAATTCTTCAGTCCCATTCCTCAAAGACGCTTTAATTTTACAAGTAAGCCTGTTATATGCGCATTTTTACACGCACCTTACTTTAATTTTCATTTCCTGCTAGTTATCTAATTATAATCTCGCAATCCGTACTGGATGATGAAGCCCGCTATAAATATATTCCTGTGACATTAAGTTTGAGGTTTAACTGAGTTCAGCTTTGCAGCGGTAGGGTTTATAAAATTGTATGCATGATAAAGGTGGTCATTAAATGTGCTTTTCCAACCCCCCTTTAACCCATACCTTGACAGCTCATTGTTCCGGGTTAGGGTTGTCAAGCCGCAGTATTATCCGACTTGATCTAACTGCAAGTGCCTAGTTGGAGTGCCTGCATGCTGCCTAAGTTGCAATTCACATTTGCCAAAATATTTGCATTGTGCAGGCTGGACCAGAGGTAGAAATCAGGTCTGGTTTATTTCTCTGCCAGGTCAGTACACAGTAACAAGACTGTCTGGAGCACTCAGCGCTCCTCTGACGGTGCCCGCAAACGCCACTTAATTAAAACCCCCTGCCAGCTGGATCTGATCTAGTCATCCCCGCTTCACGATCATCCTACACACTGCAAAGAAATCAGTTTCTTAAACAGTAGATATTTACCAAAGCAGGACTCTCATCAACCAAGATGTCAGCCAACAACCAAACGGACGATCCCAACATCCCCTCCTCTGAGGACCAGCTGCCGCCTCCAGAGCCAGCACACCCTAGCAGCCTGACCGCCAAATGCCACTGTGGCCGCATCAATGTCGAGATTCCTTCTCTTCCGACCAAGATCAACGAGTGCCGATGCAGCATCTGCTACCGCTACGGGGCACAGTGGGCCTATTACCACTTCGAAGATGTCAACGTTGTCGTTAACGTCCACGCATCGAGGTCAGCTCCCAAGGACTCTCGAGTTCAACAAGACCGCCCGACAGGGAAGGAAGGGAATGAAGGAGGCAGTAGTGTCCAATACTACGTACGCGATGACTCGGATGGACATCTCGCGTTTTATTTCTGCGAAAACTGTGGGTGTCTGACACACTGGGCACCCACGGAGCAGGGGCTATTGTGGCTGGAGGAGGAGAGGACAAAAGGACCTGACGTACCCTGGAAGAAGGTCGGTGTGAACTCCCGAATGTTGGCACCTCATCTGCTTGAGGGCGTGGAGAAGAAGACGGGCCCGCTGGGCGAGCTATCTGGCTGGGATTTCAAGCACGCACGTGGCTCAAGTTGCTGATGCTCCAGATGGACGGGGAAAAGAATCTCATCGTTCCTTCCGTTGTGAACTTATGAAGCAGCGTTCTAAACGTTGATTTGTGGCAATTTCGTTGATATGCTTGCATGAACCGAATTCGAAAGACTGTGGGGGCAAATGCAGCCACTCAGGGACGAGATTGACAATTATGATAAGTACAAACATCTATTGATTCCGAGTCTACCTGTGCAGCATCTATATTCCCCATTTCATGCATGTCCAAGTTTGATACCGCTTGGTGCGTTTTGTGACCCCCGTATCTAATGCAACCAACATCTATACCTCGCCATTGCGCCTGTAATCAAGTCCCTCAGTTTCATGCATCTGGCAAACCGACTCCAGGTCTCTCTTTCTCGTCAAGGTCTCGTTTCGTGTCGCAATTGAGTACCAGAAATATCACTCAGGGCCCACCCCTATAGAATATGTGCAAGACTGCCAGCCACAATTAGCAAGTCTCCGGAAAGCAAGCAACAGCCATTAATCCGTAGGCCGTGGAGAACCACTTACAAAAGAAGAAATCAATAAGAGCGTGGACAGTATCAGAGCTTCACCATCAGGACTAAAACCAAAAGTTAGTACGATCGTCTCCCGGAGCTTCCTGAGCCGCTCTGCTTACGGTGGAGGAGTCAACAGTAGCCGCGAGGATGCCCTCCCAGACGTTGGTGGCGTGGACGGCACCGGTGCAGGTGGCCACGCTGTCGGAGCCGACGGTGCACTTGGCAGCAAAGGCGTCGACGGTGGCCCCGCGGACATTCAACGCCGGCGCAGGGGTCGCGACGGACTGTGCCACGGGAGAGGTCACGGACGCAGCCTCGTCGGCGCCCACTGCGAGGACTACGGCGGCGGCTGTGGCCGCGGGCATGGGTGCCGGTGCCGGGGCGGCGGTGACGAGGATGGCGGATGCGGCCAGGGTGAGGATGAAGGAGGAGATGCACTGCATCTTGGCTTGGTGGATGGTCTGGTGGTGTGGTGTAAGCTGTGGTTGGGTGGTGGCCACGTGGGGGCTGCGCAGGGGTCGCGGATGGAGGATGTCTTGGTGATCGATGTAGAGCTCTGGGATCGAACAATGATGATATGATCGAGATTCTGGAAGAGTACTTGGAGGGTGGATGATTGGACAGTTCGGTATTGTCTATGCAGGGTCTTGACGCTTGAGTGTACTATGGATAGGTGTGTTGTCGATCAGGGTCTTGAATCTGGATGATGATGATGTTCCACTGTGGCAAGAAGATTAACTTGTGGCGATGTTGTTCGATCTTATATGTCGGGGCTCTTTCCGCTCACGATGTTATCCTCCAGCATCCAATATGTTCGGGAACAGATTCGAAAGCTCTTTGACCCTTCGAAGTCCGCTCAGCAGGTCAGCGATTATCCACCTGGAAATCAGCTGCCTGACGGTCATGGACCAATAGAATTACGCCTTGACATGAAGAGAAAGCCGCTGGTTGAGACATATGGTAATTCGAAATCCCATTCCCCGGGACTGCGGATTTCGTTGATACGGATTGCCTTACGCTGGGGGTGGCTGGCTTGGTGACGCCCAGTCAGGCCCTGCGCGTCGTGCTGCGCTGGCTGGGTCAGGGTCCGGTTCTGATGTGTCGGCCACATGGCATTTTAGCACCCTGCAGGTGCCATCAGCGAATCGGAATTTCATATTCTCAATTTTTGAGGGACTATGGGGCCGATGGGAATGTCCAGAGGACCCTTCATGCGCCCTGTGTCTGTTGTACATACAGGAGCAGAGGTGTCATCAAGCGTAGAGAGCTAGATCCCACGGCGGTCAGCCGGCCAATAGGGAGGCGGCGTGCGACCAAAGGATCACGCCTGGCGCTAGTTTGCGCATGTACGCAGGCAGAAATGTATGTAAGACGGGTCGTTCGGTCGTATTTGATGCAATATGCACGGAATGGGACATCGACCGAAGTTCTGCGCGACAAGGCTGTGCAGAATCAAGCAATTGTTCCTGAAAATCCCGCAATCCGGCCGGCTGGGCAGCTCTGGTCAAGCAATGTTGACATGTCTTGGCCATCCTCCTCCCCACCGTCTCACCTGTATCACGCTGTTCTCTTAGCTCAGCCTCAAATATGAGCGCTAGGACCCAAATAGTTCAGCTGGAAATAAGGCGGTCTTTGAGTGAAGGGACTCCTTGTTCCCCATCATCGTAGGATGAAATTGTCCCACTTCCCGTAGTCAGCTGGGCAAACTAAGCCCGTCAGGCACGAATCTCAAGCAAATCCCCGACCAGATATCTATGTCCGGTGAACAACAAGCTCACGCAGACTAAGGCAATGTTACGGCCTCAAACCTTCGCCTTTCCCCGGGACATTATTGTCATTCACGACAAGAACTTGCACTGCTTAGCATAGCGAATGTGTCAGGGATTTGAACGATTGGATATGACTCGCGCTAAACTACTTTTTATTTATATTTGAACGCTCGAAACTCATTTCCCTTCCAGTGCCAATCATGTATCCTCAGCTGTACGAGGCTTTAAGATCCAGGGCTCTGTTGCTGAATCCGCATCGTCCCCACGAGATATCTCCGTCGAGAACCCCGCCACAGGCTCGTTCGATACATATATGTGCTGTTCCACCCAGATACGCCTGTCCTTCGGCAACGGCGTCGGAACCGGAGGGGTCTCATCGAGAGCTGATGACTGCCCAGCCGGAGCGGGCTGGGAAGACTCAAACCCGGGGACGAGCGGGACCTCTGAGTCCCTCCGCCCGAGCCCGGACGCGGCGCTTGAGCCCGCCCCCGGGGGTTGCACGGCATTCGATGCCCCAGGCCCGGTGACTGAGACCTGCGTGGAGCACGCGCGGTCTTTATCGAAGTGTGAGGCGTTCGACAGCGGCACCGAGGGGGGCTGCCCGTTGCTCTCCCTCTTGCCGCTGAGGCCGCTCACCCACGTCGCGGTGGACCCGCCCTTTGAGCTCCGCGTTGGGAGGCTGGAGCGGGTCGTGCGCGAGGCGGCGTTCCACACTGCGATCTTGCTCGGTAGGTAACGGAGGATGAGGAGCCGTGCGGCTGGGAGGCAGGCGATGATGATGCCCACTGTGATCTCGACGTTGGACCATGTTGCTAGCCAGGTCAGGTCCTCTGTAAGGGTGAAAGGTGTGTGTTAGTCCACGTGGTCCAGCCGCATCGAACGATGTCACGTAGAGGTCCAGCCTCCGATCACTTGCGGGTGGTGGAGGGATTGGGTTGGCGTGCTTACTCGTAGGGTTATGGCCCTTGGTAAGAACAACCAGGCACTGGAGGCGTAAGATGCTGACTATTGTCAAACTGTTCAAGTGCAAAGCACCAGTCAGCAGGGGGTCAAAGATGACCGAGGTTAAATATTAAAGAATATCGGAGCGGAAGGTCATTGCACAAGATATCACTCACAATATCCCACATCCGAACATCACGAAGGCATCCAGCCTCTTCCTGAGTGGTAGGTTCAGCTTGAGTACCTGCCAGAACGGCAATCCAAGCATCCAAAGGTCAAGCACGATCCCGAGTCCCGAATGTGTCCAGGACAGCACGCTGAAACTCAGACACGTGCCCTGTTTTTCACCATGCCACATTTCCCAGAAGTGATCCGGTGGTGTGCACTGGAAGGCGTAGGCGAAAATGAAAGTGGTCATGAGCGCGAAATTGAAGGCCTGCGTTGCCCAGACAATCCGGCGGAATTTCAAATTCGAGAACAGCCGCAGGTAGAGGAAGCAGATCGACGCCTTGACCAGTGCCAGGGTGATGGTGTATATGAACCCGAAGACGTAGAAGATCTTGATGTAGTGGGTGATCTCGTCGGGCGTGAGGGTCCAGATATCTCTACCCATACCCGCGTGTATCTGTAGTTGGCGGCCTGTGATGACACCGATGGTAGCCAGAAAAGCCACTATTATGCTAGCATCATCCCATCCCCACTTGGACAGCTTGATTACCCGGGTGAGCATTCGTATTATGAAGAATACCGTCTGGATCCCAAAGAGGACGAGGAAAGCGATGGAGATGCTAGTCAAGTGGGGAGGCTCGGGGTGTTCGCAGGTGGTGACTGTGAAATTCTTGATCCCTATGTATCCGTTAGCCAGGCAGAGAGCAATCTTGGGACGACTTGCGTACTTAATCCGTCCTTCACGGCGCATTCGTCCGCCACACAGAGCAAAAAGGGGTTGGCTGTGTTCAGGTCCAATTCCCCGCAGAGACAGGTTTCGTTCGTCGCACCGCAGGACGACGCTGATATGAGAGAAGTGACACATTGGACCTATGATTAGAATTTGGTCAGTAAAACTCAACATCTCGTAAGTATCCTGTGGTACGAGGTCCACCTACACCACATGGTGGTAGTCCACTGAGATCCAAAGCCGAATCTCCTACTGCCATATCGACCAGCGGTGCCTCAAGGACGTTGTGTGTTTGGGAAGGTTCTTTCTCGCTGCAAAACTATTCCAGCACCCATTACTTGGGCCATCGGTGCATTTTGAACAGAAAGCCAAGACCCAAAGGCCATAGAATCAGGGGAGCGTCCGTGGCCGTTGTCTTGGCCGGGCTGAAAGTCTCCATGTCCGTGAACCTGCGCTATCACCAAGTGAGCAAGCAGCACGCAGGGTTCAAAGCATTGCGCACGTACGATTCACGGGCGCAATGGCATTTGAGCTCAGGTGTGGTCGAAGATCCAAAGCTATCGCCTGGCCAAGGCCAAATGCCGTGCATCGGCGCCGTCGGGGTGCAGACAAAGGCTGCAAGGACCGTGCATCTGTCTGTCAGTCAGCGCCATCCAGATCCGGCGAGTGAAGATTAGCGCAGTTGAGATCTTTCGTTCATGGACTGGGAGGGATGACTGATCATCTCTGTTGGCTGCCTCTGGGGCCTATGGATCTAGTTTGGCTCACATGGCTGTCTCGCTTGAATACAAACAAATATGCTACGTGGGTCTGTGGTCAGAAGCACAGTTGGATGCTCATGGCCCAGCCCCAAATCAAGCACCTCCATAGTCAGGCCTTGGGATTCTTGTCCACACGAAAGATAAACACGGATCAGCAAGAGATATAATTTGATTACTTCCGTGGTTTTCGAGAAACCACCCGCCCCGATAAACATGATTGACGGCGTGGTTGAAAGCAAAAGGAGGAGTTGCGTGGTAGACGTAACAGAGGGTGGTCAGGGTTCAACCCTAAGCCAAACCCCCGCCGACTGCCGTGACCATTTTGTCCACAGTGCTGCGGGGGCTTTGGACGGATCCAGTCAGCAGATCATTCGTCTTGTCATCGAAATTATCGAATCAAACATCGAAGTCTGGACAAAGACAAAATCTCACGACACCAGAAAGAAAGACATAATCATTCAACCCACAACTAAACTGATGGCCGAGCAGGACCCGCAACCGGTCAGGGAATCGGGCTTAAATCGTGGGTCTCAACCCCAGTCCCAGGCGTGGTGACACAAGACGCCGCCGCTCTAGTTCCGCTCACATGCATGTGCAATGACAGGCCTCCCGCTCGAGCTGCGGCTCAGGATCTGGGAGGAGACGTGGCCGGCGGCACGCCTCATCGAGGTCTCGCTGCCGCCCGGGGGCATCAGCAGCACCGGGAGCAACAACGCCGCCGCCGCAGCTGCGCAGCCGCGGCGCATCAAGCCGAGCCGGCAGGTTGGCGCCGAGAAGGTGACGGCGTGGGACTCGCGGGCGAAGCGGCTCGAGGACGTGTCGTGCCGTCCGTACGCGCACCCGGTGGCGCTGCAGGTGTGCCGCGAGGCGCGCGACCACACGCTGGGGACGTACCGGCGGCTGCAGCACGCGGCGGTGGCGGACTGCGCCTTCTACTTCGACCCGGCGCGGGACGTGGTGTGGCTGCACCGCGACCTGAGCCAGTTCGACACGGCGAGCCTGGGGTGCGTGGAGCGGGTGCTGTTCAAGGACGTGGAGCGGTTCGACGACAGCGGGGCCGACAAGAAGCAGCGGCGGCGCGAGCTGCTCGAGATGGTCGAGTCCATGGGCCGCGTCCGCGAGGTCATGGTGCTCGTGCACTGGACCAGCATCGCCGACCTCGACGGCGACGCCGGCAAGACCAGCGAGACGCTCTACGACTGGATGCAGTACTACATGCTCATGCTCGACGAGAGCTGGGAGCTGCTGGACCACCAGCCCTGGGTCCTGCAGTTCCTCAGCACCTGGGACGAGTTCGGCGTGTGCTTCGAGGCCCGCGGCGAGGCGAAGCTCTGGGGCGACGCCAGGGAGGGCCCGCTGTATGGCTGCCCGAGCCACGATGTGGTCTATCGAAAGCGCCTGGTTGAGCGCTTCCCCAAGAGATTTGTCGACATCCAAAGAATATGAGTTCTGTGGTGATGGTGATATAAGGATGCCTGTCCGCCGTGTGTTCCGGGCCCCTCAGTTACAGCCGTGCCCTACAACTTCGATTGGGCAGCCGGCGGGTCGTCAAGTCCTTCCCGATGCATTGATGCTACCTTCCCCCCCCCCCCCCGACGGACACATTGGTGTTCTGGTGAGCTCTTGAGGCCCTCACGAGCATCTCTGGCCCAGACTCGCTCATCGGGAAAAATAAATACCCCTAGACCAGCCGGGATCGATTGCCATGAATTCAAGTGCAATGTATCAACCCCATCTTTTCCCCGCGACGACACTAATAGCTAGCCCCACTTGGCTGATCGCGGTGTAGCATCCCGGGAGTTCAGGTGGTGCACTCGTGCGAGTCAATGTCGCCTCAACCCTGCTTCGTGCCTGGCTACCTCGGGGAAACTGGAGTGACGATGTTACTGCTTTAAACATGGTACATATCACCAGCCCCGGAATTCCCGGCCTGAACAGCTATATCTTTGCCAAGGTCTCTCTGAGCCAAGCCGAAGTACGCGGATGTAAGACAAGTCAACAGTCATTCTGTAAAGATGCTGAAATCCATCATCTCCACGTCCCTGTTCATCCTGGCCACAGCTGTGAGTGGCTTGTCCACGCCCACGCCGCCGGGCCTCGAGTTCCTGTACTCGTTGAATTGCACTCTCGGTGAGCGGTTCAGCACAGGGGTCGGTCCGTATGGGGATGTTCGCGTGATCCCCATCACCGGCGGAACCTTCGAAGGGCCCAAGATCAAGGGTATGTGTGAACATGGCATTTTTCCTTTTCTTGTCATGTTCTCCTCTCGTGATAAGTTGGCTCACAACATACTCCACAGGGGAGGTGCTCAACCTTGGCGCGGACTGGAACTACCTGGACAACCAGGGCGTCTCGCATCCTGACACGAGGTACTCTCTGAGGACTGACGACGGCGAGAACATCTACATCAAGACGGCTGGCTCCCACCAGGGCGACGGTCTCACGCATCTCCGCGGCATCTATGAGACGGGCTCGGAGAAGTACTTCTGGCTCAACTATGTCACGGCTGTCGGAATTCTGCGAAGTGGTGGAGGTGACTGGGTTTGGATCGACATGTGGTATATCACCTCGCCTCCGAACGGAACTGTTGGGAGTGCATAGTTGGCTGGTGAACGGAGGCAGTGTGATATGAAAGTATCTCAGTGAGCATACCGTCCTCGTGAGGGTAAAGGGGGGGGGGTCGGTTGACATGGAATGAATAATCAAAAAGAAATCTTTGAGGAGGTAGGGTTGTAGGTAAAGGCTACCAGCAGCACTCAATATCATGTATTCGAAAAAAGAGCACGGTCTACCTGATGGTTGAAACCAAAAGATTGTTGGGTACACCGATAAGCACACTGAGGTGAGTACAGCCGTACCTACCCCTCGTCTGCCGCCATTTGGGCCCAGAATGACCCCACCCCCACTGGAATCAGATCAAGCTCAGGGCGTTTCCCCATCCACGGCACGACCCTAGGACCCTGGAAGGACTTCACCATAAGCAGTCGAGCTCACTCATCTTCCAACATCAGAGCCACAACTCACGCCCACAACAAATCCACAACATCTTACTGCCGTCATGACAACCCGACCACCTCCAGCCCCAACAGCTTCAGATGATGGATCATACTATGATCTTGGCACGTACCACCGAGACGTGACCACCGGCAACAAGGAGGCACAGACATGGTTTGACCGGGGCCTGATATGGTCCTACGCTTTCAACCATGAGGAATCCGCGGCCTGTTTCCAGCAGGCCATCGACCTCGACCCAGACTTCCCCATGGCTTACTGGGGGCTGGCCTATTCCCTGGGCCCGAATTACAACAAGCCGTGGGAATTCTTCGAGGGGCGCGAGATGGATACCACAGTTGAAAGGTCCTATCGGGCAGTGAAGCATGCACTCGAGATCTCGGCCAAGGCGACCCCCGTCGAGATTGCTCTGATCAAGGCACTCAAGCAACGCTATCCTCAGGAGCATCAAATACCCCCAGACACAAAGGACCCAGCCCACAGTGCAATTTGGAACAAGGCCTACGCCGAGGCAATGCGTGGCGTGTACGAGGCCCACCCTGACGACCTGGACGTCGCGGCCCTGTTCGTTGATTCGCTGATGAACCTCACGCCCTGGAAGCTGTGGGATATCCGGACGGGGGAGCCAGCAAAGGGTGCCTACACTCTGGAAGCAAAGCAGGCCCTGGACAAGGCATACGCGCAGGCAGGCGGCGACAGCCACCCGGGTCTGCTACACCTTTGGATCCATCTCATGGAGATGAGCAGCAATCCGGAGGCTGCCCTGCCCCGGGCCAACAACCTCCGCCAGCTCGTGCCGGACGGGGGCCACCTCAACCACATGCCCTCGCACCTCGACGTCCTCTGCGGGCACTACAAGGACGCCGTCGACGCCAACTCGGCCGCCATCATCGCCGACGAGAAGTTCCTGGCGCGGGCGGGCGCCATGAACTTCTACACGCTGTACCGCTCCCACGACTACCACTTCCGCATCTACGCGGCCATGTTCTCGGCCCAGTCGAGGGTGGCGCTGGAGACGGTGGCGCGGCTCGAGGCGTCGCTCCCCGAGGAGCTCCTGCGCGTCGAGTCGCCGCCGATGGCCAACTGGCTCGAGGCGTTCGTGGCCGTGCGCGCGCACGTGTACGTGCGGTTCGGGCGGTGGGAGGACATCCTGGCGCTCCCGCTCCCCGGGGACCAGAGGCTCTACAGCTTCACGACGGCGGTGTACCTCTACGCCAAGGGCCTCGCGCTCGCGGCGCTGGGCCGCGTCGACGAGGCCGAGCTGGAGCGCGGGCGGTTCGAGGCGCAGCGCGCGACGGTGCCCGAGTCGCGCACGCTCTTCAACAACACGTGCGTCCACATCCTGGGCATCGCCAGCGCCATGCTCGCGGGCGAGGTCGAGTACCGCCGGGGCAACGTGGAGGCGTCCTTTGAGCACCTCCGCGAGGCGATCCGGCGCGACGACGGGCTCGAGTACGACGAGCCGTGGGGTTGGATGCAGCCCACGCGGCACGCGCTGTCGGCGCTGCTGCTCGAGCAGGGCCGCGCGGGCGAGGCGGTGGCTATTTACCGGGCCGACCTCGGGGTGGACGACACCCTGCCGCGGACGTTCCAGCACCGGAACAACGTGTGGTCGCTGCACGGGTACCACGAGAGCCTGCTGAAGCTCGGGAGGGAGGACGAGGCGCGCGAGGTCGAGCCGCAGCTGAAGGCTGCCCTGGAGGTGGCTGACGTGCCCATCAGGTCGTCATGCTTCTGCCGGTTGAAGCTGTGAATCTGTGACTTGAGGAAAGGGCTGCGTGCCTCACCGCAGGTTCTGATGGACATGAGAATGGCCATCATCTGATCCGATGTCACGCATTGGTCAGGTTCAGATGGTCCACGCCGAAATGCACCCTGGCTTACGTCCGAAAAGGCCTTTACTCGGGCAGTGAGGGATACACCGGGGTGATGGAACCATGACTTGCGTTCATCGATTAGATGATGACGGGAGAGAAGATTGTGGATGGTTTGTTAGATTTGTGCCACAGTAAGACATAGATCCAAGAGTGACACAGACCCAGGAATGACATAGATCCAGGAGTGACATAGATCCAGCAGTGAGGGACCACACAGATACAGCGAAAAGTCTAAATGTCATTATTCACAGAGACGCCCCGAGGCAAAAGGCTACGTCGTGACCGTCTACAACTTCGAGTCCCTCTTCTTCTGCTGGTACACCGAGACCTCGATCCCACCCTTAACCCCTCCATCCTTGATGACCCTCCTGAGTATCTTCCCACTAGGCGACTTGGGTATCGCGTCCGCAAAGACAATGCCCCCGACGAGCCACTTGTACCGCGCCGTCCTCTTCTCCACCAGCGCCCTCAGCTCCGCGGCCAGCCTCTCCAGCCCGGCCCTGTCCCCGTTCTTGACCAGCCCCGCGTCCCGCGGCACGACGTACGCCCGCGGCCACTCGGTCGCCTGGCTCGAGTCGTAGATGCCGATGACGCCCGCGTCCGCCACCGCCTCGCTGCTGCACAGCACCGCCTCGAGCTCGGCGGGCGCCACCTGGTACGCGCGCACCTTGATCAGCTCCTTGAGCCGGTCCGTGATGTGGATCGCGCCGCGCGCGTCCAGGAACCCGACGTCGCCCGTGCGGAACCACCCGTCGGCCGTCAGCGCCTCGGCCGTGATGCTCATATCCGGCTGCGCCTTTGCCGCCCCCGCCCCCGCCCCGACGCCGCCGATGGGCAGGTACGCGCTCATGAGGCACGGCGCGCGGATCAGGATCTCGCCCGCCGCGCCGGTCTTGCCCGGGACCGTGTCGCCGCCCTTGCTGAAGTCCTGGCCCTCCGCGGCGATCAGCAGCTCGACGCCGTAGTGCGGCCTCCCGCTGTCGCCCGCGCCGGCGTGCATGTCCGCCTCGGATACACCGCGCTGCATCGAGGTGTTGCACGTCTCGCTCAGGCCGTAGCCCATCTTGACGCGGAACCCGAGGCGGCGGTGCACCTCGAGCACGACCTCATGCCCGAGCGGCGCCCCGCCCGTGACGCCCGCCACGACGGTCCTGAACCCGCCCTCGCGAGCGTACTTGTCCACGACGGCCGCCTTGGCCAGCATGACGGCCACGGGGGGCGCCATGTGCAGGTAGGTGACGCGGCGGCGCTGCGTGGCGGCGAGCATGGCCTCGAGCGAGAAGGCGTTCATCACATAGCAGGAGGCGCCGACCGAGGGGGCCAGCAGGAAGATGTTGCACAGCCCGAAGACGTGGTAGAAGGGCACGTAGCCCAGCCAGCTCTGCGCCAGCCCCGGCCGGTGGTAGTCGGCGTCGTACCAGATCGACGCCGTCGCGTAGACGAGCGCGCCGTGCGAGATCAGGACGCCCTTGGACCGGCCCGAGGTCCCTGATGACCACAGGATCACGGCGGTGCGGTTTGGCGCTGACACCGCCGACAGGTGGTAGGACTTCACCCGTGAGGACGGGCTCTTGAGCAGGGCGGACCAGTCCTGCTCCTGCGAAGATGATGACGAGGGCGACGAGGTCTCCGCGCCCGAGAGGTACGCGTCGCCGGCCACGTCGACGGTGAAGACGGGGACCTTGGCGAAGAAGGCAGCGTCCTCCTGGGCCTTGAGCGCCTCACGCATGGCGCCCGAGCATGCCTTGGCCGTGATGATGGCCCGTGGGCGCGCGTTCTGGAGGATCCAACCGATCTCGGTGGCGGTCAGGGCCGGCGAGGCCAGCGACGCCGTCAGGCCCGAGGCGAAGGTGCCGAACAGGATGGACGCGAAGGCGACGCAGTTGGGCAGCTGGATCAGCACCACCGGCGCCAGCTCGGGGCGTGCGCATGTCGCCGTTGGGGGCAAGCTCTGGATCTGGTCCGGGTCCAGGCCCAGGGCCCGCAGGTTCGCGGCTACTGTGAGGGCATCGTCCCTGGCCCTGCCGAAGGTGAGTGTGCGGTCTGGGGGATGCTGTCAGCTTGACGTTCCCTCAGTGGTCGGAAGGTGGGGGGGGGGGAAATCGCGTAAGCCGAGCCTTTTCGGCGGATGAAGGTATTTCTCACCGTTGTTGTTGTCCACAAAGATGGGTCGGGAGTCTTCTATACGGGGCAGTCTTTGAGACGCAGGGACAAAGTCGGACTGTTGTGAAAATGGATTCCCAAAGACGAAGTCGAAGATGTTGGAGCGTGGGTAATTCCCTGGTGGGCTGCCGCTTAGCGCCACAGTGTCACTGGACTGAGACATGGCAGCTCGGATATGTCTCTTTTCGCCCTCACAACGGTCTTGCGTCAATTGCCAGGTGATGTTTGTCGGGTGGACGAGGTCGATCTATCCTTTACGGCGATGTCTATCGAGGAATGCTGAGTGTTTTGGCAATAGGGTAAGACGTGAAGATGAGGCCGTCTCGAGGTTGAGGTGAAGTAGTCCGCAATGAGATCGGGCATGTTGAGGCCCACGTCCCGCGGATCCGACTACCTTGGCCCGCCGGCTCAAGTCGGTATGTTGCATCCCCGGGGCGGCTGTTTGCTGGTTGGAGCTCGGGTCGAAATCGAAACAGGGGGCCACGCCGGCAAACTCGCCTGGGCTTGTTCGTGTTTCCCCCGCGACCCCACGGATTCGTATCTATCTCATCCCATCTCACCTGCAGGGCCCCAGATCCCGAGGCGGAAGGTTATCCCTAGGGCTGTCGCTGTCCACCTGCAGCACACTGTTGAATGACTCTCGCAGCACCCGCAGCACCCGCAACACGAGCTGCTGTGACACCAAAGGCGGGTGCTGCAATTCTTGGCACGAGTTTGGACGGGCCTCAGATGTAATGCCCGGCGCGCACTCTCAGATAAATGGAACGAGGCTGCCAACCCTCTTACTGGTCCAATAATCATCATCGTCGACCCGGATCTGAGATGCCTCGAGATTTAGACTATGCTTTGCCATGACCGGGGCACACATCCCATCGCCTTTTACGGCTAGCCTGCAGATGCGCATCTGAGATCTATCCTCGAGACCCACAACACCACCTCGGACCCTTACACTAGCTGCCGGTCTTGGTACGATGGTACGAACGAACCCACTTGAGTGGACCATCAACACGCAATGCAACAGAGACAAATAAAAATGGCTGGGACGTCGCTGTATTCTTCACCTGCTGGGTATGTGCAGTCGCGCGTCTACATATATCTATTTACAAGAAGAGCCCACACCTAGGGCATCAAAAAAAATCGTCCCACCACCGAAACTCCGTGTCCTCGCACCAGGAAGACTTACATACCCCAGAAGGGGCTCGGGGTCCAGTCGACATAGGTGGAGTTTGATGGACTTGAGGTCGCCCAGGCCCAGGTTGGCAGCATCGTTCATGAGGCCGCTCCTCATCAGCGCGATGATCTTCTTGACGCCATCCTCGCCGTACACGTTCGAGTACATGAAGGGACGTCCCATACCAACAGCCTTGACACCGAGAGCCAGCAGCCGGAGCGCGTCGGTGCCGTAGCGGATGCCACCGTCGGCCAGCACCTCGATCTCGTTGAAGATCTCCGGGTCGTTGTTGAAGATCTCGAGCGCGACCTCGAGCGACGAGGGCGACCCGTCCAGGTTGCGGCCGCCGTGGTTGGAGAGGATGATGGCCTTGACTCCGTGGTCGACGGCCGCCCTCGCGTCGGCGACGTTCTGGATGCCCTTGAGGACGATGGGGAGGGTCGTCCAGTTGCGGTACTGCTGGTAGACCTCCCACGTGTTCTTGACGAACTGCGTGTTGGCCGACCCGACGTCGTACCGCGCCGCGCGCTGCCGGTCGGGCGAGCCGGGCGAGTCGATGGCCCACACGACGGCCTTGGCTCCCGCGCGCTCAGACTTCTGCAGCAGCGCCTTGTTCTGGGTGTCGTTCAGGGTGAAGTAGACCTGGCTGAAGAAGGTCTGGTTGGGGAGGGCCGCGGCGGCGATGTCCTCGAGGGGAAGGGACGAGTAGCTCGAGACCTGGTTTTGGTTTCATGGTGAGTAAACGTGGACTTGGATCTGGGTTGGCGGGATGAAAGAGAGAGGCTTACGATGTAGGGGATACCACCGGCCCCGGCCCCCTTCATGAGGTTGAGCTCGGCATCGGGGTGGCCGTACTGCGCCTTGGCGGCAGGGGAGATGAAGAAGGGGTTGGCGAAGTCGTAGCCGAGGATGGTCGTGTTCAGGCTGGCCTCGATGTTGGTGACATCAACCATGGCTCGGGGCCTGAGGCGGTAGCGGTTGAAGACCTGAAGAGGAAGGTCAGCGGCTATTGTCGTTTCCCCTGTCCAGGGCAGGTTGCAGTGGTTCATGCACATACCTCAAGGTTGTTCCGGTACGACCACTCGCCGGCAGCGCCATTTCGGTAGTAGGTGTACTGCAAACCCAATCAGCCACATGCACAAACCCCAAACTTTATCCTCGACAGAGCAAAACTAACGTTCTTCGCAGGGAGGTAGTTACGAGCAGCCCCTGTGATGTGCAAAGTCAGCATTGATTCATGAAAGGTGGCATCGATGACTCGATGTTGTTTTGATAAACGGCAGGAGATCATCAAGGTTTACTTACAGTCAAAGTCAGGCAGACCGACGATCTCATCCAGGGGAGGGAGCTGGCCAACAGAGATGTTGCTCACGACGGCCTCGAGACCAGTGTCAGGCTCGTTAAGCCAAGGCCGGGCAGCTGAGACACCGGCGACTGCGACGGCGGCAGCCGTGAAGACTGAGGACAGCATCGTGGGTTTTAGGTTTGTTTTATTCTTTGCAGAACCTTGCAGTGACTCGGGTCAAGGCGAGGGGTGCTAAGGAAGAAACGAGGCCGGCGTTTGTTATAAAAAAAAAAAAAGCTTTTGATCGCGGATCAAAGAGTGACGAAAGGTGAGGGAGGAAAGCCGGCTTCAAGTTGGGATGAACTCTGTCGTCACATCCAGGACCGGGTCGTTCGTGATCGGGCAGGTGTCCTTATATGCTGCCATCCCAACCCCCACGGCACCTTCTAGACCGTCGTCTATTTTCCTTGACACTCACCAGGGCATGGTAGCAGGCCCCTACAATCCTCGACTTACTGGGCACTTAGACGCAAGGAACCAAGCTTTTCCCAAACCACGCGACGGGGTTGCAATCAATTGGGGAACCCACCGCCGTCGGCGACATTCCGGAGCACGAACCAAACTCGGACGGGACGCCATACCAAGAATCCAGTCAGGCTGAGCCAGCACGCGGGCCATCTATCTGGTGGGAATAATGGGAGAAGAAAAAAAAATCAAAGGTCGAGTAAAGTTGCACCTTCCCGTCAGGGATTGCTATCTCCGCTAGTGGGCTTGGAGGGTGACTCGCATTGAGACTATCAGGGCGAGGATCCTGCGACGCCGGGCAAGGGAACGTCTGCTTGGCCATCCCCCTACTGCGCACACGGCGAACTGAGCTGCTGTTTCGAGAAACAAATGCTACAGCACGCACATTCCCTGCAGGGGATAGGATAAGGCAAACCAAACGAACAAGAAGCCAGGGTTCTTCTGTCGTGACCCAGAAGCTCCTATTCTGGCCTGACCTGAGACCGGGAAATATTAACATAAGTGTGGGCAAGAAAGGGAGGGCCATGAGCCTCATCGCCAGTGCCGGAGGTGGCGTGCGCGAACCACTCGGTTGCTACGGTGGCAGGCTCGGTCTCGGCTCGCGTGCCTAAATTTACGCCCAGTGTCGCCCCTCATGCGCGAATGACAGAGCCAAAGCGGACTCAGTAGGGCTGGCCATGCGACGCCCTTACTGCGTAGAGGCCCAATAGGCGAGTCCCCCTCGCCTGCGCCCTGCCCACCTTGTTCGCGAGTGAAGCATCCAGACTGGCAGTCTGCAGAATAAACCGACCGTACCTCAGTACTTCCATTTATTTATCAACCACAACCATGGAACTTGTCTAATATCTTTATATCATTAGAATCAGACGCCGATTCTGAACATTTGAATATAATTAGAACCGAGCACACACTATTTGGTTGTTGAGAAATTCGGGTTGCAATGTGAAGGGTTTTGGTGGGATACGGGGTCCCGGTCGGCTTATTTTGCAGACTGCCAGCCAGATTGCGGGTGTGGGGCGTGGCAGGGGCATGGCGTTAGCCACTCTCCGTGAAACGCTGCCATTCATCCAGAAGCCGGCGCCAAGGTGTCACCTGCGGAACCCTACGCGACGGCCGAATCCAGGCACTCCGTTCCTGTCTGTTAAATTTGTTGCTACTGTGGTAGCTCCCGGTCCCACTTCCGATGGCGCTCTGAGAACCGGATCCAGCAGCAGACTGGAGTCTGGACTGGTGCCGATCGGATTACAGGAGCATCCGATAAGATCTTTTTGCGCTGGCGCTGCTCCACCGCGCGGAGTGGGGGGCGAGCATTCCTAAGCCTTCCTCGAGCCTTCCTAAGCTCGCTTGTCCTTGTGAATCACCGGCGCCATCGGAGGAGGGCGGAAGAAGGCACGCGCAGGTGGGTATCTTTTTAATTTTTTTATTTTTTTTTCTCCTTCGCAGTCGCGAACTTTGAGGGCGAGGGCCGGATGCCGGAGTGGGAATGTTTCTCATGGGCTGAGGCCCGCCGATGGGGTGTACCCATGATCGCCGGCAGAGGGCCCTCAGCCCCTTTTGTCCTGCGCAGGAATCGGAGGTTATTGACTCGCGGCACGTAATCTCTGGTAGACTATTCTGCTCACACCCATGTCTTTTCCGTCTAGTCTCGGCACTGACTGCATTTCTAAGTCGTTCTAAGCAGATGACAAAGCGACCCGACTGCTCGGTCTCCTCTGCTTCCAAGCTTTTTGCTTCCTCCACTGTCTCTAGGACCAGGCACGGAGTAGACATCTGTTTCTTGCCTACTATAGCCCGGGCCACGTAATAAGTAGTGGGCACTTTTTCACCCTGGCAAAGCCAAGATGTCATCACACTTCACCACCTGCCCCGTCGCAATCGATATGTTGGCGGCGATGCCTGTCACGGTTAGCTTCCGGAAATTTCTTATTTCCCTCCACCCCGGAGACTTCCGTATTTGGTCGGAAGGGGTAAAACATACCGGTAAGGATCGAGGCCGCTCCGTCGATGTGACTGGCGGCCCGTCTGTACTCGTCTGAAACGGGCTCGCCAAACAAATCTTGGAGGAGGACCGAGTCGCCTCCACCGTGGGCTCCCTTACTCTCGCCAATTTCGATCTCCTGAGGCTTCTCGAACAGTGGCCGGAGCAGGATCGTGCGCCTCTCCAGCGACCCTTCGAGCGACTGGTCGCCGCCCGAGTTCACATAACTGTTCTCGACGACCTCGACCTCGAGCCGCCCTCCTGTCCCGATGAAGCTCACCCGGAACCCTTCCCAGGGCGCGTACGCCGTGAGCGAGTACGTCATGACCGCGCCGTTCTTGTACCTCACCAGCACGTTCATGGTGTCCTCGATGGAAATACCATCGCTGAACACGCTCTGGTCACGGTGGTAGTCATCCTCGTGCTCAGCATCAAGGTAAAGCGCCTTGAGCCCATCGTTCTCCTCCATGTGCAGCGCAAAGGGGTCCCCCCTCGCGACCTCGCTGCCATGGCTGCGCGTATAAAACCTCGACACGCCCCTCCCCTCGGCGTTCTCGCGCCCGTAGAACCTCAGGTCCCCCTGCGCGTACACCGTCTCGGGCCGCGTCTGCAGCCAGAAGTTGACGAGGTCGAAGTGGTGCGTGCTCTTGTGCACCAGCAGGCCCCCGCTGTTGCGCTTGTCGCGGTGCCACCGCCGGAAGTAGTCGGCCCCGTGCGACGTGTTGAGCATCCACTCGAAGTGCACGCTCGTCACCCTGCCGATGGCGCCGCTGCGAAGGACCTCGAAGACGCGCGTGTTGTGCGGCGCGTACCGGTAGTTGAAGGTCACGCGCACCTTTTGGCCCGTCCGGTCGACGGCGCGCAGGATCTCTTTGCAGCGCGGTGTGTCGATGGTCACTTGTCAGACAAATTTGTGGTCAGCTGCCGATACCATAATGCGGAGCTGAGAGCGAGATTGATCCGATGGAATTTCATCCACTCCCCAGTTTGAAAAGACTAAGGGCACATGTTCGTCAGGTCAACTCACTGGGCTTCTCTGTAACTACATTGCATCCTAGCTCCATCGCTCGGACGATGTAGATGTTGTGCAGCCTGTCCGGCCCCGCAGTCACGATTACTTCATCCGGCTTCAGTGTCGTGATCATCTTGTCGAAATCGACCGCCAGAAACGTAGGAACTTTCCCATGGCCCAAAGACTCGAGCTTGTGGTTCGCGACATTCATGCGAGTTTGGTTGGTATCGCAGAGCCCCACAATCTCAGAGGTCGCCCTGTAGTCTGTTGCGATGGCGGTATAGTAGAAGCTAGACCGCCCACCGGTGCCGACAAGTGCGTACCGCTTCCTCTGCGATTCCTTTTCGCCCATTGTGACTTATTATGAATTCAATATGCACCGTGTTGAAGTAATGATCTGCAGAATCCTCTAGATACAGAAAGTCGAAAACCCGTACAGACACGTAGTAAATATGTAGTCTGGAGAGGGGTCGGTCAGAAACTCATGAACGTCACTTGTGATCCCACGAGCTAGCCAACACACGCATTCCTACCTGCATCTCGGTGGTCAATGATCCAGAAGCCGAGACGCCAAAGTCAATCAGGGTCTAGGCACTCGCTAGGTTCGAGTGGTGCAGGCTCCCAGGCTGTCAGCCAGAGCCCGAGTCCGGGGTAAAATCTGGGGAACCAAATGCATTTAGCCGGGCCGTTGGGGAAACAGCGGGGGCCCATTACCTTATGCCCAGGTGCTGCCCTCACCACCACAGCACTAATACTGTAATGATCTTTTGAGCCGGCGAGTCCACGTAAGATGATCTCCGGTATATCTGCGGAGAACAGAATCACAGCCCGGTATCCTTGTCTCAACTCCCTCACGCTACTACCCAATCAAGCTTCTGGTGGCTGGTCATGCCGCAAGCTTGGGGAGTACCCGACGGGCTGTTGTTGCTCTTGGTCGCACAAAAGCCGGTCAACGTTCCATCTGAGCGAGGGGGATGGCTGCTTTTTCCGGCGATAGAAAAGGGATATCATGTTCCCCCCGCCTGGTTGCCTCGACCAGTCGGGGGACGACCCAGCATCTTGGATCGATGTGACCACACACAACACACGATCCTGCTTTTTTCATTTCAACAGGTGAACTGCAGACACGTACTTCTTGTGGCACCAAGCTCTCAGCAACATGGCTGCAGCAGACTCCAAGAACTCGGCCGACGTGATCACTCCCGCCCCTGAGATACAGAGGGACCACGATCGGGCGGCCGACTTCCTGGCCAGCCATGGAGACACTTCTTTCTCCGTCGAGGAGGAGAAAGCTGTGCTGCACAAGATCGACAGGCGTGTCTTAGTCCTGCTCTTGTGGGCATATTTTTTCCAGCAGCTTGACAAGAGTACCCTTAGGTGTGTCTTCCCCCTTTAGACGAACCATTGCTACGGATTGTTGACGGGTATTTATCAACAGTTGTATGTAATTGTTTTGATACATCCTTACCATCTATGGACTTCGGTCCTGTATGAAGCGCTCGAGAATGAATCTCCTGTGGTTTTATAGACTTTGCCGACCCTCCATTTCCTTGTTATCATAGCTGATGAACACACCATCTAGTCACAAGCATCTTCGGCATTGTTGACGATGCTCACCTCGTCGGTAAAGAATACTCATGGCTCGGTTCCATTCTGTACATTGCGCAGCTCGTCATGCAGCCGGTTGCTGCTGTTCTCCTCGTCAAATTGCCGAACGGAAAGGTTATCGCATCTGCTGTATTTCTATGGGGCTCAGCGCTCTGCATCATGTCTGCCTGCACAAACTTTGCCTCTTTACTGGGCCTGCGATTTGTCCTCGTGAGTGGAAGCACCCCGGCTCAAACCCTTTCTGTCAAATTGTCGCTACAGAAATCACATATTACTATTTGCGGCTAATTTGGATTCCATAGGGCACGTTCGAGGCCATGATAGCCCCTTGCTGTGTGGCCATCACTCAGATGTGGTGGCGACGTGGCGAGCAAACCCTGAGGACAAGTTACTGGAACGCCATGAACGGCGTGACGAGCATCATCGGCAGCTTGTTCACGTACGGCCTGGGCCACATCGAGAGCAAGACCATGTTCAAGTATCAGATCATCTTCCTGTTCTGCGGGTTGCTCACCGTCGCCTACTCCATCTTGTTGTTTGCCCTAATGCCAGACTCCCCAATGGAGGCGAAGTTCATCTCGGAGAGGGAGAAGGTCATCGCCACGGAACGGCTGAGAGCAAATCAGATGGGAGTCGCATCGAGGACTTGGCGGTGGGACCACGTCTGGGAGACGGCCTATGATCTCAAGACGTGGTTGTGGTTCATCGCTATAATTGCCATTTCCATCTCCAGTGGCGGTATAACAACTTTCGGCAGCTTGATTGTCAAGTCGTTTGGCTACTCGAGCTTCCAGACTATTCTGTTCAACATACCGTTTGGGGCGATTCAGGTGATTGCCATTATCGGGACTGGGTGGATCGCTCAGAGAATTCAGAGGAAGGGGCTGGTTATCGCGGCCACAGCTGTCCTACCCACCATCGGAACTGTTCTCCTTCTCACCGTTCCGAGACATCAGAAGGGTATCTTGCTGTTCGGCTACTATCTTGTATGTGTCTGACCATTGATCCAACTTTGATGCTGTCAACTCACAAGAAAAACAGGTATCCTGCCTCGCCGCCATCACTCCCATGCTTTACAACTGGCAGGCCGTGAACTCTGGGGGTGACACGAAGAAGAAGTGCACTTCGGCGGTAGTGTTCATCGGGATGTGTGCAGGGAATGTCATCGGGCCTCTCCTATACTCCACCGATCAGGCACCCTTGTATCGCGCCGGACTAATCTCCAACCTCATCATGTTCGTTTTGGTAGGGGTGATCGCAGCCGTTATCCCCTTCTATCTCATGTTCCTTAACAAGCGGCATGCTAAGCGTCGTGAGGAGCTGGGCAAGAGTGCCACCATCATTGACGAGTCGATGATCAGCAAGGACAAGATGCAGGCAAGCAAAACTGTCGAGGTTGAGGATGCGCAGCTCCCGCAGCATAGGACTTTGGCTGAGGACAGGGGACTGCTCGACTTGACGGACCTCAACAATGAGGATTTCGTATATGTCTACTGAGTGGGAGACACTGCCGGAAATATTGCTGCATCATTTGTACTGGTAACTAAATCTGGAACAGCCGGTGAAGGACGGGCGATAGGTCAACAGGGGTGTGGATAATCAAAACACTTGAGTTCAAAGATCGATCTCATCTCTCCTCGACAGACAGTCTTGTTGCAGACGAGACATCCATCCGGTCACAGCTCACTCATTTGCTTACACCCAGCTTTTGATGGTTTTCTCAACACTCCTGATCCCCTTCCCACCCTCGCCCCAAACCCCGGCACTCTTAGAGGCGCCTTCACCAGCTGAAGCAATGGGCCCATTTGGGTGAATCAACACCTTGGTGTAACTGCGACGATACACTATTAGCAAATGATCGAAGACCCGGGTCTAACTGCTTGTCAACCGGAATGATCTACTCACCCCTCGATTCGTTTGTCAAACTTCTCATACGCAGTCGGGGCATCATCGATTTCAATCTTGAGATCGCAGACGAGTCAGTCTCATCATTCATGTCAAGAACAGGTGCTCGAACGCAGTCTTACCTCGTGAGACACCACAAAACTAGGCTTTGCCTTTCCTGCAATGATCAGGTCTCGCAAATAACGATTGTACGCCTTCACATTGCATTGACCAGTTGCAAGCGATAAGCCCTACCGTCATTGATTAGCCCTCAGTCATGGTATCAGTCCATCAATTCCAAGGATACCGCCCAGTAGAGACGATCTTACCTTCTCAAACAGCTTTCCAAAACTCAGGGAGATCATTCCCTCTCCTGCAGCTTTGTCGGGTGCACCCGGGTCGGTAGGCACGTAAAGGCCAGGAATACCCAGACCTCCACAGGGCCTTGTGACCTTGATCATGTTCTCCAGGACAATATTGGGAACCTCGCTCGATCCGCCCTTAGTAACAGCTTGGTATCCCTATACCAAGGGTTGATTAGCATTTTTCCGTCAACGAGCCCTCCTTGATCCAGCGCCCTACTTACCACTGCATCCACAGATCGGTCCACCATGCCCCCATTCAACTCGATGATCTTCTCAACAGGATCAAACTCCTCAAAGCTGACCGCCTCGGCGCCTATCTTGGCCGCAGCGTCAAGCCGCTCCTTAACACGATCGACAAGACTTCAAATTACTCGAGTCAGTTGGCTGTATTCACAGCATACGATGTATCAAAATCAGTTGTGCCACAGACTCAACTTACAACACACGACTAGCACCGCGCAAGACAGCGGAATAAGCAGCCATCAGACCCACCGGCCCGCCGCCAAACACAGCAACGCTCTCACCGGGCTTGAACCCTGAGAGGGTAATCCCGTGCCAGCCGGTTGGGAAAATATCGGCGAGGAGGATGAAGTCTGCCTCGTGCTCGCCTCCCGGAGGTAACTTCAGCGCGTTGAAGTCCGCGTAAGGGACTCGAAGATATTGACTGGTTCACATTGTTAGAGGAGTCACTAAGGATCACAGGTGTAGGAGGACATACGCTTGGCCTCCTCTGTAAGGGCCCATGGCCTGATGTTCCAAGTGGTCAGCAACTGGCCTACGGGGGGACAATACCCATATGCATGCCCATTGTTGAAATCCATCTGTAACGGCAACTTGGCCGGAGATACTCACAACATATCCATAAGCACCGCCCGCGAAGCCAGGGTTGACTCCGGTGCAAAAGGCCGTCTTCCCCTCCTCGCAGTTCCGGCAGCGACCGTCGGCGACGTTGAAGGGCATTACTATGCGGTCGCCCTTTTCCAACAGGGTCACTCCAGATCCGACTTCCTCTACAATGCCCATGTTCTCGTGGCTCCGTGAAAATTAGCCTGCAGGTCAGTTGTTATCAGGAAATGGAGCCAGTAACATACCCGAAAGTGATTCCTGGCTGAGCCCCTGTACGGCCTTCATACATGTGCAAGTCTGACCCGCAGATTGCTTTTCAGGAAAATCAGCATCTCGTAGTAAGAACGGCCTGGCAGCTCAGCTGTTGGCTGGTGAATTTCTCCATTGCGCTCACCTGAAGTCGTGACTTTGACAATTACATCATCCGGGTGCTCGATGCCCGGCTTCTCCACATCCTGGACCGTCACCTTGAACGGTCCCGAGTAATTGACCGCCTTCATTGTTGCAGCCATTGTGAGGACTTTATTGTGTCGAGTTGAGAGACTTTGATTTTTGTAAATAGATGCCAATTAGCAGTTCCACAAGCAACGTGAGCAAAGTGAAACTTTCTTGTGGTGAGTGAGGGGCGTGGTGTCGTCCCCACGATACTTTATCTGGCCTGCATGAACCAGCCAAGGTGCGGAGACCTCGGGGAACCGCGTGGTGCTGCAACGCCCGCTGGCCCGCCGCGCCCGCGTACTGTATCATTGCCGAGTTCGTGGTTGCTATGCGGAGTCACGCTAGGGAACGTCTGGATCGGTTCACCTGTGTGTGATCCACCAACCGGGAGGAGGCCCCAACCCCGATTTAGACTGACAAGATATCTTGCCCGCGATCTCAAACCTCCTCGGGAGGGGTTCGGAATTCGTGAAGGATCACCTGGCATGCCTCTTCCATGCCGAGAGGTGTAATCATTCTTCCTGGTGTAGGTTTGCTTTCGCCCTCGTGACCAATTGCCGGCATTCCGGTTGGTTTCAGTTACGTATAGCTTCCAAGTTTGTAGCTCTACTAGGATATGGACACTGGCCACAACTTCGGGACCGAGTGGCATATTTCCAGACCATGTTCTTACAGGTTGTCAGCTTTGCGTGGAGATCCCTGATTTACCTGCGAGCACATCGTGGCAAGCTATAATCTTTTGTTGGCTGGACGCTCTATGCTTTAACAATATAGGAAACCAGTATTATAGCATCAGATATCGGGTTTCAAATACTAGGCAATTTCAGCTGGTCTGTGGTGACTTTGGTCAAGTGTTCTTGTTTTGTGTGTGGGTTGATAATTCATCTTCTTGGTTATGATTACCCCATCAAGCTCCAGTACCCTAAGCTAATGACTGAATGGAATCCTTAGCAAGGTCTCACGACTATTTCTGAGAGCATACTGATGACCGTATGTGTCACCATGGACCTGGTAGTCTTCGGCCTAAAGCGTCGCAATCAGCCTCAGAGTCATCAACAAGAAAGGCCCATAAAGTCATTGGTGAGTATCCCATTGCTGGATGAGCAACTGAGCTATCCTCTGCAGCTATGCAAACAGTCGCGGACGACCAGGGAAAATCCACACAAGTCGGAAGAAGGGCCTGCACACAAGAAGACAAGCTCCGGAGGCTACTTACAGCATGGTTCGGCTACTCAATGGGCTCAATGATAGGGATGATATCCTCAATGATGTCAACCCGTTTCTCAATGGGCTCAATAATAGGGATGATATCCTCAATGATATCAACCCGCTTCTCAATGGGCTCAATAATAGGGATGATATCCTCAATGATATCAACCCGCTTCTCAATAGGCTTGATAGGGTTGATGATATCCTCAATGATTTCGATCCGCTTCTCAATGGGCTCAATAATAGGGATGATATCCACAGCAGCGTCAGTACGCTCCTGGTACGCCTTGTCAGTACACAATCATCGAAATGCTTTGGATTTCCCAGTGTCGTCCTTGGCATACCTTGAGAATTGGCGCAGCCATTGCCAGGGAGCCGAGCGCGGCGACCAAGAAGACGTGACCTGTTGGGACTCTCATGTTTGCTTTGTTGGAAGTAGAATAAGGTTGGCAAGATGTGGAGTGAATGGATCGGCTCACCCAGGTGCTCAAGCTTGGTATCAGAGGAAAGCTGAATATTTATCTACAAGATTCTAACACCGAAATGATGGATTTCTGCACCATTGGCGCATGTTGTGATACTTGACTGAGCTACCGAGAGCTAGAGGCATCAAGGAGGCTGGGCAGCTGCACATATGGAATGTCGTGAGAATGGTTGGCACGAAAAGGGATCCCGGGTTAAGGAGTAACGGGATTTATTTGAAGCGACTGGAACGCTGCGAAGAAGTCTTATAGGTGAGAATACGATGCGTCGAGCAGAGAAGCCAGTAGGAGTCCAGGAGGTGAGACGAATTTGAGTAGCCTTATCGTCTTGAATATACTTCTTCCAGTAGACTTCTGCAAGCTGTGCTTCACTCTTACTTCATGGGTGAATTGATAAGATGAGAGTACTGTCACACAAGGGGAGGTTCTTCTGTGGCACTTGATTATCCGAAGTCTCACTTGTGGTGGCACCCTACGCACACAGCATCTATCACCCTATCAGACAAGAAGCGCTAAGCACCATTTCTTTTTGATTGGTCGGAAAATAGCTCATCTGGATCGCCAGGAACGAGAATCTGCTGACAACTGAGTCACATGTAGGAGAGAAAGCTCCGTCCAGCAGTTCCAAGGAATGAAGGTCCTGGACTGTCTCCAACTTCGAACGACACGTTGCTCCAAGTGGTTGGTCTTGATTGCACAAGTAAGCGGAAGAATGTCAAATCGGCAACTACAAGGAGTACGAGACCCCAACATTGATCGAATGGTATGAACAATGGAAACGGGATGATGAATTCCACCCTCCCCTGCAAAGAAAAATGTGTACATTTTCCTATAATAGCTAGCGCGGCCCGTTTTCCCACCTTAGCGCTTCTTAATACTTCCTAAATTTAAAATTACTTAAGAAATATATCTTGCTTATTTTAAGGAATATAAAGAGTATTAAGTTAAGCCTTAAGTAATGCTTAGTGGTGCTTATTAGCATTATTTATTCTTATCTTAGCCGGCCCTTTTTAAATTTAATTATTAGCCTTAAGGAAGGAAATTTAATTAAGAAGTTCTTTTAAGAGTAACTTATATGCTTTAAGATGTTAATTTTTAGAGTGGAGCCATCTTTTCTTTTTAGGAAAATGTACACATTTTTCTTTGCAGGGGAGGGTGGAATTCATCATCCCGCAATGGAAAACGTAGACTCACCAAGCGACCACTCCGGAGACACCGCATCCATCCACATGGGCCCAAGGGATACTGTTTTACACAATCCAGTCCAAGTAATTTGGAGGAGTGCCAGCAGCCCCTCACCCGCCCAACTCATTTCGCGCACATCCACGATTGGGAATTTGCCGGACTTCTCGGTCTTTTCATAAGCTTCTGAACCCTATGAATATCTCACTGCCGGCCCGACTTGCTATCGCCATACACGTCCGGCAGCTGTGAGTGCCACTGGGAGTCTGAAAAGCTGCGGGGCCAGCTGATCCTCGGATCGAGAAATTCCGTGCTGAAGAACCAGCAGGAATTCACTGACAGTGACCAGGGGACTGCATCGGGATCCGTGAGCGCCATCCCATGGGACATTCTTTTCCACAGCACCTGGTAGGCCCTCGAAACGACCCTGCCTCGCAAGGCTACGTATTCGACATACCTTTGACAGCATATGATTCTGCGGGCAATTACCAAGATCTACCAAGATCTTATTTATTGGAAAGAGAGGGAAGGGGGGTGAACTTTGAAGACCGGCCGATTTAGTGACCAGTCATCGTTGATATCCACGATGCCATGGTCTTATGTCACATGCAGCATATTAGAGATTGTGTGCCGCTTGATTGCAATTCCTTAAGAGTCTATCTGGCTGTAAGAAGAGCAGAGATCAAGTTTCTTTCTTCTTTCTATTGAGCCTCAAATTTCCTTTTTGATGGCGCAAAGGCTCTCAATTATTGTTTTGTGGGGCCCTTTTCCCTCGCTTGTGGGTAGCTGCTCCGTCACTTGTCCCGTCAACTGTAATACTTCCGGCACAATTTGGTTCCAACGTCATCCACCACAAACTAAACGGAAGACAGTGGAACAAAAAGAAAAGACGAAAAGAAAAAGGGCACACGATTCTAATGACAGTCCATCCCTCCTTCGATCTTGTTTTGTCCTGATTTCTGTTGTCGTTGTAGTGAATCCATTCTGAGAGAAGCGAAGGGGCGCCTTAGTCGACAGGCTTGTCGTCCTCCGAATGCAAGTTCTTGTTCAGACACAGTCCAAACTTGGTGATATCGATGCTGGGAAATTCCATCGAGCTGATTGGAAGCTTAAAGCCACTAAAACCTCTCTTCTGTCTCCGCTTCTGTTTGCGGGCAAACTCCTTGACAGCCGTATAGTATATGTCTGCTCCAGTTAGAAAATGATCATAGTATGTTTTAGGACTGAATCAGGCGTTCGGGTTTACTCACCAGCAAGGCACTTGCAGACATCCTCAGCCGGGAACTTGCACATGTCGCTCCTGTGCTTGCAGTCGATGTCCTGTCGGTGCGGGTCCTCTTCACATGCTTGGCAGATATCCGATTCCAGATCAGGAGCTGAACATATGTGGTAGAGACTAGAAAATCCTGTTAGTTGAATTTTGTCATATCGAGATGGGGTAGATTAGGGACAGGAATGGAACATACTCTGATCTGAAGTTGCGATCAAGTTTGGCCTTGTTTTCTGAGGTGAACCTATTTTGCTGGAGAGCACAAAGTCAGTACTGGATGAAGCTGTGTGGTATGAGAGGAGGGGGGTGGATGTGGTGGAGCAAAGGTAATGAGATTTGAAATGTTGGTGGTGGTACACACCTTCTTGTACTGATCGTAGCCGAAGTCGTGGCGGTAACAAGCTGGGAGGAAGGGAAATCCAAAAGGGTAGTCAGGCGACTGGGAACAACCGTCGCTTTCCCAGAAGAAATAGGAAGGGTAACGTTGGTCTCGCAGACTTATGAATGACTCCAAGGTCATGTTGAAGAGATAGTGGTCTGCTTGTTCTTCCCTTTGACGTGGCGGTGGCACTAGCTCTCCTAGGTTGACATGTCCGGTTCCCGGAGTGATGATTGGCTGTGCAGTTTTGTTGGGTGCGGCCGACACTGGGGCGGTTGGCAGTGCCGGGGTTGCTGTAGACAGCATCAGCAGCGTGGTGCTGTTAGGGAGGAGAGTGTTGAGCTTCATTTTGTGGGAATGGGTGATGATCTAGATTTCTTGAGTATGTTGAAGGGAAGTTTGGGTGTTGTTAGAGGTTATAGTTGGGGGTTGTGAGCTTGTTGGTTTGGGTGCGTGATGAGCAGGAAGTTGTGAGATTTGACTGGTGAGAGGTTTGGATGAAGAATTTCCACCCAGAAATAGTAAGATCGGGGATAGAAGGCGCTCTTTTATATCCAAGCATTCCAAAGCATGCACCTTGAAGGTTGGAGCTGGTACCCTGATGGGCATCTAAGAATTTGACTACAACTTTAGAGTAGGCCAAGCGCATCTGAAATATAGGAAGAAGCACTTATCCAGGCCGTGACCATACCATAGAGGTGTCGACCACACACACTATCTAGGCATCAACCGGCTGCTATCTAGCCCGCCAATACTAGTAGTGCGATAAATATTAGCAAAAAGCGTGGATCTTGAGATTCATTATCAAATCAAATAAGTGAAAATTCATTGCTTCCAAACGCCACAGTTTCTAGATCGCACGAATCTTGGTCGAAGTTCAGGGTCCCTATTTTATCCTAACTCACAATCCAAGACACTAACATTGTAAAGCAAATGCACGCTCCGTAAATAAGAAGACGAGTGCCACATCTATACGATCAGTATTGAGAACAAGTCTGTCTCAGCTTCTTCACAAGAATCTTAAACATAAACGACACTTGCAAGGCCAGCGGGCTCAGCTCCTGCAACCTCTCCCCCACCACGTCTGACAAGGGGATTTAAATGGCGCCAGATCGATTTTCCAGCTGCATATAATACCCCGCCAAACCGACTGCTGTCACCATCCGCATCTATATCATTAGTCGTCGTTTCCTTTCCTGGCTTGTCTCTGATCGTTAGATTGTTATCAGCCCCGGAAGGTGACACGTGGACTGCACTGTCCAACCTCCCAAGGGCATGACGAACAAGTCTCACCAAAGTGTCCCACTGTACCAAAAGCACCCAGACCACAGAGACAAAAGAAGCAAGAACAAAATAGGATATCACAAATGCGGTGAAGTTCATCGGAAACGGCATAACACCAGGCTGGATGGAGAACAAGGCAATATTTAGGACCATTGGCAACATGAGCTACAGCGCGAGGTTTTGGTTTAATCCCGGAGTCCCTCACTTCGGCTGTTTGGATGGGAGAAAGGTGCGTACTCACAATAGAAATAACAGTGAGACCTTTCACAAGTCGCGCAGTCCCGTTATTCTCGACCGCCAGCTGAGCACCGAGCTAGTTTCTATCAATCAGCCTATGCATCCTCTCTTGGTATGTTGGCTATCGGTACGGACCGTGCTCTGATCGTTGCAGATCTCATTGCTCAGGCCATCAAGCCTGTTCTTCAGGATTGTGATCTTGGAAAATGTGTGACCAATGCTGGTCTCCAAGAACGAGTGCGTTTCTTCAGGGAAGTACTTGGTGCATCTCTTCTCGAACTCTATCCATGCGGTGAGTGTCTCCGAAAGCTGACCGGATTGGTCCGTCACAATAACACTCATATCGCTGATCCAATCAGAATAGCGTTGTTGTAGTATCTGCTCTTCGCGCTTGCTACTTTTGCGACTTGTAGAATCAGAAAGAGGGTCAAAAACGCGACTGGGTCTGTGCCTGAAAACTCGATCTCGTCAGGCTATTGATCCTGGTTCACATATGATAAACAGCACAGGAATAAGGTCCGGGGGTCAGCTAACTTACCATTGCACTAATTCTTCTAATCTGTCCACAACCACTTGCCACTCTCGAAAGGCCTGCTCTATCCGAATCTGAAACACCCTAAGAAAATACTCTCTCGGTCCAAGGTAACGAGTCGAATCGATCGCTCCTGCAGTGAGAGCATCGGGGAAGTAAAAGCTCGGTTCCGAGCAAAAGATATCGAGATCTTGCGAAGGCTCACGCGCCTTGTAGTAAGTATCCTCGAACACGTAGGCAGTCCATCCACCGACATCAACCACAGAGATAAGAGCGGACACTTGCGAGTCGCATATCCACCCACCCAATGAAGGTTTCAAGGTGCATGGGAGCTGCATAGAGGGCAGTGCAAGAGACTTTCTTTGCGGCCTGCCATCGCGGTCTTGTCGGCTATCTGTGCACGGGTGCTCACGGAATGTACAAAAGGGAAGATGAAAACAAAGTGTCATGCGCGCGAGACACGGCTGAAATGTGTCAGAAGCAGACTCAGAAAGACTCAGATTTGAAAATGTGAGTATGAACGCACATTGGGGTCAACAAAAATTCTGGTTTCGAACTCAAGGTATTGATCAATGAAATCAAGCAAGACCGGGGCCTGAGAAGGGCTTGCGGTCGCTGCTAGCACGAAAGCACTCCATTCATTGGGATTCGATACGTATCTGTGTCAGGCCGTACGGTAAGGATTCGGTGGAAGATTCTTCACATTTGTGTGGTATTGAACACTTACAGCGTGCGCCTCTCTACTGGACAATCTTCGGATTCCGTCCACGGCCCTGGGCTGTTGGCAGGAGTAGCTAAGGCGGCCGCCCTTCTTGGTTCACCACCACGGATCTTCAGGGACCATGAGCCACCATGGAATCTAGAGAGTAGCAATAGTAAACCCGAATTGAGTGTTCCGGCCCAATGTTGCTTGCTTGTCGTTGTCACCAGACTCCCGGGCTCTGATGAGACTGTGGCAGGATATCTCTGTGTACTGTGAGTGGCCAAGAAAGTTGGTGATACAGATTTCTCCTTACCTGTTTTCCAAGGGCGCTGTAGAGATGCTTTGGCGTCATTGATCTGGGGTAAGGCCGGAACTGCTTGCGAGAAAAGTTCCTGTCTTCGAGCAATATCCGACTTCCTTCGAAGTCCCTAGTGCCTTCTTCCAGACGCTCTAGAGTGACTGACTTGAACAGTTGGCGTAACCTAGCAATTGAATCGCGGCGCAAATCTTGGTCTTCCATCACCCTCAGAAAACATTCGATGATGTTGTCTTCTTCGGTACCGCTGTCACTTCCTTCGGAATTAGATGTTTCGTGGAAGCTTTTAATTTCCTCCTCGTCACTATCCGACGTAGCTTCATATTCGTAAAGAGATGCGCTGTTGAACCGGCTCTGATCGATAAGTGTCTGGTTCTCAAGGTTTTGCCATTGAGTGTTCGGCCTAGGCCGCAGCCATCTGTCGTGTCGAAATAGCGTTGTGGATTCATCAGGCTTCAGTGGAAGACAAGGGCCAGAGATATCCATAATTGATGGTGCTGGTAGTAGATGAATGCTGGAGTATGATTATTGTGAATCAGCGTGTGGCATACGCACAATGTATTACTGCTATGTCTGAAGCCGAAGGTTGAAAGTAACCGAGGATAAGGTTTCCGATGGGATCACCAGGAAAAGGTTCAATTTTATACACAGCCAAATACATGTTCAAGGAGCACCACCTTGTCTGTATTGGGGGGTGACACACGCCCTGTGAAGGAGGAACACCGCCCTGCCATGTACTAAAGCCAAGAGGGTGTGCGAGATTAAATAAGGCAACAAGATTTCTATACAGAATGAACCAGCAACGCTCGCACCGCATTTGGATGCATCAACAACGTGATAACAGATGGTTTTCTTGTGGACGAGTCTACGTGATGTAGTAAGCCACGTCTTGCTGCAGAAAGACCGAGTATTTGTTGCGTAAAAAAATGACTTTGAGACCCTGAGAAGGTTTGAGAATATGTAACACATGAGCCCAGCCTGCTCTGGTCTATCAGATCGTTGCGACATTGACACCGAACAAGGGCTTTGAACAGTCTTCCACGCAGAAAAAGCCCTACCGAGCCTTCGTCGCCCAATCCCTACGGCGCTCCAGTCATGGCCAACAGGATCGGCAAGTTCATAGCACTGCATCTCTCTGGGGTGGTCATCTCTGCAGGCTCTAGTCCCGACCCTGCAGCGACAGCCCTGGAATTCTACCATTTCAGCCCAAAATGACTTTTTTCCAACGACTTTCTCTAGCACATGCGTTCCCCGCGTGTCGGAAATTCTGCCTAGGCACCAAGTACTCTCCAACTCGATTGGCGTATGGAACAATGATTTACGATGCATTCGTGGAAGGCATCCAATCGCATTGTACAACGTGTCGGGGCGTGGGACTTTCTGTCAGCATGCTTATATTTCGGAGACCGATCAGCAGAAGAAATGCTGTCAAATGGATGTTATGCCCAAGTCAGACCACCCATCTATATAAACAAATGCTACATGACCAGCAAGTATAAGTGCTATCTGAATTTACAGGTCTTCCTGAAAGAACGATTTGAAAATAGTGGCAGCTCCAACCAAGGTATGATACTTGCCACGAGGCCGGAGCCATCATTTGACCTAGCTGTTGATGTCATTAGCTGGAGCTCATGGTACACATGGTGTAGGCTGGTAAAGTGGCAATAAGTTGTACGTCATGGTACTGTTGGAGCAGTTCTTCCAACACGCCCCCTGCTTTCGAAAATATATAACAGAACTGGACAAGTGTGCCGATGTGTTTACGCTACTATTAATAATATTTGCATGTGACTCGAACACCAATACATTGCTTCAGCTACTCATTACGAAACCTTTTTATTGCGTCCCACGCGGAGTATCTTTCATAAAGACGATATGCTATCTATCACCAGAGTCCCTCACACACGTCAATTATGCTGGATGGATCACGAATTCATTCCATGATCCGGTCTCTATTTGGGGTGGGCCTGAGGTCCAGAGCCTTACTCTCACATCCCCTCACCCTCAGCCATGTGTGAACAAGATCTACCCCACCCAGACAGTCGGTGTGCATGTGCATGTGCACAAGAACGTGTCACAAGTTTCACTAGGGTGAGCTACGGGCCGTTCCTGCATAAGCCGACAGACTAGACTGATCCTAAGTTTCGCCCGTCACGGTCCCGTCTCCAGCAGCTCTCAGGCTTAGACACCGGCACGTCATGGTTCGTTCGCTGGCGGACTGACAAGTCAAGAGTACGGAGTACTCAAATTTGCACGCTCCTGCAGCAATCACCACCGCTGAACTCGAGCAAGGGCAGACCAGTTAGGCTTTTCCCTCGCTGTTACTGGTACTAGATCAGTATTAGTAGCCTTCCCGCTTCCAAATCAAGTGACATCTTTTCACAACCCCCACTTTTGTTCATCAAAACCCAGGTAGCACAAACGGTCGAACACCTCCTCGGGGGTCGAGCCGATGCCAAATTTTCACAGGGTGAGATAGCGTGGCTTCGTGCTTACTAGCAGTCAGTGCTCTTCCGAGACTGGCTCCCAGCCGATCCGATGTTCGCGAGGCGTGCTCGACCACCTCAATGTATAGTCAATAGGATCTAGAGACAGGTACTGAGGAAGACATAGAACAGAAAACAGTGCGAGACTGTTTTATACCACATCCCATGGCATTTTTGCGAGCCCAGCAAAAATGTTTAAGACTTCCGCAGGTGGTAACGACTCGGCAGCTTGCCGGTGCCGGCTCCAACCCGATGAGTCGGTTGCGCTTATGCTCGAACACGGAAGTGGACATTCGGCAATTTGGGGTCAGGACTACACATCAATGCCGATCCTTTTGCGCATCGGATCTCTATGAAATACGTGCAGCTATGCATGCGCACGCATGCACGCGCACATATGCACGCATGATTGACAAGAAGGGCTGCAGAAAAGTGGCTCGGACCGAGTATTCAGCGGGAGGGGAAGCACTAGGTGTAGTTTTAGCCAGCCACACATCCCAATTTAAAGCAAGCAACACACGATAAGATAAGTGCACGTCATACTGTTAAAAGACAGGGGAGCGAATGCGGTTATCTGAGTCCGAATTCGGGTTTCCGCCCTGCGACGCGATTTCATCCCGCGAGTCCATTCTGCTTCGCAGGATGGAAGGCCCATCAATTGATTCCCACCTGCCGTTTGATATTCTGGCGGGGCTACTGGGTTTGTCCGTGGTAGCAAGATATTCTTCATGTGATCGTGGGTCAGAACACGAGCGCCGGGATCTCGTGGGAGTGGGTCCAGTAACTAATTCCTCCGGAAACAATCCCATTGGCACATGTTGTCTCACCGGTCGCTGTCAAAAAGCATGCTCACATATGTACACGGGGAGGGGTGGAGTGTACTGATGATGATGTTTTAGCTTCACCGTCACGGTCTTCGCACACAACGGCGTGCCCGCGGCCTGTGCCTAGTGGGTTCTCATGTTCCGTTCCTACGTCTTCTCGATGATTTCTGCTGCAAAACATGCCCATCGTGTAATTTAAAGTGTTGCACAAAGGCAGCCGGCTGGTGAGCCGAGGCCGGAACGCTAATAGTAATCGGGTCCTCCTGACGTGGTGATAGCCCAACCAAATTCGACTGTCTTCGACCCCTTGCCCTTGATTTGGCGCCAGTTTCTAGCGTCATGGTGATACAGAAGCAGTATGATACGAAGGACTCGTCTCGCCGGTTGACAACCAGCGCTGTCGAGTTACGCCTCCCGATTCAACTTACGGGGATATAAAGAGGATGTTACTCCGATCTAGATGGCTAGAAAATAATTTAGGTGCTCCATTCTGTACTCTAATTGTGCTGTGTTCTATCAATCAGCCGTGGAATATCTATACATTCATTATCTTCTGTGAAAGACCGGAGCCAAACATCGGCTGTCACCTCCCCTTCCCCCACGGCCCGGGTGTCTCCTCCCCTTCACCCACAACCCCGGCGTGCTCCCGCGCGCACGCACGCACACGTACACACATGTATGGATGCATATCTGTGTCATGTACGCATCAATGCCTACATGCGAGTCCCATACCGAGCACTGATTTGTATTTAATGGAACAGAGACAGCCTCCTTCCCCGGGCTCAAGCATTGCTCGCGGCGTGAAATTCATACTCGACCACTCTCTCAAGAGTCTCGAAACACAATCGGACACAAAGGAGTTGGCAACACTCTGTTGAAAGAGTTGCAATACTAGTTCACTGTCCCAGTTTTCCAGTGGCAGGATCGTCCAGCCGTCGCGAGATAGGGGTGCAATCTTGGATTGCACTACCAAGACCATGGTAAGTGCTGACTTCTGTGACCGGCACAAACAACTCTTCACAGCATGCCGTGATATGCCAGCAACTGAAAGGGACGCAGCCATCCTCATCTTCGACTAAGAAGGACAAGGGCGTCAAACAAGCAGTCAGATGTTACTGGTATTGTGTGAGCATATTCCGTTCACTAGAATCCACGAACGCCGAGTCCTCGACCTTACTGACTCAAAGTAGTGCATATGCAGCTGCGGGCATCAGTCGATAAACCAGACGGCTTGCCCGGCATGTTTTCACGGACGTTGCGCTACTTGCATTACAAGAAAGCTGAAGATGTGAGCCGCACGCCGCAGGGGTACAAGGTAGTAATACAGCATCGAACGGAAGCCAATCAGCAAGGATATCAGCGAGGTGTGGGAGGAATTTTCCGAGCATCGCCATTGGGTCGCCCCGCACGACAGCCAAGTTCTTCAGGCTCTTCCAGGATGGGTTGGTCGACACTAAATTGGTTGGCAAAGTACCCCTTGGAGGCTATCAGCAACGTGGTCTACTTTACCGCCAGCGGAGCAACCACTCAAGAGGTGCCCAGAATAGCATTCCTTGCACAAAAAGGATCTCAGGACAACCAACACGGCGTTAGGTTGGATAGGTTCCACTGCCACAGTCTACTTCAGAGGTCTTGGTCTCCTCAAAAAGGAAACGACAGTAGATGTTTTCTGGTGCGGGTGTAAGATAGAGCTCAATACGACAGTACGCACCTTCACCGCTACACGTTCTTCCTAGGGTTCGCCATTCGCCCGCAGGCGTCTGACTGTGAGATCCATTGCCAGCCAAATCAGCGTGCTGGAAGAGTGAGAAGGGGATCATCGGGTGTTGTATCTTACAAGTTGCCTTACTTGTCATCCTGCAAATATATCATATGCTTCCCCCGGAAGCTTGGGGCTTCGATGCTACCTGGTAATGCATCTCAAATGAGGATTTCTTTTTTTGCTCTTCTCTTTTGCTCATGACAAAATCATTGCCGTACAAGAAGGCATCGTCCGCCTCTTATTAATCAGACCTAGCCCCCAGGTGAGGACGCAGGCTGACCTTGGTCAATCATGACAGCCCGAGGAGTGGACCGATATCCCGGGAAAATGCACATTTTCTTAGCCCCCCCCCCCCGCGTCCCAAAGCTGGGGAACTCTTCTCGAAGCCCAACGTCGCACAAGAGGATCCATCTGGCGGTGAGAAGGCCATAATTGATGCCCTATGAGGTCGGCTCCGGTGTACGTCGAGGGCGCAGCTCGCCGGTATAGAGTGGCAACCCATGCCACATGGGTCTTCCTCTGTTTCACCATTTGCTGCATGCAGTGCTCTATATATCCATACAGCGATATGAGGCTCCATCGAGGTTCCATCGCGCGACATTAAGCTGGGACAAGCGACCGGTGAGCTCACCTGACCTATACCAACACCATTTCCGGCCGCCTCAATATTCAACATTTCAGTAGTAATTGATGACTACTTTCCTTTGATTGAAGTTGGGCTCCAGAGTGTGACTCTGCAGGGACAGCAGGTCGTGATAAGAGGAGGGATGGGCCGTGAAAATCGAAATGCAATGTCCAATGTGTCCCAAGGGAACCAATCGCCAGTCTATATACACAGCCCGGACGCCGACATATGCTTTGAGAGTTCCCGTACACTTTTGTTACAGCTCCCCAACGGTGTCATGTGGTGCGATGGGGGCTCGCCCAACGGCCGAGGCCAATACAGCCTCCTTTGACCGCTGCCTTCGATTGGGATATCGGAGTCCCGCGCAGTGACTGAAGGATGTCCTGCACTACCACCATCCCTTCTTCTTGGGCTGCTCCGCCTCTTTCGTGTGTGTCTGTGATGCCGTCGAGTCCTCGATACCGAGACGGTCCAGCGGCCCACCGCTCCGCTGCGCCTCCTTCTCCTTCTCAAACGCCTCGCGGGCCTTCCTAAGCATGTCCTGCTTGTCCTCGAGCGAGCGCGGCGCCTCACTGCTGCCAGTCGTGTCCTGGGTCGACTTCTTTGACGAGAACCATCCAAACAGACCGGACGACTTGCCTTCGGTCGATGCTGCGCCCCCGGATGCCGCCGCCGCCGCCTGCTCGCCTGACCCGGGTGCCTCCTCGTCCCTCCTGATTGGGGCCGGCGCGCTCAGTATGCTGGGCAGCTTGAAGTCTCCTCCGGCGCCGCCCGCGCGGGCGTTGGCCTCCTCCACCAGCGAGATCTGTTCGTCTGACGCGTCGCCCCTCATGTACGCCAGCCGCGCCGCCTCCAGACTGTCGGCCGACATCACCCTCTGCGCCTCGATGAACTCTGCCTTGCGCTTGCGGTTGTACCGGAGCATGTCGTATGCTGTGTATGCTGTGAGGAGACCGGCGACGGCTGTCGAGGTAGCAAAATTAGTTAGCATTTAGACGTCCGTAGAAGAGATGAAAGGAGCTCGTGGAGGGCCCGGTGCGTACCCGTCAGCCCCACCAGGCTTATGACCGTGATCCTGTGCGCCGAGTCGAAGAAGGGCCGTGACTTTGCGATCAGCTGGTCGAACCGCGATACCTGGGCTGTCTTGGCCCTCTCGTGCGCCGCTCGTAACCGTGCCACCCGCTGTTCTGGGGTCTCTGAGTTTGGTGCTGCCGCTCGCGCGGAAGCTGCGGCTGGCTTCCTGGGTGCCCCTCCTGCCCTCGGTGGTGGTGGGAATCGCGATGGGCCGGCTTTGGAGGATGCATGGGGTGTCGTCGCCGTGAACCGGGTCGCCGAGGAGGCGCTCCTCTCTCCGTCCTTGGCTGCCATTGCGTGGGTAGTTTTTGCTCTCACTGACAGAACTGCTACATGGGCGTGGGATCGACAGTAGGAGATCAAGCCGGGAAACAGGCGTGAGGGTGTGGAGCTGCTTGCTTGCGAGACAGCCGGGAGCTTGGGCAGAATTGTATGATGCGATGCGAGTGGTGAGATTTTCCTTCGGCTCGGAGTACCTGCCCGGGGGAGCTCCAAAGCCTGGAGTCGGCCGGCAGGCTGGGCAGCCAGCAAGCTTCCAAAACGGGGAAAGGCGGTCAGATTCCGGACGCGCACCCGGCAGAATCCCGTTCCCTTGAATATATAAACCCCCATCCCCTTCTGCGGTGGGTCAAGAATCACTGTAGTTAGGTTGGAAAGCCTGCATAGCACATCGTGGCGCTGACCAGCTTGGTTTGCCCTGCGGGGTCAACCTGGGCGGAATTTTTGATGCCAAACAATCGTTATTTTCATTGAGCTCGTCGCCTTGCGCTTCGACTTGAAGAAGAAAACACGGCGGTGCAGATGACTGTCGACTCTGCGCATCGTCCGTGGTCTATGTCAACTGGCTTCAATTCATTATTTACCAGACTTACCATTCTGTCTACCATGCCTTGAGGGTCGACCTCAGTCGACGGTGCACAAAGTGATGGCTTCAGCAACCCAGTAGAAGTCCATGACTCTTAACCATGTGCCTACGATAGCACATCGACTTGACTGCATGTGTGTGTTGTGCTTCTGCGAGATATCATCTCCCGTCGTGGCGACCGTACTCCGCCCCTCGCTGACGGTGATTCCCGACCCAAGATGTCTGCCTGCCTTGGATGTGACTCACACCCAACCAGCGCCATCACGTAGTCACAGTCCTTTCCCAGTCACGGTTCTCTCCCAGCCACAGTTCTCTCCTAGTCATGGTTCTCCCCCAATTACAAATCTCTCCCAATCACCATTCTCTCCTAGTCACGGTTCTCTCCCTTTCCCCAAATCACCTGGGCTTTGGGCAACAAGGAATTAAATAAGCAGCAAGAAAAAGGCGGGTGAAGTGACAGGAGTTGGCGAGCTGAACCATCAGCTTCAGGTGTTATTGCAGTGTCTGTGTTGGGAGACGTTTCCTGACAAGAGAGTGTGGCAGACTCTGGTTACCAAGGTAAATCAAAGTTTTGAGATATCCTGGGTGTTTTGAATGGAGTCTAGTACACCCCCAGCTGGTGTACTCATGTAGCTCATGAAAGAATATGCTTACAGTTGACACTCCAAATTGAGATCGATGTTGCTACAACCCTGGAACTAGCCACTCTCCCGCGACAAAGTCCTCGAATACTGTTCTGCTACACCGAGACGATCTCAACAACAGCACGGGTCCGATTTCGACTTTAGAGAAACTAAAGAGCATGAAGTGACTCGAGCTTTTGCTGACCGACGCCCCGAGGTTTGGTCCCGGCTAGCTTGGTCCCGCCCATGACCTGCCCCGAGTCTACGCAAGTTGTGTCAACGCATGTTTCACGATTCAGCACATTAAGATGGCCATGTTCTAGAGCACGCCAACCGAATGGTATACAGGCGCCTAGGCACAACTTCAAATCTCGACATTACATTGTAAGTACTACATGTTGTAGATGTCCCCTCAAAGCGTCATACAGATCAGAGCACCTCTCATCCAGAAATGTCCTGATCCCTGCGGCTCGAGTTTTAGTTCTCGTCCTCGGCGTTGGCCTCCTCATCGGCGGCGGCCTCGTCTTGCGCGTTCTCCTCATCGGCGGCAGCTCCATCCTGTGCATTCTCGTCCTCGGCGGCAGCTCCGTCCTGGGCGTTTTCGTCCTGAGCATTGGCCTCCTCGTCGGCCGCAGCCTCCTCATCTTGCGCATTCTCGTCCTGCGCGTTGGCATCCTCAGCGTTGGCGTCTTCCGCGTTGGCGTCTTCCGCGTTGGCGTCTTCCGCATTGGCGTCCTCCGCGTTGGCATCCTCAGCGTTGGCGTCTTCCGCATTGGCGTCTTCCGCGTTGGCGTCTTCCGCATTGGCGTCCTCCGCGTTGGCATCCTCAGCGTTGGCGTCTTCCGCATTGGCGTCCTCTGCGTTGGCATCCTCGGCAGCGGCCTCCTCGTCCGCGTTGGCGTCTTCCGCATTGGCGTCCTGGGCGTCGGCCTCCTCGTCGGCTGCGGCCTCGTCCTGGGCGTTGGCGTCTTCAGCGTTGGCATCTTCGGCGTTGGCGTCCTCCGCGTTGGCATCTTCCGCATTGGCGTCTCCCGCATTGGCATTGTCTCCGGCAGCAGCCTCGTCATCGGCAGCAGCTCCGCCTTCCGCATCGGCGGCCTCAGCATCGGCACCGTCGGCAGCAGCACCGGCGTCGGCACCTCCCGCGGCCTCCTTGGACTGGTCGAGAACGGCAGAAGCCTGGTCGGCCAGGGCGTCGTCCTTGGCGACCTCGGAAGCATCAGGGTTGTCGGTGGACGCGTCGAACTGGACGTCCGCGGAAGCGGAACCAGCCTCGGCGGCATCGTCGGCGATGTTCTTGTCCAGCTTGGCCTGCTCCTCGGCCATCTCGGCGGCGACATCTTCGCCCTGTGCAGCCTCGATGGCCAGCCTCATGGTGGTGGCCGTGAGCTTGAGGACCTTGTTCTTGATTTTGCCGCGTCCGAGCGCAAGTGCGGCCTCACCGGGCTGGGAGGCGGCAATCTCGGTGTTGAAGCCTGCGATCTCTATTCACCATTGTCAGTTGGGAATTTCCATTTTGGTGATTTCAAAAGTTGCCAAAAAAATGTGCCTCGAGGGGTTGTCCGGAGAAGACATATAAGGAGTATCACCCAACCATGTCTGCAGTTGCAGTCATGAAGACATCTGGAGAGACATGCAAGTGATGACTTGGGTGTGAGAAGTTTTCTTACCGGCATCGTTAGCGATGGAGTTCACGGCGCTCAGGAACTCGATGTCCTCGGGGGCGACGGTGGTCAGGTCGGCAGGGAGGCCAGCGAGGGCCTGCTGGGCCTCTGCGGCGGCATCACCTGCCGTGCCGCCGGCGATAGAAAGATCGGCAAAGGTCTTGGCCGTGAAGACGGGGGCGGCCGTAGCCTGACGCTTCTTGCTGGGGGCGGCGGTGGCGAGCGAGGCCACGAAGCCGGTCAGGAAAAGAGAGAACCTCATTTTGACTGATTAGGTGGAAAGAAGGTATCCTGTAGGCGGATGGTCACACTGTATTATTCAAGCTCAACCGGGAGCAAACAGCACTGCTGTGGGAAATGAATGTATGTATCGGGGAGAATTATTCTGAAAGAGAGGATGAGAAGGAGATGATGGGGAGGAGTGAGTGCTGAGAAACATTATAGCCTCAAGGCCTCAAGTCGTCTTATATTTCATCTCGATAGTCGAGGATCTATCATCCCACATGGGAGGTAGAGACGACATGTCCCAAAATAGGATTTGGTGACCGAGACAGGACATAGGCAAGCGGGGCAGCCGTGGGCAGGTGAACTTGACACGCCTTGGCTGAAGGAGGAGAGTTCATCCAAGACGCGGATCCGAGTCTCAGGCGGGAAGGTCAGACCAAGCTTGGCGGTTACCCATGAGCCAAGCGGCCAAGCCAGAATGAACGACACAGATCTTTCATGCAGTTCCCGGGCTGCGATGACCGGATTCGAGGGACGCCAGTGAATCGATTCTCCGATCAGCCGGGTCGTCGTCGTCCGTGCAGTATGCCCTGTCAGTCCCGTTTCATGGTGTGAACAGCAAGATGGTCGTCTGCATAGTGTACGAGGGTGCGTCGCCACTGCATTGCATGCCGGCGGGAAGGGCGAGCTTGGATCAGGAGAGGTGCTCGACTCGTAACCCCAAGGGGTCATTGCGACGGGTCACAAAGATCCAATGAACGAGATCTGGAGCAAGTGATGGTGGGATTTGTGTGGCCGAGGTGTGACCGTCGAAGCTTGATGATGTGCGAGCCTCAAAGGCTTGTGTTGCAAGGCGTCTGAAGCCAAGGAGGGAGTTTCGTGGGGACCAAGATGCAGTGCTGGAGATCTGCGGGTGGCAGGTGCTGACTGGCCCTGGGGAAGGTGCAGGAAGGTGCACCAAAGCGCAGTCTCCTGCCTCGCCCATGCCAGAGGCTGCGGCAGCCACAACCGTCAGTCAGCCAGCCTGCGTCACCATCATCTTCGGGCTGCCTGGCAGTCCGTCTCTTGTATGTGTCTCGGCTGTATTGAACACTTCAATGTCGCTCCATGAGATGAACAGTCACTGTCATTCATCACGCCCCTTCAGCCACATCCAGCTGCCAGACGTCTGCCTCCGAGATCGACAAACAGATCTGCTCATCATGGTAATAAGCTTCACACTTAAAAGAAGCTTCTAGATAAGATCTGGTATCACTGTTTGGTTTGGATTGGCCCGGAATCCAGGTTTTCAGAGGTTCTGGTTCACAAACAAGGGAGATTCCCGTCGGTTCCGGGCTTTCGCAGGATTGACCGATCTTGGTGCCGCCGGGACAATCTCAACCCCACAAAATATCCACAAATATCTACCGCCCCCCACAGCGTTCGAGTTGCATCCCGAACCCCTGGGTCTTGGCCCTGGAACCTCGCCTTTCCGTCGTCTCTGCCGGGTTTGATCGCAGGGTTACCACTTTGTGTATGATAGACACGTCCCCCGGCCACAGTCGAGACAACAGCACCCGGCGGCGGTGAACAGAACAAGGACAGGATGACCCCAGAGGACATAGAGGAGCTGTTCAAGCGCACCGACGGTGTGGTCGCGGTGGTGCAGCAGGGCTCTGGCGGCGACGAGGACGATGACGAGGAGCCCACCCTGACCGCGGACGAGACGAGCTACCGGATCGCCCGCCTCAAGGACGTCCTGCTTGAGGCCCAGAGTGCTTGGGATAGCGCATCTGAGGATCTTGACCGCATCGCCGAGAAGCTTGGTGATGGGAGCCGGCGCTGTGAGTGGCATCCAGCAGCATTTCTATTGGGACGACCGAATCTTTCTCATGCTGCAGCCCTACTGAAGCCCATTTGCCTTTCCTCGGCAACCGGAACAAAACATTTTTGTACTCACATCAGAATAGTTACCTACATGTGCTAATATATTTGTTTACATGCAGCCCTGTGGCGACTGCCAATTGGCGAATCAGGTCTCCTGGATTTCTTCCTCGGCATCCTTCCCACGCCTGACTTAAGACTACGCCTCAGAACCCATGCCCTTCGCTTGATTGGTAACTCATGTGCAGATACGGGTGAGCATTGTCACCATCCACCCCCTTGGCAGCATTAGACGAATGCTCACCAACGGACACCAGATGAAAATAGAGCCCGCGTCGTGGAGGGCGGCCACATCAACGCCATTATAGACCTCCTTCAGCATGATTCCTTGCTACCATATGTGATTACCGTCTTGTACAATATCTTGGTAGACTATGGTGAGTATCTATCCTCCATCTGCCACTGGAACGCAGAGTCATCAATACTAATACATTCTTCAGAACCAGTTCAACTGCAGGCCTCTGAGGCCGGCCTCAGCCAGCGGCTAATAAACCTCCTCGGAGGGCCTCGCCTCGAGACGTCCCGTCCCTTGATCGGTCTGATATGCAAGATCCTCGCCCTCCTCATCACACAGGAGCCCGAGGCTCGCATCGGGTCCCCAGCAACGCCGCGGGTCCTTCTCAGCATCGCCACCGACCAGGAGCACCCCGTCGAAGTCGAGGACTTCAGCGCCCTCACCTCAGTGGCACTCGCGTACTTGACCCACGAGACATTCCAGGCGAGCAATCTGGCCAGCGTCCCTCTACTCCTGGACGCATTCTTCATGGCCCACACGGTCTTCGACCCATCCGATACTGATGACCCTGACGCCGCGGCGCAGTTGAAGCAAGTCCGCACCGCCTTCGTCCCCGTGCTCGCCGATATCTCGGCGCTGCCCGAATTTATCACTGTGCCAGCCCAGGGCGCCGGCCAGGCACAGTTACTGGAACACCCCGTTCTCAAGACCCTGCAGGGCTGGTTAAGCGGCCCGCCCGAGCATCCCACCCTGCAGTCTGCGGCGTGCCTGGCACTGGGCAACGTGGCGCGCAGCGACACGACATGCGAGACCCTCGTTGGCGGCGCCGCCATCCACGAGCCGCTCATCGAGCTCTTGATGAGTTGCACGGGCAGCGGGACAGCAACAACAACATCAACATCACCGCACAACCCACAGCTCACGCATGCGGTGATCAGCTTCCTCAAGAACCTCGCCATCCCCGCCGCCAACAAGCCCGCGCTGGGCCGCCTGCTGGAGCCGGGCCTGCTGCCCAAGCTGTGGTCCACGTGGGGCGACACACAGCCGCAGTCCCAATTCGCAGCCGTGTCGCTGGGGCGCTTGCTGCTGGTGAATTGCCCGCCGAACGTGGGGAGGCTGTGCAAGCCGCTGTCGGGCTTCGGTCCAGATTCGTCGGATGACACCCGCAAGACCAACCTACACGTCCTACTAGGCCTCTTCGATCGCAGCGACGTCGAGCCGACCAAGACGGAGGTCGCCCGGGCCGTGGCGAACGTGTGCCGGACCCTGCACTCCGCGCCCGTGGAATCCGTCCTGTCGGAAGAGTGGGAAGAGGCACCACCACCAACATCATCCTCTGCCGAGGACCACGACAGCACCACGCAAGAAGCGCCCAACCACAGCTCCAGTGCCACAAGCACAAACACGGAAGACCCCTCTTCCTCCCCCACCGAAACCCGCCGCGCGCACTTCTACGCCGCGCACCACCCGTCCCTCCCAAGGGCACTCTCCCTCCTCCTGACCCAGGCCCGCTTCCCCGCCCTACGGTCCGAGGCCTGGTTCGTCCTCGCCCTGACGAGCCGCCGCTCGCCCTCGGGCGCCCGCGTCGCCCGCACGGCGCTGGAGCCCGTGGGCGCCTGCCGCGCATTGGTCGAGGCGGTCACGGGGCGGCGGGACATCTCGGACGGGGACGACCTGCTAGCGGCGTCATCGTCCGGGAGTGCCGACGACACCGTCGAGGATGTGCTGAGCAACAGCACCGGCGGTGGTGGCGCGGGTGCCCAGCAGCAGCAGGGACAGGAGGTGGTCACGGTCGGCGGGGTGAGCATCGGGATGGAAGGCCTGGGCCTCGGGGACCTGCAGCCGCGGCAGGTCGACCCGGCGGCGAGGGCGGGCATGGCGCGGGTCGACCGGGAGAACGCGCTGTGTCTCGTTGCCGAGCTGGTCCGGGACGGCGCCGGTGGTGAGCTGGACCCGGCGAGGAAGGGCATCTACGAGCGGCTGCTGGTGACGGGCGGGGAGCTGGTTCTGAACTCGAGGGGCGAGGGTGCTAGTGGGTGATGGGGGTTCTGCAGCAGTGAGTTCGGTTGGGATGTCTACGAGATTGGATGGGTTGGATCAATCGACTGTTTGGCCGTAGACTTGCATCCCTGGTTCGCATTCGGTCGATAGTGTAATACACACACATCTCACTATTTCCGGATCAAAGATGTGTTTTTACACTCATTCAAGGTCATGTGTTCACAAGCTTCCATTCCTGGATGTCTTCAATGCGTCCTACGTTGAGCTGCTGTTCGGGTCCTGGTATCTGGGGGGGTATCCATCATAGCCGAGGATCAAGATCTTTTTATTTTCCGGCTCACATTCCCATCATGGATCCAGTGAAAAAGAGACTTTTTGTATCATGACCAATCCCCTCTGCCTTAGCAGCAATGCAACCCTGACGACGCAGCCCAGAGACCAACCGAAAGACGACCGACAGAGTACCAGTTGATTTAAAAACCTGCTCAACCCGCCCGAACACCACCCAAGAAGACAACAAGCGAGAGACTGCTGGTCGCTTATTTCTTCTTGTCGGCCTCGGCCTCGGCGGCCTCCTTGGCGCGCTTCTCGCGGGCACCCTGGTTGCGCTTGTTGGCACGCTCGTTGCGCAGCTTGCGGTAGGCACCACCCTCGATGGGGGCGGGGAAGTCGGCCTTCTTGATGGCCTTGATGGTGGTGTCGGCGTGGACGATGGGGAAGGCGGCGGCGGTGTTGGCGACGGCGTCGGAGACGGCCTTGAGCTCGTCCTTGGAGGAGTCGCCCTTCTTGGGCTTGTTGCTCTTCTTGGGGAAGAGGATCAGGCGCTCCTTGTAGGCCTTGAGGCGCTGGACGTTGGTGGCCAGGGACTCCTCGGAGATGTTCTGGCGGCGAGCATCGACGGCGATACCGATGGTAGGGGCGTACTGGCGGGGGATGCCAGCGGCCTAGATAGTGCCTTGTTAGAATCCTCCATCATTGCAAGCAACCTGCCGCAGCGTGCGCATATCGTGAACCAGGTCACGGTGGACATGGCTCGCCGGGCTTGTTGGTCACTTTTCGTCGGGTAGGTCAACGCACCTTCAGCTCAGCCAGGGTGAAACCACGGCCGGCACGGACACGACGGTTGTACTTGATGGTAGGGCATCGGACAACAGGTCGGAGCTTGTCGATGGGACGGGGAGCGACGGCAGCAGCCTTGGCCTGGCGGGCATTTCTGCGGGAGACCTTCTTGCCGGGCTGTATGTGATTCACTTTGTCAGATCGAGTCCAAAGATTTTTGCAGTATGCTCGGATGTTGAAGCGGGTCGTGGGTGTTCGCCCTCTCGTCCACCGCTGGGAGTCGGGATGTGTTCACGGAAATCGTACCTGGTCGAAGTGGGTTCGGACCCGACGCTGCCAGTCCTTGCGGAAGTCTGTAAAAACGCTGTCAGCATCGATGACGCCCAGAGGACGTTGTCTCGGCCGCGGTTGCGAGCTGGAGAGCGATCGAGGGATGAATACAAAAAAAGGGTAGAAACTAACGGTTCTTGACAATGGTCTGGTTGTGCTTGATCGCCTGTATGAGAAATCAAAGGGTCAGTGTCCTGACTCAATTGACGTCGACAGGATATATCCCCATGAAGGGGAGATCATTGCTGCTCACCATTTTGATGGTTTGCGCACAACAGCTGGGCTTGTTGGTTGTCGGGTTGTGGTTGTCGTCGTCAAGAGAGCTTACCTGCTGCGATCAAGACGGAGAAATTTCATCAAGGCAAATTCGAGATTTGTGGTTTCGGTGGGAACCCGCCTGATTGGTCGGTGGGACCCACTCACTGCTGCCTGGATTTCATGGCAGAACATTTAGCGGTGGGACCTGCCGAGGAGGTGGAGTCGCAGGCGGCGGTCGACAGCTGGCGCCAGGTGGCAGCCGAAAACGATGATTGCAACTGCAGGTAGACTTCTATCTTCCACTTTACTTCATATCAACCATCCTCCAATGCAAACATGCATCAGATGCACATCTGAATATGGGATCTATCCTAAATACAACCTAGGTAGTCTCTTCACAGACATACACAGTAAATTTCATTAGGTGAAATCACATCGTGCCTTCGCTCCTACAATTTTCATGTCTAAGGAGTCTTCCATCCCTCCAAACCTTTGGGCTCACATTGCATGATCATGTGCCCCTTGAGGCAAGACTCACCAGTGGGAGCAAGGACTCAAAATGCTAACGCACTCGAAGTTTGTAAACAGACCTTGATAGAGTAGAAGAAACTCTCGATTCAGATGTTACTCAGCAGAGCATACGTCTTTCTCCCGGATCGGCAAGAAGGGCGCGGAGATGCAGTGACAGAAGGGCGTGGGCGAACAGCCAGCGACTTATATCAAAGCAGCCATCCCAGCTTACAAGCAGCGTTGACTATCGACCGAACCCACAACGAAACTGAAGCACAGAAGATTAATCCTCCCTTTGACCCTCAACATGCCCATCAAAGCAGTGCTCTTCGACTTCATGGGCACCTGCCTAGACTGGCACAGCGCCGTAGCCGCCTCTCTGCCTCCCTCCCTCCCGGAGGAGACCCGCTCGCAGTTCGCCCTCTCCTGGCGCCAGGCCTACTTCGACCACAACACAGCCCGCCTCGCCAGCGGCCAGCCCCCAGAGGACATCGACATCTCCCACCGGGCCACCCTCCGCGCCCAGCTCGCCTCATCCCCGCCCGAGGTGCAGGCCGCCTTCGCCTCCACGCCTGGCGCCGAGGAGGCCTGCATAGCGGCGTGGCACAGCCAGCCGGCCTGGCCCGACGTCGCCCCCGCGATCGAGAGGCTGCGGGCCGAGGCCGGCGGGAGGGACCTCGACGTCCTGGTCCACGCAAACGGCACCGCCCGCTTGCAGCTCGACCTGTGCCGCTCCTCGGGCCTGCGCTTCGACGCCCTCCTCTCTAGCGAGCTGCTGGGCGTCTACAAGCCCGCGCCGGCGAGCTACCGCCGCGCGCTGGAGCTGCTGCGGTGCGAGGCCGGGGAGTGCGTCATGGTCGCCGCGCACGCGTGAGCAATCCTCACCGCTTCTTTCCAGGTTTCCCTGTGTTTCTCGTCTTGATATTCCCTCTTCACTCGCCCCGTATTCAAACTCTTGATTACAATCAAGGGGGGGGGGGAGGGGGCTAAGAGATGAGAATGAGATCATGTAGATTGGTGTGCCCCCGGGCTGACACTATATGTCCAAAGGTACGACACCCGTGGCGCCAAGGCGGTGGGCATGAAGACCATCTACGTGTACCGCTGGACCGACGACATAAACGAGGACCAGGCTACTGTGCGGCGCGAGAACGACGTGTACCTGGAGAGCATGGACGGGCTTGCCGAGGCGGTGGCGCGGCTTGGCTCGAGCTGATGATGGGCACGATTTGATGACGGGCACGAGCTGATAATAAGCACGAGTGGATAACGGGCACGAGTGGATGATGGGTATAAGCTGGTGACAGACATGAGCTGATGACGGGCATGAGCGGGCACGAGCTACTGACGGGCACGAGCTACTGACGGGCACGAGACTCGTTTATCCCTCGTGAAGTTCCAGAAGGACGGCCGTACTTCGTCCACATCAAACACGATCCCCTTCCACTGTAATATCAGCCTACTCTGATGGCCAGCTTCATTCATGAACGACCAAAGCTCATGTGCATCCATGTTCCGCGGAGGGTCAGCAAACGACATCATGAAGCCATGTTCACTGATCTGGCCCGGATCGACGTGCTGCCGATGATGATGATGGTACTGGCCAGCACCTTCTGCGCCGACTTGGCCCTGTTGTTGGGGAGCATGCGCGTGCCCAGCGCTACCCGTGTGCAACGAAGCCGCACCCGGACGGACATTTTGTATAGCCTCATACTGGGGTTGGCCAGCGCCGTGGCCAGCTCCACTCATGCGGAACAAATGTGCGTGTGGACCGACGGGCTGCGCAGGATAGGGCTCCAACTGACCAGCGCCTTGTGCACTGCTTTCTCCCTCAGGCGGGTGGGCATATCCGCGACCAGCTCCTCTCGTGTAGGGTGAGGGCACATTCCGTTGCATACCCGCGAAAGAGTTGGGACGAGGCTCAGGCATCTGTTCACCGGCATATGCGTGGCTTATCCGCTCGACCTCGGAGGTATGTGCACGGCTGTGAGGATCTGGGTCGCCGTATGAACCGGCCATGCCCTGTGATTGGACCTGACCTCCGGCTCAGAATGACCGATGCCGAGCAAACTCTCGTCCCTGTGAATGTCCTGCATGGGGGGTTGCTGAAATCGAGGGATGCCCTGCGGAACGCTTGGGTCCTGGCTTCCAAAGCCATGCTCCTCGCCTCCGTGGTGATGTTACTTCTGTGGGCGGAGATTCCCCGTGCTAGACGGGGTAGTACTCTCGCGCGCTCTCTTTTGCTGTCCTGCACTGCTGTATGAGGCAGACCTGGCGCAGGAATGGGCCCTTGAACACTTGGTCAGGCATCAACAGCCACGCCGCCTCCTGCAATATGGTGAGCCGTGACTAGACTCGCTATCTGAAGGTTAAGGCGAGCCATGAGCAGCCGTGCTGGCTTGGACTGATAAAGGATGAGGAGACAAGTTGGGTTGATATTGTGGTGAGCTCCTCTCTGCACTCCCGCCCGATGAATTTGGATCTGCAGGGCGATGAGCAAGCGGAGTACCAGAAAACCCCTCGTCGTGGAGGAATGGACCCAGGCCGATACTCCAATGCCCTCATTCCTGAGTGGACGGTGAGAGTTGTCCAGGCATGTCTGGTCGAGCTGGGTCCTCACAGGAGTGATCAAAAAATGAACTACCGAAACACATTCTTTTAGGTAAGTCGCCATGCTCGGCACTATCCGGGTCGTACCCATGCTGATACTCCCGCTGGTTCATGTCATGGGCAAATGCCTCTGGGAAATGTTCAGTCATGTCGGGTTGAGTCGATGCTGGGCTGGGGTCAGACACCTGGATCTGAGGAGTTGGCGCGGCGGGTTGAGACACATTTAGTTGAAGATGTGCAGAGGTGGGTTCGGACACGCCTTGTTGAAAATTTGGCAGTTCATCCTCGTCTTCGCGATACTCGTGTTGCTCATATTCGTCTCCTTCATAATAGTCTTGTCGATTCAAACCTTGACTTTGGTTCAGCCAAGGCATTTCTTCCAGAGCCTCATCCGCATAAGCGCCACCGATTGAGGAACCCATCTGGGCGTATCTATTCGCCTTTTTGTCGCCGGACATCCCTCCATAGTTACCGGGGTCTCTCATGGTGGTCAGTACTTTCGGGCTGGCTAATGTTAGGCGACCAAAGGTACGGAGGGCCCTGTCTGAGATGTGTTATTTACTTCTCATTGTATTTAAGTCGGCGATGCCAAAGTCAAGGTAGGTGTAGAAGTCGAGCTTTTTGAACGCTTGTTGTGCTGCTAAAGAAAAAGGTTCTGTCCTGATCTTGGTGTAGGTTTATGTAGTTTTGGGAAGCCATCATGATTATTAGAAGAGTGGCCGTCACTAAATTCTCTGACTAGCTTACCGTTATGTCAGAACAGTTACTCGCAAATGTATAAGTGTCACTGTTTGAGCTGTGACAATGGAATCTGGCTGATTGAGTTTGCCTTTCCATGGAGTTCGATCCCACATAAGTCCAGACTGATTTGAGTGACTGTTTCGGAATCCTATGAAGAGCCCTTGGGCATCTGCCATCATACAGTATTGATGGACTCTGCACCTTGACCAGATACGAAGCAGGTTGTCCCAATAGCATGTGGTGCCAGTCAAGGGAATGGATGGAATATGCTCCGCTTCCATGAAATGGATCTGTCATGGATGTACCAAAAGAGTGGCTGTGGCTCCGCTGTCTCTCTGCTATTCAACCATCGGTCCTCCTGTGGTTTATATGCCACAGCAGTATCCGTGTTCGGAAATAAGAAAGACTTATTTCTCTCGAGATTCTACCACTCCTGCGGTCGAGGTTCTAAGAGAGAGGAACATTTCAATTGTCCATTCATACATCTGGAAAGGGACCACATTCCTGTGATTGAGGCCGAAGTGACAGACATGTCTGACCCAGACCATCTTTGGAAAGCAGCTTGTAATGTCTGTTCCATAACGCAGGCACTTTTGAGAGCTACATATAAAACGTAGGGCCGGGAGTTATAATGGGATTTTGGAATTATCATTATTAGGTCAGTAGAGCCTCGCCCACCAACACGATCGCTCACCCCGGAGCGAGGAGGTCTACACCTCATGAGAAAGCAAAAGGGCCTGCCACACATTTCCCGGCACACGCAACAGGTGCCCTTCATAAATCCCCTCTCGTCATGATGACCGGCAGAAAGGAGGAGCTGTGACCACCCGCTTCCCGCATGTCGTGCGTATCCCAAGATCGTGATCCAATTTCGTATATACATCATGCATTTTGTTGTGGCGGGCCGTCATCCACGCGCCGCTCAGCAGGTATCGAAAGAAGTTTTCCCCCAGCGCGCGCACACAGATACGCGAACCTCTCAGTAACGCCACAGACTCCACTGCCAAGTGAAGCATTTTTCTCAAACAGGTATCCATGCCTTATGCCTTTGCACCAAAAGTGGGAAGAAAATAGAAAGAATACGCAAAAAAGAAGTTGAACAAAAAAGAATAGAACGCAAAAAAATGCATCGCCACCAAAATAACATCTACACTCAATGGTTCCGATCACCAATCAGGTCGTCCACCCACCCCAGCCGGTCTCGATTCTCATCACAGACCCGGGGCGAACTCGAGCAAGAGCCTCCACACGTACAGCAGCATGTCGTCCCTCCTGAGCACCATCTCGCTCCAGCTCTTGCCCGTCTCGGCGATCATCCTCGCGGCGGCGTCGCCCTTCTCGTCGCGCGTGAAGTAGTCGAGGATGCCGTACAGGTCCTGCAGGGTGTTGTCCATGGGCGCGAAGTGCAGCCACGGCTGGAGGCGGTCGTCGTGCCACTCGGCGTAGACGGTGCTCTTGGGCAGGGAGCTGCTGAGAAGCAGGCCGCGGTAGCGCGCGCTGAACGAGTTTCCGTCGACGTCGGGCATGAACTTGTTGACGTACTGCTCGGCCATGGGCTTGGACTCGACCTCGCGGAAGTAGGGCGCCAGGTACGTGCAGTTGCCGTCGCGCGGGAAGCAGATCAGGTGGTTGAAGCCCGCGTCCGAGTGCTCCGACAGCCACTGGCCCAGCGTGCCCTCGCGCCGCCGCGGGAAGTCGTACGTGTGCAGCGGGGGCATGTCAAAGGTCATGGCCCTCGCCCCGTTCCGCTCGATGTTGGACACGGTGGTGCCGTTGAGCATCTCGATGAGGCGCAGGCGCTGGAAGTGCATCCAGTTGCTCTCCTTATGCCGGCCCCCGCTTGCGACGCCGCGCCAGGTGATGCTGGTGGTCTTCTTGTCCCAGGTCGGGCCATGGGACGCGCCGCCTGAGTAGAAGGGGTCCTCGGTGAGATACATGGCGCCTGGAATGAGGATCTCGTTATTCATGGGCAGCTTGCTCCCGCCGAACATGGGAATGAGCTCTTTGGTCGTGGACAGGCTGAGCGGCTCGATGAAGGTGCCGTGCAGGGCGCGGAGGTGGGGCTGCAGGCAGGGATCGGAGGCGGCAGTGAAATTCTTGACGTAGCCGTTCTCGCTATACTCTGGAGCCCAGTCCTCGGGGAAAGCAGGTGGCAAGGAGAAGTCGGTCAGTGCGCTGACGTTGCGGCCCGGGGAGTCTGGTGAGCAGGTAACTCTGGCCAGGTCCCAGTACTTTGGCGAGTCCTGGGTGATCCACTGCGGTTGATAGGCATGAAGCTCCTTGTCGATGTGCATCCACGACAGCCCCTTGTAGTCCTTGATGACGTCCTCAACTGGTATGACCTTCCTCCAGATCCTTGCCTTCTCCACTAGGTCGTTGATCTCCTCCCAGGGCACCAGTATCCGGCTCTCATCCTTGTAGTTGATAGGCATGTCAACCTCTGGCAGGAACTGCTCAACCTCCTTGACCAGATCCGTCCAGAGCTGCAACCAAGGCACCCTGCCCTCGGTATCCCCAACCCCCATCGCCTTCCCGTCCCTCACGCGCACGACATGCTCCGACGTAGCAGCCCTGCGGGCCGTATCCCTGGCGTCGAGGCCCCAGAAGGGCTGAAGGTCATGGTAGATGCGATCGAAGAACTTCTCCACGATGACGGCATCATGCTTCAGGGCGTACTCGGCCCATTTGTCGAACCCGGGCGGCGGGTGCCTGCCCCTGCGCACACGATAACGGGCGGCAGCACTCCTCAGGTCGGTCGACCTTTGCTTAAGCAGGTCCTCCTGGGCGCGACGGGCATCTGCTATGAGATCGTCGATGGGGTGGGGCCCTGCACTGGCGGCGTCGGAGAGGATGTCGAGCAGCTCGGAGTCGGTGGCAGGTTTCCGCCACGGCGGAGAAATATCTGAGAGAGAAGGGGGGATGAGGCGAGTGGCAGTCTCAGATGAGCGGAAAAGGAGCAGCGAGGAGAAGAGTAGTGTGAGGCAGCATGCGACGAAGCAGTAGCGGCCAAGGGAGGGATAAGAGAATATGCGGCGTCGGTTGACCTTGGCCCACCCGCCAGGGCTGATGGGCGATTGCAGTGCCTGGTACATCTGGGCTCCGACGTCGAGACTAGACGGGAGCAGCAAGGACGAAAGGTAGGCGGCAGTCAGTGCCACTCGCGCGGGCTCTGTGCGAGTGGCTGGCTTTGTGAGGAGGGTAGTAATCGAGGTCGCTCCCTTGCGATGACAGATCGATGTCGTGATGGCAGGTGAAGCAGGTCAAACGAGCGTAGTGGGCACGAAGGTGCCGCTTAGGAGATGAGAGAAATGTTTCCCTCGAAAGAATAAGTGTCGCTCGCCCAGTGAGCAAGGTGGCAAGGCAAATCGCTTCAAAAAAAAAAAAAAAAAAAAAGCCAGGAGGTTGAGAGAATGATCAGCAACCAGCCACAGACGGGGCCGACGAGGTGGTTGGACCGGGTGGACTGGTTGAACTTGATTGCCGCCAGAATGAGCGGGCGCGGGGAGGTGGAGTCGGTCGTTCCTGTTGTAGTGGGATATTCATTGGCGATTCATTGAGGTGAATGCGAAGGCGAGGATGTCTAGTCAGGAGCTGTCGGGATGGCTGCAAGCAAGCAGACAATCAGACGGGCTGACAGACGAACGGACCAAAAAGTAGGTAGGGAGCAGGGAAATTCAGGGACGCCCCCAGGTGAGAAAAGGTTGGTGGGATGCAGCAGGTGCAGGCAGATCGTGCAGACGCGCAGGCGTGCAGGAGGGCGAAGAAGAGGAGGAGATTGGTGCTAGCCCAACTCAGGATGACGGGCGAAAGATGTCAAGTGTGTTCTAGATGCAAGACAATGGGACATGGGGCGGGTGGGCTATGAGGGACTATGGTACTATGGGACTATGGGACTATGGGACTGGTGTTGATCCTTCGCTTCGGTCCAGCGCTTATCTTGTTGCGAACCAATGTAACAAAATGGGTGCGCCGCTTGGCGGCTAGCCTGGGCCTGTCTGGTCTTGCTGGATATCTGGCTGCAGGGAGAGAAGAAAAAAGCCGGAGGAAAGAGACGGGTTGAGACAGGGTGAGACGGGGTAGGAGACGGATAGAAAGAGGCCTCGCCCACGGGAGGAAATTATGACGGGATCAGGGAGCTGGCGATCGAAATGCGGGCTGGGTTGGCGTTTTTTTGCCCGTCAGCCAGCCCGTTTCCCGCCCGTTCTCAACCACGTCTCCAGCAGGGCTGGCAGGTGGCACACTGAGTGACTGACTGTGTGTCTGTGACTGGCTGACTGGCTGATCAGACAGTCAGATCGGATCGGATCTGCGCCTCCTTTCTGATCAACAACCGACAGCAGCAGCATTGTGGCAGCCCTCCAGGTCCGCGAGGTGGCGTGTGCCACACAGGAAAACACAAGCACAGAAGGATTCCCGTCTGCCTGGGGCAGCGGGGGGCAGCCAAGCTAAGAAGTTGCGTGACCATGGGGTATTGGCATTGCTCGCGTGTCATCCTGCCCGCTAGCCCGCCAGCCCGCTAGGCATGCAGGTGTGGCACTTGCCCAGACCCGAGATTGCGGCCGCGATTGCGACAGGACTGTGTGGTCGCGAAGGGGAGAAGACAAAAAGGTAAAATCCCTCCAATTCACCCTTCTTCTAGATGAGACGAGGTGCAGTTGGACGTTGATGCCAGAGTCGGGGTCCAAGGTTCCAGGGTCTCGGTTGTTTTATTAGTCTGGGTTTAAACTTTGGATGGATCTGAGCCTGAGCAGTGACTCTTGCTCCCTCCTCAAGGTTTCCTCTCACTCAAGGTTCCGCCCAAGGTTCCCCTCAAGGTTTCGCGCCCAGGATCTGTCCGTCCCACGGACGTGACCGTTGCCTTGTCACCACCTGTCAGCCCCAATCTTGAGATCCAAATCCCACCTACCCGTTCGTCCAGCCTCTTGGGTCCCGTCTGGCCCGTCTGGTCTGCCAGCCCGGTCGCTAGCTGCCTTTCGCAAGGTTTGCCACGGGCGAAGCTTGGGATGCTTGTTGTCGACGTCGACCCTTCTTGTACCAGCTTCTCGGGTCACTGCCGACATCAACCCAGACATGCACGACGCCACAGCATCCCTCTGAATACAATGCTGACGAAAGTTTTGGACCGTCTCGTGTGCTGCTTGGGTGCATCGAAAACAGCCGCGTCATGTGTAGATTGGCACGCGAGTCAATTTTCGCCGACCGAGCGTCGACCCCCCATCGGCCTTCTGGTTTCCCTCCTTTGCCGATTGTCTCCCGATCACCGGCCCACACCTCCCACCGGCAACTCTTCCGTACCCGCACCCACCACACACAAGAGACACACAATCAGTCACTTGATGAATACCGACTGCCTACTACCGTCGACCGATCGCATCATCGTTGTCGCCGGCTTCCAATTGGCCTTCCTCACCACACACCATACCGGCTGTGTCGTCGTGCCGGACTGCCCACGGGATGCCTATCAATCCCACCCCACTCCGCCTGCTCGAGTTGCCTATCGCCGGCTGCTGCTCGTAGCCTGTGCCCTGGTCGCACCCGGCGCCATGAGACAATCGGCACGGCTAGAGAAACATGGGCGAGGTAGGCGATATTTCACAGGTATTATCTTCTTCGAGTGAAGAAGCTGCGCCGTTGGTATTCCTCACTGGTCGTTCAATCGCTTTCGATTGAACCTGCAAGATGCAATTCTCTTTGCTTGCTTTCTTTGCGCCTCTCGCCCTAGCGTCCACCGTACCTCGGTACGGAGGCCGTGGCCAGGGACTCGATAACGATGTTGCAGACTTCGAATGCGACCTTCCAAGCCCCCTCGACCCCTCCGGCGATGGCCTTCACTCGGCCCAGAAGCTCTTTAGCTCCCAGGCCGCACTGGCACAGCAGGTAGGAAGGCACTCAGCCCTCGTCAAGGTACCTTCTATATGCTACGACGACCTGGGTCCCTTTGACGAGGATCCGCGATGGAAGCCATTCTACGAATTCCATGATGTGCTAGCCGAGACCTTTCCTCTGGTGTGAGTAGCTCTACAAGCTCCAAGAGAGAGAGATACCTGGGATCAGGGCCTCTAATATCCCAGCTTCTTAGTCATCAGCACTTTACCCGCGAGAAAATCAACACCTTTGGCCTGCTCTATACTTTGCCAGGCTCAGACCCTTCCCTCAAGCCACTCATGCTCACGGCTCACCAGGATGTCGTCCCGGTGGCAGATGCATCAACATGGACACACCCACCCTTCGATGCATACTTCGACGGGACTTGGCTGTGGGGGCGTGGCTCCTCCGACGACAAGAACAGCATGACCTCGCTGCTGTCCGCGATCGAATCACTCCTAGCCCAGGGCTGGTCCCCAAAGCGGACAGTGCTGCTGGCGTTTGGCTTCGATGAGGAATGTTCGGGATTGAAGGGTGCTGGTTCTATTGCCGCACACCTCAAGAGCGTCTGGGGTGAGGACTCACTCGCCATAATTCTTGACGAAGGCGGAATGGGCCTGCAACAGATCGACGACGTGCTGTACGCGCTTCCTGCCGTGACGGAGAAGGGCCATGTGGACATCTGGCTCGAGCTGCACGTCCAGGGCGGGCACAGCTCCATCCCGTTCCCCCACACAGGCATTGGAATCATCAGCGAGGCAGTTGTTGCGCTGGAGTCGCACCCGTACGAGCCCGTGCTCATCAAGGACTCTCCGATCTACAATCACTACGTCTGCCAGGCACGCTACAGCCCGAAGGCGGAGCCGGAGGTCACAAGGCTGCTGGAGGAGGGCGACCTCGAGACGCTAGCCAAGGAATTGGCGTCCCAGGACCGGCCCACCAACTTCAGACTGCAGACCAGCCAGGCCGTGGATTACATCAGCGGCGGGCAGAAGATCAACGCCATGCCCGAGGTCGTCAAGGCGGGCGTCAACTACCGCGTCGCGCCGCACAACTCGATTGGCGAGATAATGACCAACGTCGTCGAGCACCTCGGCCCCATTGTAGCCAAGTACGGCCTGGCCATCAGAGCCTTCGAGGCAGACGACGAATACAAGAGTTACACAGGCCAGCTGCAGCAGCAGCGCGGTCTCCCCGGCACCGCAGAGCCGGCCTATGACGTCGACTACAACGGCACCCTGACGCTGACCTCGAGCCAGAAGACCCTCGCCGCGCCAGTGGCGCCCAGCTCCGGCGGTGACGCCGTGTGGGACGTCTTCGCCGGCACGATCCGCCACGCCTTCTCCTTCCCCGGCGGCACGGTCGTGCCCGTGGGGGAGCTCATGACGGGTAATACCGACACCCGGCACTACCTGGACCTCACGCCTAACGTTTACCGCTGGTCGCCCACCCGCCAGGGCGGGGCCGAGAACGGGCATACTATCAACGAGCGCGTCAATATGACTGTGCACATGGAGCTTGTGCGGTTCTACTATGACTTTGTGAGGAACTTTGATGCTGCTGATGTGGCGAAGAAGGGGTCTGGGTCAGCAGAGGTTGAGTTGTAGAGATTGTGGCACTCTGCTCAGGATAGGGTTTCAGAGAAGAGCGAACAGCATCAGTATTTGTTCAGACTCAGATTGGAATGCACCCTCGATCATCATGGGCGCAATCATGGCTATTGCTCCACGATAGACATCTGGACATGCTGTAGGCCGGGCTTCAGTACATCTTACCTCGGAAGTTCTGAGCACAGAAGGAGCCCTAGACACCATTTTTAAAGACGTACGTGCATAGGTACCTAGGTAGTACATCCCCCCCCCCCTCCTATTCACTGGTACCCCCCATTCACTGCGACAAGGGTGCTGAGTGACTTGACTTGAGCTGGGATTCACACCCCCTTGTTTGTAAATTTTATTCATGGGCTCCAGAGCAGTAACTCAGAGTCATAAGGCTTGCCTCAAGAAAACTTTCAGACAGGCAGTGCTCAGTGACTCGGGCACTGCTGTGAACAGCAACGAAATGTACAAAGATCTTGCACAATCAAAAATGCACATGTCACATGAGACTGTACTTGCGGCTTCATGGGGTTGTTCTGTGGACGTCAGTTATAGTAAATGTGGAAATCCCATTGGGTCGTGTTTGAAACAGCACCGCTCCTAACGCGATGACTACGGTAGAAAGCCTATTCTGCCCGTAAACATCTGAAGGTGATCATATCAAGGTGGTGATGAAATTGCTGATATCGCCACTGCTTGAGTTGCCTACCTCTGAATCCTGTCGGGCCCGCAACCTATACTGTATTGTTCACCTATACAGGAGAATCCCACACCTGCAGCAATCAAGCACGCTCACCTCATATCCCATACTACTCACACGATATATTATCATCATAATCACCTTAATCCCTTGCGAGTACTTTCTTTATATATAGCCCTCCCTACAGCAAAAATCAGCTATCATATAATGAAATAAGTGAATGCCCTATGCTTGTTATCATTAGCTTAAATGCAGCTATATCACTGCCTTAGCAAGCTCATCTATATCCTCCAGGTATACATTATTTCTGCGCTGTATAGCAGCCTAGTCCACATCAATGTTGTTGGTACGGCGGAAAGTATAAATGATCTTTATGCTCACCGCCTTATATTCCTTAAGGCTTAGACTCTGTCATTATTCAGACCAGCCGAATAGGCTTGCCCTCATTGCGCTTGAGAACTAAACGCCTGGCACAGAAATTATGTTGGTACTAGAATGCGAAAATCAGATTTTAACCCAACTAGAAACTGTGTAAGAGGAAGGAGCTCATGGCATGTGATCCGCCAATGGCTAGTCTCACAAGCCGTGACCTGAGGATTCCCAAGTAGGCAGTGAGATGCCCACGGTGAAGGAGACGGCATCCTCGCGCTCTGAACACAACACACGGAATAGGTACTTACCGCCTCGCCAACAAGATGTACCCCCTTCGACTTATCCGCCTCATCCACCAGCCTTATGACGAACGGCACCCGGTGGCCCTCAAATGTACAAACAAGGTCTCCAGCCCGGGCGCCCTCGGTAGCCAGGCCGAAATTCCCCGCGGACGAGATATAAAACCTACGCCCGATCGCCGCCGCCGTGAGGAACGAGCTCGTGAAGTCGGACTCTTCGACGCTCTTCTCGGGTGTGACGTACAACCCACGCATCCAGCGGCTCAGCCGTTGGAGGAATTCTGTGAACCCGGCCTCGGTCACCGCCCGCATCCGGATCGTCCCTAGGTCGTCGACGATCCTTGTGGGCAAGTAAGTCCACTGCTCCCACAGGGGCGACCCGCTGGCACTCAGCGTTTCAGTCAGCGTCTTCCACCAGGGGCACTCCTTAAGTGGCTTCCCCACATGTTCCGGGTAGGTGGCGAAGAGGAGTCTCATGACGGCGTTGATGTACGCAGACATCTGCTCCCACGACGTAGGAAAATCCGGGGAAGGATCAGGTGTGATGAGGGAGATGGAGTCTATGATTCTGCCGTGCAGGGTCAAGACAAGGGGGGATGTCAGGTCGAAGCTGAAGCGCGGTTGATAGACGTTCGGAATCCCCTTCATCACGCGGGTGTCCTGACAAGTTCATACCCATGTTTCTTGGTAATGAGGTCCAGTCAGGGACCCACGATGGCAAGCTGAGTGAACGCCGGTGGCCAATGCCCGCCATGTGCAGGAATTGGATGCTCCCACCATTCATGAGCATTTGCCGCGCAACCTTGACAAACAAATCTTCGACCTTGATCCCATAGTCCGGGCGCAGCGCATCCCTGTACTTCTTCGCCGTTTCCAGGCCAAGCAATGCGTAAATGCGGTCCCGCGGATCGGTGGATTTGAAATCGGCATTTAGTGAGAACAGACTGTATAGGAAAGGCGTTGTCGGCCAATCGTTCGTCTGCCCCCGGCGTGCCTGCCACATTCTGGAAATGTTGGGCAGGCACTCGATGGCTGTCAAAAAGGCGGCGTGCGTGGAACTTCTGATACGGTCAAATGCCGAAAATCGTTGAATCACAGAGGTAAAGTGGACGAATAGTGTCAAGGCACACCAAGGAAAGGTATGTTTCCCACAAACCAGGACGGGGTCGTTGCCGAGGGCAATCTCTTGCACTATCCAGAGGCGATGGAACCAGGGCCTGGAAATCAGACCCTTGATAGATTCCCAGTCCCTAGCTACAGGCCCAATCTCGGAGAGTAAGCTTGCCAACCCTGGAGATGTGCCAGCATCGCTCAGAGATCCGTGGGCCCAGATGCAGTTGGCCGTCCGAAGGATAAGTTCCATCGCTATGGCTGATGTCTTATCAGCTTGGCTGATGAAGGCGACAACTTGCCGCGCCCGAGAAAATATTGTTCCCATCATCGCAACCTGGCTAGCCCTCTCGCTCAGGTTTCCTTGGTTGATGCACAGAGCATCTATCCAAAGATATAGTGTCGTACCTCGCTTTAAGATGGTGTTAATGATGTCAAAGACACCTTTGTTATATGGTACTCGTCTCTCCTGGCCCTTGTGATGGGACTCAAAATAACCCACAATCAAAGGATCGCCCCATACGTATGATATTGCCAGATAAGAAGGGTTTCCATCTAGTGAGACGCACACGAGGTCTGCTTGGAAGGTGTTGACTCCGCCGTCGCCGCTTTGAAAAGGGCGCGAGATCTTCAGCACTCGTATCTCTCTTCTATTCTCGTCAAGAGGTGCATATAGCGGTCTTTCGTCCTCTTCCTGGCTGTCACTCTTGTTGGCCCAGTAGCGAGTATTGTTTCCCGCAAGGTGTTTCCATAGCTGTTGGTCCAAGTCAAATGCAGTTTTGCAGTTCGGCTGCGCGAGGTAAGGCTGGAGTGCGGGCACGAGTGTTCCAATATCACCCAAGCGCGAAGGTTCCGCCGCCGAGCTCGCAATAGAAGAGAGTTCATCTTCACTCGGGCTCCTCTGCTCATCATGGATGATCGCAGTCCGTGTAATCGCTCGTGAAGCCACCTGTGGAGCTGCCGGAGCAGCTACCGGTGAATCCGCCTGTGAGATCGCATATGAAGGCAGGTATTTTTCTTTCCGAGACAGCTCACATCTGTCAGACATATCGGGAGGAGATTTTAGGAAGGCACAGTCCTCGCTGACAGCGGCAGACTTTGTATGAATCGCCGAGAGGCAATTGAAAAGAAAGCGTAGGCGATTAGACGCAATGTGGTCTCATGAGGATAATGATCCAGTTTGGCGGAGTAGGGGCAACGCCTCTGTTTAGAAGATGCAGAGGAACTCAAGCGATAGTATCCTCCACGTTCGGCCACCAGGGCTGTCCATGTGCGGCGGCCTCGATGGGCCAGATGCCTTCCCAGTCCAGCTAGGTGGCCACCCCTGGGCCAGAATTTAGGCAACCTCGGTCTCCCAATCCGACCGCTGATACATCGCCAAAACGAGTTTGCTGCTACACCACATGTCAGACAGTCCCACCATTTACCCCTCGCCGATGGCAGGTGAGATTCAGCCTTGCTTACTTTCTAAGATTGTGCGGCCTCTGCATGGCGCAGCTTCCACCTTGGCCCGACCCGGAAGCCCGATTCGGAAATTTGCCCTCGGGCCACTTATGCCTCGGTTTTTTCTGGACCACGGCATGTCGTCTTTGTTGTTTCTCTGGTTTAATTGTCCGCCTCGCAGCGAACCAGACAGGTGTTGACAACCACAAGGTCAGTTCATCACAGCCTCCATTTCTATTTCATCTTCACCACAGAACTTCCACTTGTAGTAGTTCAAGACTAAAAATTGACTTACTCAGAAATTCGAGTCCCACCACATCCTCGAAGCGTTACGGGACCCCAAGTGCTGGTGCGTCTGGGCCTGCGGGATCGGCTACGCGGTCGCGAACGCAGGCATCACCAACTTCAACCCTCTCATCATCGAAGGCTACGGCTTCAGCCAGACCAAGACTGTCCTCATGGCCACGCCCCAGGCGGCGGTGGCCATGGTCGCGGGCGCCACGCTGACTGCCATCTCGCACTTCGTCCAGAATCTGCGGTGCCTGTTCTGGATTGTCTCGGCGCTCATCGGCCTCGCTGGTGCCGTCATGGTGCACACGCTCGACATTGATGAGCGGCGCGACGCCTCTTTAGCCGGGGTGTATATCATGGGGTTCTACAATGTTCCCTGGGTCTTTATGCTCAGTCTCAACTCGTCCAATACTGCTGGTACCACGAAGAAAAGCTTCACGGGTATCACGGTTGCGGTGTGCTATGGTATGTATCGCATGTTTCTCGTTATGCCTTGGCTTGGGACTGTCAGCGGCAGGTGTAGACATATATGACTAACCTCGAACATCATTGCAGCCGTTGGAAACATCATTGGCCCGCTTTTCTTCCTCACGAGCCAGGCGCCGCGGTATTCACTTGGTATAGGGTCAATGATGTTCGCTTTCGCCCTCATGGCCTCGTCAGGAGTAGCGTATTACCTGATGTGCGTCTTGGAAAACAAGCGACGCAACTCCCAGTACGGGGTCCCGGACGACTTGATACAAGCCGGACTGGAGTCTGAGAGGGAGGACATGACAGACTGGGAGAATACAAATTTTCGTTATACTCACTAGACTTGAAGCTTAGCAGTTGGAATAATGAAGATCAAGTCACTCCTGAACAAAAGATTCTTCATATCTTTTTATGGAACTTAATGTCGAGTGACTTATAGATTGCGTTGGATGTGACCTTTCTGGGAGTCTTCCAGCGACCTGTATTTAAAGCGTAGAGATATTCTGCCACTAGCTGCGTACGTTGCTAAAGAATAATGGCATATACAGACGACAGCGCAAAGTGACACCAAAGGTAGGCCATGTAATTATGCCTGTGAACCTGTAGAGCCGTTATCCCCTTCCAACATTGTCGCCACTGATTTGCTCAGCCGGTCCGGCACGACAGGGTGGCTCCCGCATCCGAGCTTGAGCAGCACAAAAACGACCGAGTACTTAATGCACGCACTCACTGACCAGTACCTAAGAGCTTTTCACCCTCAACACCAGAGCCTTTGATAATTCCATCTTGTCTCAAAGATATCATGGACCTCCTCAACCACCTCGAGTCGTCATCGGCAGAAACCGTGCTGAAATGCGCCGACATGCACGTCACAGGCGAGCCCGCGCGCATCCTCTACCCCGGCTTCCCGCCGCCGCGGCCACCGCGACATGTACGGCGCCATCCTGCGGCCCGAGGCGGAGCTGGTCCGGTCGGGCGAGGCCCACGCGGGCGTGCTGTTCTGCCACAACAACGGGTACTCGTCCATGTGCGGCCACGCCACCATCGCCCTGGGTCGCTTCCTCGTCGACACCCACGACGACGCCGTCTTCCCCGCCCGCGCGATGTTGGGCTTTGACGCCTCGAAATGAACGACGACCGTGCTGCTCCATGCGCCGGGCGGGCTGGTGAGGCTTGTCGTCCCCGTCACGCCGGATGGGAGGTACGCTGACACAAGCCGGCCGGTATCCTTTGCATCTATGCCGGCGCGCATACCCTGTGGCCATGGACGCAAGGATCTCCATTGCGCCAGAGGCCCGGTGGCCCGGGCTGGATGGGCGCGGCGAGGTGCGCGTGGACTTCTGCTATGGGGGCTCATACTCCATCGTCGTCGACTCCAGGGCCCTAGGCTTCGAAAGCGGCCTGCGGGGAATCGATTTGGACCGCGTGCAACATCGTGCTGAGACGTTGAAGCGTGCCATAGCAGCAATGGGAAAGGAGAGGCTGGCGGAGATCGGCATTCCCCTGGCTGCACAGTGCGCTTATGGCATAATGGTCTCGGACGACACGATAGGAACTGCGAAGAATGGAAGTGATAGATCTCCGACTGGATCCTGCGTTGTCGCCCGGATGGCGCTGGCCCATGCGAAAGGACCTAGACCAGTCGGCAAGCGATGGACCTACGATTCAATAGTATCCAACTCGTTCTCTGCGGGCTCATTCACAGCTGAAGTCATAGAGGAATTATCACTTGAAGGGCTTCCAAACGACCTGAGGAAGGCAGTAAGGGTGCGGGTGGAAGGGCATGCTTCCTATATCGGATTCTCGACGTTCGTCGTTGACGATAACGATCAAATAGGATCAGATGGCTTCCTCATGCATAACCTTGAATTTTAAGTCAAGCCTACGACCAAGGCCGAAGGAGGTTATGGAAGGTTGCGAGGGAAATAAAAGTAATCACAGTATACTAGAGTATCTACCATCACAACCGGACACATGTTTATAATGAATCACACACCCCCTTGCTTATAGCAATCCACCGTACCTCACGACATTTTATTAATCTCTCTCCACACTCATTGCATGCTGCTTAGAGACAGCAAAACTATAATCCCCTTCTAGCATTACTTAGATCCCCTGTCTCATAGGCTTAGCTTAGTCAAACGGCTCTATCTTGCAGACCTGCTCAGCCGTAGGTGCTGGGCACGTGTCTCCACCGTCATGGATATAAAACTGCGCTTCGAAGGTGCCGACTTTGAGACCCATCTTGCCATCAGCAGTACAAGTCGGTATACCGCAAACATCGCTGGCCTTGGGGTTGTCGGCGATGAGCTCGGCACTGCCTCCCTTCTCTTTACACTCCTGGCGGAGGTCATCGAAGGCCCTGTCAAAGAAATGCTCAACCTGACCTGCCAACAGCCAGCCAGGCGTGTTCATGGTTGCACCTAGGACCATGTCGCAGGTGTCAGTATTGCAGAGATTATCCTGCAACACGAGCCTGACCACTGATAGCACGCCGCTTCCTAGGCCGCTCATGAACTTTCCGAACCTGTCCCTGCCCTCGTCATAGTTGGCGAGGCCGCCGCCGTTGATGCCACACCTGATCTTTTGTAGCTTCGTGGCAATCCCCCGCTTCTCTAATCCAGAGTCTCCGCGGAGCGACAGGGAGCTGCTGTTGCCAGGATCCGGAAAGGCATGGTCTCCCCCTATGTCGACGATCGTGGCAGGTGCCATTTGAAGGGTGGACGACCGTGGCGGGAAGGCCACAGGGCCACCGAGGACCTGGACGGCACACATATGCACGTCAGACGCTGCATGTTGAGACAAAGTAGTTGGTACAGCACACATACCGCTGAAGAGAAGAAAAAGAAGCTGGTGATTGCCACCTGAATGCCGTTGCTGAGACGCATAGTGGCTAATGGTCTCGATACCGCTTACTTTGGAAGAAAGGCTAGAACTGAAAGCAAGAAGACTCTTTGTTTCAAATTTGATGACACCAAATGATGGTTGAAGACGGTAATTCCAATGAAAGTTGGAAGCTCCTAAATGGATGAATGAAGTCTTTATTGTATTTATGTACCGTACGCAAGATCGCCGTGCCGTATGCTCTTGTAGACGCCTGTTTGTAGTTGCATTCACTTGATGGAGTAATTTTCAGGAGATGGAGGATTTTGCAACCTCGCTATTTTTACGATTCAGCTGGATAGGCTGAGCAAGATCTCACTTTGGACGCGATGGAAGCAGGCGCCTCATTGTCATGCTTTCTGTAAGGGACATGTATTGGTTGCCTGGCAGGGCTAACATGGCTATGCTTCTAGTTCATGGGCTTGGCTACTTGGCATTTCACTAATGGAGAATGATGGCCTAACTTCCTTCTAACTACGAATAATGCCAAGATCAGACCATCCGGCTGATGCGGATCACGTTCGCCTCTGATCACAGTCTGAGTGAGACTGAGGAATAGGTTATATTACACAATGCAAGGAACCTTTATCCTGGAAACAGGCACCTGCAATCAGGGCTCTGGATGAGCTGATCCAGCCAATTCACAGAGTTCGGATTTTACTTCGGATTCTATTTCTGGCAATTTATCCTACATCATGCCGTGAAAGCTCATAGCTCAAAGGGTGGTCCCCATAATCATCGAGACATGTAAATACTGACCTTAAGACCACTCTCTTCCGTTACTTCTTCAACACGTCTTGCTAATTTTCATCATCAACGACATCTTATTCACCATCACTTTGACTTCCAACTAGAGACTTCCTCCTCGCACGATCAACCTCCCTACCACCAGTCAATCACAATGAAGGCCTCAAATGTCATCGCCGTGGCTTTTGCCTGTGCCCCTGGCCTGGCCACAGCCAGGTGCTTCGGCGGCAGCAACAAGCGTCCTGACCACGGCCTCGAGGTCATCGAGTTCTTCTACGCCGCCGGCTGCGAGCTGCAGATGAACCAGCTCGAGGGCGGCAAGGAGTTCAAGAAGACCGGCAAGTCGAGCGACGGCAAATGCCTCAACGTCCTGGTCAAGAACCACGGCGACAAGAGGACCGTCTCTAGCAACCAGGCCGTCGACGCGTGGACCCGAGAATGGGTCGGGTGTGAGCACGGGGGCAAGAGCAGCTACGATGACAAGCTCGAATATGTGTAAGTGCCCGCTTTCTTTTTGTTTCTTCTTTTCCATGGGGGACTAGGTCGAGATGTGGGCACAAGGCAACGTACTAACCGCCAGATGATGCAGATGGCACCTAGACTGCTGAGTTTCATGGGAATGCGGGATAGCTGGGGCATGGCTAATTACAAGGATTGCCTAGGAAGGGGTACTTTAGGGAAATGGTATATATCTCAAAGTGTAAATGTGCGCTTCTTCAATTTTTTAAATTCCAAAGCTAAAACTTGTATCTTGCGGAAGACTTGATGCATTTCCTTGAGCTTGTATGGCGGATATTGCTTGTGATGAAAAATGGTGAATCCCTCTTCAATGTGACTGCGTTTCGTGAACAGAGGCATGTATTTGTACGCCCTCAGAGCTTAACAGAAGCCCGGAAACAGATCAGCATTAGAGAGACCCTCGGACGTGATATCTACCAATGACCGAATATTGTCGAGAAATAATAGGTCCTCTAGACTCTTAAAGTCATCAACAGAGAATTGACTATCTATTTTCATCAAATCTAACTCTGGCGGATGGGTGCTTTGCCCTTCCGCGAGAGAATACAGAGAGAAATCGGCCACGCAGACTTTTAGGCGTCAACCTCCTAGTTTTGTTATACGCAGCTATAGCAGCTACCTTTTCAGCCAACACATGCACGTGCACATTCAGGATACACATGTACCAGATCAAGAGGTGGAACGCTGAAGCCACCGACCAGCTGTCCCTCGTGGCATCGGTGTGCGGGCACTGGCAGGCCAGGGAGCTTGACTGCCTTGCCTGGGTCAAATCGCCTGTGACGTACCTACCGATCTTCTAAGATGCGGTGAATCTGGGCTGTACCATCTCTTGTTCCGGTACCCTACCGTTGGCAGAAATCTTGGTCACCATGGTTAAACGAAGCACTGTGATTTGGGGAAACGCCTAGAGAGGCGCACACGAAGGGGCCATGCATCCCCAGGCCCATGGAAGACTCGGCAACAACACGAGCAACACGAAAACATACCAGCGATGGATGATTCAGGTCTTGATTATTAAGCTGATGCTGCTTTTTACCAATTATCATCTCCGTCAAAAAAGACACAAAAAAACACCGCTGGGGTTATCTTCACCGAACAGCGTGTATCAATGCCGTGAACGCCGCCGATCCGACCGACCGCCTTAGCCAACGCCCCGGGTATGTGCCCATACCGATGTACACTGTAATGAGTGCCGCTATAGTTGGGGAGGAGTAGGAAATAAAGCAGATATACAACTCCGCGAAAGACAAGTGAGGCAATATCTGACTCCCCGCCCAAACCTGTGTGTATACTTCGATATATATGCCCCTGGCGCCACCTGCCTGCGGTGCCTGGACCGCACTGTGCCATCCGCTCATGCTCATTCCTGCTTGGCATGAAATGCATGACAAAGGAAAACTTGAAAAGAGCCAGTGGCCAACATCTTGAGACACTTGGATCAGTGTCAGGATCAGTGGGTTAGCTGCTCGTTGGCTCCAGTCCTTGTCACCACGGCCATGCGATCATGGCTGTGGTGAACACAGTCTCTTTCGCAGGGCTAACACCATCCGAACAGGTGCTTCATTACTGCCTCGCCAAGTGGGGAGCTGATAGAAGGCATTGACTTTCGGTGGCCCACACGGTTTCTGGTTTTCTTGATCCGGTTGAATGGACCCATATCCAGAGATCGTGGTCGGAATAATTTGTATAGGTCGTCGTCAGAGGAGCACCGACCGCCCCCGAGACGTCGTTTCAGTGATTCTAGACTCGTAAAGCAGTTTGTCAAGTCCTGTTCTATGGCGGCAAGACCGTCTTCCGCGTGTTGAATATGGTCGAAATCCTCTGGTTCAGGCGGCGCCATGCGCATCTCTTCAAAGAGTCGGGTGATTTCGTCGATCGACTTGTCCAAGTCCTCAAACCATTCATCGGATAGGGGCTCGATCTTCCGCTCAGATGTTGTCTGAGATGGGACGGGAGCTTGGTCGCCAGCAGACCCATGGCCCTCTGGTCCGTTGCGCGCGACCTGCTCTTCGCAATCCAAAGCCCGCACAGCGGCCCATTCCTTGGCAAGGTGCTCCTTTCTGGCCCTCCAAAAAGCCTTGCCCTCGTCGATCTCGAATCCAAAAAGCTTTCTCCAGACCGGGTGCTCTATAGGATGCGAATATTCCTTCTAGGAGACGATGATGTGGTTGAAGTGACCTGGCACCTTCTGCCGGCATTTCTCGCAGTCTGTTCGGAACCCTATACTGAACGACTTCTTCATTCCTGGCACTTGGGTCCAGCTGTTGAGCGTGTGACGACTGCGCGTGTGTCCTTTCTTTGGTGTCGGCCCGGCGGGCGCCTCAACATCCATGGTATGATCACCGTTGGATTCATTGTTGTGGTGATGTTCCGAAGGAGGAGAGCCGGGCCCTCCAGTGTTGTCGCTTACAATGCTGAGGGCACTCAGAGTCCGTGCAGGTGCCGAGAACTCCATGGCAGACGCCGCTCTAGGGGGCATGCCTGGGTGTCCCTGGCCTTCCAGCACCATCCTGGGAGAACCGAGTTCCTCGCCTCCGCTCTCACTAATAGGGGATGGCAGTCTTCGGTTCTGTACCATGTTCCAATCAGCAAAGGCTGTCCGATCCAGCGAGCGAGGAACGGAGCGATCGACAGGAGGCTGCGCAAAACTCGACGGCTGCACCGCGTTGCCTGCCGCTCCGCTCCAGTTGTTTCCGCGGACTTGAGCAGCGAAAGAACAGTGTATTGGTGTGGGCATCCTGCTAGCGATGCCGCCCGGTTGCATAGGATCTGGTTGGCCGTGCCCTGGGCTCAGTTGGGCCGCATCCTGCACATGGTCATCGGTGCCCATGTCCATATCCATGTCAACATCGTTTGTGCGGTACCCGTCAACCATCTCGGGTGCATGGCTAAAAGCGGTGCCGGTCGGAGCATGGGGCATCGCTACGGCTGGGGATGTGGATGACCACGTGTTGAAGGATGGCTTTTGTTGCGCGCCGGCATTCTTTGCGTCCTCCGAGTCGGAATCGCCGGGAGTAAGGGTGCGTGGTGGTTGTTGTGTGTTGAATGGGTTCGGCGCTGTGTAGCCGCTGTTGAAGCTAGGTTGGAAGGATAGCTTCTTGGATGTGGGAGATGTGCGGAAGGGGAGCGATTGCAGCCGTTTCTGTGGTGCGAATTAGCATCGGGTGGGAGTCGCGAAGACCGTTCACATGGGAGACGCGGCGGGCTTACATTGCGATGCTCTGTGAAGCCCTCTGTGCCTCCTATGGCGACATCGCCGTCGTCGTCCCGGCCACGCTTCTTAGACTGCTGTCCCCACTGTTGGAAAGACATGGTCACGGAGCGGCGGGTGCAAGGGAGGGGTTTGGACAAGGGGGCAAGGGGTGATATGTTGGCAACAATGCTGGTGTAAGACGTGGAGTCGTCAACGACAGACTAGGCTGGGTATCTCGATGCGTTCCCAGAAGCGAGTGTCGATGTTTGTGGGATGCGTAGCTGGGGTATGTATAAGCCTTGCACCGGCGGACCCGAGGCAGATCCAGAGCCCGTCAACCAGATTTATTGGCTCTTGCGAGGGCTGGTGCAGCAGAAGGAGGCGCAAGGAAGGCGGAGGTCTGTTCCTTGGCCAGTGCAGTGGCGATCGAGTCAGCTGGAAGCGATGCTGGCGCTCGGAGACTGGGCTCGATGGGGTCCACGGACTCGACTACGGAAGGAGAGGAAGGGGGAATTCCGAGGTCGGGACAGTGAAAGCGGCATGCAACGGACAAGCAAGGTCAAGCAGTTGCAGTTGCAGTCGCAGTCGAGATCGAAGTAAAGGTCGTAGTTGCAGTCTGGAGGGGGACTGCCGATGGCTGGGCTGGGTTCCCCAAGTGAGGAGTCGTTGTCGTGATCCACACCTGCAGCAGAGGTCTGGAGACGACAGTCGCTTATCGCCCGTGGCTTGTGGCCTGTGCCCTGCGGCCGGTCTCTAAGCAGGCCGCTTTTGGGGGGCCAGAAAGGACCAGGACTAGAGTCGAGAACAACGACGGATCACGAGGGAGTCAATCGGTTACAAAGCAGTGTTGCTGGAAAAGTGGCAGTGAGAAAACAACGGCAAGGAGTGCAGGTGCAGGTGCAAAGTGCAAATGGCAAGTACGTGAGTGGGCAGGTGTGGTTTACAAAAGTGAGGGCAGGAGGTTGGATGATGGATGGTGGGGGGGGGCTAGCGTTGCCTGCCTTGTGCAAGCGTGTCGTGTGTATGGCCTGCCCTTCCTTTTCCGCGCCTCCGCGCAGGCTAAAGTCCAGATCCCGCTGCCAGGGAGGTTACACCCAAGCTGGAAGTGGGCAAGCCAGGTACGTCACTGGCGGCGATCAGATTGGCAAGGGGGGCGAAAGACTGAGAGAGACCAACGACAATGCCTGGTGCCAGCTATGACGGTCCTCCTGGGCTGCAAAAGGGCTGGTTCAGGAATGCTGATGCTAAAATAGGGGGGAGAAACAACAACAGCATCGACGAACAACAACGCGCAGAAGAGACAAAAGGGAAGCAAAAACCGTCCAAACAACTGGCCCAGAACATGAGATTCAGAATCGCCATGTCCACCTCGTGCCTATTGGCCTTGCAGGGTTCGTTGATCTTGCTGCCCGGGCTTGGCCTGCTCCCTAGCGCTGGTCGGCACGCTTTCGTGCCTGTCGCTCTTCTCACTCACCTGAACCTCGGAAGTGCCTGGTCTGGTCCCTGGGCCCTGGTCTGGTCCCTGGGCCCTGGGGTCCGGGCCACGGAGATCTTTTTCGGTGTGGGGGCTGGCGATACCCTCTCATCCACACCCAATGACACGCAGCATTCCGACTTGTCAGACCAAACCATGAGAGAGATTACTGTACTGTAGTCTACGCACATTTTCCTCCCAAATACGCCTCGCCTGTTTCCTGGCCGACAGCTGAGCTCGGTGTGCTCGTATCCAACCTGCAAGCTGAGAAGCCAACGATCCCACTGCCCAGGGCCACGGCCCGCCGCAAAGCCAAAATTGTCCGAGCAGCAGCCCTATTCTCAACAGCCAACCACTCGAGACTTTCCGCCCAAGATGTTTCCAGTGATGTAAAATTTCCCTCAGGGTCTTCGAAACATGGGTCGTCCTGTACCCGGGCTCACCTCCAACTCGCGTCCCCATCTCAACTCCCCGAGATGCCCATCGCTTGGTTTCAGATTTGCTTCAGGTGCGGTCAGGACGGGCCCCGACGGTGCCCTGCCCTCCACAGTTTTTTTGTCTTTGCCTACCGCTTCTGTGATAGCGACAAGTCCATCTCCTCACAACAAAAATCTACTGGCTCGCATTGCATGCTGGGCCAGTCTGTTTCCATATAGGGCAATGCTCCCACTCTTCAGTGGTTGTCGGGTTACGCGGCTGGATGCAAGGACGCAAAGTCATGCTTATGGGCTTGGAGCTTCTTCAACCCGCCACCTGTCTTTGACCTGCATCAGCACCTGACATGACTCTGAGCCCAGACTGTTCGAGCGAGATCAGAATAGGCTCTACATATTATTTTGGGGTCTGATGCTCCTACCCTGGGCAGGCATGCCAAAGCTTGAGTTGACCCTCCCACGGCGCAAAGGAGCCCACCTCTCCTGTTACATGGCAGGCCGCATACTTCGGCCAACCCCCCTGCAACTACGACCCTGTGTTACAGCAGGCCTGAGTCTTTTAATTGCGGTGAAGTGCGATTTCTTCAAGATAAAAATTCTCTTTTTAAGTATAAACGCGTCCAAGAATTGGGCGTTACCTTGCAGGCGTCAGGTAAATGTTTAGTGGCGGCTTTGTCCACATTAAAAAGGCTTTCTGGTCCATCCAGTCCTCACCAGGGTCCACCAACTCCATATCAAAATTATAAAGAACCCGAGCCAGAATCAGTTTCACCTCAGCGTACGCAAGACTGCCAAAAATATCAGTAACCGGAACATACTCAGTACTTCGCTGAGCCGGAAAATACTGTGGGACTTCCCATCCCAGACACCCGGGATACAAGGGAAAAGAAAAAAAGGAACCCACTTCTTGCCAACGCAATCCCGAGGTCCAACGCCGAAGGGCTGTATTGCCCCGGGTCTGTCGTCCGGGTATCTCTCGGGCTGAAGGAACCGCTCCGGTTGGAAGCTGAAGGGCTGGCTGAAGTTCCTTGCGCTGTGATACATCGGCAACTGAGCAACGCTCACGATGGTCCCTTCCGGCACGAAATGGCCGGCGACATTCGCGCCGCCCTTTGGAACCACACGGGGCATGGAGCCCGGTACGGGTGGATAGCGTCGGAAGGTCTCTTTTATACAGGCGAGCACTGCCGAGACTCACGAGTTAGATTTCTAGTAAATTGTGCAAGCCTGGGGCAAAGGTTGGGGATGTAATGCTTGGTAAAACATACTGTAAGGAAGGCTCTGGACGGACGAGAAGCTTATCTCATCCTCTGACTTGAAAGCAGACCGGACCTCGTGAGTGATTTTCAGTAAGCACCCGGGGTTCTTTAGAAGAAGGTATATAAGTCCCGAAAGCAAAGTTGCCGATGTATCGGAGCCTGCTATGATTAGTATCATGGCATTGATCATCAGCGTCCTCATCGGTATCTCCTGCAGACAGATATGTTAGACTTTTTCCCTCATTTCTGCGTCGCCCAAATCGCAGGTAAGTAACCAACATACCCAGTCGTCCTGCTTCTTCAACAGACCTCCGATCAGGTCGGGACGCTCATGCTTCAATGCCATCCGTCTTTTCAGCACCGCCATCGTCAGGGCGTCGTTCTCTCGCCGGAACTTCGTCCTGCTCTTAACCAGCCACTTGACGAGTCCCTCCAGGCCCAGCTGCTTCAGCGCATTGGTCATGGCCTGTGCCTGGAGTCCCTTCTCGATACTGCTTACGCGGTCGACGGCTCGACCCTGTTCCAGGCAGCTGAAACTCTCCCCGAAGGCTAAATCCCCGATAATGTCATACGTCACGTAGTTGAACCAGTGGCGCATGTCAAAGGCAGTCTTGCACGGTAAATGAGGTGGCCTCCCCTCCGCCTTACCCTCGTCCTCACCGCTCTGGGTTGGAACGCATCGGTCCCGGAGCTGCTTGATCAGAAGGTCAACATACCCCTTGACAATCGTCTCCTGCTCCCGAAGACTCCGGTCGCTGAAACCCGGGCTCATCTGACGCCTGAGGAGGGCGTGGTTCTCCCGAGTCTCGGATATGATCGAAGGCGGGACGCCGCGGTTGCGGTAGAAGTACGCAGCTTTGGGGAACTCCTCGCCCTTGACCACGGCGCCGTTTTGGTGGCCGTAGACATCCTTCCTTGATGGAATTGTTAGTAAGAAATTTCTCTTGTTCGGAGGTATCGTCTGAGAAATACAAACCATGCAGCCGGGTCCGTAAAGATCAACTCATTCGGCGAGACGCGGACCACGGGGCCGAACTTATCGGTCATCCGCAAGAGGTTGGTGGTCCATCTGCCGCGGGCTACCTTGATCGCAGTGGGGACGACAGAAGCGCGATGGGCAAGGGGGCCGGGGAATTTGCGCAGCGGGTGCAAGAAGAGGTTGTAGAAACACCGCAGGACTATCGATACGAGCAGCTGCAGCGTCGGTTAGCAAGAAAACCGCATTGAATTTTTCCAGAGACACCTAGGTAGCACTGAGTTTCAGGGGCGACAGACTGCTTCTAGCACCAGTATTATGGCCGCGGAGGCGCTGGAGGTGGACATCGCAATGGTTGGCGAATGGCACCGCCAGTGGAGTGAAGGTGTTCTGCCCCGAGGCTGTATGTTGGGCCCGCCTGCGAAACTGCAGTGGCTGGTGAGCGTATACTTGTTCGAATGCGAATGCTGGATGCTTTAGAGGGCAAAAGTGCCTTTTTGGTCAATTAAAGTTGATCATTCCCCTGGAGGCTCAACAGCCGGGTCCTATAAATGCACTCGGAGGATAAGGTGGACGAGATGAACCCAAATCTCCCATCTGCCGCCCGCTCGGCGATCGGTCTGTAACGTGAACCGTACTTAAGAGTATCAAAGCTTCAACCTTAAACCCTACCTGGGTAGTGTTGTAGTGTGGACGGCTGGGCGGCTAGGCCAGGGACTGACCAGATGGCGGTAAAGATATTTAAGCTCAGAAGCCTAAACGCTCACAGACCAAAGCGGAAGGCGTTGGGCCGTTTTCATGCACAGGGGAGTTCACCGCCAATGTGCGTACAGATTGCAGTCGAAGGTGTTCAAGCGCATTGATAACTCTAAGATGTTTACCCGAGTGGTATGATAGCACACAGAAATCCTGAAACATCTCTGTCTTGCTGTCATACATTTCAATTTCCTTCCTGAGAGGGAATAAGTATCTTCAACCTGGGCACGAATTCGTCTACTAGTGGTAAAATATTGACGAGAAGTTGATATTTCGAGGGGCAAAGACCACCTAAGTAGGGCAGTTCTGTACAGCTGGTCAGGATATGAGAACCAGCACCTGTGCCTGCATTACACTACAACAATATTGGACACAAAGTAGATATATTATCATACTAAATGGCTCGTCGAATGCATTGTAGTGTACGGCTATGCTGAACAGCGAAAACTCGAGCAATTTACCCAACATTTCTTGTTCACACTACAATATGACGATCCTAGCTGCTTATATACCAGACCATTGACCTTTCTCCGACATGGTCGTAGATTAAAACATCAGCTGTTAGCAGGGGTTGTAGTTAAAATTGTTCCCGTGACTGTCAACAGTATAATACTGCTGCTTTTTTGCAGAATAGTAGTATGGTTGGCCGTCCGGCGTGATACCGGACCGCGGAGGATTTCTACCCGATGAGGCGGAAGAGCTGGACTTCGTGGAAGCACTGGCCGTGGTGATGCTTGTTGGATGAGCCGGTGGAGGCCGAGCTGCTGCCTGCGAAGTAGAGCTTCCGCCAGCCTCATTAAGTTGCGACCCCGGTACTCTGTACGGTCTGCCGCCCTCTTTTCAATCTTCAACCCGCGAAAAACCAGTCTTGGTCCCTTCTCATCCAACATCTCCTGCAACTCATTGATCACTCTGCCCCTTATCGTAAAATGGCAGGTCATGCTCAAAAACGAGCGGAAATTCCGGCCGACGACCGCGACTTCTTCCCATATCCTCGTGATGAAAGGATATTCGAGGACTTGGGACGATTACAAACGGCATGGCCTGCATCCCGTCATACCGGGAGACATACTACCTAAGCCGTCGACATGCGTCAGCCACGCACAGAAAAAACCACGGTACACGATCTATCTAAAAATTGGATTTGGCGCCTTCTCAACTGTGTGGCTAGCACAAGATGCTGAGACTAGGTGAGCGGCATCGATCCTTGAAGGGGATGAGGCCTTTTGCAAACCCCAGTCCTCCCCATTCCCACCTCAGCAACGAGAATCAAACAACCTTTTGTGAACCCTACAGCTTATCAGAGTCACTACCCTTAGGCAATTTGTTGCAGTGAAAGTGGGATTGGGAAAGGATAATGCTGCTGTGAGCACTGAAGCTCAGATTTTACAGCATATTAGCCAAACCCAGGGCCGTGGCCAGGAGCATATTGTTCAACTTGATCTCTTCACTATCAGGTGTCCAAACGGATACCACGAATGTTTTGTAACAGAAGTCGTAGCGCCACTTTCAGCGATTGATCTGGAAAGTTCGAAGAAATTCCTTCTACAACGCCTGAATAAGCAGATTGCCCTCGGATTTGACTATCTCCATGGTCAAAAGATTGTGCATGGAGGTAAGTGTGAGGTCTACGTATGCCTTTTCGATTTCTTGCTAATAAAGAATTTCCTGATCTAGATCCGCATCACGGAAATTTCGGCATTGCTGTGCCACAGATTAACCAATTCAACGGATTTTATCTTATGGACCACATTGGAGGAGAACTAGAAATGTCACCTGTTATACCCATAAGCGCATCATACCCTATGGAAACTGTCCCTGCATATATGGTAGGAGTATTCTCGATCTTCGATTTCCTGCGTGCCGAGAATGCTTTCCCTACCAATGGTGAACAAGCCATTAGAATTCTCGACTTTGGTAGAAGTAAGCCCTATCTTCAAGAATAACATTTGTTAAACACCAATGTCAGTGTAAAATAGACACTTACACTCAGTTACTAGCTTCCTGGATTGATACACCTCGACACCTCAAAGGCGCATGCCCCTTGGCGTACCAGCCTCCTGAGGTTACCATGTATGGATCTGAGGTATCGAATGGGAATATAGGGTGTGTCTGGAGTCAGCAATCAGATATTTGGGCGATCGCGTGCATGGTAAGTTGATTCGAGGCATTGCATTTAGAGGTGGAGAAGCAGACCTTTACGAAATTCTTTGGTTTGCAAGTTCTTTCGAATTGAAATGGGCATGTCCCTCTTCAAGCCCAGAGGGCAGGCGAAGGATCAGATTGTTCGCAATACAGAGCTCAGCGGGCCAGTCCCACAAGAGTGGTATATGTATTGGCCTCAGTTTACTGGCACAGAAGGTATTTGATCTACTCGTCTATTCATGGGTCCTTCCACATTAAGACCACTCTTCTGCAACGAAGAAACACTAATTGCAATGAAATGTGCTGTAGTAACCCCGACGGCGCTTGACCGCCAGGAGGTCGAAAAGGCATGGCATTTGCGCCTGCCAACGAATAGTTCCTTACGCTCTCTGCTGATGCGTATGATCAACACTAAGCCGGAAGACCGACCTTCTATACGCGAGATTCTGGGAGACGCTTATTTCGGTCATGTTGAAGTTAATAATGATACCTAAACGGAAGAGAACAGCGCTCCGGTACTTGTCGATCAGTTTTCAGTGGTATCTGTCACTGTTTCCTTAGCCACAAGCTACAATCGTGTTCGAAACCTACTGTTATCGGCATTGTGTTTTTTTAACTCTGGGTATTTAAGCGTTTATTACTGTATGAGGGGACTGGGTGCATACTGCTTAAGAAGCATATGTGTACAGATTAAAAACGAGACCACTTTAAGTGGTATCACCCGAGATCTATCATCTCCAGACCTTACACAGATCCTAAGACAACGTGAGCCCCGAATTCAATTCTCTGAAGTCAATCTTACAGACTAAGATATCCATTTGCGGACTTACTCGTTGATTTCCCCCTTACTCGTCTATCTTTGGATCATTACTCGTCTATCTTCCTGGTGTTATTTCTTGGACCGCTTTTCAGAGCTTGAGTGAACGAACATGATAGTGGTCAACGGTTTAGCTTTGGTACTGACAGTAGACACGTTGGGGAGCCGCTGGATAGACGCAATTATGACTCGGGACACAACAACTCCGATGAAGATGTTAAGCAATTTAACCAGGCTGGTCGAAATACTGATGCCGGCAGGACATACTCTGAGCACTATCTCATGTAGCTGGCAGACTACGGTAAGTGACGGGATTCAAGTCGCCGTACATTGCCTGTGCGGTGTGGCTCTGTGGATAATTACTCACCGAATGTTGTGTGAACCTTATTCTGTGTGCACCTGGGTAGTGTGTGCTCCTACATACCGATGCGGCAATAGGTTAGACTGGACAGAATAAGTCGGTATCTTCTAACCGATGATGCGCTTCACTGATGACCAGGAGCACAAGCACAGAGCCCATCGTTAGTCGAACTCATCATTGCCAGATTTCACAGATCGAAAGACTAGTCCCTTCTCAGTCTGTTATCAGATTACCCAGGTACCCAGAATCACTTACCCGGATTTGAGAGAACAACTTGTTGATCGTCCCTCGCTTTCTTTTTCGCGAATGACTTCCGTTGGCACATATCCACGACTCGATCTCGTCCGAACCTCTCAACAGAAGCTGCACCATGATGAGTCGTCTTCGATGTTGTCACATCAAGCTTCCGGGGTTGAGCCGAGCATCTCCAACACATCTCACTGGCTCGGGTTGTTTGTACCTATCCAATTGTGTGTAGCCCACGCCGAAGGCTCGATTATGCCAGGCGATATACATGCTAGACCTTGAGTGCTCGAGCCAGGGGATTGAATCGGTTGAGTTTGGTCGAAATCAAGATATGGCCAAGAATCGTGCATCAGATCTGGCATGTCTTGTCGTGCGGCCGAACGCTGGCCACATCGAACGAGTCGAAAACAGCAGGCTAAGCTCCCGAGACCCAACAGACTGGGTCCTGGTTGGCGTGTGTATAATGAAGGCAGCGCTATTGGGCAGAGAACGGACTCTTAGTCTGTAGACTACCCAACTGGAGACCCCAAGCAGCAGTTTGGTCGGGCTGATGATGCATGTCTCCCGCCGTGCCCCACCCCCACCTACCAGATTGGGAGCTCGTACCAGATTGGGAGCTCGGGGACGGGTTCCGCTCCCTTTCTCCTCCCGCCTCAGATGATGTCTGTCCCTCAATGTGGGGCGACTCTTTTTTGTCTGACTCTACTTCAGCCCGCCGAAGAAGCTGGGCGACGGTGTTGGACAGTAAGACAAGGTTGCACAACCGCCATGGATGAGAGTCTCTGCGCGATTGAGCATGGCGATTGTCTGACCAGATTCCCACCAGAGTGTCAATTGGTGCAGCCGTAGGAATACTTAATGACTCTGTCTTGATGGGTAACTTTGGAGATGCCCCTCCATGGCTGTCGTTACTCGTGTCAAGGCGAGGAAATTAGAATTACATCAGGGCCCCCTTGCAAAGTAACCTGCGCCGACATCTGAGTCACCACCAGCAACACCTCAGGAATTGATGTTTGTCTTGCTTTCTTTAAATCCCAAGATAGTCCTCACCTTCTCTGCCAGCATCTACTCCTCATCAATAAATAGCCCAAGAACTTGGGTAGTACAACGCTTGCTTCTGTGGCCTGACAAACTCCGGCTTCCCGCACCCCAAAGCTCCAAATTTTTTCCTTTTCCTCGACCGCATCCCACCTTGACTCCGACACCGCGACCATACCACGACCACAAACTATCCCAGCCTTGCACAAACACTCCTCTGTCGTTGCACCCGCGCCTGTCAAACACGTCCTTGTCTCACCCTTCTGGATACCTCTGCGATTCTTGACCGCAGCACACAGATCCTGCTCGCCCCGAACCAGGAAACCCAACTCTCACAATGCCTGGAGTAGAATTCGCACCACAACTGGCGGACGATGTCAGAGGTACGCACTCAATCCCCTCTGTGTCTCATCTGCGATGCTCTATGTGCCAGTTAGACCACCTGGTCATGGCCTTGCAATGTCCAATTCCCCAGAGCGCAAACCCTCAGCCATTGCCCGCAGGCAAGGCGCCCCAGGTATGCATAACAGCTGGCTGACATGCTTCTCCTCCTTCGCAGTCGAGGGCCAGGATCCTCTGATCCCACCCGCCCTGCTCATCTCCGAGGTCCCCGCCACCGAGACCGCCCTCGAGACCATCGTCAAGGGCCGCCGTGAGGCCGAGAGCATCATCATGGGCCAGAACGACCGCCTGCTCGTCGTCGTCGGCCCCTGCTCCATCCACGACCCAGCCACCGCCCTCGAGTACGCCGACAGGCTCAAGAAGCTGTCCGACAGGTTGTCCGGCGACCTGTGCGTCATCATGCGCGCCTACCTCGAGAAGCCCCGTACCACCGTCGGCTGGAAGGGTCTGATCAACGACCCGGACGTCGACAACAGCTTCAAGATCAACAAGGGCCTGCGCGTCTCCCGCCAGATGTACAGGGACCTCACAAGCAGGGGCGTGCCAATTGCCTCCGAGATGCTCGACACCATCTCCCCACAGTTCCTGGCCGACTTCATCTCCGTCGGTGCCGTCGGCGCGCGGACCACTGAGTCCCAGCTGCACAGAGAGCTCGCCTCGGGCCTGTCCTTCCCCGTGGGCTTCAAGAACGGCACGGACGGCAACCTGGGTGTCGCAATTGACGCCATTGGCGCCGCTGCGGCGAAGCACCACTTCCTCGGTGTTACGAAGCAGGGCCTGGCCGCCATCACCCGGACCAAGGGCAACCCGTACGGCTTCGTGATCCTGCGCGGAGGCAGCTATGGCCCCAACTTCGACAAGGAGAATGTGCAGAAGGCCAAGGATGTTCTGAAAAAGAAGGGACAGAAGCAGGCGATCATGATTGACTGCTCGCACGGTAAGTCTCCCCCGCAGCAGGTTCTACCCTAGCAGGACACATTAGCTGACCGAAACACAGGCAACTCCAACAAGGACCACCGCAACCAGCCCAAGGTGGCCAAGGTGATCGGCGACCAGCTGCGCGAGGGCGAGAAGTCCATCATCGGCGTCATGATCGAGTCCAACATCAACGAGGGCAACCAGAAGGTCCCCGCCGAGGGCCCCGCCGCCCTCAAGAAGGGCGTCAGCATCACGGACGCCTGCATCGACTGGGACAACACCGTCGCCGTGCTCGAGGACCTCGCCGAGGCTGTGCGCGAGCGCAGGGAGAAGAACAAGGGACATGCCCATGGTAATGGCAACAGCCACGCCAAGGCCACTCCCCTCGAGGAGGATTAGATCAGCCCAACTGCCCAGTGGGTATGCAGCCGAGGAGGAATGGTCTAGAATCTGGCAGGCTTGTTGCATCCGGAGGATATAATTTGAGTTCGTTGGGTGTTATGCGTGAGAAATTGCTGGAGATCACTGGAAATAAGCGAAACAATGAGGTTTGTTTCATGGGAAGAGTTGGAGCAGACTTACTTCGAGAATTTCTTGCGCAGCATTTGGGAGCCAGAACCAAAGTCAGTTAGTCAGTCAATGGGTTACAAAAAAGGGGCGTTTTTGAAAATTGATATTTCACGGGCTTCAGATGTTTGCTATTTCTCCATCTGCTGTGTGTGCATGTGCTCCGGCATTCCGATTGGCTTCAAGACGGTAGTAACGTGTTATTGTGGAAGATGATCGATCCGGTGGTTAATCACTTATCCGCAGGCTGTACCGCCCTCCAAGTTCACTCTGTCCGCCTCGTGGATAATGTCGACTCGCGCTGAACTAACCTGTCCAGGGTAAACGATGATGGCCTAATCCTAGGATGTGTGATGCCGTTCAGCTGCTGCATAAAGCTACCGAAGAGACAGAAAGACTCGATACAACGGATCGAAGACTTTCACACGCCATGTTGCTGCCTTTCTCGAGAATACTTCAATGGCTACACACTACGAGCCAGGTTCAACTAGCTCCCTGTTATCCTTACTGTGTCTATTATGCCCCGTCCTTATGACCCTCTGCGTGGCATTTCGCAGTCGACACGAGTGATGCTGCACAGGCCTTGTTAAATCATAACTTCATGTGGACAACGTGGCTTGCCAGAGCAGACGCTTTTGGTTCGTTGGGGAGGTTGAACTGCGTAATGCACTCTTACGTGTATTTACAGCCTCCATTGCGAAGAAGCCGCACAGTTGCCATTGGATTGCGAGCCGGATAGTTGTATATTCTGCGAAATCTTCTGACGCAAAGTGGTGCCATTAGGGGCCAAGGTCCACTCATAGGATATCTCTCACAGGGAGTCTTTCACCAGTAGGAGAGAACAAGCGTCCGTATCAGTCTGGCCTCGCGAAGGCAAGCAACAATATGTAGCATTGTAGTCTATACCTTCCCAAACCGTGAAAATGCGATCAACCTAGTTCGTCTGGAGACTGCTCTCTCGACTATGGCCAGCAACAGCCGCATATGCCCCGCGCCCACCATCCGTCCCAGTCGAGCCCAGCCCGCCCCGGCCAAGAGGCAGGATGCCGCCCTCCCTCCGTCCCCTGGGCGGAGCACCAGCACCACCAGCACCGGCACGACCGCCACCCCCGATCCCAGGAATCCCGCCGAGCCCGGCCCCCCTCTGCCGCTGGTCGACGGCCTTCTGCACGCCCGCCCAGCCCAGCAGGCCCGCGGTGCCGAGGATGAACCCCCCACACGATGAACTGGTCCTTGCGGCTGTCGCGCTGGAAGCACATGGTCGTCACGTCCTTGTCGGCGGCGCCCCTGCAGATCGGCAGCGACTGCGACAGGCAGAAGCTCCGGTTGCACTGGCTGCAGGACGGCGACGAGGAGCTGCCCTGCGCGCGGCGGGCCAGCCGCCTCCCGTTCTCGCCCTCGCCTGAGTCGGCGATGGCGCTCTCAAAGTCTGCACCGCCCAGGGCGTCCTGATCATCTCCCGCGTTGTCGTCGTCCTTGTCGTCTGGGTCGGTGGTACCCTCGGATGGGGGTTGGTGCTGCGAGGGGGGTCTCGATGGCGAGCTGCCTGTGGAGGACTTTGGCTTGATTTCTATGATTGTGCTGTTGGTGAAGCAGGTACATTTGCAGAATGTCGGTGCCGCTGTTCATGTAAATGCCAGGTCAGCTCAACTGGTTCGTCCAAAGGGGAAGCCAGCTGTTGCGGTGGATGGGTAGGTGGAAGATGCATGGATTGACTTACACGCTGCGACCGCCAAGGAGGCGAAAGCGCCGAGAAGGAGTATGAGAACGCTGAGCCGATTCATTTTGCTCGTAGTAGGCCAGACTACATCGCGTATCTTCAATGTCTAAGGGAAGTGAAGCCGTGGTAAATGGTTCGAAGCAGCCGCGTTCAGGCGACGTCGTGGCCTTGCCTGCCGCGGCACCCCAGATCCCTGCCGGGCGGCTTGGGGAGCTTCAGCACCCGCGAAATTTCGAACTCCAGCGCCAGGAACTATTCGCAGTTGCGCCAGGAGTCAATTCGGGCTTCCAACCACCCTCGATTCAAAACCCACACAATGCGGAGGATAGCAAGGATACAGAGACCCTCTACGGCACTCGCCCAGTGCCTCCAGGCACCGGCCTCAACACCCCAGCACACGGCGGCGTGCCGAGCAGCAGCAGCGACATGCCTCCAGCGACCACGCGACTTCTCGACGACACCACAGAGGCCATTCCACAGCTCAGGGAGGCAGGCGGAAAAGTCGAACTCGGACGACGAGAAATCAGCCAGGGCGGAGGAGGAGGCTCGCCTGCATGCGGAGAAGCGGCGAGCCGCCAAAGCCGCCGCTGAACAAGAAGCAACAGCACTCGCGGCCGACGCCCACCAGCAACAACAACACGAAGCGGCCGAGCAGCTCCTCGAGGCCGACGCCCACCAGCAACAACAACACGAAGCGGCCGAGCAGCTCCTCGAGGCCTACGACCCCGACGCCGCCCAGGCGGAGGCCCTGGAGGTCGAGACGGACCTCGTGCTGCCGCCCGAGGAGGTCGCCGTCGCGCAGCGCGAGGACGAGCTCGAAGCCGAGGGCGTGCTGTACGAGCCGGCCGACACGGCGCACGGCCTCGAGGTCGTGGGCGGGCTGGGCGGCTGGTTCGAGCGCGACGAGCACTGGGGCGCGTCGAAGCGGTACGCCGGGTTCGCGCCGACGAGCCGCGTGGCCGACCCGGCGCTGCTGGAGCTCAACGTGAGGCGGGCGGTGGCCGAGGCGCTGGCGGTGGCTGCCGCGGCGGCCGCGGGTGCTGACAAGGCGCCGCTGCTGACGGGGCTGTGGGAGAGGGGCGGGAGGGAGGACGCGGAGAGGGCGCTGGGCTTGCGGCTCGAGGTCCGCGAGGACGGCGCCGTTGGGGTGGTCGCTGCGGATGCTGAGGGGATCGTCCGGGCCCTGCGGTGGGACCCTGATGCGCCTGGGTCGTCGGTTGCGTCTGTGGGCGAGGAGGTCGGCAAGCAGCAGTTCTCGCCCGACGAGGCGAGGGAGATCGTGCGGGCGTGGGACGAGGGCTGGAAGAAGATCTCGCTGCACGACGCCCGCCTCAAGTTTGCTGTGAGTACGCCCGGCTGACAACAATGGGGCGCTTCTATTCTGGGTGACACAGATTGATCGATTGATTGATTCGTTGATTGCTAATTCTATTCTTCGCCTTTCTCCAGGTAACAAAGCGCATCCTCCAGCTCACAGGCCACCCGATCCCCGACTCCAAGCTGCCGTCCATCCACACCGCCGGAAACCTCGTGTCGCTCCTGGTCAAGCCGGAGCCGCCGACCAAGGTGGCCGAGGCCCTCGAGCAGCAGGGCGAGCTGGCCAAGCTGCCCAACGTGCGGGTGCACGCGACGCGCCGCACGCCCATCCACAAGCACCAGGAGGTGGGCCGGTGGAAGGTTATCGTCGAGGAGCTCGAGAAGAGGAAGATCCCGGCGACGGGCGACGGCGGGATCGGCCGGTTCGTGGAGGACAAGTGGCTGAGGGGGCCGAGGCTGCCCAAGAGCGAGAGGAAGAAGAGGAGGTGATCAAAGCAAGGGGGTTCTGTCGTGTGTATTGGCATGGTAGATAGGCTACGTATATGGCAGTAGCTGGACAAATGGATGTAAACTACAATGTAAATGGAATAGCCGCCACGACTGGCAGCATAGAATCCATCTCCTGCCATGCCTACCGCTCGGGCGTTAACGGCTGCGTCTTGCCTAAGCTGAACATGTAAAATGTGGAGGGGACGGCGTATGCTTTTACGTTCGCTGGCTGGGACATGTGCACCATTTCGTTGTTCTGCACTGTAACAAGACCAGAACCATGGGTTGGATTTTTTTGGACATGCTCACGTCTCGGATATCGGCTGAATACCTCGAGACTTGATCTATTGAGGAACTCCTTGGAGCCGTATTATCACGACCTCGATGTATAGCCACGACAAGCTAATAGCCAGCCAATCAAGTCACGGGCAGATGTTGTCGGAAGATCATTAGGGCATTGCAGATGGGTTTATGAGTGCTCGATTGTCAAGGAATTCAGTGATTATCTATACATTCTTGTTCGCAACGCAAAGTCGCATCCCAATCTGTCCCAAGTATTCCTTCGCCAGTTTAGTTGCCGTGATGGTCGAAGTCAAGTGTGTGTGGGCACTGTTGATTTATTTGCTGCAGGTGCCTGGCATAACATGTTAGCGAGGTGGCTTCGAGGACGACGACGGCAATGTGTTCAGGCGATGGTCACTCACAGTTGGTACCGCAGTTGCAGCCCGAGCCGGAGGAGGAGCATTGGCAGCCAGTTCCAGACATGATGATGGTTAGGTGGTGGTTTGTTTGGTAAAGATAGATGTTTGTGTATTGTGTGTATGTTGGTTGATGGGTGAGGCCAAGATTTTATGTGTGGGTGAGTGGAAGAGTGAGTGGTCTTATATATCCGAGGATGCGTCAATTGTGCGGGATTCCAGAAGCTGCCTGTAAATGAGGGGTCCCTCGCCAGGCTTTTGATCCCTGTCACAATGATGCGCAAGCGTCGCCCAGCAGCCCCACTATCCCCCCGGTGGGTGTACGTACTCTGCTACTGTACCACCCACGGCACGAACCTACCGCAGTACGGCAGGTGGGAGCCGCCTCCTGCGACCCTTCTTTGCATCCCATTCTCTTGCACCCCACCATTCGATCTGGGCGATCTGGGCCAGTAAGAATCAGTCGTGAGACCGAAGGCAGGATCAGCGTCCAGGGTCCATGCCCGCCCTGCCTGCCAGGCTGCTGGGCCCCCAAGTTCGATCCTTAGCAGCACCTGGAGCTCCCTCGACTCGACGCCACGGCGATGCTGTTGCCTCCCGATGCCTCTTTCGTCCCGCCTCTCTCCCACCGTGCCACCATGCCCAGCCAGCCTGCCTAGGTCGGCGCCGTTCAGGGTCCAAGGACGTCAAAGTGTCAAAGCAGAAACTCACTATTGCGTACTGTGCGTTCTGTGTGCGATATTTGTGCGCGATTGTGAGCCAGTCCCCTTTGAGGCGATGCCCGTCCATGCAAGCAAGTAATTCCTACCCCATGTGGACGGCGACAAAGGACGATCCTGCGTCCGTCCGACCATCACATGGGCTAGACGTCATTCGGCCACACGCATACGCAGCCACTCGCACTCGACGCACACAAGAGGGGGCGGTAAGGGCGTGGGCGGCAACACTCTTAGGACAACTAGGACACCAAGTGCGTGGTTTGTGCGGGATTGCCCCCTCTTCGGTTTCCAACACGGCCCAACCTGGATCGATGTGTATACAAGCCACCAAGCTGCCGAGGCGTCACCGTCAGTGGCGTGGGGACCACCTCCCACGATCTTAGGTCTCCCCCCTTGATGCCCGCTTTCGGCTGGGGGAGGACAGATGACTGGCTGCATCGGGCACATCCCAAAGCACCGGCCTGTTTCAACTGGACCGGCTTTGCAGGCTGGCATACTGTGGTTATCCCACGCCCGTTTTACGTTATCCGACTGTTGTTATCGCGGCTGGAAGACACTCTCTGAACCCCAATAGGACGGCAGAGACACGGAACATTGGCAACTCACTGACTCGGGGTGGTCAGCAGCAGAGACAGAAGCAGCAGGTGTGTCTGCTCTGGCCGGCTCTCCCCAGCCAAGCAGCTTCGCTCTGCTCTGCTTTGCCTTCGCCGCCCACATGCTCCTGTCCGACCGACCAACGGAGAACCATCATGCTGCCACGCATGGCTTTCTCCGTGGATCGAGGGCCATTCCGCGGGTAGCATCGTATCACTAGCATATCTGGATCATCTTATCGGGCCACTTACGCAGTACGTACTGCAGCTCGTCCAGGCTACTCGGGTTGGCTCGGGACAGTGCTATACGAGAGTTAATCAACGCCCTTTCTCATTGGGACTGCGCCCTGCTGCAATAGGCAATCGGGCTGTACGATACGGTCTCCATCAGTGGCACTGCGGAGAGGTACAGCGATGAACGGGACATTGCCTCGTCCTTCCTCTGTGTCCATCGAAGACCATCACGCTACGTGCAGTAGCTATGCTACTTTACTTGTAGACTATGTGCCGCCAGGCCGAGTGTCAGCGACAGCCGAGCGACCCACGCCTATCCTTCCCAAGTAACCATTTCCACCGAATCGAAACCTGCCCTAGGGACAGCCTCAACATGGCTGCCCCAGGATCTCTGTAACCTTGTTAAGTGGGGCCCTGGTCAAGTGCTCAAGAGACGCAGACCACCCACGAGTTGAAGACATGAAGAAGCAAAAGGTCACGGCTTCTCTCACCAGATTGAATCGATCATGTATCACCCTGTGGTGGGGCGTCCAGTGCATGGAGCAGTCCTCGCCGGTGGCGAATCTATTGTTCCCATCGCTCGCCTGATCGAATGAGACCTAGGCTTACCAGGTCTGAGGGCTTTGTACGGGAGTCGGTCAGGTTTCCAGAACAATGCCATCGAGCCCAATATCACCTCACTGTCTATTATGTTGGTAAACGTCCACATGGTCTATCCCAACGCCTCAGACGTATTCAGAGACGTCACAGATGATTGATGGCTCAGCGTGTGTCTATTGTTTATTGGCTGAGCCAGTCAGATTTCAGGTGCCTTCTAAGAAGATAAGCCTTCACAAGACTTACGCCCTCTCTATCTCTGATAACGGCAGGAACAATGTCCAGCGACCAGGGCTACCACGAGCTGTCGTTAGCCGCCCTTTGCAATGACACAATTGGCAAAACACGCAAAGGCGGGTTGCCACCAGAGAGCTACTAACTTCCAAGTTCCTCCAACAGTGACCTGTCTCACGGCGGCACTCCGGCTCTACAGCCCTGCAACGTGGACGTAACCCTTGACCACCAAACACTCCCTCGCAAGTGAAGCACAACTGCAGGCACGAGAAGGGGCATGACATGAAATCGACTGCAGTACACCATTCGGCAGCTGAACGCGGCGAGAACCCCACAAATGATGAGACGGGCACCACCGGGCCAAGACACGTCATCTCGCGCATCTCAGGACCCGCGGACATCGAGGCCCACCTGCCGTCCCTCCGAAGCCTGCTGCAGTCGTGCGTCAACACCGACCCGTCGGCGTCCTCCATCGGCTTCCTCGCCCCGCTGTCGGACGCAGACGCGGACCGGTACTGGCGGTCCCTCGGCCCCATCCTCGGCGCCACGTGCCACCTCTTCATCCTCGTCCTGACTGGCTCCGGCTCCGGTGAAGAGCAGTGTGGAGATGGAGATGGTGAGGTCGCGGCGACCGCGCAGCTCCTGACCATTCCCAAGGCCACGCACGCCCACCGCGGCGAGGTGGCCAAGCTGCTGGTGCGGCCGTCTGGCCGGCGCTCCGGGCTGGGGAGGGCCATGATGGCGCACGTCGAGACGTTTGCGCGGGGATCGCTCGGCTTACGGGTGCTAACCCTCGACACTGAGACGGAAACGCCGGCGCTCGCGTTCTACCGCCGCACTGGCTGGGCGGAATGGGGTACCTGCCCGGATTATGCGGCGTTCGCGGACGGACGGCTGGGGAGTGCTACGTTCTTTGTCAAGTCTCTCTGACGTGTCGGCTCGATTGGGTCACTCTTCTCGTCATATTAGCCGCTCGGCTTGTCTGCCATGCCCTACAGCATCAAGACCCGCGGCTCACCAAGACACACGTCCACTGCAAACGCCAGCCCGGCCAGCTCAACCCTCTGCGCCCCGACGTCCTCCCTGAGAAATCCTTGCGACTCCGCAGGCCACCGCCCCAGCGTCGGGCTCTCGAGCATCTCCGCGTCGACGGCGGCGCTGGTGGCGGACTGCAGTCTGGACTCGATCCCTCCCATCCGTCGCATCGTTTCAGCCTTGAGCGCCGCGGCTCTGGCCCTCTTCAGCTCGGCGAGCCGCTCAGGGGTGTTGTTGATATTGTCGTTGATGCCGTTACCAGACGAAAAGAACGCCTCCATCTCGAATCGCACCCGTGTCCGCAGGTGCGCCTTCCCTTTCGGCACCCACCGCACGCACCGGTCTATAAGCCCGTGCCCGCAGTACTCCTCGTCCACGCAGTCCCACCCGCTGTCGCCCACCGTGCACGTGTGCCGGACGCCGCCCTCCCTGTCATGCCGTGCCCGGAGCTCCTGGCCCTTTGCTCGGACGGTCCCGCCCAGCCGCGCGCGGAAGTCGCTGAGCCGCGCCTCTGGGCCCTGTTCCCCGGGGTCTGTTGGATCGGTTCGTGGGCTGTCTAAATCGTCGTCTTCGTCATCCGGCGGTGTCGGCAGCCGTGCCTCGCCCGCCGTGGTCTTGGGGCCGCTTTCTTTACCGGATTGCTGAGCGCTCGCTGCCGAGAGGAGAAGCGAGTCTATCTCATCTTCGGGCAGGACGTAGTCGCCCGGCTCGAACGAGCCCTTGGCCGCTCGGGATGGCTGCCGCCGCTTGCCCACCGCTGCTGCCTCCCGGCTCCGCAGTGTGATCTGCCTGCCTGCTTCTTGCTTGTACCACTGCTCTGCCCTCCGTGTGAAGCTCGATAGGCAGTACACTTCGCCTCTGCGCAGGGGCGGCGAGGGGACTGATCTTGACGGTGTCGCGCAGAACTTGAGGATCCTGTCGAGATCTTGCTTCTTGGGCGGCGCCATTGGACCTCGCTTCTTGTCGGGTTCCCCCTCTGATTCTTGTGTTACGTGGTCTTCACCGCCTTCCTCAGCCGCAAGAAAATGAAAGCTGGGGCTTCTCCGTGCAGTAATTGTGAATTCCGTCATGTCGGTATAAGCAACATGCTCCCCTTTGTTACAATGCTGTGGCCAGCTGCCGAATCTGGGATGGTGTTGGTGAACATTCAAAACGCTGTCAAAGACAACGCAGTGGGTCCGTTCTTTCAGCAACTCACGGGACGTGTTCGAAAGTCATGACATTACCAGCCGGGCTGGGACCTTTTCTAGGTGGACTGATCCAGGAACTGCTTACCGCATGAGCAATGAGGCAGGTTTGGGTCCGCAATCACACTTGATTGTCGTTTCGTGACACGGAAGCAACATTGCCTCGCCTGAATAGAGCTGTCGGTGATAGAATCAGCTGTGTGTCTGTCGTGAGCCTACAAGCAGATGGACAAGTTTATATTAAATGTATAGACCAATTCTACTCTAACAAGCGGAAATGAAAAAAGAATAAAGAGAAAAAGGATCAAAGTAACGGCCACTGATCTATTTGCGAACGCCCGGATTCCCCGCCAACAACTCCCTCTCCTGCTCCTCAGTAATGGGCAGGACCGTCGCAACGACCTCATTCGCATGTAGGATCGCATCGCCCGCCCCGTCCCACGTCTTCCTCTTCCCGTCTCGAAGTACCTGTACGAGTGCGCCGTCTCGACGCCGTCGTTCATGAGCTTGTACATCCTGCGGTCCTTCCACCAGAACTTCCAGCCCTTCCAGCTCAGGGGGCTCAGGTTCTCCATGCCCGTCCCGGCGGCGCGGTGCAGCCAGCCCTGGAACTCCCACTGCTTCACCATGCTCGTGTCGGCGCTGTGGTCCATCGCCCACCGCGAGGCGACCCACTCCTGGTGCCTGTCGATCCAGGCGTCCATCTCGCCGCGCGACGGGAGCGGCTCGACGCCGCGGAACACGTTGGAGATGGCCATGGACGTCACGTCGGCGAAGGAGAAGCCGTTGGACTTGCCAAACGCAGAGTAGCACAGGAACGCGCACGAGTCCGCGTACTTTGGCGGGAACAGGTTCATCCACATCCGGTAGATGGGGTCCCCCGCGAACCCGTGGCCCTTGGGGACGCTCGTCTCCATGAAGGACTGCCCCACGGCCCAGTCGGCCCTGTAGCCCGTGCAGAGCAGCACGGCGTCGATGTCGTCCAGCACCGTGCCGTCCAGCAGCTCGACCTTCTTGGGCCCCAGGAACCGCTTCAGCCCGTGCACGGACTGCAGGCTGCCGTCCTCGAGGAAGGGCATGATGTTCTCGAAGCTGCCGGGCAGCCTGAGGAGGATGCTGGGGATGGGCAGGAGCCTCCACTCGGGCTTCAGGTTGGGGAACATGACCTTTGCGAAGAAGGTGAGGAAGTAGTCCGCGAGGAGCTTGGCCAGGGCCGGGAAGTACCGCTGCATGAGCTGGGACATCTGGCGCCGCCGCCAGGTGACCTGCGTGTCGTTGGGGACGCCCTTGCGGAACCGCCGGAAGGGCAGCGCCCCGCGCCGGTGCGAGAGGTAGACCGGGTGGGCGGCGTGGGGCATCAGGTCCGGGGCGATGTCGCCCGTGGTCGAGGAGAGGCCCAGCACGAGGACGCGCTTGCCCTTGAAGGGCAGGGGGCTGCGGTACTGTTGCGAGTGCATGATGGTCCCCTCGAACTGGTCCTGGCCCTCGAAGGTGGGAACGATGGCGCGCGTCTGGTAGCCGTGGCAGAAGACGACCTTGTCGAACTCGAGCGTCCTGACGCCCTCGGCGGCCGTCTCGACCTCGAGGGCCCACTTGGTGTCGTCGGCGTTGCGCGACGCCTTCTTCACGGTCGAGTTCAGGCTCCAGTCCTTGAGGGTGTCGTAGTGCCTGGCGTAGCTCTCCATGAAGTCCTGGAAGTGCTCCGTCTTCATGTAGATGGGGTACTTGTCCGGCATGGGGAAGTCGCTGAAGCCGCACGTGAACTTGCTGATGTTGGCCATGGTCCGCGGCAGCGCCGTGGTGTAGGACGTGTTGTCCGAGTACGCCCACAGCCCGCCGACCCGGTCGCGCCTCTCGAACCCCGAGACCGCGAAGCCATCGTCGCGGAGCTGCTTGAGCATCGAGAGCCCAGAAGGGCCTGGGGAGGGCTTGTCAGTGTCTTGTGTGCCCTGCGTGTGCAGCCTTAGACCACGACGAGGGTGGTATCCACGCTATTGATCGCTTACCTGCACCAATCACCGCCACGGTTTGTTTCCCCATCTTTCGTGTAACCGAGCCCATGCTTTGCTGCAACTTGCCTTGTCTAAATAAAAAAAAAAAAAACATCACGCACCCAGGCAGACGTTAATTGATATCTCAGCTTTCGCAAACGTACCCAAAGGATGGTAAGCACTAGGGACGGTTTCGGGCAGGGACAGCACGCCCAAGGTCCGAGGTCTCGGGATGCGAAAGGGGATTGTTGTTAGCGCCAACGGGCATGTTGCAGTGGTTGTAGGATTTCCAGCTGCATGTGGCGTTGGCGGGCTCATTCATGCTCATGCGGTGGAGAATGGGCTCCATAGTGACCTTCCTTCGCCAACATACTCATTTCACGAAGCAGTTTTCAACATCTCGATTAATAAGGTGATGAGTCAAAGAATGAAGTGATCACCTTTTATAGATACTGGTGGCCTGTTCTCGTGAAAATTTATCACAGTATGTAGCTCATTCCCTGGTTTGCTTTTCACTGTACGTGGTTCGCTTGGTCTTGGATCAGAGTAACTAGCTTGATGCGCCATCCTCTTTGAGAGACGCAATGGAGCCTCCCTGGGAGACGGGGATTTACATAAAGCTCGGCAATAGCTAATGAATGATTTCGCTCATGGGTATGAGGGGGCACATTTAACCTACTTCACATAAGTGAGACAGAAGTTGTAAGCATACGGTCGTTTTCGTTTTATCTGTCGATGCTACTCAATACCGAGTGTCAGCTTGTGGCTCTGGTAACTTCGTAGCCTCTCCATTCACTCCCCTGACGATAATTTGGAGCCTTTTGCCAGTAGTACTACCAGTATCCCCGTTGCTATCAGTCTCTCGCACCATCAATCTTTTTGCCAGGCACAGCGGATCTGTGACGCCAACCGAAGTCGCGGGTAGCTCACGCGATGGAGTAGAGCCCAAAGCCAAGGCGAAAGAATCGCAGAAGGACTCCCACGCTGCCGATGTCCTGCGCAGCCACAGCGAATAGGCCGTGTGCACCAGAGCAAGCAACACATGTACAAACACAACCGTCAGTGCGAGATAATACCCGACTCCGTTGGCGGAATAAGCCAGCCCAGTTAACAGCAGATCCCAACGCATAGTCGTGGACTGAACGCTCGACGAGCCGCCGCTGCCCGGTGCTGGAACCTCCAAGGTGCCGGCGAGCAGGGAGATCATATTCTCATCGCCTTGTGGGACTTGAAAGAGCGTCCTGGCGTCCTCCAATGTGCCCGCCTCACTTCCATTCTCTGAGTAGCCAGAATGAGCCATCCCGTCGGCCACAATGGCAGCGATTGCGGCTTCGATAACCTGCTGGGCTAAACCCAACCCGAGCCCGCGGCTTGCGTTGTTGTCGACGCCGAGGGCTTCAAGCATGGACGAAAAAGTCGTGTAGCCTTCGCGGGTGTTGTCCAAGATCGGCATAAGAGCATCCAGCCACTCTGGCCCCAGTCGGACATCCCTCCAGTGCGTGTAGTTGTTTGCAGGGAATTCGTAAGCATTTTCCGGCCACACTAAGCCATGTGCTGAGACGGAAGCATTGTAATATTCGGAGCCAAGCCATTCTGCCATTTCTGAACCCATGATATTCCCTTCGATCCATCTCGCGTCCACTGAACAGGCCGCCAACTGCTCTGATGTGGTCTCAGTCTTGGGAAGCTGTACGTTGAGATATGCACTTGACAATCTGTTTCCACCACCGTCATCCGATATTGCAATCATGCTTTCATTGAAAGACACTTCGGCCCATCTCGTGGCGATGCTAGATATGTTTGAGTACAGCTTGAAATTTATAGCAGGGGATGGCGCAACTATCACAGCGTCCGTCGAAGGACGACCAATAAGAGGCTGATTACGATACAGTGGCTGTTTCATCTGACCTTAGTTATCTGCCTTCTCATACTCGTATGGGTAAAAGGCGGGCTCACTATCGGGTCCAACGGTTCGACGGAATCCGACATGCTGCAACTAACCCGGACGACAGGAATTTGGCTCTTCATGACCGCCACTGTTGCGTCTCTTTTGCGATATCGATACTTGGCGTAGCCACTGAAGATAGAATCTGTCATGCGTGAGAAGATGGCTTTGAACCGCCAGTCAACTGAGAGAACCCGCGAAACGACGCAAGGAGCCAGCTGGGGCGTGATGGCCCAAGTATCGGGCCTGTCCGTCCCGTTCAGGTTGATGGTGATTTTCCTACGGACAAGGCCATCGGAAACCTCGATTGGGAAATAAGCATCTCCGAATGTCCATCCTTGAAGTGCTTGAGTGATGGCTGCGGTACTGCTCGTTGCGCATGTGTCGTTGATGAGCCCCACCAACGCCAGCGGACCGTCTTGAGATTGCGCACGCCCACATAGCTCACCATTTCGAAGCTCGTCAGGCCAGATGGTGCTGTTATCTCCGATTATGTGAAAGGTCGCTCCGCCCCCGGACCAGTCCGTAAACCACTGGGGTATCATCAGAACCGCAGATGACGGTCCAGAGAATACTGCGAGCAGGGTGCAGGTAAGCACAAGAGAAAACATCAATATCTTCTTCCTCAAGCTTTCAATTCCCTTTCGTCCGAACCACAGGTCAGGAGAGAACCAAAAAGACGGCTCCTGAAAGCGGGATGGAGCCGAGAGAAAGCCCAATGGCAAGCCATCTTTGCCGAAAAGGAGTTCGTTTCTAAGTACATCCCAAATGATGACACTCAGAGAGGCGATGATGGACATTTCCTGCGAAAGGGAAGCAGTCAGAGTATTGCGCCGATGTGATGTAGACTCCAATCCAGGGTACGAGACCAGCCTTGACGAGATTGACTCACAAACAACTTTGCTGTCACTTGTAACAGAAGGCTGTAGAAGGACTGTGAGAGTGAATCGACCTTCCCAAGGTACCCTGCTCCAACGAAGTAACCCTGAATGTTGAGAGCGGCCAGTACGGCGGTTGCCATTATGGGCGGGATATGTACGAGACATCGTTTGAAGGCCGGAAAGACTCCAGATCTCACGACAACGGTGTTCTTCTTTGTCCATACTGCCCTTGCCCAGTCCACACGAGCATGTAGCCAACGCTTCTTGACCGGAGTTCCCAAAGAAGGTGCGGGAACCGAAAGTTGCGGGATATTTCTCGCCCCTGGAATTGGTGTAGTGTTCATATTTGTAGAAGGCTTTCAGGTTAGAGGCGCTTGTCATTTGAAAAATTGGCGCTTCATGTGAATAGAGAGAGGAGTGTCAAGTGAAGAGAAGAATGAGCCCACAACACGGCGAACGACCTGGAGGGTCCTTATGTCTTTAATATTCTATTTCTATTCCTGGTGCTCAAGTAGGAACATTCTAGAGGACAAATTCGGAGTTTGCTGTGGCTGCTTATGGCGTGCATATCGATGAACACAAACAGTGACCTTGCATTTCAGCCGGTCAGCTCGGCGGCCCTTCATTGGATCTCTCTTTTTCCTTTTTTAGTAATGTTCGCATTCATGGCCTTTGTTGATGGTGGTGTAGAGATGTATTTTAAGCCGTGATCAGCCCATTCCTAGCACAGACTTGTGAAGATGCTGCGGGAATGTGGCAAGCAAAAGTAATGTTGTCGCTAGCCTCGTATCACGAGAGGGTCGAGAGACATAGCAGCTGGGCTCAAACACGTCAATTTAAGTTAAGTGGGCGCTATCTCTACAAGAAAGAAGGAGGGCATTCGGAGGGCCCTGGGGCATTACAGAAGTAGGCAGCCAGAGGGGCATGCCGTGGGGGCATAGTTTCTCACCTCGTCACAGAACATCTATACTCCTCAGCGTCTATGGTTTTATTTTCAGTCCCCGCACCCTACAACTAATACCAATGTATGAAGGAAATTAACAACCTCTTTCGTCTCGGTATGCTAGGCCCGGACATCCTATCCAGCCCGAGAGATGACCTAAAGTGCATATTTAAAGATAGATCTGACGATAGCATTGCTTTGTGAATTTCAAACATGACACAATTCCGCGCCCAGCTGAATACTGCAGCCTTTCTTCTAGGTGACTTGATAGGTTTCGCAGTCTACCCAGCCCCAAGGATAACAATGGTACCCTTAGAACTATTAAAGAATGATTAAAAATGCAAGTATATAGTAGATAGATTAATGGATAATTGATTTCAAAAAGCAAAGTAAGGCCGAAGCTAAAAGAAAACAAGATTATCTCCCCTCTCGGGATTGAACCGAGGACCTGTAGATGGCAATGTGTACAGTTACAGTCTATCGCTCTCCAGCTGAGCTAAGGAGAGATATGTCGCTTTCACTACTCAGGTAGGCGGTTGGGTTGCGCTTGCGAAATGTCGTCCATATCAGAGCAGGCTGGAAAATCGCCTCATCCTCGTTCCCAGCGGCTGGCTCCCAATATGTACCCTGGTTCTTGGTCGCAACCTGTACCTCTGCTGTTGTTCCCCAAGGTAAATCCAATGAGACTTTTGGTGGTTACTCCAGCTGGTCCCAAAATAGCCTACATACACATCGTGCACGCAAATTGCCACAAAATTCAACCGTGAGGGTTTCCGATCTTCTTTTTCATTTCAACTGAGTTGAAGATGGAATCAAGGGCAAAAGAGTCGTTGAGTGGGGAGGTCGAATCGTTCTCAAAGTTGCACGGAGTCTGCCCTGTATCGTATCGAACCTCTCAGCAGGTGAATCGTCTTGAAATCAAATCGTTCTCATACATTTGCACTGACCCATTTTGTGTTGATCTTTTGTAGTGACAGCTCCCAAGAAACATAACTGGATGCGCCCCTGGTGACCGCGATGGGTCCACCAAGAGTGTCAACCTTACTATTGAGTCTCTGCAGATCTTCCAACACGACCATCGTTGCTCAACCCCCGTCCAAAGCTTGTCGGACCAGTATGGTCAGCCACGTCATTCCCATTTCGTCGCAGACAGCCACTCAGCCGAATGCCTGGGATTTGATGCGATGATCATCAGATTTCGAGTGATATTGTGGAAGGGCAACGAAATGCGCGCACCAGTAATAGACAGGTCAAAACAAGCTTTATAGTGGGTGCATGTCTCCAGTATTTAAGCAACCGCCATTCGGACTTGGCCAATCGCCAAGGCCAAGGCCAAGAACATAGCTTGAGATGATATCTTGGCCTTGGAAGCAGAGTCGAGAGCTGCGTCTGTTTCCGAAATGAGTAGCAAGAGGCAATAGCGCCAACTTGGAATGGCAAGGAAAACGATCATCTGGGATGAATCGCCGATGAGATGTCGATGATTACCTCTGCAATCGATGGCCTTCGCTGCATGTGCCGCCGACAGGGTCTGGACTCCTTTGGCGGGTATAGGACGCATATCGAGAAATGTGCAGCGATTGCCTTCTCCGCCTACGTGCCGTGAACCAGACTTTTCGTGAGATAGTTCATGGTCCAGTGCTGCGAACCTCCCCGGTGAGCCAGACTGTAACCCGTGCTTCACGACACTACCGTTCGCGATGTTTAGCAATCAAGCTTACCCCAAGCTGCTCTCGACAGGGTGGAATGGAGTGAACGGGCATTGGCTCTCTAGCAACTCCAATGCATGCCATTCAGCGAAACAGCGAGCAGGACCAAATCATAATGGATGACTCATCACTGCATTGGTTCAACTCCAACAGTTCATCCAGTTTATTCGATCGGCTAGAAACGTGGCGGAAACTAACATGGCACATGGGCTGCAGCCGACACCTCGGCCGAATGATCTGCGAACAGCTTCCTAAATCCAGGCGGACCCCTGCCGTGACTTCGCGAATGTCTAGAGCCGTACCTCTTAGGCAAGGAACATGCGTGGCTATGGCGACGCGTGTGCCATACCGTCTTCTCTTTCCAGCCATTCCCCCTTTCCCCTCTTTGCAAGATTTGGAGACTCCGGCTTAGACGGAACATCTATTCCGCGTTTAATGCCGCCGAGAAGTAACTTTACGTCTGTCACGAGGACGAATCGTGCAACGCTAGAGAGTGACAGTCACAAGGCACATACGTTACGACGTAGCATCCGCAAACAAGCTTTCGTCGGTATTGGCGGAAATTTGTGCTAATTTGGTATTTCGTATGCTACCATTGACCTAGAACCGGACGGGGACCTCTTTTGGGTTCGGGGAACCCCCGTGAATAGTATCATGTCGTCGCGAAAACGGTCAACCCCAAAAAGAAAAAACAAAATGATAACTGAGCAGGTCGTACACGGGCACGGTTTAAAAGCCCACGATCTGGCTGTTGTTCGGTGGCAGTTTGAAGCTCGCCATCCATGAGTTGAAGACGCTCGCGGACCTGCCCATCACAACAAAAATTTCCTACGTTTCCTTCGTTCCCTTAGCAGTAGCGACCACACAAGATGTTCTCACGGTCAAGCCTCGCCGCCCTGGGCCTTGCTGCCATGGGCTCCCTCGTCTCGGCCGGGCCCTGCGACATCTACTCGTCCGGCGGCACGCCCTGCGTCGCTGCTCACAGCACGACTCGCGCCCTGTACAGCTCCTATTCAGGCTCGCTCTACCAGGTGCGCCGCGGATCCGACAGCGCCACGACCAACATTACGCCGCTGTCCGCCGGCGGCGTTGCCAATGCCGCCGCCCAGGATTCCTTCTGCGCCGGCACGACCTGCCTGATCACCATCATCTACGACCAGTCCGGCCGTGGGAACCATCTTACCCAGGCTCCGCCCGGCGGTTTCAAAGGCCCGGAGGCGAACGGCTATGACAACCTGGCCAGCGCCATTGGCGCCCCGGTCACGCTGAACGGCCAGAAGGCGTACGGCGTCTTCATCTCGCCTGGCACGGGCTACCGCAACAACGCTGTGAGCGGCACTGCTACAGGTGATGCGCCGGAGGGCATGTACGCTGTCCTCGACGGAACCCACTACAACAATGGCTGCTGCTTCGACTACGGAAACGCAGAGACGAGCAGCACCGACACCGGTAACGGCCATATGGATGCCATCTACTACGGTACCTGCACCATCTGGGGCACCGGAGCCGGCAGCGGCCCCTGGCTCATGGCCGATCTCGAGAACGGCCTCTTCTCCGGCAAGAGCGCTGGCCAGAACACAGCTGACCCGACCATCACCAACCGCTTCTTCACCGCGGTCGTCAAGGGCCAGCCGGCCAACTGGGCGCTCCGTGGAGGCAACGCCGCATCCGGCTCGCTGTCGACGTACTACAACGGCGCGCGCCCGTCTGGGTACAACCCGATGAAGAAGGAGGGGGCCATCATCCTCGGTATTGGAGGCGACAACAGCATCAGCGCGCAGGGCACCTTCTACGAGGGCGTCATGACGTCCGGCTTCCCGTCCGACGCCATCGAGAACTCGGTGCAGGCCAACATCGTCGCGGCCAAGTACGCCACGACGTCGCTCAACAGCGGCACGGGCTTCACCGTCGGCAACTCCATCTCCCTGCAGGCCACCACCGCGGGCTACACGGACCGGTACATTGCGCACACGGGGTCCGCCGTCAACACGCAGGTCGTCAGCTCGTCGAGCGCCGCCGCCCTCAAGCAGCAGGCGAGCTGGACGGTGCGGGCCGGGCTGGGCAACAGCGCGTGCTACTCGTTCGAGTCGAGGGACACGGCGGGCAGCTACCTGCGGCACTACAACTTCGAGCTGCAGGTCGGCGCCAGCGACGGCAGCAAGCAGTTCAAGGAGGACGCCACCTTCTGCACGCAGGCCGGCCTCAGCGGCAAGGGCAGCTCCATCCGCGCCTGGGGGTACCCCACCCGCTACATCCGCCACTACAACAACCAGGGCTACGCCGCGAGCAACGGCGGCGTCCACACGTTCGACGCCGCCTCGTCGTTCAACAACGATGTGAGCTTTGTGGTCGCTACTGGCTTTGCGTGAGGGCCGAGCGGGAACGTGAAGAGACACTGTTCGACTCACAATATAAATTTCTATAGCCAACATGCTCAATACATTATACTTTTATCTTTGTCTTTACTCGGAAGTGTTCTCTTATGCGTGGAAGCCTCTGTCATGTGGGGCCTTATTATCATGACTTTTAAAATGAACATAACTATGTACGTGTTGCTCCTTGTTTCCTTATCACGTACGGTTGCCGCGAGTAGAGAAAGTGAGGGTCTTCAACCCCTCACCGTCTGTGACATGTACAGTAATTACCCTGCAAATTTAGCCTCCCGGCTTCACACTCTGCCATCAAGATTCAATGTTCCACAACAGGTGCATCACTAGAGAACTCAATTTCTCGTCGGCAACACGCAACTTCTACAACTCAACCCCAACAATCTGCGAGAGGAAGAAGAAAAAAATCATACAACACGCATATGAAGCTCATCATGGTAAGAACCGCCACCGCCTGGGCCTTGTTGCTGGGTCCTGCCCTTGGCGAAAACAACGGCTATTGCTACGACGCCGAGCAACACCCAATCAAATTCTCAGACTTGGGAAGCAGGCTGGACATCACGCAGGCCCTCAATGAGACGTGCGAGACCCCAGTTGGCGACCAAATGTATGCCTGTAACGCGGCGGTAAGGACCCAAACATACGATAGGGGAGGGGGAAAAAAATTACAAATGCCATGTCTCACACATCTTCAATACCGAACAACTACTTTTTCGCTGACATTGACTAATCCCCTCCGCAGAAAGCTCTCAACGTCCCCATGCCGAACGACGCTTCCCGCACCTTCGTCTTCCACTTCGCAAGCCTGCACTACGTGAATCAGAGTATCCCCGACACGGGCCCCTGTGGCGACGTCTATCTCTCCCGCGCAAGCTGCGTCTACCTGGGCCTAGCCGCGATAGACACGTGCGAGCGCGGCGGCGAGGTCACCGTCAACGAGACCGTGGCTGCTGGCGGAGGGGAAGGGAGGCCCGTCACGGCTTGGTTGCAAGTTATCCCGTTTATGTAGAGTCGTGGTTTTGAAAATATGGTACTTGCATAAAATCTCCATTTTGGTTTATGCCTATGGGGGGGGGGGCTCCCGTCAAAAACAGGCAGAGCCATTCAAGGATCTAGTTGATTATCACTAGGCAATCGCTCTCCCAATGATAGCTCCTTCGCCCTTGTTGTTATGGAATGTTATGTCCATTACTGTCGCGTATATAAGGACCCGGGTATACTATGCATTAGTGGCGTCACTTTTGTCCTTATAGTATAGCGGCCAAAAACGTGACAATTACTCAGTAGCGATAACAGCGAATTAAGCGTGGTCGGTTGGCTATGGAGACACCCGGTGATGACAAAGCTCCAGCTGTTTCAGTCCAATGTATTCCGGCACGTGGAGTCGTTGCTATTGCGAATTCCACGTTGAAAAAATCCGAAAAGGAAACAAAAAATGATGCAATGGTCCAGTTAGACTACCTTGAAAACATTCATTTGTGTAGTTCGTTTACGTTCCGGCAGCTCCGAGCAGAGAACAAGTTTTTCCAGGAGTCCGAAAACAGCAAGAGACGGGGCCTCATCGCGATAACTATGTCACGTGTCACAACCGACACGTCGACGAGCTTTCCGTCTCCCCTGAGTTACTTGAAATATCCGATCTTGACATCAAAACATTGACTCCCAGTGTTGTTAGTTTCACGGTCTTGGTCAACGCCGAGCGCCGAATGCAGTGTCCATGGATTTAACACCGCGCCAATCCCCGAATACCCCAAACCGCGACCGCGCGACCCTCAAAGACCTGCTCAGATCGCGACAACAAAGCCGCAACGGCGTACGCGGAAACCCCAGGTCATGTCTACCGTGTCGAGAGCGAAAGGTCAAGTGCGATAAGCAGCTGCCGTGCTTGACCTGTGAGAAGCGTGGACACCCGGATTTGTGCGACTACGAAAGTTCCACACCTCAATCATCGGGCACACGGCGCTCGACTGCACGATCTGCAGCGAGAGCGCGAGTGGTTAGTCGGACGCCAGACCTGTCTCGTGGGAACAGAGAAGATGCGGCCATCCTCGACCGGAATAAGGGCCGGGCAGGAGAGGATGACCTCCCTAGCCCCTCGGTGCAGGTCACCGCCAATGCGGACGCGGTGTCTTCGTTGAGCAATGCACCCACCGTTCGCGACACCAGCGACGGTCTGTTCTTGGCCGACACATCCGTGGTCACTATGGCTCGACGGCGGTCGGTCCAGTCGAGAGATGATCCAGCGCGGCAGTCCGCTTTCGAGACAGGCATTCTACCTCTCCTTGGCGTCAGCAAAGACGACAATGCGTCGATGTTGACATATCAGTCCCTGCCTGGTGACCAGGAGATTGTCAGCCTATTTGAACACTTCTGTCGGAGAGTGCAACCTTTTCATGGCATTGTGTACAATTTGGATGCTATCGAAGAAAAGATATGTCGATTGATCAACATGAAAACAGGCGCGAATTGCAGGAATTGTCCCGAGCCGCTCGAGGATTCTCGTTGGCTGTCCCTGCTTCATGCCATCCTCGCCGCTGGTGCTCAATTCTCCGATATGGACTTGCAGCAGCGGACCATCGTCGCACAACGACACAGTACGCCCTGAGCTGTATATTGCGTCATGTTTCAGGCTTGATACTAATTTTGTTGCAGCAAAACAAGCATTCGAGCTGCTTCGATCAACAGACTACGTTGCCCGGCCATCGGAAGAAGCTGTTCAAACCCTACTTCTACTAGGGAATGTGCTCCAAAATGATATGAAGCCCCAGACGGCCTGGATTCTCGGAGCCACGACCATAAGACTTGCGCAATGCCTCGGTCTTCACAGGAAGACCAACAGCCAGCCCCTGCCCTCAATTTCTGATAGAGACGCAAAGAACCTGAGGTACTTCGATTTCGCGCCTCCTGCCATAGATTGCATGCTAACGGATCAAGAGGCTGGCAATCGTCTGGCAGGATTCTTTGCTAGCGCTTGCTTTCGGTCGCCCCCCAGCATCTCACGAATTTGACTTCATAGGCGATTTGGCCCCCCTGGCCGACCAAGACGGCAATGGCCTTTCGTATCTCGAAGCCATGAGCTGGCTCTGCCACGTCACGCTGCCTCACCTGGCCCCACGAGCGAGTTCACCAGTCCAACCAGTTCCAATAATCAACGATATCAAGTGCATAGAGTCTTCTCTAGCACCACATCTGGTCGATTTGAGAACAAGCACATCAATCTCGCAAATTCAAGAGCACTATGCCTTTGAACTGCACCGGCACTTTGTCATTTCCACTCTTTGCCGGCCGTTTATGTCCAGCCGAAGATCATCAGATTTAACGGAAAACGACAGGTTGCACGTCCTTGGTCAATTTCAGGAATCTCTGAGACGCAGCGTACGGGCCTACGTGCGCCTGAGGTCGATCACGGAACACGCGAGACGCTCTTGGGCCTTCATACACAACGGACTGACGTCCATCTTGCTCCTGAGTCTCATGCGAGAAACAAGGCACTTGCCAGAAACGCGGGTTCTTCAGGACGAACTCATCGCCAGTCTCTCCGAGGGCAAAAGCGATTCGGGCTCGGCTGCTGAGCCAGTTTCCGCGAGTCACCTGCCGGCGACTCTCCAGAAAGCACTCCAGGCACTCAAGACTCTCCGAGCGCTGACGGACCGTGACGCAAACATGCAAGAGTCACGAGTCGATGATACCAGTACGGGCCAACCATCAGCATCCGCAGCTAGACCTGAGTTTGACCCAGGTGACGAGCCGGGGCCCATGGAGCAGGACAGGTAAGTCACGCTATCCCGTTGAAAGGTTTGCTGAAAGCTAACTACTCAGCTTCTGGGACATGGATGGCTTCAGCTGGGACTTCCCAGTTGACTTGGACATGTCTCCCTTAGGCGCATTCGATTACATCATGTCGGACCAGAACTTTGGCGGAGGCAACTCATTTCCTCCAAACGCGATGTGAATCCAATGACGCTTGTTTGATACCTCGCAACTTCTATCTATGGTCCCAACTCACCCTTCTACGTCTATATTCTATTGCAATTGGGGCTCTCTACTCACTTTTTCGAAGTGTACCCAAAGCTCTCCCACCTCTGAAGCACCTTCTCCTGGACGTCAGCAGGGAACGACTCCTTGAAGTCCGCAGCCTCCCAGTCCCGCCCGGTGGTGTACTCCGTCGGCATCAGGGCGTCCGAGACGACCTTTCCGCCCACGCGCGGGTTCCCGTTGCCGTGCGACATGTACGGGATGAGGGGGAAGCCCCGGACGTCCTCGAAGTGGTACTCGTCCAGCCCCGGCCGGCAGCGCGTGCAGAAGGCCCACATGACGTCCTTGAAGTTGTAGACGTCGATGTCCTCGCCGACGAGGACGAGGCGGTGGATCGTGTAGCCCACCTTGTCGTTGAAGACGACGTTGCCGATGGTGCGGCAGAGGGCCTCGGCGTTGGTCTTCATGGCGCGCAGCTTCTCGGTGTCGACCTGGAGGGCGACCCACGTCACCTGCGACTCGAAGGGGGAGAAGGCTTCCTTGATGGGGAGGCCCTTTGACTTGAGGAGGTGCCCGATCTCGGCAGCGGCCAGGGGGCCGATCATGGTGTGCTTTCCTCGGGAGTCAGCTACTCTGTTGCAGTCAGTCACGTTGCGGACTGGTCATCTCACCGTCTCGTCAGTCAATCGGCCGCAGTTGCAGACGGGCATAATGGCATCCTTGCGGTGCGTGATAAGGTCGACCCTGTACTTTGGCTGCGCGTGCGCATCGCCGGGGAAGACATAGCTACGAACAAGATGTCAGCATCGCGCGGCCCAGGAGGGATTGATATTATCTCGCCAAATACGTACCCGTGCATCTCTCCAAACGGCCCCTCAGGTACCGTCTCAGTAGCCGAGCAGACACCCTCGAATATAATCTCTGAGTTGGCAGGAACATAAAGCCCGTTGGTGTCACACTTGACAACCTCCAACGGCGTCCCGACCAGAGATCCGATGTATTCCGCTTCGGATAAACCCCCTGGCAACGGCATGCTCGATGCCATGATGGCCGCCGGCGGGACGCCAAACGCCAATGCCCACGGCATATCCTTGCCTTCCTTCTTCCACATCTGGTGGATCTGCCAGATATGCTGCGGCTCGATAATGAGCCCCGCGAGGTGGTTCTTGTCGTGCACCATGGCGCGAGCAATGGACCAGTTAGTCCACTTGCCGTCGGGGGACTGGACGATGTGCATGCCATACGTCTGGATGTACTTGCCGCCGTCCGACTTGTGCAGCATCGGCGCAGGCAGCCTCGTGAGGTCGAACTGGTCCGGCGTCAGGCGGACCTCCTTGCACGACCCAGACTCGACGACGACGGGCGGGATCGGCGCGGCGCTCTTCGCGGCGACCATCCTGTCGAGGATCTCCTTCATGCCCGACGCGGGCGGGAGGCCCAGGTGCCTCGCCAGGCGCCCGAAGCGCTGGCCGGGGTCGGCGCGCAGCGAGTTGGGCGCGCCGAGGATGCGCCAGAAGCCGTCGGCGTCCTGGCCCTTGAGCTTGTTGAAGAGCGGCGCCCGCTCGTCGTTCTCGACGACCTTGCGGATGATGGCGCCGACCTCGAGGTCCGGGTCGCATTCTTGGTTGATCTCGACGAGGTCGCCGTCGGTTTTGAGTGATTCCACAAAGGAGCGGAAGTTCATGTGTGGTAGGTCTTGGGGGTTTGTGGATGTCATTTTGTGATGATGGTGTAATTCTTCGGTTTAATATTCGACGCTTCAATGGTGACAAGTAAGACTATAGTAGAGGACGAGAGCCGATTGAATATTGATTTGCTTTATTTCACAGAGTATTCAACCTCGGAGACGGCCGAGATATATCTATATCTCACGTCCTACACCATCGAATGATCGAACGATAGCCAGTGACAACAGCATAGAGGGAGCCCTCCGAACTCGCCGAGAGGCACGATACTCCGAAATCCCCGGGCCCACGAGCGGGTCCATCCACCGAATGAAGCTCACTTGAATAAGACCACTTCGAGTGAAGGCAAACTCGGCGAGTTCGGACTATCTGTACTTATCAACGTCCCCTAAGATCGGTTTTATGTGGTCTTCCAAATATCGTATGACAACCCCAAGTCATATTCTCAATCTCGAGTCAAGCAAGACCAAAGTGGGCCAAACCTCTTAACCTATCACCAAGACCACAGCCATTGGACTCTATCGCCAACTCATTACGCTTTTCCAATCTCACCATCTCATACCACCACAACCACAATGAAAGAAACAACCCCCCGCAAAAAGATAATCGTCGCCATAACAGGCGCAACAGGCGCCCAGATCGGCATCCGCCTGCTCCAGACCCTCCGCCGCCTCAACGTCGAGACGCACATAATCATAAGCAAGTGGGCCGCCGAGACGATAAAGTACGAGACGGACTACACGCCCGCGGCCGTAAAGGCCCTCGCCGACCACGCCTACAGCTCCCACGACCTCGCCGCCCCCATCGCGAGCGGGTCCTACCGCGTCGACGGCATGGTCGTCGTCCCCTGCTCCGTAAAGACCCTGGCCGCCATCAACGCGGGCATATGCGACGACCTGGTCACGAGGGCCGCGGACGTGTGCCTCAAGGAGCGCAAGAGGCTGGTCCTGTCCGTGCGGGAGACGCCGTTCAGCGAGATCCACCTGAGGAACATGATGGAGGTCACGAGGGCCGGGGCTATTGTTGCGCCGCCGGTGGTGGCGTTCTACACGAAGCCGGCGTCTATTGATGATATTCTCGATCAGATGGTGGGGAGGTTGCTTGATTTGTTTGACCTGGATGCGAGGAATTTTGAGAGGTGGGATGGCATGCAGAAGAGTACCACAAGAGCGACATAAGAGTCGATGCTCTCAACTTGAAGTCTTGTTCATGGTTATAAATTTATTAATCAGACCTTGTCTTGCTAAAATAAAAGAATAGGAGAGAAAGTTGCCTCTGATCGCTCTGTTTTAAGCACAAGTGACTTATCTAGCTGATGTGACACAACCAACCACATAAAACTCCCTCTCCTATTCAAGTTCACGTCCCATGAATATGCAGAAGAGACTACTCATTTGTAAAAAATTGATATTACGCCTCGCATGCTATTATTTCCCCTTTTGAGAATACAACGCCATTCATGTAGGAAGCTGTCTACTCCAGCCCCATTACAGCCTCATCGCCAATTCCCCAGGACCCACCCCGCCGGTCCTTGGAGATCTCCAGCCCAAGCCCGGGCCCCAGACTCGCCTGGTCGTCCTCGCTCTGCACTTCACTAGTGCGCCGGGCCCGGCTGCCTACAGAGTATGGTGATACCACAGCTGACCGCGGGCTGCTGGTGACGCTTTCGTCTCGTCTATGTTGCTTGCTGCCTGCTGCCGCGGCGGCGGCGGTATTATCAGTGACCCGGCGCCGCAGCGAGGGGATTAACTTCATCGACCGGGATGAAGTCGACAGCACAGACGACGCGTCGTCCTTTTCCCTTTCCGAGGCCGTCTTATCCCTGCCTGGGCTTTCAACGTCTTCCTCCTTGATCTCTTTGAGAGTATCGTTGGGCCGATGAAGGTCAGGCATGCTCATCGTTTCGTAGTTCGGCGAGAAAGTCGTGATAGGGGGCGCGAGGGTAGGTGTCTTCGGCCGGGGCGGGAGGGATGGCCGTGGTTCTAAAGTAGGTGTTGGCGAGGATTCTTGGGGAGGCTCCTTGGCTTGTTCGGTTTCTTCGTCGCTGTCCACCTCCACCAGCTCCGCGTCGCGGTACCACTTCCGCCTTCGCGTCCATCTCCCCCAGCCGTCTTGACCACGTCGACCGTTTTGCCACTATGCGAAGGAGTCAGTTGCTGTCCAGTGTATGTAAGCTGGTATGAGAGATATACCTTGTTGTCATAGAATATCCAGCCGTTCTTCCCGGCCTCGCCGTCGTAATTCCACTCGGCCTCTGCACCTCCCGATGCCCCACCATTCGCCGCCTCGTCCGACACGCCATCCACCCTCCACCTGCTTCCGCGGACCCACCGCCACCGCATGCTGCTGTCGTCGTCGACCCCGGGCAACTCGAACTTGTCCTTGGGCGGGACAGGATTATTGTGCTCGTCAGTCCAGGCTGCCCTCTCGTACGCGAACAGACTGTTTGTCCAACCGAGCCCAACCCACCGGCGCTGGTTCTCGTATATGATAAAGGTGAACCTGACGCCGGCGTCCGTTGCCCCACGGGCTCGGCGTATGGCCTTGGTTAGCTCGGATTGTGCTTGAGCTCTGGCATTTGACGATACGCCCTTGGATTTAGACGGCTCCTTTTCGAACGTAGGGTGCTCGTTCCCCTTGTTCTTGTCCTTGTTGGCTTTCTCCGGCACAGCAATATCCAGGCCCGTAATGAGTGCCGCGAACTTCCTCACGCTGGCGCTGCGCCACAGTATTGTTCTCCCCGCCTTGACCACTCTGGCATGCCATGTGAGTATTATGGTTCCAAAAACGAGGATGACCCTCCGCGTGGAAATGATCCGAAACGGAGGAAAGGTTAAGGCGACCCAAAAGGGAGTGCACATCAATATCCGTATGAACAGCGTCGTCAAGGCGGGCCTCGTGGTGGCACTGGTCGCCGTGCGCTGGGTGCTGAGGAAATCGGTCAATTCCAACAGGGGCTCCATGAGGATATTACACCTCGCAGTCAGCTCCTTTAGTGTTTCCACGATCTCGTCGAGCGTCTTTTGATGTTTTGTGTTTGTGGCCTCCGACCCGGCCCTCGTATGGTGTCCTCCCCCGGTTCCCGCGGCCGCATTTGCAGCTGCCGGACCCGAGTTCTCAGCCGGTGCCTTCTTCCCCTTGCCCTTCGAAGTTTTGGGAGCATTCCCACCTCCCGCACCGCCGTCCTCGTTCCAGCCACTGCTACTCAGAGGGCTGAACCGCCTTCCATACATGCCGAGTATTACAATGAGGACCAGCACCACCGGCCCTGCGAAGCGCACTGCGACATCTCCGTACAGCACTGTGGCCCAGAAGACAGCGACCAACAGGAAGCTCTCCCACGGATCGGCCGTCGTCCAGCTGAGCAGCCCGGTGAGCTTGTTCAAGGGCAGCAGGAAGGGGTGGCTGTATGCGAGGGCGCGGGTGACCTGGGGAGGTGTGGCCAGGAGCAGCGGGGACTTCTGGTGGACGAGGATGGTGGACAGTCGCTTGGCGGCTGAGACGGGTTGGGATGACGACAGGGTCGCTGGAGAGAAGGAGGCGTAGGTCGGCTTGGGTTCGGCGGCGGCGGCGCCTAGGTAGGAGGCCGGGCCGTCATCGTTGCGATTTGGCGAGTGGGTGGAGGAGGAGCTGTCGAGGGTGTCGCCTCGTTGGCGACGAGGGGTGGACATGTGGGTTAGCCAGGGGATTTCCTGCGCCGGACGGAAGAGAGCTGGTTGTTAGCCCGGGTGGTGTGCCCGCGGATTGGAAGCGCCGGGTGGCGGTTATGTTATTTAAACGAAAGAGAGGATCGTTGGGCTCCAAATGAGGCGCTGACAAGCTCATGCGCTTGGGCAGGATCGGGGAAACGGGCGCATGACGGACGGATGCCTTGGAGGAGCTGAGACCGGATGCGCTGGATGACAAGCAGGCAGGGAAGAATATGTTGTCGCTGGGTAGGTGCAGTATGCGTAGGCAGTCGAGATTGTAGAGGAAGGTCATCAGAGTAGACCAGAGGAGGTCGGGGTGAGCATGAACAGCAGCGTCAATAGCAAACAGCGAGTGACGTTGCCACCTGCAAGCTCAACGACCTCCGACGGCCATGGTGCGGCTCCGGGGAGGAAGCTCCCAGGTGCCTGCCTGCACTTGCCCACTGGTCACACTGGCGGGCGCCAAGACCAGGCGAGCTGGTGGCATGAGCGGCCGCAGATCCAGGCGCCTGCACCTGCCCCCGACATTCGATGCAGAAGGGAGGCGTTGATACTATCGCAGATGTGACGGAAAGAGAGATGGAAGCGGAAAAAGACAATCAATATGCACTCACGATCGCAGCCATCTAAAGTCAGTTGTGGCTCCCCTTGTCCGTTGCCCCTCCTGCGCGGCAAGCACAGCTGCACGTAGCACCTGCCAGATCCACCGCCCAGCACAGCCTGCTTGCCTGGTTGCTTGCTTGCCCTTCAAACACCGCTCTTTCCCTCCACTGCAGCCTACCAGTCTGGCCAGTCTGCTCCGTTCCGTCTCTGCCGGTGCCTGAACGGGAAACTGTGGGCTACGACGTCATCGGTTGCGCAGGCCAGCGACAGCAGCAGCGATCGTGTGCAATGTCGGGGAAGGTATAGTTGTGAAATGGAGAATGCAGGGTATTGTGAGAAAAGAGGTGAGAATGATGAGTATTACAAGCGAGCCTGAACGACATCGCATTTCGTCCACCGTCGGCCATTCCGGCCGCCAGCCACAGGCGCACAAGCGCAAACGGTGGCCACGTGAGCCCGCCAGCCGTGAGCCGTGAGCAGATCCTTGGTCTCCTTGGTCCGAATTCTCCATCCTGGGCACCATCACATGCAAATTCCAGCTTCCTCTTCCGCCCAACTTAGCAGCGCAGCGTAGCATCCACCACCCACGCCGGACCAGGGGCAGCAGCAGCCCACCATGAGATATCCACTTCGTGGCATGTTTGGCACACAGTCCGAGATGCACAGAGAACCACGGTCCTAATCAGCATCATGCAGTACAGTACAAGCTTTGCACAACACCAGCCGACCCTCTGGCAGATGCTCTATCAGCCGCGGGGTTGTCCCATATGAGGCTGTCATATAGGTGGTTATGCCTCACGCGGGTATCCCACAAGAAGTTATGTCACAGGAAGTCATCGCACAGCAGGTTACCCCTTTTAGTACACGCAAGTTGATCCTAGAATGCATTCAGGTAGGTCTTCCTATCCCCAGGCAGGGCTAGCATAAAGGCTTTCACCATGAGATTATCCCGGACGACATGACCCCAGCGGGCCATGTACGGCACCGCTCATGATCAGACTGTCTGCATCCTCACGAATCACCCGAAAGTTTTGAGGGAACAATCAAGAAGTAGAAATTCATCGAGCTTTTTATTCTCAGGCAGAAAAGCAAACGCCCGTAAGTCAATCAGCCAGTCAGTCAAATCCAGCAGTGGGTATCGATCGAATGCCTCCCCCTTACAAAAAAAGTTCCATGCCATGCCATGCCATGCCCAGCCTTTGCCATATTCACCACTTCCACCACCACCACAATTATGTACCTAGCGGCTCTGTTCGGCCCTTCTTATTAACTTCAACCCTCCTTCACGCTCAGAACGAATGAGATACGTAGTTCCTTCCGTCCACAGAAACAAGAAAAGCAATGCAAGAGACAGGCTGTCTGTCCGTAATGTTGAGTCCGTGAGGATGAGCCCATGAGGAATAAAACCACCAAGGAAAACACATTTTTCAAGCCCATTAGCAGTCCCCGTGTTGAAAAAAGAGGGGCAAAATATCCCTCGCAAGTGAGTAAAAAAAACACCGCAATCTAAACAATCCGCCCGTGCAAAAAAGAGAAATCCGAGAAGAGAGAAAAGAGTCCGAACAGGGAGTAAATCCTCTCTCACTGTGCCTCGGCCGTGGTAGACCGGCGGTCGTCCGTCACCGCGCTGGAACGTCGACTAGATCCTTCCCTACACGAAAGAGAAGAAAAGAGAAGACCCGTTAGCCTGTCTGTTGTCCATCAAATACGTTAAAACCACCCCCGCTCCCCCCTTCCAAGGGGAGAAAAAGGAGTAAACACCGCACAGGCAGTTGTTGAGAACGACCTACCCACTACTGCCCACCTCCGCCTCGGGGTTCCACTTCCTAACCCAGCTGACGAACCTCCTCCCCTGGATCTTGGCGTTGAGCAGCCTCCCGCTCGCCGAGTTGGTCTCGAACGCGACCGCCTGCTCGCTGCGGTCCTTGAGCACCAGCTGCACCCACTGCCGGTCGCGCTCCGTCTCGAGCTCGATCCGCGACACTTTCGCCGGCTCGATCCCCGCCGACGGCACCGCGGCGGCGGCTTCCGCGGCGGACGTCTCCAGCGGCTCGGCCACCCCGCGCACCGGGTCCGTCGCCAGCCGCAGGTACCCCGCCGTCGGGCTGCTGCTCCGCGACCACCGCACCCCGCGCCCGGAGTCGCGGAACTGGCTCACGTCGAAGATCTCCTTCCTGTCCGGGCCGGCCCCGGGCGTCTCGGCCCGCGCGGTCGGCGTGGAGGAGGAAGGAGCTGCTGCGGGCTGCTGCTGCTGGGGCGCCGGCGGTGGTTTCTGGCCGTCGTGGCCCTGCTGCTGCGTGAAGGACGCCCGGGGGGTGTGCGGCGCCGGCCCAAAGGACGACGTCCGCACCGCCTGCCAGCGGTCCGCGTTGTTGCCGGGGATCATGATGGTCGGCGTGCTGCGCCCCGACCCATCAGGCACGGGCGTCGTGGACGCGCTGCGCGGCGGGCCCATCATGGGCGACTGCATCGGCGGCGAGAGGATGTGCGAGAGCGACGGCGAGTGCTGCGGCAGCGCGGCCTCCATCTGCTTCGCATGCTGCTGGGCCGGCGGCTGGAAGTGGTGGCCGTGGCCGTTGGTCTGCACCGGCACCGACGCCGGCCTCAGGGGCGCCGTGTCGCCGCCGCCGCCGCTCATCTGCGCCATGAGCGCGTCGAACCGCTTGTAGCTGTCGATGCCGTTCTCGGTGGCCGGCGCCGCGTCGGAGCGCATGCCCGCCGGGTTGAGGATGTTCTGCAGGTTCGAGTGCTTGCGCCCTCCCCCATCGCCCAGCTTGCCCATGCCCGGCGCCGCGAGCCCCGTCTGCTGCGACTCCGGGAACGTGCCGTCCGACCTCGAGCGCTGGTGGTCTGCCAGGGCTGGGCGCTGCGGCCTTGGGACTGCTGCGTCGGTGTCTGCCCGCGCTGGGGCGGTAGGCTTCGTCTCCGTTGGGGCAGAGGGCTTGGGACCCTCGTCGGCCACCTCCGACGCCGCCCTGCTGCGGCTGGCGGCCTCCCTGACGGCCGCTGCTGCTTTTGCCTGTGCCGTCTGCGCGCTCTTCCTCACCCGCTCGTGTTCCGAGAGGATGTTGGATAAACCAGCCTGGTCCGGATGTCCATTGGTGGGTTCCTCCGACGGCTTGGTCTCACCAGTCCGTGCGACGGCGGTCTCGACGGAAGCAATCTTCGGAGAGTCTTCGTCGCTCTTCTTGACGGGCGTGTCGTCCTCCATCTCGACATCCGATTCGTGGGTATCCGAGCCCGAGCCGCCTTCTACCCAGTTAGAGTCTCCGGCCCCGGGGTCTGGAATTGGCCCAATGTCCATCTTCATCGGGTCTTCTTCCTCCTCGCTGTCAGAGTCATCGCCGCTGCCGGGTGAATCGCGGCGACCGGGGCTCTTCCCGAACTGCTTGTCGAAAAAGGTCGGACTCTTATCGTCAGGCTTGTCTGCAGACCGCAGAGACAGCCCTTGGTCACCTACGTGAAGTGGATTCAAGTCAGCGCTCGCTCCACTTCCAAGCAGTCAGTCGTGGGAAAACCTACCAATCCAGTCTGCCTCGCCCTCCGGAGTTGCCGAAAGGGGCTCGCCAGGTCCAAGTCGCTTCAGCTCGTCCCAGCTGGCACGGTTGTTCATCTTCACCGCGAACCACTCCCGAGCCTTCCTCAGGCCGCTGATATCTACATTCTCGGGTGGGTTGTCCAGGTCGAGCTCCTGAAGCTTCTGGGCGGGCAGCCAGCCCAGCGACCAGGGCGTCCTGTCGAAGAACATGACGGGGTATTCACGCTTCTTGGCCTTTGCCTCGCCGTCCTCGTACGCAGGCTGCCACCCCTTGATCTGCAGGCTGACCCTGTCGACGCGGTAGCACTTCGGCACGGTCTGCATCAGTGGCAGCTCCTGGAACCTCTCCTTCAGGCCAACCTCCCGCAAGCTCCCGTCCGGTCGTATGGGCAGAACGACCAGCGAGTACCATTTCTTGTTCGACTGCCACAGCCCTTGGTAGAAATGACAGTCCTTAGGCACGGTGATGCTTGCCGCCGGCTTCTGCTCCCGCACCTTGTGCGGCTTGGAAGAGGTGAGATCGCCATTGACGTGGATCTCACCTCCTTCCCGCTCGGTCTTGGGCTGCTTCTTGTGGTTGTCCGTACGCTGCCTCCCCTCCTTGGTGAGGAGATTCCGGTTGTACGGCTCGTAGCCATCCTCGGCCACCGCGCGCTGGTACTCGTCGTTGTTGAGCTTCGCAAGCTCGGCGTTGCAGTCGGTCACGAGGTAGCCGCAGATCTCGATGGCCAGGTCGTGCGTCTTGGGCTGCATGTCATGCTGAGGGCTGTGCACGTGCTTGGCCGCGCCGTGGACCGGGTTGCCAAACTTGAAGTGCACGCCGTGCTCGTCGCACTTGACGATGTACCAGTTGCCCGAGCCGGTCTTGTACTCGAAGATCTGGTGCTTGAACTGCGCCTTGCCGTCCTGGTAGACCTCCGCGAAGCTGATGGTGCGCTGGACCCGCTTCTCCATGCCCACCACCGGCGCCGGTGGCGGCCGGTGGGCGCGAGGGCTTCGCTTGAGCGGCGACGGGCCATCCTGCCCTTGCTCGAACGGCCTGTCCCTGGTGCGCGGCCGCTTCATGGCGCTGGTCGCGGCTTCGGTGGCTGGCGAGTCAGCGGCCTTCCTTTTCACATCTTGTCGTGGGGTCGGTGTCGCGCCTTGGGAGGCACGACTTGTCAGGACGGGGTTGGAACTCGGAAGCGGCGGGACGTCCTGTCGCAGCGGACCCTCGGGCAGTTTGGTATCGCTGGCCAGAGGCTGGGCCACGCTTGGCAGTTGGTGACGAGGCGGCTCATGGGGATGATGCTCGGCGGGCACGTGATGGTGCGGCAGAGGGCGCTGGTGCACCGGCTCCGCAGGCATGCGCTGCTGAATTACGGGCTGCTGTGCCATAGACTCCGGGAGAGGCATCCGCTGAGGGCCCACAGGCTGCCGAGTCAAGGGCTCAGAAGGAAGGATGCGCTGGGGCGCAACCGGCTGTTGATGGTGATGCGGAGGCACCTCAGCGCGAGGAGGCATGCGCTGCTGCGCCTGATGAGCCATTGGCTCCGAACGAGTAGCATCCTGAGGCGCTGGCCCACGCGAAGCCGGCGTGGGAGTATTCACCGACTGGTGCGCAGGTGAAGTATTCGCAAAGGCTGGCGTTACAGGAGTCCCCTGCCCCGTGTTCGCCATCTGTACCTAGGTATGGTGTTAGTGATACTAAGACCTAGAAGTTTGTGCATATGTAGACAGGAAGAACCATAGGCTTTGACTGACTCGAATAGGATTAGGCTGGGGATGCGACGGCGTGTTACTGTTACTGTTCACCCTTGGAATTGCACTGCGAGCGGCGGACGGCATCGCCATAAGGCTCGTGATCTTATTATGGTAACGCTGCTCGATGGTGGTCTTGCTCGCCGCATGCTCGTCACGTAAGCGTTGCTGCTCCAGTCGAAGGCTGACTTGGTTGTTGATCGTGGTGGCGATAGCTGGCTGAAGATCTATAAAGGCCCGCTGTATACTCTCGTTGACCCTCTGCTGCAACTGTGAGTATAGGCGATTGTTCTCCAGATGGACCTGCTCCTCAAGCTGCCGGTGGCGGTGGTCGTGCTCGTGGTCGAGGCGCTTCTGTTCCTCCTGCTTGTCCTTCTTCAATGCGCGGTACTGCGCTACATCAAAATCGTCCTCCATCGGATTTGCCGTCGTGTCCATCCGATCTGCTGGCGACGCCGTGGCCGACGACGCCGGCGGGAGAAACTCGTTGACCCGTTTAGGATCCATCTTTGCGTCAACAGGGCAGACAGTTATGCGAACAAGTCTCTGCTGCTCCGGACATTTGATCTCGCTTCTGGTACTGAGGACCTGACCCTGCCGTCAGTACAATCTCATTATTGTCAAGGCTGAAAGCGAAGCTTGCTCCTCCTCTCCGAGTCCCTCCTCAGGTGTTGTATCCCAATGACTTTGTCGTGTTTATAAGCAGGTTGACCAGACAGAAAAGAAAGATTTTACAGGGATGTCCGTGTATGACCTCCTGCTTCACTTTCCAGCTGCAGTTGCACCTTTTCCAGCTCCTGCACTTCGATCAAGACCAGTCATGGATGAATGTGAAGCAGCAAGTATGACCCAAAAGCTCGGTGACTCTTGCAGCAAGAGTGTGTGGGTGTGGGTGTGTGAATTGGAGAAAGGAAAGTGGAACCGGTGTTGCCTAAGGGCGGTCACGACCAAGGGAGGGCACTCACTTTTCACCTTAAGACGTCTGCTATAGCTGGGCAGCTTAATGCTAAGGCCCATGTGGGAAGTTCCCTCCTTTTCCCGTCCTAATGTACTGTATGCATCAATCTACGAGCCAAAACAGGGGGCCAGCGGTCGCAGGGATGGAGGCGGGACAATAAGGAATCTAAGAAAGGCATTGACCTAGTTTGGGTGGGTAGGAACGTTTACTTATGGGATCCGTCTTTTATATGCACGCGCTAAGTAAGATTAATGGGAAAGCGGGTGATACGGCCCGCTAAAAAAAGAATTTTGTGAGCACCGAGGACTATGATCGTATCATAAATAACAGCCACCCCTGTTAGTCACAATCTGACACTGTACAGTTGGTTCGCTCAATTGTTCTGCTACTCCAGATCTGGCCATTGCTTCCTGGCTGCTCGACCCGGCTTCCGCTTTTCCTTCTTCTCTGATTGTGTCCCTCTCTAATCCTTCCAACCAACGGTCCGACTTGGCAATTGGTCCTAAGACTCTCTCGGGTGCGGACTCCGGCCGTCGTTCGGGACCGGTTGGTTGGTCCCAACGCCCAATGTTCATGTCAAATGTCCGCACGTCCAATGTCCACTTTATTAGGAAGTGACAGACGGTTTCCCACCCACGGCACTGGGATTACAAACACCCAGGGTACGTGTGTAACTTCGACCCTCACATCCTTGCAGTGTAACCGCCCCCGATAGGATAGCCTACTTGTTTGGTTTTACCCACCGCGAATAAACCTCACCTATCTGGCAGTATGATCTGTCAACGCCGGTGTCTACATCTGCAGGCTGGTCTTGCTCGCCGCCTCTACATGTAACCATGAGTCTCGAGTACCTGCACGGCGCGCTCCAGCTGGCAATTGATGATCCCTGCGACCCTGTATGACACGACCTGACCTGACAGTCAATGGGGCCGGCGTTATGGCCTCTTAATAAATACGGCACAGCGACCTAATAGTCAGCCATGGCTGTGGCTTCTGCCAACACCTGCATCTCGCGTCTGCATGTGTTGGCTTGGTTGGCTTACTAGCGCTGCCATGTTGGTGCTCCGAGTAATTTCCCACTGTGCACAAACACACACACACACAAGGACGAGCATGTGCACATGCACATGTGCATACCTCCTGCGGCCCCATCATCTCGCTCGCGCACATCTCGCTCTAGCTCTGTCGAGGAAAGTTTCCCTTGTTATAATTTGCTGGCTGGCTTGCACCCTGGGAAATGGGGCACGAGGACTGGGCGGGAAAATGTTGCCTCTTACTAGTGTACATATAGGTACCTAGCGGGTCTTGGCCCTGTGCCGGGTTACCAGTCCGGCTGACAAAAGTGCAAAAGTGGGCCTGATATCTCAGCGCATAAAAAATAAACAGGGATATAATAAGGTATAACAAGAGGATTAATAAAGTATATAGATAGATATAATTAATTACGGGTTATAGTGAAATTAGTTCTAAATTAAAATAATATTGGTTTAAAAATAGTGGTTAAATTTCATAATATTATAAGAAAAGCATATAAATAAGGAGCATTATTAGCTTTATTTTTTTTTATATTATATAAGCAAAAATTTTTTATTATTAAATTAATTTCATACCTTATTTATATCCCTTCTTAGCACCCCCTTAACTAAGCTATTGCTAAAGTAATTGCCATAACGCCATAGTATAATATTGCAACTCTTTAAAAAAAAAGCATAAGTACTTATATATTAATTTTATATTATAATAAAATCAATTTTTAATTAGTTTTGCTATTAATAGTTAAATTATAACCGCTATATTAATTTTAAAAAGTACCTTTTTAATATTAAGCCCTTTTAACTTAAAGTTATTATAAATAATCTTTAAAAAATAAATTATTTTATTTCTATATTAATTCTTAATTAATTTAATATAAATTAAGAATTATAGCTTAACTTATATAATTTATTTTACTTATATTAAGAATTATTATTATAGCAAAATCTTTTGTTATTATATAAATTTAGAAAATAATAAGTAATGCTTTAAAGAGGTTTATAAAGATTTAAAATATAATATTAAATTAATTCCTAATTAATTTTAAAATTTTATGCTAGCTAGCTTTCTTTATAAGCATTACTTTAATAATTATAAAGTAAAGTAAGATAAGGATCTTAGTAAAATTAATAAGGGTAGTAAATACTTTAAAAATAAAATTTACATGGCTATTAATAAGTGCTTTAAAAATTTTTTAAAATTAATTCTTAATTAATTTTAAAGTATTATAAAAATATTATAACTTAGCACTTTATTAGCATAATTAGTTAATAAAAAGGTAAACTTAATATAGCCCTTTTTAAGATATCTTTAAAATTAATTCTTAATTAATTTAAATTTAATTATTAACGTTAATAATATTATTTTCTATACTTAATATAAAAAGGCTAAGGCTAAGGCTATTATTATTATTATTAATGCTAAGGTTATTAATAAGGTTGCTGTTAAAAAGATTAAATAAGTAAAGAAAAACGCTATTATTACTTAAGCTAAGCATATCTTTATCCTTATTAAAGATAATAATATATATATATCTTAAGTTAATCTTAAATTAATTTTTAATTAATTTTAAATATTAATAATTATATAATTTATATTAAAAATAGCGCTTAACTTATTAAAAAGCTATTTAAGTAATATAATTATAATTTTATTTTATTTATAAATTAATATTTTATAAGTTTAAAATTAATTTAAAATTAATTTTATACTTTATAAGTTTATATTACTTAAGCTTATGCTATAATTCTTAATATAACTAAAGGTAGTAAAAGCGCTAAAATAATTTATAATTATTGCAAGGAGCAGAGTATTAAGTATAAGTATAGTTTTCTTAAAGGCCTTTTAAATTAATTTTTAATTAATTCTTTAAAGTATAAATATAAAGATAAAATTAATTATAAGCTTTATTAGCGATTTAATGATTTTAATATTGCCTTTATTGCCTTTAAGAAGTTTATTATTATAAAGTAAAAGCTAAATTAAGATAATAAGGATAAGGAGTGGCTTCCTTATCTTAATAAAATTATTTAAATTCCTAATTACTTTAAAATTAATTTAAAATTAGCATTAAGTTTTAAAGAAATACCTTAAGGCATTAATAGTTTTATATTAAGGGTTTAAATTTATTAAAAATAAGCTTTAAAATGCCTTTAAAATAAATTAAAAGATAAAGGTAGTTTAATTTATAACTTTTTTAAAATTAATTTAAAATTAATTTAAGAATTTAATATATTTTTTTATTTAAAAATTATATTTATTATAAATATAATTAATTAATTAATTAATAATAATAATAATAATAATAATAATAATAATAATAATAATAATAATAATAATAATAATAATAATAATAATAATAATAATAATAATAATAATAATAATAATAATAATAATAATAATAATAATAATAATAATAATAATAATAATAATAATAATAATAATAATAATAATAATAATAATAATAATAATAATAATAATAATAATAATAATAATAATAATAATAATAATAATAATAATAATAATAATAATAATAATAATAATAATAATAATAATAATAATAATAATAATAATAATAATAATAATAATAATAATAATAATAATAATAATAATAATAATATAAATAATAAAATAATAAAATAATATATAATAATAATAAATATAATAAAATAATAAAAATTATATAATATAAATATTATAAAAATAATAAAAATATATTATAATATTATAAAAATAAAATATAAATATAATATAAATATTATAAAAATAATAAAAATATATTATAATTATATAAAAAATAAAATATTTATATTATATAAAAATAAAATATTTATTATTTATTAATTTATTAATTTATTAATTTTTTTTAAATATAAAAATAATTAAAAATTTATAATTATATTTTTTAAATTATATTTATTAAATTATAATTATTTTATTAATTATTTATAAATAAAATTTAATATTTTATTAATTTTTTTTAATTATTTTATATTTTTTAAAAAATCTTTTTAATTTTTTTAAGTTTTTATTATTTATTTTTTTAATTATAATTTTTATTTTAATATTTATAAAATATTTAATATTTTTTATATAAAATTTAAAATTTTTAAATATAATAATAAATATATTAATTATTTTAAATAATATTAAATTTAAATTATTATTTATAATTATTTTTATTTTTAAAAAAAATTATTTATTATATTTAATATTTATTTTTATAATTATTTATATTAATTAAATTAATTTATTTTATTTATATAATAAAATATATTTATTTTATTAATTTATTTTAATATTAATTATAAATATATTTAATAAATAATAATTATATATATTAAATTAAATTATTTTATAAATTATTTTAATTTTTATATATTAAATAATTATTTTTAAAAATTTTTATAAATTAAATAATTATTTTTAAATAATTTTATATAAAAAAATAAAATTATAATTATTATATATTTAAAATAAAAATAAATTTTATATATATATTATATAAATATATAAT